TTTAAGTTATAGCATATATCTATTATACTAATCTCTATTAAAGATACTCTTAATGCTATAGTTATAGATTAAGAAGAAAGATTTTATTAAAATAAAATTAAGGAGAAGTATTAATTATAGTATAGGAGAATTAGCTATCTTAAACTTAAAAAGGTTAAAAACTTATATAACTTAATTATATTAAAGAAGCCTATTAAAATAGTAATAGACTATTAATATATAATATATACTATAGCTAATATTAGAAATAAGAGAGAGATTATTAGTGCATAGAAGGCTGGCATTCTTAAACTTATCTATATAGATATATATAATTAAATACTAAAATCTAAGAATAGATATATCTACTTCTTAATAGTTATAAATAATTTTTTAAAAAAAATATAGATATTTCCTATAAGAGCTAAATCCAATATTATCTTTATCTTAAATAAATAAAAAAGGGAGGTTAAAATAGCAATAAGTCTCTAAATTCTTAAGATATAATTAGATAATATATTAGAACTTAAAAATCTCTTTAAGACCTAGAAGAAATAATTTAGCATCTATTATAAACTAATAATTCTATATATATTAATATAAAATAGAGCTGTAAAATAGATATATTAGACTATTAAAAAAGGAATAAGAGCTATACTTAAAAATTTAAACCTTTTAGTTAAGTTATAGATAGAGATAGCTTAAACTAATATATATATTAAAAATAGAATATTAAATAGACTAATAATTAATAGGGTTTAAATATCTCTAAAGGAAGCTTTTATTAAAGTTAAGCTATTAATTAATTATCTAAAAATATAGGGATATTAGGCAGTATTATATATAAATCTAAAATCTCTACTATAAGATATATAAAGGGATAAATTAATAGATTAAGGCAGAATCTATATTTTTATAGGATATATTAAAAGAATAAATAAATAGTAGAAAGTTTAGGCTTTAAATATAAAAAAGACTATTAAGACCTATTAAGCTAAGTTTTTTAAAGATAAATTAAAAAGAGACTTAGACCTTAAGATTCTTTAAAGATTATTGCTAAATATAGTATTAATAAAGAACTTAAGAGGTTAACTAATAACCTAGCCTATTACCTTAAGTATATATATATTTTTAAATAAAAAGAAGAATAATATTAATAATTAGGAGGAGAATTATAAGGAAGTTCTAGCTTTTCCTTAAAAGGAAAAAGAAGCTTTTTACTATAGTAAAATTATAGAATAAGAGAAGATATTTAATTATTCTTACTCTAATAATTTAAATAATTATAAGAATTTATAGATAAACCTCTTATCCTCGCTAAGTAGATAAGTTATATCTTATATAGAGATTCTCTATATAGCAAAATATAAGAGAGAGAAGGTTAAGTTATTAAATAATAAATAAAACGCTAAAAAGTTATATTAAGTAATATTTATATTAAATCTTCTACCTCTAGGTATTAGTATAGACTAGGAAAAATATATAAAATAAGTATTAAATACTATAATAGCAGCATATATAGTAAAGGAGTATATTTTAATTTTAAACTTATATTATACTATAATTAATAACCCTATTTAAGGTAAATTATAATAGAATATATTTAAGGCTAAAATAAATATACTTTAAGTAAATAGAATTTTTAAAATAGTTATATTATTATTAAGAGCTAATATTATAACTAGCTATTAAGTATTAGTTATAAAACATAATTTAGATAGTTCCCTTTAAAAGCTTAAGATATACTTTATTACTTAAAGATTTATTTAGAAATATAGTATTAATTTTAAGTATACCTTTACTCCTATCTTATAATATAATATATTATAAATATTTCTAGCTATTATTATAATAGAGAATTATAAGTATTATATTATAGATATTAATAATATCTTTATAGAGTTAATATTAAAGGAAAAGATTTATATAGTATTCCTACTAAAAATAAATATATTATTAAAAATAATATTAAAAGTTCTTTAATCTTTATATAGTTTAAAGCAGGCTATAAGAGATTAGAATTAAACCTATATAGAAATATTCTAGAAAATAGGTTTTATATAGATTAATATTAATCTATATTTATTATAGTATCTAAAGAGAGAAATCTTATTTTTAGTATATATTAATAATATTTTAATTAGCATAAAGTAAATAGAGAATATTTATTAGTTTAAATAAGAGTTTAGATTAATATATAAGATAAAGAATCTAGAAGAAGTAAAGAAGATCCTTAATATTTAAATTATCTAAGATAGGCAGAATTAAATATTAATAATAGATTAATCTTATTATACTAAAGAATTCTTATTATAATATAAAATAAGTAAGGAAAAAATATACTTAGTTAGTATTCTATTAAATAGATATAACTCTCTAAAATTATCTAGCCCTTAAGATAAAAGAATAAACTAAAGAGAGTATTAGAAGATTATTAATAGCCTAATTTATTTAATAATTTTAATAAGATTAGATATTATATTTATAGTAGATAAATTAAGTTAATATCTATTAAATCTATCTAAAAGATATTTTAAAGTATTAAAGTCCCTTATAAAATATCTATAATTAAATATATGCCTTAGTTTTAAATTTAATATAAACTAAGACTAGCAATTTATTAAGTATTTAAATTTAGATTATATAATAGATAAGACTAATTAGATATTAATCTTAGAGAATATCTTTATTTTAACTAATAGCCTAATAAGCTAATTAAGTAAAAAATAAAAGTTTATTATAACTTTAACTATAGAGGCTAAATATATAGCTATATATTAAGCTATAAAGTAGTCCTAGTAATTAGCCCTTTTTTTAAGAGATATAAGATACAGATACTATATTAGTCTAAATAAATTTAAGCTAATAATAAGAGAAGAATAAGCTTTTATTATTAGTTCTTTAGTTAAGATCTATAGGGATAATTAAGTATTATTATTATTAATTAGAGATACCTATATCTATAAGAGGTTAAAGTATATTAATATTATATATTACTATATATATAACCTATACTAAAAGAATAGGATTAGTATTAAGTTTATTAAAATATAGGATATAATAACAGATAGTTTTATTAAACTATTGCTAAAGGCAGATTTCTTAAGATTCTTAAATTAACTAGGATTAACTAATCTAGTAAGTCTAGACTAAAGAGAAGTATTATAAAATAGTAATTAGGACTAGCAGTTTTTAGTATAATAAAGACTTTATTTTAAGGAAATCTTTAGTAATAATTTTACTTTAATAAAATTAAACAGCTTAAAGAAATTATTTCCTAAGCTTTATATAAAAATCTATTGCCCTAACTGAGAAAATATAGATATATACTTTATATCTACTATGTAAGCTAATACTCTTTCTCCCTAAGTATTATTAGCCCTCTGAGACAGTTAGATAGTCTAGGAATTCCATCTGAACCTATTCTTTTCAACTATCAAGAGGTTTTGCTTAAATTTCTAGTTACTAGGTAGAATTACTCTGGTAACCGCTAAAATAGGGCAATATAATTCTCTACACCAATCTATTGGTTAAATCTATCGCTTACCTACCCCCTTTAAGTATAGCTTACCTGATTACTTGGTCTGTGTATATTAAATTTCGGAAGAGAAAAAAAGGGCGAAATTTAACGTTTCATGAATTTAAAAGTAAATTTCTGAAATTCACCACCCCTAGTTCAAGCTGATACTTACTTAGTCGGATAGAAACCGGGGTCCGTTCACTTGGGACGTTCGAGCGCACAGATGCTGGGTTCTCCTCGATCCGCATCACGAGCCAACCTGGAGAATGGGGTCTGGAATCCGTTTCTCCCCGCCGGCCCGGCCTTGGGCTTCTTTCTATACTTACTCCATGTAAATTACTCCATAACAGACACGGCCGAGATGGACGGACCGACCCCGAGACGACACGCCCATAAGAACTTTAATCAAGCTAACATCGAGCCGTTCCGTGGCCGCGGGGCCACTAAATTCATGACGGGCTTGGGACTTTGCACAAAAGTTGCGTCAAGTATCTCTCTCTCTCTCTCTCTCTTAGCTGAACGCCCGAGATGTATACTATTGTATTTCCCTGGTCACAGTGTAGGGACGAACACTCCCCGAAAACTGGCGGAGCAATTAGCTCCAGCTGTTGAAGTTTCTCCCACACGCCGTCTTATAGAATGAGCAGCCGTGCCACCATTTGCAATAATGAAGCAGCTCTTCGAAACTCCGATATTTCCGGTCCTAGACTAGTCCAAAATGGTGTATGCTTTACGGGTGACATACGTGGGCAATCCCTGACGTTGTAGACTAAAGTCAAAGAACTTTTAAGTGCTGATTGACGTTTAGCGCTTTGGCAGCCTGCTTTTTCTTTTGGCCCCCTGATTCCTGATGGTCCGGCGATGCCCTAAATGTATGTATGCGGGAAAGGGAGACCCATAAACCAAACGGCGTTTCAGTAGTACTCCGCATACGGAGTATAAGCTCAGTGTGAAATGGAAAAATCCAGTGGAGTAGGAGAGCTAGGATATGTAAAGATATCCTTACTTTCTAGCGTCTGTGATCAAGCTCGAGGGAATGAGGGAGTTAGCATGGATAGAGTCAAAGTTCTCTCAGGTCTATGATCAACGTATCTTGAGGGTTTTCGGCGGCTCGTAGCGTAGGTCTCGGGGACGTTTGGTATGAGGATATCTTCTGCTGTAGCCGTTGACCCCCGAACGGGTGAAGAGTCGGGCGCTTTGCTCCGCAGCAGGAACAGGATCCCTGCCTGAGCCACTCTGCACGTCAGACAGTAAGCGTTGGGCTGACAGTAAGCGTGGGATCGCCTGAAGGAATTGTTCTCCATACAACTGGATGGCTGAGCTTAACTTATCACTCGAGACTCCCCCTTTTAGCATTGGAAACAGCCGGCCGCATGTAGAGTCGTTCACTCGCTTCAGACCATCTGCGCTTTGTGTAGAATATAATTCTACAATTTTACTTTCTTTTCATTTGTCTCTTGGCCCGACGAATCCCACTTCAGAGCGAACCGTGATCGTTTAAATGACACTAAAAACATACGATCTGAGCGTTCCGCTGGCTCGGAATCCTGTGATCGTTGTCACTGTGTTTGGAGTCGTAGCAACTCTCACAACTGTCTCCAGGTTCCTCGCCTTGCGAATGAGAAATGTGAAGCCAGGGGCTCCAGAATACCTGATCATTGGTGCTCTGGTAAGGAGTGATGAACTGTACAAAAGTTTCGTGGCTAAATTCGCGGCGCAGGTTATCGTCTATATTTTTATAGCTATTCAATATATCTGTTGGTCACCAGTAACTGCCGGAAATGTATCCATTGTGAAAGCTGCTGACGACTCCCTGCAGTGTCCATCCTCGGTGGTTGTGGCAGACGCATCACTGAAGTTGATCCCGCGTCCGCTGTGGTGACGCTCAAGGTAACCATATCCTTAGAATTTTGCATCCGGGGTACCTGCTGAAAGCTCATTCTTGAACACAAGACCATCTTGCCACTCGAGGCATTGTACGGGATCGCCATGTCTCTCGTTAAGACCTCGATCATGCTTTTCTTTTTCCGCATATTTGGGAGTAAGCGTTCATTCCGCATAAGTGTTGCAGTTGTGATGGCCATTGTGTGGATGTGGGCAGTCAGTGTCATCCTTGAGACTTTGCTTCTCTGCCGGCCACTTGCATATAACTGGGACGCCACAATCGATGGCGTGTGTGGTGAAAAGAACGCAACGTTTGTCACCGCAGGTACCTTGAATCTAGTGACCGACCTGATGGTCATGGCACTGCCAATCCCGCATATCTGGAAACTAAGACTCAGCGTGCCCAAGAAGCTCGCACTCTGTCTCGTTTTCTGCATGGGTCTTCTGTGAGTCAACAGCTCTCTATTATCCATAATTGAGTTTTCGTCCACGCCCTAATTGTCAACCTGCTGCAGGGTTTCCGTGATCAGCATTGTTCGCCTCGCATCCTTGGTGGCAATCGACTTCACAGATATCACATATTCGGTACAAATGGGCGTCATGTGGACAGTTCTAGAACCGGAGCTCGCCATCATCTGTGCCAACATGCCTGTTATGAAGCCGATATTGTCCCGCGTGTTTCCAAATCTCTTCCCGTCTTCGAAGCGGAGAACTCACAGGATCTCTGGTCCTCAGGTCTTTGAGCGTCTCGATGAGCATGGCGTTTACCCTCTCGATCCCGTTGGACATAGTCACCTCGGGGCAGATATCTCAGCCGGATGCTCTCAGCCAAAGAAGGACTATACGACCGCGACCATGGAAAGCATGGATGAGATGCCAAGGGATTCTGACCAGCAGGGCCTTCGTGAAAATGCGCAGTCTCCAGACGGCATCAATGTCACGAAACATTTTGACATAAAATATCACCAGTAGACTTAGGACACTGCGTGGGAGGGAGTTGTACTACAGATGCCTTTGATATTGCGGTATGCCTTGCCGAGTAGGGTCAAGCTAGATTCGTTTCATTTCCTGACATTGGTACTCAGGAATAGCACGCAGCATCCTATGATGACTGTTGCCATTATTGTGAAGACAAATTGGGTCTTCCACCCACTCTGTACAAGAGCAGCTTTGCGGCTGTACTTTGCCACTGTTCTCAGGTAGTTTGAAAATCCGCTCACTAGACATGCTAAGCTCAACACCCAGAAGACGATGCCTATGGGAAGAGCTATCGCCCGCTCGACCTTCGATGGCCGAGAAGTAAGATGGAACGAGATCAGAATAGCAGAAGATACCACGCAAAGGTAGATGGAAAGACGCAGCCATGAAAGAAAAGTCCGTTCGTTGGCACAATGATCACGAGCGTCCGAGTTGGCATTCTCGAATAGGAGTGCGCCAAATAGAGGGCGAGATAGGACTACTGGCCCTGCAGTTTGGGGACGGCTATGAGTGTAGACGCACCACACGTTAGTTCCTGGCACTTCAATACAAGAAATGAAAGAACCGTGTCAATTGAAATCCAGAGATTAAACAGAACGAATGAGGTCGTAGGTTAGCAGATGACGGCGACCCCTATCACCAGACAGTGGCTGCCGTATCAATTGAATGGAATAGTCTCACAGTCAACCCATTGAGTGGAGAGAAAAAAACCATGAGAAAGATCACTTGATAGGTATGACTTGCGGTTACATTCAGGTGAAGGGAAGTCTAAGTATCTCGTGTTTCCAGAAGTATTTCCGACGAAGCCAAGCAATGATTTAGAATAAATGCAGCGTATATCGGAAGTCCGCAGCGATAATTGGAGAAATGAGACAAGGGAAGAAAAGATAACTTACTCATTAACTAGCACAGGGTCAGCATGCAGAGGATTGACCACTGGATTGTACCGGTGTCGAATAGACGTCTGACCGTCTGGAGCGAATTGCGACATTATGCCCCAAGCAGACAGACACAATGGGAGAATGGAGCAAACAGATATCTCTTGAGGACGACTAGATATTGTTCGGAACCCCTTCGAATCTCGATGCCAAATGACAATAAACTAGTTAACCATCACTCGAGAACTTGAGATTGGAGAGAGATCGACGTTCGATTCCCACTGCATCACATGAGCGATGTTATGATTATGCGCTAGACCTGTTTTGGTAAAAGAGTCTTCTTCCCGATTTGTCGACACGAGAATTTGCAGATATTATTTTCGAATCGAATAACCAATTGGTTATTATTAACTAGACAGTAGGAATACACAAACAGTCAATTATTTCTTGTAGAACGGTTATGCCTCGATCTCTTTACATTTATTTCTCTACATGGATTGTTCTCAATTCCTTTACAAGGCGTTCTCTAATAATTAGTTATGGTTGTGTCCCATTATCAAATCTCTAAGTAAGTAGTGATGTCAGCTGTACTCTCCACTGCCGGTTAGTACCAAGGTTTGAGTCAACGCCTTCATAAGCAATTGACAATGAATGGTTATACTTGAAGAAAAAGCTCCATCCCAACTTCTCCGATTATTATATGTATGGGTCTCTGCTTCAAAGTACTCTCCGTCTTCGGGAGGACCTTCCGAAATCAGACTTGGAGGCGCGGGGTCTGACCAGCAGTCGCCTCAGCCTCAGCTCGATCCCGAGAATTGGGAGAGCCAAGAATACAGGCCGATTGCCCTTTGACCTTCTCTAAACGGTTGATAAGCTGCAGAAAGAGGGCAATGCTTCTTCCGTGACTCAGGTGGGTTATTATTATTACGAGAGGAGCCTGATTTCTCACCGCAACCGCTAATCTCCACACGCTGTCATTAAGTAGGGCACTTGTTCCTCAACCTCTTTCTCTCTCCGCTGCGAGGTTCATCGGGTCAACTGCGACGACGTGTGCGTTTTCCGGCCATCGCCCTTGTACATATTGATACAAAAGGTTTTCTCAGAAGGTATTCGGGGCGGTTTGGACCCCGCAACTGCGTCATTAAGATGGCGCGCAATTCTAGCCGTTTGCTCAACCCTGAACATCAAGGTTCATACAATCAATCATATCTCTCTCGCTCCCCGGTAGCCGAAGCAGCCATTGCACGCGATTTGGCAGATTATACAGACGATCGGGACTCGACAGCGACCGACGACGAATCCGAGGCGTCGACTGTGCGTCCAGCAAACAGCTTACCGGGAACAGCTCCTCACTCGCTGGCAGGGTCATATCGGCGCCCCAGCTTCTTCACGGCGGGACCACGAGGGGTTGTTATTCCTCATCAAGTGGAGCAAGATAGGTTAACCAAGAGGGAGAGAGAGCAGGCCCTCGAACAGGAGCGGGATCTCTTGAGTGACAGCAATGTGATTTCGTCCGAGCGCCAGAAGGATCGTGAACACCGTCAGGGCAAGTTGGTGGAGTCGTTGTCCCGCACGGCGTCTTACTCAACAGACAACTCCTCTCGGATCGCATCACATGTTGCAGAAGAAACTGCAACTGGTGGTGGTGGTGGTGGTGCGGGCCCTACATACGACGGATCGATACCTACAGAGACCACATCACTACTAGATGTCGCAAGCAGACTCACTGGAGATGGAGGGGATCCGGAGGACATCGACCGCAAGTGGGAGGAAGCTGTCGCGGCAGGCCTGATCCGGACGACATGGAAACGAGAAGCACGGGTCATAGGCCAATATTCCGCTCCCTTGATGCTTACCTTCTTGCTGCAGTACTCCCTGACTGTCGCAAGTATCTTCACTCTGGGTCACCTGGGAAAGGTAGAACTAGGGGCAGTCAGTTTGGCTAGTATGACAGCTAGCATCACAGGTTATGGTGTTTACCAAGGCCTGGCGACTAGTCTCGACACTCTTTGCGCGCAAGCGTACGGCTCAGGTTGGAAGAAGCTGGTTGGTCTGCAGATGCAAAGAATGATCTACTTTCTTTGGCTTGTTACGATACCGATCGCCTTAATCTGGTTTTTCGCTGATCGAATCCTTATGAAGATTGTGCCTGAAAAGGACGTGGCAGTTTTAGCAGGACGGTATCTGAAGGTAGTCGTCCTGGGCGCACCTGGATATGCATGCTTCGAAAGCGGGAAACGGTATGTCCAAGCGCAGGGTCTCTTTTCGGCTTCGCTTTACGTCCTTCTGATTTGCGCACCACTGAATGCCTTCATGAACTGGCTCTTCGTCTGGGTATGTATATCTATCGCTCTTGCGCTAAAAGCATGCACGGTTCACTGACAGAGATCGAACAGAAATTGAAATGGGGCTTTATCGGGGCACCTATTGCTGTTGCTATAACGGACAATCTCCTGCCTTTTTGTCTCTTTCTCTACGTCTACTTTATCGCTGGTCACGAGTGTTGGAATGGCTTTACTCGCCGCGCTCTGCACAATTGGGGCCCCATGATTCGGCTTGCTCTACCTGGGCTCCTCATGGTTGAAGCCGAAGTCCTTGCATTCGAGATTCTTACTTTGGCCTCATCGTATCTCGGCACTACACCTCTTGCCGCACAGTCTGTGCTCTCCACCATCTCAAGTATTACGTTCCAGATTCCTTTCCCGCTGTCCATTGCAGGTAGCACGCGTATTGCGAATTTGATTGGTGCCACTCTCGCGGACGCCGCCCGCACTTCCGCCAAAGTTACGATTACCGGTGCCGTTATCGTCGGTCTATTTAACATGATCATTCTCTCTGTGTTGCGGTTCCATATCGCCGCGCTGTTCACGTCCGACGAAGAGGTGATCGAAATAATAGCTCAAATTCTGCCACTCTGCGCAGCATTCCAGCTCTTCGATGCCCTAGCCGCCAATTGCAATGGTATCCTCCGTGGACTGGGTAGACAAGAAATCGGCGGCTACGTACAGTTATTCTGCTACTATGCAATCGCCATGCCGATTAGTATGGGAACCACATTTGGACTTGGCTGGGGCCTCTGGGGTCTGTGGACAGGAGTGGCTATTGCACTGGGTCTGGTTTCCTTCGTTGAGGGTATCTTCCTGATACGGATCGATTGGCAACGCTCCGTGGATGAGGCGACCCAAAGAAACGCATTGGGCTAGTTCATGTGCCTGCGTGATATTTGTATATAATTGATCACATATTGTGGCCCATATATACAAATGGGGGTGGCGGTGTCATTACTTGTTCGACATGGTTAACGATTAACGATATTTACGAATCAATTATCGACTTGTGCCTTGTGTTCTTCTGGTGACGAGCGACAACGTTTCATCCAGAGAGAAGGTCTTGAGATTTTAACATTTGAATTGGTTCATAATTGCGCATGCAATAACAAAAACGCCTGGTACTGTACAGCTCTGACGAAATGAAGAGGCCCCAGATATCTTTTCTTTTCTTTTCTTTTCTTTTTCTTTTTGGTCTTTCATCCTGTTTAAAGACATCCTTGCCGATAGATCATCACGGGTATTACGAGTGTCATTAGTACTCCAGGATGGCCCACGTCATCTCATCAAAAGTAGAGAATATAACACCAGAGCTGAGCAGCTCGTCTCCCGCTTTCGTCACGTCCGTGACAGGGAGACCAAGCTTAGCAGCAATATGCTGCACGTGTAGACCCTCGTTGCTCTGGGGCTCGCTCTTCAGCAGGTTATAGATTCTCCGCGCGACAGGCGACATGGGAGGTAGTGCGCGACCATTGCCGCTGTAGTCATCGCCTCCGGCCACACCACCCTCAGTTGCTCCTCCAGCCGCACCTGGCGCACCTCCTGGTGGACCTCGCGTAAAGAACAGATGCACGGCCGTTGCTTCCAGCAGATGATAATGCAATTCATTAATATCCGCCAAGGGCCGGACACAATGCGCGTTCACATATCGCTTATTCCCGAACGCTTTCAATTTACCAAACACCTTGACGTAGCTGTTCTGCTCGACTTTTGTCTTCGACGACTTGTTCTCGTCCGTGTCCATCTCGTCTATGCCAATGGAGGCGGAGTCGGGCCATTGCTTAACTTCGATCTCTCCGGTGCCGTCGTCGATTTTGTACGTGATGTTGACGCTCTGCGTGCTGATATTGCGGACCTGTCCGATGAAGAAGATGCTCGCTGCGTCGGCACCGTCGATGTGGAAATTGGCTTCGGGGTATGGTTGTGTGGCATCAAGAGCTTGTTTAACTGTGACTGGGCGGAGGGTTGGGTTGTTGGCGTCACTCTGCAAGAGGTTGCATGTTAGCTCTACTCCTGTCACGTATATTTGCCATTTCAAGACGAATCATCAAGCGGGATATAATGGTGAATTACCTTCCCCCCCGAAGGACTGTTCAGTTCACCAGGCATGAAACCACCGCCGCCGCCGCCGCCGTAGGAGCTGTATTGATTCCCGTATCCGCCGTCTGTGACGAGTGTTTGTCAGTGATGGAGGTCTAGGAGACGAAAGCTGGAAGAGCTTACTAACCCATGTTTTTTTTTAGTTATATGATAGAAATACGGGAGGCCACCCAAGTGAATATATGTATCGTTTTGTTGTCTGCCTTTTTCCATATGACCATTTCTGGCGAGTTCGTGTTGGACGCGGCGCGTCGCGGGGTCTCGTGAGTTTGCTGTGTTTGCTTGCGAACTTCGATCTGGAGCAGCAGGATCGATCTAGCCGTATTTGGTAATGAAGCCCCTCACCGCCTTGGGAACTTTTTTTGATTCTCTGGATCTGAGATTGAGGATAAGTAATACCATCATGCGCGGTCTCAGCATTGCTAAGATCAGCTTTTCTTGCCCAAAAGAGATATAATTCCTACTCCGAGTCTCTCTCGGAAACTTATCCTTTTTTTGAGCTCCCATTGACGTTCTACGCCTGAACGGCATGGTGTAGGATTACGCCTTGAAATCTCCGCGCAAATTTCCGCCCGCGGACAAATTTACAATCAACTGCAGCGACGAACTTGATCAAAACAGCCACGATGCCTCACCGCGCAGCGTCTCCGGCCATGTCGGAGAATGAGTTCGACATCTCCAAGGCCCTCTTCCAGGGAGACGATTTGGACTGGGAAACCAGCCTGGAGAAAAACGAACGGAAGAAAGCCAAGCCAATCCAGAACCTTGACCTTCTCAGCGGAGCCGGTCTTGAGGACGACGATGAAGATGACGAGGCCTTTATCGCTGCGCATCAGGCGTCAGCAAATCGAAAGTCATCGAATCTCAAGGGCAGGACGGTCAAGAAAGGAGGTGGCTTCCAGGCCATGGGTTTGAATGCTCATCTCTTGAAGGCGATTACTCGTAAAGGATTCTCCGTGCCCACACCCATTCAGCGCAAAACGATCCCCGTGATTTTGGACGACCAAGATGTCGTTGGAATGGCGAGAACAGGTTCCGGTAAAACGGCCGCGTTCGTGATTCCCATGATTGAGAAGTTGAAGAGTCACAGCACCAAGATCGGTGCCAGAGGGTTAATCCTATCACCCTCCCGAGAACTGGCGTTGCAGACTTTGAAGGTTGTTAAGGAGCTTGGACGTGGCACAGATCTCAAGTCGGTGCTTTTGGTTGGTGGAGACAGCTTGGAGGAACAATTCGGTTTCATGGCTGGGAACCCCGATATCGTCATTGCTACCCCGGGTCGATTCTTGCATTTGAAGGTCGAGATGAATTTGGATCTCTCGAGTATCCGATATGTCGTGTTTGATGAAGCCGATAGGCTGTTTGAAATGGGTTTCGCCGCTCAATTGACGGAAATCTTGCACGGACTGCCACCCACTCGCCAGACGCTGCTGTTCTCTGCTACGCTTCCGAAGTCCCTTGTAGAATTTGCCCGCGCCGGTCTGCAGGAGCCCACGCTGATCCGTCTTGATGCTGAGAGCAAGATATCGCCTGACCTTCAGAATGCTTTTTTCTCAGTCAAGTCTGCAGAGAAGGAAGGCGCTCTGATCCACATTCTACAGGAAGTTATCAAGATCCCCACGGGCCCTACGGAGACTTCTCAGCGGTTGAGTGAACAGGCTGCAGATGCAAAGAAGAACCCCAAGAAGAGAAAGCGAATTGAGCTGGAAAAGACCGTCAAACATAATGAATCGCCTACTAAGCATTCTACAATCATTTTTGCGGCTACCAAGCATCACGTCGATTACCTCACCTCCCTGCTCCGTGAGACAGGATGGGCAGTGTCATATGCGTACGGTTCTCTGGATCAGACTGCCCGTAAGATTCAGGTGCAGAACTTCCGCACTGGCATCACGAACATCCTAGTCGTCACAGATGTCGCTGCCAGAGGTATCGATATCCCTGTTCTTGCAAACGTCATCAACTATGACTTCCCATCTCAGCCAAAGATCTTCGTTCACCGTGTTGGTCGAACTGCTCGAGCCGGTCAGAAAGGATGGAGTTATAGTCTTGTTCGGGACTCTGACGCCCCGTATCTGCTTGACCTTCAGCTCTTTCTTGGAAGGAGACTCGTCTTGGGTCGTCAATACGGTGATCAGGTCAACTTTGCCGATGATGTTGTTGTTGGCAGCCTACCCAGAGACATTCTCGCACGGTGCTGTGAATGGGTGACGAAATTGGTCGACGAAAATGTGGATATTGAGTCTCAACGTGGTGTTGCTGCTAAGGGAGAGAAGCTCTACATGCGCACCAGGAACTCTGCTTCCGCTGAAAGTGCGAAAAGAGCCAAGGAGGTGGTAGGTTCGGACAATTGGATGGCTCTCCATCCGTTGTTCAACGACGAGGCGAGCCAGATGGAGATTGAAAGAGAGAAGATGCTCGCCAGAGTTGGCGGCTACCGACCATCGGAGACTATTTTCGAAATTGGCGGCAGACGTGCTGGCAAGAAGGTAGATGATGAATCTGCTGATATGATGAAGAGGATCCGGACAACCCTTGACAAGAAGAAAAAGAATCGCGCCGAAGGCCGTTCTGAGTTCTTGGAAGGCTCATCTACTCAGCTACAGAAGACTGATTCGACTGAGAAAGACGATGGCGATAACGGCTTTTCTGACGAGGATGACGAAGCTACTGGAGAGGTCCCCGATAACATGTCGCTGGCATCTGATTCTGAGCTCGAGGTTACGTTTTCGTCCTACAACGCCTCTGGGAAAGATAAATCGAAAACAAACGTCTCTGCAGCGTCCTTCCAGAATCCGGAGTACTTCATGTCTTACACCCCTGCCAATCATTCACTTGCTGAAGACCGAGCCTACGGTGTCCATTCCGGAACAAACTCGAATTTCGTCCAAGCTTCTCGCACCGTCACCATGGACCTTACAGGAGACGAAGGAGCTGCAGGTTCTGCGGAGCCACGTTCTGGCATGCGCTGGGACAAGCGACACAAGAAGTACGTCTCTCGTCGCAATGACGAAGATGGTTCTAAAGGCACACGTCTTGTCCGCGGTGAGAGTGGAACCAAGATTGCAGCTACCTTCAGAAGTGGACGATTCGACGCCTGGAAGAAGGGCAAACGGATCGGCCGTTTGCCTAGGGTTGGTGAGGCCGAAGCTCCCGGTATGGGTGCTGATCTCAATGCTGCCGGAGGAAAGAGATATAGACACCGCAAGGAGCAGGCTCCCAAGGCGGCCGACCCTCTGCGTGGTGACTACGAGAAGAAAAAGAAGAAGCTTGAGGCAGCCAAGGAGAGGCTGAACGCCGCTCCTGGCGGAGCTGGGCATCGGGCGAAGAATGAGTTGCGCACCAACGAAGACATCCGGAAGGCAAGAAAGCTGAAGGAAAAGAGACGAGAGAAGAACGCCCGGCCATCGAAAAAGAAGAAGTTCTAGTGTCTTTATTAAATTACTGTGATGGGAAAATGTTGTGGGTGTATGTTGATAGATTCTTGCATTGCTCTGATACCCTTACTTCATCTCATCAAGGTATCATCTCGTATAGTATCTTGTATATAAATATATCCGTCAAGCACCTTTACCATGGAATCCTGTAGTGCAGTAATTTGGTGAAGGGAAACTGATATAAAACACACATAAGACCCAAATACCACCCAAGTCTACAGCAATATGACCAATTATTCTCCTACGCGCTCTAGACATAATCCTTCCGGATGCTGAACTACTTAGCGGACAGGAAGACGTTCCAACCTCTGCTTTTTGCAGTTTTTCCGATTGCTCTCCTACTCTACGTCATTCTCCCCCACAGGGACAGGCAATGCGATATGCGGTCATGGACCCGTGACTAGAATATTATCGTGAGGCTCCCGAAAGCTCCATCTTTATGCACAAGTTGCACAACTAAGAGAAACAATTTGGACGCGAAGTGGACCCAGCGGGAAGATCACAGAAACCAGGATAGTTTGAAGTACGTGCAGATAGTTACAGGTAGAGGTAGAGGTACATGTACTGTACATATGAGAGAATTCGTACTTGGTCGCGGGGAGTTGGCGCCAGCATCACATGTACATGTACATGATGTATATGTACAATATATGTGTAATGTATGTATGCATAGAGCAAAAAGATTAAACATACAAGATTTAGGATCTCTTTTCCGCTGGACGATATGCTATCGTCATGCTCTCATTCGTGCATTTGCATGAGTCTGATTTGGAATATAATCAACCTACCACCGTCAAGAGCGCGATACTAGCTGCCTTTCGCTCTGTCATGTTTCCCTTACTTGGCCTGTCCATGACTCTATGCACATGCACCAGCCAATACATGACTGCGGCACGTACATAATACATACATACATACATGCATACCAATTAGAAAAGGACGGGATGGAATGATCGACGCCAGGGTCCCTTCTTGAACTTTGTCCTCTCTTTCCATTTCCAGCAAGAGGATCACATAGGAGCTTTCTTTGCTCACAGACGATACGATACAAGGTCTGGAGAATCCCAGCCTCACTATTGGGATCTTAGGCGCTGCAATGTGACGAGGGGGGAAGGCGGACGCGATCCGTGTCAGATGCGGAATATTCTTTCAACCAACAAGGGTAAAATAGGAGTTTTTTTTACTGGAGCTGTTATATCCAGCAGCGTACCATAAGAGATGATGAGAGAAAATCCGCATCACTTGTGCCCGTCACACGACAATTGGTGAGGAAGCTAGCCTGGGGAGAATTAATACTAGTGATGGCCATAGGGGGTATTCTTCGGGATACGTGGGGGGAGGAAAGGTTGATCATCCATCCGCTAGGTAAATCCATCCCAAATCTTGTCCAATCCTCCTCCAGCCCCCTCCACGGTCCGTCCCGTAGGGAGGACAACAGAAAGTGAGGTCTTTGCCATCTATCTAATCGATGTATAGACTACTAGACTGACCATTGACTGCTAACCTGCTCACTAGGGAAAAGCCAACGTCAAAGCGCGTAGATCGTCAACTCCACCCGTGCAGGACGATCGCGGACAGTGCTCGAGCGTCACGTCTGTGCGTCTGCCAAAGGATGCTCTGGAGAAGATTTCCAAGTTCCAACGTTCTCAATTTTCAGGGCCTCGAACTCGAAGCCGCTCCGCGCGCGCATTTTCCATTTAAGTCTTGACGCTCTATCAAGTGGGACGGTGAGGTGCTGGCGATCGATAGAGCCGGCAATAGGGTTCAATAGTCAGACCCAGCTCGTCGGTCAATACTAGATGGCGGGAGGGCAAATAATCTATCTATCTAGATAGATCATCTCACCGAATAATAATCTCTCACGTTCTGTTTGTCGCCCGTTGTCCGCTTCACCTACGGAATTCCGTCATGGCAGCCATGGATTCGAGGCGTGGTCCATCTGATGTCGATGAACTCTCCTCTCTCCATGGCCGCTAGACTAAGGGCGCCCCTTGTTGGATCTCCGTCGCACGGGCTTCAGCCCGGGGATCACAGCCCTTGGCCATATTATTCACCGCGTCTTTCTCCAGCCAAGACAGCCAGTTGCCGATATGCTTCATGTTCGCCAGCCGTTTTAAGCTGTGGATGATCACCAGCACAGGGATTGTCCTGTAGCTTGCCTCGACAACGGCCCACTCGTCACTCGACGCGGAGGATTGACAGCCAGGAAGTGCGGGCCCTGATTATCGCTCCCAGGATCTCTCTCCCTTTCGACCGTAGAAGGACCAACGAGACACCGCTTCGTGACCCGTTCGACCCAAGAACCCGAGTGGTCTCTTCGATGAGCTGACCGTTTTTCCCGAGGATACTCTGGGTTCCTCCAGCTTTGGGCAGCTGCCGGTCCCCGATGCTGGGACAAGCTCTCATGCATCGTCCGTCGTAGCCGGAGAAGCTCTAGCTATCTATCTATCCGATTGTCGTTGGCGCAATGCTCACAGGATCTCACCACTTGTCCCGTGTACCCTACCATTTTTCATCATCTGAGGCTGAGGCGCAAACCGGATCAGCGCAACGGAAGCAAATCAATTCCCTCGCAGCGAGAACGTCAAATAATCTGCTGTGCTTGCTACTTTCCTGGCACGGTCATCGCCCTGTATAGCATCGAAGGATCACACCGAGTCACTGACCATCTCATCTCATACGCGGATCAACATAATGCCGCGCTCGGAACGCGGTCAAGATCATGGACCCCTGCAACTAGTTCGTCCAGACAACGCGATAGATCGCTGTGCTTCCCGAATAAATGAGCCCAAAAACGGCTGACTTATCCTGAGGCTAACTCCTTGACTGTTCATCGCCATATTACTGGACGACTCCTGCATATTCAGTCACATTGACTGTGAAAATAATAATAAAAAAATTCTACACGAAGAAGTAGCACGAAGAGCTTACCGCATCCGATGCTGTGGTGAGTGTTTACCCTTCGTGCTGGATGCTATGAACTGTGGGCCCTACAGAAGAACCGCGGTACAGGAGTCATAGTGTACCGGATCCGAAGGTCCCATGGGACCTTTAAGTTGCTTAAGATCGATCATATTAGCAGTACTATTATTCCTCCGCAACAGCTGGCACACATAACACAACATCCCTGTTCCCTGCGCAACCTGGAAGGCTGGAACGTATTGGCTGCATTCGCCAAGTCGGAAAGATAATGGTCAGGGGAAAGGGGCAAGACGAAATCCTTTTTACCTGGGAGTCTGGACAAGACAGTAGTATTCGAAAAGGGCTGTTCGGGCGTTCCCAAGGCCCAAGCCATGTGGGCTTGGTCCTGGTCTTGGTGCAAGTGCGACTGATGTTCCTTGGAACTCCTTTTCCAGAATCAGACATGCTGGCGAAGAACATCCTATCGGCACACACCCAGCCGCAGGGACTAACTTAAGCATTTCCAGCCTTAAAAGATCCATGCTCTTAAGATCCTCGATTAATATGTTTCGCCATGGGATGGATCTACATGCAATGTGAATCAAATCCGATGGTAGCGACCCTTGGGGACAGCACTATACTCTAATCTGATATAGAGCAGTCGACGGCGCTGGGCGAAAGAAAAATACACCGGCTTTGGCGGTAAAGAGGCGTCTACGTCCAGGTCTGCGTATCCTGGAGACCAGTAGTGGTGGGATCGAGCAATAAGTAATAATGTCTGATCTAGATGAACCTACTCGCTGGCCATGCCTACTCGCTGGCCATGTCTGGACGTAGCTAGCCGTCACGACAGCAATAGTCTATCCGCTTGGAGAAAGGACCCAAAAATCGGTTGAACCCGTCAATACTGGATGATCCACGGGAGATTTCGAATTTCCCGCGTGGCCTCGACGCAGATCACTAGTGCGCTAAACACTAATCCATGGAAAACCGCCACTCGCTTCGATATCTTCACATCAAGCTGTCTGTCGCTTCTCCTAACTCTGAGAGCCGCACAAAACTACCAACATGGAAGAATCTTGAGGTGTCCTGATCGAGGAACTACTAGTCCCTGACTCTCCTTCGCCATGCTCCGCACCATTGGTTCGCAGACCCGTCACCCACAGAGCGATCACCGGTGCTAGTAATGCTCAGGAACTAGCCAGAACCAGCCGACTACTATCTACAGCTCAGAGCTCTGGATATCCCGTCGAGGAAATGATCGGTAGGCAGGAAATCCTCGACAACCTGGCCTGTCTCCTGGCCGCTCTGTCCCGTAGCTCTGGTGATCCGATGATCGGTTATCAATTGTCCTCCAGGTGTATCCGCTCGTTTCTCGATCACAAGAATACCTTATGACGAGCAAAGCATGCTCAGAACTCTGCAGGAATGCTGTCATGACCGACAGCGGAGTTTCGCCAACGCACTGGACCGCAAACGCTGCGAGCGTCCAGGTCTAATTATGCGGAATCGGGGACGTCACACTAGCAACAGACGTTACCCGTTCAGGCTCGTGGCTGTCGAACTATTGATCCATTTCGACTTCCGCCCGTCCACTACGGAACAACAGATCGTGCTGGCACATCCCACTATTAACTAAGCTGGGCGAACTGCTCAGAGCTATCGGTCGCTCCCTGGAGCTTGCCCCGGGCGTTATCCATCGAGCACGTCTGTTTCGGTTCCACTCCTTTTCTTCCGCGTACGGTCTGTGCAGACCACGGCTCGTAGCAATTGCTCAGGGGATCGTTCGAGAAGGAAACGAGAAACGTTCCGTAGGATGACCATGCGATCTACCTATTCTTCAAAAGTCATATAGCTGAAGGGTGCTAGGGCCAGGGAGATGGACCGTGCAGCCGCTGCAGTGTGCCTTCAATGTTCATGAACCCTCCTTCAATAATGTTGGGGACCCCCGAACAAAACGGCGCATTCCACACAGGCGGGTAGGAGAACGACGAGACAGTGGGGGGTCTTGCATACAAACTGTCCGCCGAGGCGTCCGCGGGAAAGGCACGATTTAACCCTAGGTGGATTGTTTGATGGATTCCGCGCATAAATCCTGGACACTGATTGATTGAGACGTTGGATGGTTTCCAGATAAACTCAGACAACATCATACCAGCATCTTCCCCGGGCAGTAGACTCCTTCGCCGGCCCGAGAGCTGGTCCAGCACTACTGACATGTTTTCGACCAGATCCTTGGACACTCGATGTCATACGGATCTACTCGATGCTAATCGGCTCCAAAAGGAATGCGTGTACGAGCCAAATTACCAGATCCCTTGACCGTCCTTCATCTACGGCACTACCAGCCGAACAGCTCCTTCTGTACTCTTCGGCGTCCCTGGATCTCCGTAGAGTCTGCTCTCCGTTAGCATCATATATCGCTACTAGTGTCCAGTTAATCCGCGCGATGTCCACAACATAACCGCATCGGAGGACCGTGGATCATTTCCTAGAACGAGCTTTGCTAGTTAAGTTTCTGGACTTGGTGCCTGGCAGACTCGGTATCTCTCGCCATCTACTGTGAGTGGGCCACCAAGCTCATCAGCTATATCCGCTATTTACCGGCGGGGCGTTGCGGCTTGAAGACCCGGAGACGGCGGACCACTGATCCACTGCGGGAAAATACTTATGCTCATCTGGCCAGTTGAACTGCCATTGTTGTTGACAGTTGGTCCACGCGCCTTGCTCGAACCTGGCGCCCCAGAACTATTGGACGGAGCATCGTTGAACAAGCTCGCAAATGACAAAAGAAAGAAAAAAAAATGCAATATACTATTCACTTTGTTACTCAAAGGTCTCCTGCCATATGTATAGGTAAAATGACAGAGCTCAGAGAATTAGACTAATTGCTCTCCAAGGCTCATGTATGCACAGGATGGACAACAACGGAGCTATCCCTACCTAGATACGTCAAGTGAAAACAATTCCAACACGCGCGAAGCGGACTAGACTAGGTCCTTGGCCAGGTACCTATTACTGGGAACGGGTCCCTGGCTTTAAGCATGTGTTCGAGTCGTGAACTTCAGGGAACCGGTGTGGAGAGTCGGAAATTCCTCGTTAACGCTTCTTATTTGCTCTTAGCTGTCGCTGCATACTCTATAGGCGCCTCCCCGGAACGAGAGATCGGAAGAGTACAGAGACAGAGACAATAATAATGGACAGACTCCATGAACCCCAGAGCTGGTTTCTGGAACTCCACAATCAGCCTCGAGAAGGCCACTCTCCGCGCGGGAATTCTTCTGTGCTCCTCTCCAGAGTCCCTCACTGCTGGCACGCTTGGATTGACAACTCCCTGTGTCCTTTCTTCCGGCCAACGGACCGTAGCGTTGTCGAACTGGGACGGAATGCATGCTACTCATCCTTGCCGAGGTGAACTATTGAGATTGGACACACCAGACGGGCACCGACGTCGATCTTGTCGTTCGTCTCTGCCTTTTCCTGTCGCGGTTTTTTGATTGGTGTCGACTCAGCTTTTCTGCTGTCGCCGAATCGACAACTCCACAGGCGACATCACCTTTCGGTGTCCAACCTCCCCTCCCCCTCCCAGAATTTGGTAACCCATTCTCGTCGGTGTCACTGACAGCGGCACCCATTCCTAATCGTCCATCTAATGCAAGCCACGGCGCCGGCTCCAGTGGGACTTCCGGAAGGGAAAAAAAAAGCAAGAATCGGCGCCACCCAAGAGCTTTATGGAACCGTCCGTGTGCTGTGAGCTCTATTGAGCCAGTCCATTGTGTTCGGGCCATTATCACGTTAAATTCAATTGAATGCCGGGAATAATTTAGTATTAGATCTGCCACGACTATTGAGATCACGGAAGCCAGAGTCTATCTTCATAGCCCACTCTGCACTGACCACTATACCATTCCATCCCCCCTCATCTGGTTCTAGACACTAAGGAATAGTTCCGCTGAAGGTCCCGAGCCTTGACATGACCTGCAGGCGGAGGTCAGGGTAATATCTCTCGTTTCTCCCAAGACAAATTATGTCTTAAGGTCTCGAAGAGAAGACAGCGGGACCATTCTCACACCGTCGTATTATCGACCTGCTCGAAGCTTTAGGTCCAGATCCTCTCTGGGGAAACTAGTACCCGGCTTTCTTTGTTGTGATTCTTCCTTTTTCTCTTCTTCCAACTTCTCGCTTTATCCCTTTACTCTCAATTCGGAAGTAGAATATCGTCATACCCCGGTTCTGGGCCTCTCTTTGACAGAACCGTTCGACGTGTCATTCCTTGCGCTTTACCTCCTCGAGGCATTGTCGACAGCCATTGAGAAATAAAAAAACAAGAGTCATTGCCCAAATAGGTATGAAGTAGTAACTTATCCCCTAACGCTGGAGATCTCTGCACCATCCTTCCACTCCCCTGGTCTCCTTGCCCCGGTCCTTCGGTGGAGGAAGGTCATCACGCCGTCGAGCAAAAGGCGCCTGGGCTATGTCAGTCCGGCTGTTGATCGATGTGCCTCAATCGTGATTGCCCCTCCCGCCACAATACGTCTTAGACTGACATCTAGAAGCTTTTACTCGTCAAGTGCCTAATTAATCCGATAGTTGAGATCGACACGGCACGGTCAATCATCTGGTGGCCTCCATTCATATACAGCAGCCCTACGTTTAAGTGCCTGCACGTCACCGGCCATGCTGTCCACCGTGCCACCTCTCTGAAGAACCTCACGGAGATTGTTGTTTATTTTTTGAACCCATTCTAACATAAGCTCCGCAAGCAACAGCTCGGAACTTTTGCCTCATGCAATCTCTACTTCTCCCCCATTTGTCCTTTCCTGAGAGAAGGTTCCAAGAAAGCGGTTTGAACGTCGACCCGGGGCGGTTGTCTTTGAACCTGAGCTGGTCAAACAACGCCTGCGGGTCCATCCGGGCTCCTTATCCTTCCCCCCCTATGTCTGGCTCTCCTCTCGCAGACAATCCGTCCGAATCATCCGGAGGAGGTCAAGACCAGAGACAGTCAGAGTCCAACGTACCTACTACGAACCAAGTCTCTAGGTCGATTCCACCGCCTAGTGCTCCTGTGATCGGGGAGCCAGAGGGGCGACGTCTCCAGCATGGACAGCAGCAGGGAGCGTTTACAGAACGACGTGACATGATTCACGACCCGCTACTTGCATCACAAACAACACCATTTGTTGGTGAGAGTTCAGCTTCAGCCGAGACAGCGTACGCAGCAGCAGCAGGCCTTCCCTCGACAGGCAAAAACAGGCCTCTTCCCCCGAGGACTACGAGACGTACAAAGGCCCATGTAGCTTCTGCGTGTGTGAACTGCAAGAGAAAGCATCTGGGCTGTGATTCAGCACGCCCGTGCCGTCGTTGCGTTGTAGCAGGTAAGGCCGTAAGTATCCTGTTCTGATTCTTCTTCGTTGCACAGCGGGATTTGCCGTTTCAGTGTGGAGTCGCATGTTGACAGTTGACGCCAGGCCAGTTGTGTGGATGTCACCCATAAAAAGAGAGGACGACCACCTTTGAAAGCAGAGGAGACTCCTGTCCGACCTTACGCGACCTCGTCTGAAGACCCGTCAGCGTCACGAGACATCTCGCGTTTCTCCCCCTCGAATCGAGCGCATTTCCACAGAAGGACTTCTTCTCGCGAGATCCGCCCGATCACCGACCTACAACTTCCCCAAGCGGGCGATTTAGGAGGGAACCGAATGGGAGGTAGTGGGTTAGGAGCCGCGAGCACTCCAGCACAGAGATGGCCGCCTTCGGTATATCCTTCACCTCAGAGGCTCATTACATCGCCTTCATTACCACAAGGTTTCAGCCAGAGACCGGTATCTGCCGGATCGTCCCAGCACTCGGTAGCAATGCAATCTCCCTTCGTGCATTCTGCGGGGCCTGCGGGTTCAGCAGTGGGTGGTAGACCGAGCCCAGGAAGAGTAGGAGGACAAGTGCTTTCGTCGTCATTCAGCCATCCACTGCTACCAGCTTCGTCACCGCGGCAATATCCACAAGCTTATCCTCCGATCTCACCATATTATGAGCGTCCTCGAACGCCACCGCGGCCGCTCGTGAGTGAACCATCGGCTCTCACGGAATTCCGCGGTCAACACGTCGAGCCTGGACTCCGTTTACCTCCTATTCTTCCGTCCCCAGGCAGGCACTATGGACAACTAGGGCCAGACCCTCGAAGAAGTCATTCTTATCCTACGCCTTGGTCATCCAGGCCGTGGCCTGAACAGCAGCAAGAACAACACATTCAGCCGCGTTCTCTTGAAGTGATGGAACCAATGGCGAGGCACTCTCAATCTTACCAGCCCATCGCGGGCGCCAGTCACCCCGAGCGTGCCATCCGGCAGCCTGCAGGGTCGGCTGTTCCTGCACAACAGTATCCGTCGCAGATGTCACCACCAAGGGCAAGTGCTGAACAGTTGAGAAGAACAGGCGGAAGTGGTGATACGGGCGATGCTAGTCCTCCTGCGAAACGCAGAAGGATGACTCTGGACGACATAGTGAACGACTGAAATTTTTCCCTGTATACAGGGCCTGGATGTGCATGCCATGATGACCTGAAGGACTCCCGGAGTGATATCTCTCGTTGCAACTGACTCGCTAGTAGCTGGATCTACAAGGACTAATTCCTAATCAGTACTCGCTGTTTCCTTTGTTGGGTCGTGTTCCATTGATTTTTTTTTTGTATTCCAGTCATGATACCCCTTTTCGGGAACACGCTCTTGGACGGGTCAAAAAGGATGTCTTTTATATAATATCTCCTTTGTTTGTTTACAGGTTCCGCAGATGCGGTACTGTCCACTCGTTTACGTCCCACCATTTCGTGTGGGCGGTCAATTTCCTTTGCATGATTTCATGGATTACTGTGTGTTGAGAATGTCTCTGTGCTCGCGGCCCCCACCTGTCGTCGATTCGTCCTATCTAATTTTTCCTAAGTCTCCAAAAGGAACGATATGTATATTATGCGCCTCGACGGTTAGACCGTTCCATTGATCCGCTGGGTGGATTCTGCGCTATCAAGATGAAGTTTTCAAGCTCTGTGCTGGTCATTTTCTACTCTTTTCCGACAAAAGACGCCAGAGATATACTACGATACCACCGCCACAATATACCTGGACAAGACCGCATGCAGAATCTGCAGGGTTGCTCTCTGACCATGGTGGGGACCTCGTGGCTATTTCCCGCGACGATACATATATCGTTTTGTGAATGGCATGAGGGCTGGCGACGTGAGACAGGCCAGATGGGTTGCCACAAGCCAGAAAGTCACTAGCATCGTAAGTTTTCCAAAAGATTCTGCCCGCGGAAATAAACATAGACCTGCTTGGCGATAGACGCAACCAAGGGGCCAGACGAACGTCGGGGAGGCCGGTAGCACACAATATATGACCGAGTCGTCGGGTTTGACAGCATCAGCGGCCGGGGTTTCCAGATTGGTTCGTTCGCTACTGAGCAACCTGCAGATTATCATTCAGCTGTCCTCGAAGAGCCACCTTCGGGATTGTCCTGTGTGATCTGATACCTGAGCGATTTCGCCGCAATTGGGCAGAAAGATGTCGAGTCTTGTGACGTAGAGCACTGAGAGCAAATCAGACCTTGTCCTAGGAAGGTGAGATGAGACGCTTGAGTGGAACTTTATGTTATTCGAGAGACAGGTGATTCGACTTGATTTTGACCTAGGCAAGAGCGAAGCCTCTATCTATCTAGATACAGTTCTGGTTGTTATCCACGATCCGAGGAACCGACCTGTCGATCCCGACCCCGGGACCTGGCAGAAGACCGTGACACAAGACTCCGCAGGACTGTTACACACAGGATTGGACGAAAAGATACAATCGGGAGAATCTCATTAATTATTTCTGTATCATGTCACCGTTACACGCGCTAATTCCGCACGGAGAAATCTGACAGCTCGCATGCCATGTACGGGGTTGGAAAGCAGCAGTAAGTCAGCCTTTCTTGTGCTATCGCAGCAGTACGCAAGGCTCTGGAGACGATGCGTTACAGGAGTACAAAGTTCACTCCAGCCATGTTGCAACCACCAACGTGACTAGACCAAGCGAACGGTTCAATGATACCCGCATTGTATGCGTGCTACTTATCAGGATATTTGTCCGGTATACGAAGTACTCCGTACCCGTACATGGTTCGGGAGTCCCACAAAGCCTCGCTCTGCGCGAAGCTGCGATAGAGGAATCAAGTTATCAACAGACTCAATTTAAACTAGAATCAGTGCTCCACATGGTAATTGGCGCGTTTCAAGACTTAAGACACATGTTGTCGGGTAGATCTCCCGAGGCTCCGTCACATTATGATCGTCCGATATGCGGCCCCTGATTCAGATTCGGTCGAACAAGTAATAACGCTTCAAATGGTATGATTCGCGAAGTACGGATAAGATGAAAGGGAAGATCCACCGAAGCGTTCGAAAGTTCGCCGTGAAACATCTTCCACAGCGATCTGGAATGGTTTCTCGGCGTCTAGATAGTCCCCACGGCCGCCTCGACTATCTAAACTACATCCAACAAAATCCCTGCAGAATAGAAGGTATGGGTTACGTCAAGCCACGAGATCCTCGTAGCATAGTCTAATAATAAGGCTCCCTCGAGTTTCCGACTGCGAGACATCCGTCCATTGTAATGTAACTACGGAGTAATCCGTTACAGAGCCGCAGGGAGAGACTCGGGTGACCTTGCACATCATGTGCCAGATCGTGAACTGCTCGCGCGATGTCACGGTATGCTGAGACTTATCGTATTAATAATAGATAGTATATGTATGCTGATGTGGTCCCAGCACAACATGTGTTCCTCACTGCGATACAGGTTAGACTTACCGGGGGATGGAACTTTACATTAATAGATGAGCACACAAGAGCGTACAGAGCCGCTCCTACATGCTCGGGTGATTCTATTCATAAGCACGAAACCATCTCACCTGCGAGTTAGATCTCTTACTTTTACCGCTTATCCGAACAGCGGGAAGTGCATTTTTTGTTCCATATTACACAAGAGAAAAACGCATCGGTCCCCAAAAGTAGTAAAAAAATTCTCATTCCATTCAAAGACACCCAGGAAGTCAGACGACTATACGGACATAATCAATAGATCCCACTATGTTGCTTCGGGACAAAGCAAGGGACGGCAGAAGAGAAAACAAAACCAGCCGAGCAACATGCAACAGTTAATACCTGAATGAAGTCAACAGAAAACTTCCAGAAAAAAATGCCGATCTCTCAAGATCTCAACTGCATGTTCCATTCTGTCCGGGGAGACCGGAGAGTAAGTATGTTAGTTAGCTGGGCCTGCCTGGATGAGGGCATCACGATCTAGACCAGAACGAAAACAAGATAAAAAAATTAGGCTAGATAAAAACAAAACCAAAAAAAGAAAGCGTAACTTACTTAGTCCCCCTGGTCCATGCTTATTTTTACCTTTTTTCCCTTCCTTCTCTTGCGTTCTTCTAACCTTCTGACCTTTTTCCTTTTTCGCGCTGTTCCTCCGATCGGACATAATACTCAATTCGATATAGATTCGTCGATCATTTTGAACCGGCAACTTCCGCCAGAAAAGCGCACTCTAGATACCCCTCTCTCAAAACTTAATTGTCCCCAGGGGTGTTCTAGAAAAAAAAAGGCTTCGGATTCGAGAAAATCACGAGTCAGATAAGGAATATTTTTGGGCCTGTAGGCCAGGCGGATATCGCCTGCCTCCTTCCGCTTTAGGTCTAGTGCTTCGCACAGAGAGTTTAGATAGCTTAGATAGCTTAGAGCTTCAGAGCTCGATCTTAGGAGAATCAAGCATCTTCATCTCCAAGCTTCGCGTGCCCGAGAAATATTTTTAGTGCGTAGTCTAACTACTCTGTCATGGAAGGATTATATAATTAGATATCTAGAGCCGCCATCCATACACATTCTCGATCATCATGTATGCATAACCGGGATACCTTGAATCTCGATTATATCGAATCATAACGTGCTGATTTCACAATTGCACAACTTATGTTCTATTATTAACTACTACTATCTCCGTTCGGAGTCCACGCACGCTTGCTTTAATAATATACCGTACACGGTACATATGTACACGCCGTGCTCTCATGCATGTATGTATGATTTACATGTAACTAGAGTACTAACTATTAGTTAACTAGTAGATAGATCCAGATATGCCATCCGCCGTTGCATATCTATTCCGATACGGTACGACGCGACATCGTACGGCCACGCAGTGCGACCTCGTCACATGTTTCGGAGTCTCCGCGCCTCGGGAGTTGAGGCTATCTAGGTATTCTCGAGGTCTGAGATTTTGAGAGTTTGATGAGGAGAGCATGTGAAGAGAAATATTGATTTTTCTTTTCTTTCCTGCATCTACTATCCTCGAGAGGTCGTATAGTGGTGTTCTTGTTCCGATTTCTATTTGTTTGATTTCTGTCTAGTTTGATATGATTACTTAGGTCTCTTTGCTTCGCTATGCGTGCTGCAGGCTGTGGGTTTGTAGCTATACTGGCGGTTTTTATAGAAAGTGGCTCCAGCCCGATTGCTCTTCGGCCTCTAATTTTGATCCATCAGACACAATTTTTTTTTTTCTTTTTTTTTTTTTTTTTTTTTTTTCATATACGGCTTAGTGGGTGTTCGTTCTGCAACGAGATATTAGGGACTGCTAAGGTAATGCATGGTTCAAGAAGCTCTTTCTCCTATACTCGGGTCAGATAGAGTCAGTCCTAAAAAACAGAAATCCTTCATGACAGTCGACCATGACCGTACAAAGCCCACAACTGCATACTTCACTATGGTCAAGGTTCTCATTGCTGATAGTAATAAAAAAGGTCATTAGAAAAGCTGTAGTGAAAGAAGGGTGCAAAACTGGAAAGGCCTTTTCCTTTCCCGCAGCGATAATGGAGCCGTGAAAGGATACCGATTCCCTATGCAGAGATAATTATGAATAATCCAGATGTGAAGGATTGCTTGTGGAGATAGCAAAGGCTTGATTATCCATATTCATGCATAAATAGGTGATAGAGCCAGGTAGTTTCAGATAGCTCAGCATCTTCCTTTGCTTCCGTGGCCAGATCTTTGTCATATTTCACTTGCCTCTGATTCCCTGAAATCCAAACTGTAGGGAATTGCCATCTTTTTTTTTTTTTTAATTTCTATACTTCACGCCTCTCTTATTCCCTTCTTCTTCCCCGCTTTATTCTCCAAAGTCGTTGATATTTAATACCCTTGGCTTCCCCCCTCCCTCTCTCTCTCTTCTCATTCCTCCTCTCTATAATCTCCAGCTATAGAGAATAGGGGAGGCCCTCACGGCCCTACCTTATTTGAAATAGCTACAAAGGTATATATAAAGCCATGCCTCAATAGCGCCATCCTTATAGACTGTTTCCTCTCCACTCCACATCAATATAATTGACAAACCACCTGCGGTGATCGATTTTTTTCCAGGAACTTAGGCAATAACCTAAGCTGGTACAATAAGCAATGGAATGTTCCTCCAGATCTCTTCGCACAGAATATAACAGGAAACGTCTTCAACAACATCGACGTGGAAGAGTTGCCTCCCACACCACGGGTTCCAAACCTTCAGATGGTCTGTGGGACTGTATACTATGGAGAAGAAGAAAAATGACTTGGAGCACGCCGAAGTCAATATTGAGAAAGAGATAAATGACTTGAAATATAGTAAAGTCGAACACGAAGAGTTCCAAGAACATAATATACTGATCTCTAAGCTCAGGATGGATCGTGAGAAGTTATGGGCAATTCGAGAAAGAATTGATACATTCATTCAAAACGGACCATTTGAAAACACATCCGATGGAGCTTCTAAGTGCCGGGTCAAGAAAGCGAACTGGCTTTCATATCAAGGGCATGCAGTAACGGATGCTCTGATGTTTGCAGAAAGAAGGCGGAAAAGGTTCCTCTTGGCTTTCAATTATCTGGTGATTTGCAAAATCGGGTATTGCTCCAAGGCCACAGTAAGAGATTCTATGATAACCACTTTAGAGGTGCTTTCTGACTAATTTCCAACTGCTCAGAAGAGATATAGCGCCACAGACAATCTACGAACGCATATAGAGATACACGAAGGATCCCACTTCCTAAAACCGAAATCACGACAATGCATCAACCTCCAAAATAAGACACAGCCTCGGCGTCTGGAATCTGCGGGATATATCCTCAAATTGGCTGGTTGGGCATATTTTAGAAATCCAAATCCAGTAAACAAGCAGATTCATACTGCAATCCGCTATGCTATATATGGCAACCGTGATTATAATATACCTACTCGGCCCAAGTGGTCAAGAACATGGCAAAGTCTCTGCCAGGCATACTCAAGGTACGAGACTCGACTGCGGCGAAGGCGGGCACCCTGCGCACCTTCCATTTTCACTGTTGATTATGACCAATGCTGTTATCTGGAAGCAGGATCTGAATTGCTTGCTTGACTCTAGGTCTAGGGGGGATTTGATCCCAGATTTATCTCTAGTATACAAAGAATCTAGATCCTAGTAATCTAGTAATCCAGAAGGTTCGATCCAATTCCATGCGGGAACTTGGTGTAACAGATGATTGCAGATCACCTGACGTTTGCTTTATACGCCGACACACCTCTTGAGCTGACAGTCATCTAGCTCAGTGGTCTTTCCAAGACAGGAAAATCTGAAGCTATCCGGGGCTTGGCTTAGCGCGTTCTGCCTCATCCAAAAACCTATCTTTAATGAGCATATCTAGCTCATTCGCTCAATCCCAAATTGAAAACATGAAGCCTTTCCTCCCTATCACATGAGTCCATTCTAGCGATCTCCATCCGACCGCCTAGTCCGTAGCATTCGCTCTAACTTCTGATCCTTCTTGGATAATCATAACTCGATATGGTTGGCTTGCGTCGCTGGTATCTGTCGGTTGATCTCTGGTGCTCATCAGTGGGTATACTATCATTATCGTCGATCATCGATCTCTCATGGATCCTTCGGCGTCTTTGCGCAACTGATTCGTACGAAGGTGGTGTCATATTGGCTTCTCGTAGCATGGCACTCTTGGCCGCTCGTCTGGCTATCTTAGCCGCTCGTTCGGGTTGAGGATGTTGATCACAAGGTAACAGAGGTAGGGCAACGAATAAGGAAGGATAAGACTTAACGTGCTTCGACAGAGGTCTTGGTTTGAATACCAGAATGCTCAAGCGTGAGTCTCCGGGCTCATAACCTGTAGAGATCTAAGATCACGGAAGCAGAGACTTAGAAAAAGCATATGACACGGGAATGTATATTGGATCGCTTAGAGAACTAAAGGATACCGGAATCTATCAGCTATGTGTGCTCGTGGACTTCATCATGAATACCCGCTGACTGGAGCACTGCCTCCGCCCCTGATCACAAGCAATTGCCTATTCCGGCGTGTCTCCTTTGATCCTATATTGGTGGCTTTAGGTGGCTTTAGGTGGCTTCACGTTGCTTATCCTACCTCTCTTTCAGCAGAGTAGTACAAGCCGTTTGCAGCTCGCCTCCGAATAAGCAGTGAGCACCGACAGCTTGTAGCTATGCTGGCGGTTTTCATACCGAAAGTATGAAAGTGACTCCAGCCCGATTGCTCTTGGGCCTCTAATCTTGATCCAACCAATTTTCATTAGATGCCGCTCCGCGATATAGGTAAGATTTAGAGCCTTATGAAAACATCTAGTCATCCAGGTTCTAGTATGCCGTTTCGTAATTACCCACGTTTTATCAGTCCATAAGATATTATACTACTGCTAGATAATATAGACGGGCATCCGGGAGGTTTTTGCGGAGTAGAGGGTTCCAGCTGGCAGGTAAATGAACTTAGCGTAGGTATAGTAATACCAAGCTCACGGGATATTTGCTTATAAGTATAGCCCGGTCTTGGCATTAATTGAACATTGCGGCGTTGACCGCGGGTCAGATGGGAAGCGCAAGGGGCGTGTTCCTTTAAGCTTGAATCCTCGAGTAGATATTCAAATGGGACCAAAAACCGATTAGGAGCGGGGGTAGTAGGAGCAATAGTCAGATCAGCAGCAGGAGCAGCAGCAGTAGTAGTAGGATTCATATTGAATAAAGAATAGTAGGATAGTCGGGTGAGGTATTCAGCTTGGTGGTAGGTAGGAGAACGAGAGCTCAGGTTAGCTTTGCCGAAGATCTACGTAGCAGATTCGATTGTGTTCCTCTTAGAAGGGAAGGCGCTGAACCGCCCGAGCCGCACTGAACTACTAACGATGCTTGGGAAACAAAACCACTCATATGTGGAATAATGGCTGCCTACCTACGCACTGCAAAGTTGGCTCTTGGCGCAGCTTAGCCAGAAGCTCAAAGACGCAGCAAACTTTTGGGCGTTTATGTTCTTTATTCTCTCGCTGGCTTATGCTAGTCTCTTGTTTCTTTGTGGGGTAAAGTGGTAGGTACAACGAGAAGCCACCTTGATCCACCAATATAGGATCAAAGCAAACATGTCGGAATCAGCAAACGCTCTGAAACAGTGTCAAAGGCAGTGATCTAGGCGGCAGAATTCAGGACAGAATCTATAGGCATAAATAGCTGAGAGATTCCAGTGTAATCTAATTCTTCAAGCAATCAAGATCCTATTCTCGTATCAAACGCTCTTCCGATATCTTTGCTTCCGTGGTCCCAGATTCTCACAATCTGGCCGTCCCAGATAACTCAGCATCTTCCTTTGTTTCCGTGTCCAAATCTTGATCTATTTATTCCACTTACCTCTGATTCCCTGAAATCCCAACTGTAGGGAATTGCCATCTCTTTCCCCTTCCAATACTTCACTTTCTCTTGTTCCCTTCTTCCTCGCTTCATTATCCAAAGCCGTTGCTTTAAAACCTTTGCTCGACCCCTCCCTCTCTCTTCCCATTCCTCCCCTCTCCTATCTTATGGACCGTGAACTCCCCACTTCCACATCAACATAATGGACAAACCACCTGCGGTGATCGATTTTTCCCAAGAACTCAGACATAACCTAAACTGGTACAACATGCAATGGAATGTTCCTCCAGATCTCTTCACGAAAAACAGGAAACGTCTTCAACAACATCGAGGTGGAAGACCCACCCTCCACGGCTTCCAAGCTTTCAGTGAAGAGATGGTCTGTGGGATCACTTACGGGGGTCCAGACCTTTCTGGAAGGCTACTCATTCCTTCTACCCCGGATGCTACTTTGAGATTCTCAATCCGCGGCGGGACCGAGATTCCTCATTTTCACTTATCATTTCAACTGAAACACCCGAATGACGAAAGGCGTAATCTCTCTTTCTCCTTGGTTTGGACAGCTTGGAATCCTCAGGGCTTTGATAACAAGAGAAACCCAGCTACGAAGGAATCACCCAACCCGTCAATTTCATTTTCTTCAAGGCTGACCAGTGTGACCTTTGAGTCCGTACAGCACATAGCTCAAAGTGCCCAAGCATGTCAAGCGCAAATAAATGGGGATTGCCATCAGATCCGCTGGTTCCATTACGCCCCTCCCATATGCTACGGTTTCGACGTGCCAGAGACGGCACTATCTGGATTTCACGAAAGCCAAATAGGAGCTCTGAACCGCCTGAGAGATCTTACTCGAAGCGAGAGATCTGTCCATGTGAGGACACGAGGTCGTGCTGGGTTGTACGACAATTGGAGATTGATGTCTGCAATGCCCCAGAGGACGCCGCCCCCGTATCCTCTCTACGACTGCACGTACGAGGTGCACACGGGGGAATTTGGAGTGATCCGAGACATCCCCACGTTGGCAGATAATAACATCCAACTCCACCATCGCAGGCGACAAATTGGCTGGCCAAACCAACCACCTAAATTCGATACTCCACAACAGATACTCAGTTTTACACCGCAGGCTCCTCTTACATTCATCAACGAGAGGGAGTATGAAGCTATCAAAACAATCGGCCTTCTTCGAGAGGCTAACTGTCAACAACGAAACTACGTCAAAACATTCAATCGTTATTACGAATTCGATCTATGGCCAGTTTCCTTGGTCCACGGAACCCAAACGCCTGCCATAGATGAATATTTCTATGGAGTTCTGGGAGTTAATGTCACCAGTGACTCTGCGGATGATGAACAGGTGCTTCCTCTCCCGGAACCAGGGACCCCGGTTGTTATCGCAGAAGGAAGACGTGCATCCCAACTTCAGAAACCCAGCTTATCAAATGTTCAAGTGAGCGATAAGAACAGGTGGACTGGAGTCGTGGTAGCATCCCCGAAGGTTCCGGATGATATAAAGCTACCAGCGAATATGATATGTATCAGAATAAGACAGCCTCAGCGTCTGGAATCTGCGGGGCGTATCCTCAAACTGGCTGGTTGGGCGACTTTTGGGAATCCAAATCCGGTATACAAGCAGATTCGTACTGCAATCCGCTATGCTATGTATGGCAACCGTGATTACAATATACCCAGGGACAACAAACTCAAGAGGTTGCTACTCGGTCATGATAATAAAGTTATCAAGCTTTATCCACGTGAGGGACATCTTGACCAGTCGGCCGACGCTGTCTTGCACGAAATTACTCGGAAATGGAATCCTCAACAAGTCGACGCAATTCGCTCAGCTCTCACCATAGGGGATTCCTATCGCAGTTTCATGACACTGATCACCGGTCCTCCTGGGACCGGAAAGACAACAGTATCAGAGGGGATCGCTCGGTACTGCTACCAAAAAGGACATCCTCTTCTTATCGTCTGTGGCTCAAACTTCGGGTTAGATGTCATAGCCAGACGAATTACCCTCAGATTTCCAAACAGCCAGCCGCCGCTCGAAACATCGCGTATCTATAGGCTGGGTACCGATTTTCACGAAACGAGCGAAATGCAGATGGCGCCAGGAGCACTGAATCAATCGTCCCTTGGAAGCGCAGAGTTCGATGCTGCGCATATGGAATTACTCCAGCTCGGCATCCAGCCAGAGCTACTTAAGGTTATCAAGCAGTCAGTACAGGATATGGTCAGTGCGTCTAGCGACTTTTCACTCGGTTCGAGAATCATCTCCAGAATGGAACGGGCGGCACAACTCGGCTCCAATTGGCCACAGACAACGAATGAAGAACGTGATGAGATGACATTAATCTGGAACTACTTCACATGGCAGAAATGTCTGTTGAGAGAGGGCATAGCGTTCGCTGAGCCGGTGAGTGCCAGTGGCGAGGCAGACCCGATAAGGGCAGGTGCTGGTACAGATAGGTCAGAAGAGGATGTCCAGCCTCTCCACGCGAGTTTCGTGCAGCAGCTTCGGCGAGCTTGGACAGACCTCCAAGAATTCTACCTTGGGCATGCGAAGATAATTCTATGCACGGCGTCAACCGCTAGCCGCAAGTCGCTACGTGGCTTCAGGCCGGAATTTGTTCTCGTTGAAGAGGCATCACAGATGCCAGAGAGCACCTGCCTCAACGCCATCTCGCGTTATATTTCAAACCTCAAAAAAGTTATCCTGAGCGGTGACATCGCGCAATTGCCGCCGACTGTCACATCCTTGCACATGAACGAAGCCTACTCTTCCGAGAAGGTGTCGTTATTCCAAAGGATGCTTCAGTCGGGGGTACCTGACGTTCAATTGGCAGTCCAGTATCGCATGCATCCCCATATTGCAGACTTCGTCAGTGCGGAGTATTATGAACAGAAACTGGTCAACAACCCTTCCTACAAGCAGGGCAAGCTGTCCGACACATTCTCGAACTACATGGTACAACGCTATCATTGTTATGCCGGTGCTTCGTTCTTCGTTTCGGTTGAGAATTCAACAGTCTTCAGAAGACGAAATGGAACATCTCTCTTCAATCCTGAATATGTGAGTTTCATCGGAGAATGGGTCGCTTGGTTCTGTGGGTTAGGTTGTCCGCAACAGTACATCCTAATATTATCATTTTACAGCGATGAACGGCGCATATTGGCAGACCTGATGCGCAAACTGGGCTTCAAGGATGTCAAAATCAGCAGTGTTGACGCCTCCCAAGGGGATGAGTCAGAGATAGTAATTCTATCCACAACTCGGCCTGGAGGCCGTTACGGGCTGGGGTTCGTCCAGGACCGCCAACGGCAGTGTGTCGCGCTCAGTCGTGCACGCAATGGTCTGATCGTGGTTGGTGATGAGAGGATGCATGAAACAGGCAAGCCGGGTGCTGGACAGGGCTTTTTGGCATGGAGAAATGTTGTCGATTACCACCGCCAGAGTGGACGACTTATCAAAGTCATGGGAAGTAGCACTTTGGTCGAACAGAACCTTGGCGTCCCAAATGATGACTATGATCATGCGATCTCCCGGGTTCCTACATAACTGCTAGTGTACTGGGGTGAGTTATTCCGCCCGAAAGAAAGGGGGAAAAAATGAAAAAAGAAAAAGAAAAAAAAAATCCAAAATGGGGAGATGAGGGAAAGGACTTGGTTTTCGGCTTTCGGGTTTCAGCTTTCGGGTTTCAGCTTTCGGGTCTGTTCCATCATTCTTATGCGAGAAACTAGAGAGAGGAAGGTGCGACAGAATGGATTTTAGAAAAGGTTAGAACAATGGCAGTCAAGTTCAACCATGTTTCTTAAATATTATCATGAATCGGAACAATTTGCGCCATGTAGTGAGCGTATAATCGAAGAACTGTCGTATGATTCTCAGCCCCAGTATCCATCCTAGTCTGCTAGACTATGTATAAAATCTAACAGCATTCTGTTATATCAACATAGTTGTCCTTTGCCAGGTTAGCTTTCTGTATATACAGCTGTACCAATACACGCGTGTTATCCAGAATTCTTTCTATTACCTCCACAAAACCCCCATCAACTCAAATAAAACTAGGTCCATTATTCGAGAAACGAACTGAAGGGAAGAAGAATTATATGTAGGGCCGTGCATATCATTATAAAAATATTGAGCTGGGCTTCACATTATGAACGTAATATTGTAGCTTCACATTATGAACGTAATATTGTATTGTTGTTAACATTGAAGCAGCGCGTTCAGCCGGCATGGTGAGCTTTAGTAGTTCAAGTAAGGAAGGTCTCTCGGGTCTGCTCGCAATATGCTCCCTTCTAATAATGATGACAATAGTGATGATGAAATAATAGTATTGTGCCTAACTCACCCGTGAAGAGGAGGCATCCGCATTTCGACATTTCGAGCATCCATATCGCGCAAGTTATAAGAATGCCCAAAAGGCCTCTCTCTCAGACAATTAAATAAAGTGCTTTATATCATATTTGTACTAGCGAGCCATCCGTAACAAGCTGTCTACGAAACATAATAGCAATAGAGGCTACATCTAACTGGTAGCAGCCGGGAGGTAATGGAGGTAATGGAGGTAATGTATATTAGAACAATAAAAATTCGGCTGCGTCTGCCGCACTGCGGAACTGTTCGCCTCCTTCCTGGAGATAGATTCTCCTGCGCCAGGAACATCCACCGTCCCTCCAAGAAGATAAAAGAGAGAGTGCAGTCTCTCCGACGCACCGTCTCACTTAGCTCGTGTCCCTGGAATTGGATTACGGTGTCCACCGTCTGAAGTTAACTGTCAGCAACAGCATTAGCTATATTTTGCGACGGAAAATCTAGCTGAATTCACTCCTACTAACGTCCAACTATTTCATCATAAGTTATACTCGTAAGCTCTGACGGTATACGGGTTCAGCTTCCAGTTACTCCAGAGATAGTGCGCCGCATTGATGATACTATTGAAGCCCTCCATCCCAGATAGAGATAACCGGGTTAGTCGAGCAAACTCGACCTATGTAAGACGGCTTACTTGTTTTCGCTGGTGTTTCGCCAGTGATCCACAATAGAGACCGCCACCTTTTTTTCCACAAGTAAAGATCTAGGTAAACATGCTTGACTGAATGTCTTGCCTATGGAAAGTCGGAAGTATGTTGTTCCGCAGGCCAGATGGGGAACTCCGGAGGCAAGCTGCTCTCAGACAGTCCAAGTGAAGCAGCTTCCAACTGATGCGACAACGCTCTTTTCACTTCTCTTATCTTTTGGAAGGCTTGTCGTATTCTGGAAGCCGTACTATGTCAAACAAAAGGATCGAGCAGTGGGAGGTCGAGCGGTACTGGGAGATCTTCTCGTCGCTCTCCAATGGCCAGCCGCATCTGAACAACTCGCAGGCCGCCTCCGTGCTGAGGAACAGTCGGCTTCGCGATGACCAGCTGGAGAAGGTGTGGGATCTGGCAGATTTGGACGGAGATGGCGAGCTGGATTTTGAAGAGTTCTGTGTCGCCATGAGACTGATCTTCGATCTGGTCAATGGGGTATGCTGTCATCGGGGGGTTCTCCTAAGACGTTCCGTCGCGGGGTGGATAATAAATGCGGAACGGCGTCGCTAACTATCGGCATTGAACAGGAATATCAAGAAGTGCCACATACACTGCCAGACTGGCTTGTTCCGGAATCGAAAGCACACCTTGCCCAGGCCAACCGCGTATTGTCCGGAGGTCAGGAGCAGTTCGAGCGGATAGAAGATGAGGACGAAACCGCCGGACTGAAAGATGGCTTCGATTGGTATATGAGTCCGCCAGATAAGGCGAAATATGAAGAGATCTATTCTGCCAACAAGAACCACCGTGGAGAGATAACCTGTACGTTGCGATCAGAGGCGTCGTTTCCCCTGAGAATTAGAATGCTGATCCTCCATAGTCGAGTCCCTACAGCCCCTCTACGATTCCCTCGATGTTCCAGACACCGATGTCCGTTCAGCATGGAACCTTGTCAACCCCTCTGCTCTACCTTCTATCAACAAGGACGCCACACTTGCGTTTCTGCATATTCTCAACAACAGACATGAGGGCTACCGCATCCCGCGCACCATCCCCGCATCTCTCCGCTCGTCATTCGAGTCCAACAAGATCGACTATCAGCTCGACAACATTCGCCCAGCGCAGAGATGGGGCACAGATGGCGATGTTGAAACGAGTACTGGACGCAAAACCAAGTTCGGCGATACATATCTTAGCCGGCTAGGTGTCGGCGGCAGAACAACCTACCAGCCTAAGGGAACAGATTTTAGTGACACCATCCAGGACGAGGAATGGGAGAAGGTCCGTCTGCGACGAGAGCTGGCAGAGTTGGAATCCAAGCTCGAGGCAGCCAATAAAGCAGCCGATGAGAGACGAGACCGCAGCCGCCCCAGAAACGACGGCAGGCCCAACTGGGTACTGATCAAGAAAGAGGCGCTGCAGCTTCTGGAATATAAAGAGCGTCAACTCCGGGAACTGAGGGAAGGCGGTAGTTCTCTCAAAGAAGGACAGGATCTCGAACGGCTCCGGGAGGATGTCAAGACCGTCGGTGAACAGGTCGACGGACTCAAAGCTCACCTTGCCCGGCGCAACGATGTTCTGGCAGATCTCCGAAGACAGATCGAGGAGGAGAAAGTCAACCGATAGCGTGCAAGCGTGAAATGTAAATTCAGTGTCCCTCCATGTTCTTATCCTACATCTCCTGTTCACCTTGACTGTTTGGCGGGCATCTGTTCTTTACGGGTCTCTTTTCCTATCTCTTTTCCTTACATTCTAACTACCCCTGTTTGCAAGCCATCTCATTGGCGAGGTGCTCACGGCGCAATGAAAGTCCTTGGCTACAGGAGGACCGGCGTCGATGCTGACTGCGTACGCGATTGTCGGCGGAATTGTCTTCGTGACGATGCTGAGTTTGGCGGAAATGGCAGCCTTTGTTCCTATTGCTGGGTCCTTTTGTAAATACCCTCCTCAATATTCAAGTAAGACTATATACATGTGCAAAAATTATTAAAGGCTTTCGTATACGAATGAGGAGTATCTTTACTATGTGACTCAACTGCGGCAAAGGCGGGCAGCCTGCGCACCTTCCATTTTCACTGTTGATATTCACCAATGCTCTCACCGGGGTGACTGAGCCCAATCACTACTTAAGACTCCTCCTCCCCCCCTCTTCTCCTCTTTCTTTTTCCTCCTCTTTTCTCCCCAGCTCATCAGTCTTCTCATCTACCCACATCCAAGAGAGCCAGCAGCTGGCCTCTGAGAGGCAGCTCCAACCCCTCTCATCCATCCTCTTCTCTCTCCTCTCTGGCTGGTCTCAGTTGTGAGTGTCTGTGGCTGCTCTTTGTTTTGGCAGCTAGCCTCAGTGAGGCAGCTCGCTTCCCTTCATCAACCGAGTCCCTTCATCAACTGAGTCCCATTTCATCAACTGAGTCTGCTTCATCGAGTAAGTCCCCTTCATCCACTGAGTCCCCTTCATCGAGTGACCCTTCATCGAATGACCCTTCATCGACTGAATCACCTTCGTCCACTGAGTCACCTTCATCCACTGCAAGACCGTCCACTGATGTTCCTTAGCTGGTATCAGCCAGCCTCAGCGAGGTGGCTCCTCTACCCCCTCTTATTGACTGCGAGATCTTCCGTTGCTGTTCCTGAGCTGGTATTAGCCAGCCTCGGAGAGGCGGCTCCTCAACCCCTCTCATTGACTGCACGATCTTCCGTTGCTTTTCCTGAGCTGGTATTAGCCAGCCTCGGAGAGGCGGCTCCTCAAACCCTCTCATTGACTGCACGATCTTCCGTTGCTTTTCCTGAGCTGGTATTAGCCAGCCTCGGAGAGGCGGCTCCTCAAACCCTCTCATTGACTGCACGATCTTCCGTTGCTGTTCCTGAGCTGGTATTAGCCAGCCTCAGAGAGGCGGCTCCCCAAAAAACACCTGGATTACATAATCAATACGAAGAAGCGCTGTCACCTTGAACATCCGTCGCCTTGAACATCTCTCACATCAAACATCTCTCTCTCACCTTGAATATCTGTCACCTTAAACATCCGGCGCCTTGGACATCCCTCACCTTCAACATCTTGTATCATGACTGTTGGCACACCACCCGTTGCAGAGTTGAATAACTCTGCCCAGACTTGGTTCTATCAAATTAAGAGCGATATACGGGCAGCAAGTGAATCGGTGGAGTTGAGATACGAGAATATCTCAGAAGACAAGGGAGCCTTACTAGTTGATTCGCTCTCAGAGGACTCAGACGTTGAAAGATACCGCCCGCGGTAAGATTACAACCAGAAACAGGAAAGATATATACCTTGTTTAACTTAACTAATGTTGCTTATTAGATTCAGTTACAACTCGTTTGTAAAGGCTCTGAACGTGTTAGTAATGCCGACTGAGGTGCACGATGTGCACCAACACTGGATCTCTTCAGAAAAACTGGATATGGTTCTTGGCGGTTTCTTGACTGCCGCAGAGGGTCACGCTTTAACACTCGGAGTTGGTACAAGTAGGCTAATATCCCCTTGATTTGATACGTATATTTGCTAATAGTGGATAGCCATCAACCATCTCAATGGACCATACACCGGTTCACGTAAGGATCCCGACATGCTCATACGGCATGAACTTGAACCACTGCCAAGCATCGCGATAGAGTCCGGGTGGGCAGAATCACTGCCCCGCCTCCACGCGGATATGCGGCTGTGGCTTGTGGGCGGAGAGCCAGATGTCCAGCTTGTCATCATCCTCCGCTGGTCCAAGATCTCAGGCACACCCATCCAACGCGTCAAAGGAAAATATGAGATTTGGGAGCGAGATACCGCTAATACGCCATATTGCAAGGATAGTGGGGTAAGTTATTATTCCAGTGGATACTTAAGAACCAGAAAACTAAGTAAAGAAATAATCATAGGCTATCTTTCCTCCTCCACCGGCGAATCTCGGTCCCCAAGTAATACCCATTACTCGCGCCCAACTCTTCGGACCGGCGCATATATTTCCTGGGCAGAATGGCACGGATATATGGAATCTCCGCGTTGACCTACTGAGGACTTGGGCCAGCAAGGCCATCAATCGAATGGGTTACATACCGGCGTGACTGTCATCTTTTCACTTTTTGCCTGAAGATAGTTTGTGTATTATTATTAGCTGCCGCCAAATTGAAATTTGACTAGTAACAGACCCTTTTCACAATCTGCTCTACAGTATGAGATAGCCAATTGTCTTGTTCTTCCTTGGCCAATCAGCGATATCGGATCCCTCCCGAAGACACCTCACCGCCTAGAAGAAGCCACCAATGAACTTGTCATCTTTGAGCAAAATTGAGATTTCTACTTCAACTAGAACAATAACCAGCCTGCTTTTCTGGCGCGAATGACCTCACGCAAATAGCGAAAACAGTAGTGTACATACACATGCATCCCATACATAGTGTAACCTGCCAACGTCCTGAAAAAGAGAACCAGCTTGTGTATTGTCTGTCCGTGGTAGCGATGGCGGGGGAATTAAGCCCTTGCCATTTCTTTCAGTCATTCTGAATAGGCTAAAAGAGAACTATATCAAGATCTAGGACTGGAGACTTCCAGCTGAGTAGAGGTCTCTGCAAGTGCATTCTCGTGAATACTGTTATAATATCAATTAATCATCAGAGTATCCAATAGGATTTCATTATTTAGTTCTCATCTGACAAAGAGTATCGTTTTCAACAGGCATACTTAAGCCCACATGGAAAAGCAAACCTATCGTACATCAAGAGAAGTTCTATGTTGCTCTATAATTTACACAACCCTCATGGACATATGACACATACACCAGAAACTTCCTAAGAACGGAAAATTGTAAAAAATGAACTCATGGTCTTCAAATGGACACTTTGTTGAGAATTGCACGTCCAGTCAACATATCATTGCACGCATTCACAGGTCTGGTAATCATTCAGATACTGCCGTTATTTCGTTTCTTTGTTCTTGTTCTTCGAAGATTCCAATTTCTTGCCGTCCTCGACTAGCGCGTGTTCCTGTTTCAACTTTTTACTGATCTGCGTCACTGCACGCTCGACTTCCACGACGAGTTCTGGGGCATTCAGTATTTTTGCCAGTTCCTTGCCGTCGCAGAGATTGAGCAAGATCTTCTCGTCCTTTTCCTCGATCTCTTCGACGGATGCTGTCGAGGATGTTGTCTTCTCCAGATCCGCTTTCGCACCAAAGGTGGCAACAGCTCCTTCGTAGACGCGCTCGATTTCCGGCGAAGGTATTGGATTTAGTAGATTGTTTTCCACTAAGAACTGTAGATGCTTCGATCCGCTCAACGCTGGGATGACAGTCAGTGTGGTACAAACCAGGTAACAGAGCACGACTGACCTCGCCAGTGCGACCAGCCGCGGTACGCCAGGTAGAAAAAGGGTATATTGGGTACTCTGTAGCAGGTTGGGGTTAGGTCGAGGCTTCAGCCATAGTAAATAGCGAGCAACAGATTCAGTCTTACACTGGGATCAACGCAATTGGCGCTGTGAAGGGCGCGATTATCAAACTCCACCACATCCTCTTCCGATGGAGATCCTGTCTCTCCGTGGCCAGCTTTCTCACAGCTGCTATGACCTTATCGGGCTTGATCGCATTTCCTGGAAACAACAGATCGATCTTTTTACCCTGAGTCGTCTCTTCGATGCGTCGCCGCTCGTTCAAAGGAGGGATGCTCTTCAGGCCCCATTCTTCATAGGGGATCCGCTGCTGAACAGTATTGCCCCAGGTGACCAGCGATTTCTTCCACCCTTTTTCGGCTTCCTCCCACTTCGACCATGTCTCAGCAACCTTCAGCGTCACTCTGTCTGTGTAGGAAAGCTTGTTGGCGACTTGCTTTGTGAGGGGCTGGCCGTATATGAGCGCTCGTCTCGTCGAGACTGGCAAGAGGAAGAGGCGCATGGCAACGATATACGACGTGATAGGGCCGGTTCAGGGGGGTCAGGTGGTGAGTTAACGACTACTGCAGCGTCGCGAGAAAAGAAGAAAGCAGAAAAGAGCGGCCGAGACAGCGTGCGTCTCCTCAGGTCATCGCTTCGTATCCAGTCTGGGAGACTCACTCGGTCTTTTTCTTCTTCTCCTGATGTTGAAAGGCCCAAGCTCGCAGCTGTTTGGTGTTCAGACGTCATCCGCAGCCGAGGACAAAAAGACGACCGGAAACGCAAACACCAACCTCCCGTTTCCAGGCAATCAAGCTTCAGGTCTATCTGGGGACCTTTCCGCCCCTCCCGTTCCACTCGTTTTCTTTTCTTTTCTGACTTCCTCAGTCTACTTTGCAGGCTTCGTCCTGCTTCCATTCTTTTTTAATGGGTTTTGCTCCTCCAAAGGCCTAGAATCTCGACTCTTACCAGGCGATCATCGGGTCATGTCGATCAGAGCCCTCGAGCATACCCGCCGTGACGAGACTTCGCCGCAAGCCCTTTCACCGGGCCATTGAGCAAAGGCAATGGCCGAAAATGCATCTGCATTATCCCCGATCACAGACACCTCAGACGTACCGGCAGCTAGCAGGTCGCAGATCACGCTGCTGGAACCCCCAAGTATAGATAGAACACAGAACCGGCTGGGCACACCCAATGGGTCGGGAAGTGAACCGCATTCCGTTGGACGCCCTCGCACTGCTACTCTGGAGTCTTCCGCTGGTCCTTCACTGTCTGCTGTACGTTCCGGTGACGACGTTCGTTCACAAGGCAATGACCGGGAGCGACCTACGACTCCCGACGTACGGACTCTGCCTGGTGAGTATTATTCTCTATACCCGGGGGATGCTTGCCAGTGGTCAGGCTAACATCGTCCAGCATGGATACAGTCAGTTGATCTTCGCGAGGATGATACCGATGCGACAACTCGTCTCCTCCCACCAGGTGAGGCCGTAGTGGCTCAGCACAACTTCTCCCCGCACTCGAAACAGGGAGTGGACATCAATGGCTCCAGAGAGAATGGCCTCAATGGCGACGCGAACCAAGGCGAACGTCAGTCGCGTTGGTGGACCTTTGCCAGACCTATTGCGTATCCCCTCGAGCGCTCACTTGAGGATCAAGTCGTGACACCAGAATGGCTGAATCAGAACCTGGGTGACTATTCCCAGCCGTGGCTGGCAGGGACTCAACACGACGAGGATCTTGAGAAAGCACTGCCTCCGAAGAAAAAGCGCCAGATATGGTACAAGCGGCTTCAGACTACTCTCATCAGGAGTCCAATTGTGCCCCTGGTCTTTCGACTCACTGTCTGGGTGTTTTCTTTGACTGCTCTCGCGCTGGGTGGCACTATCCAGCATCTTGCAGAAACGTATAGACATCCCCAAGGGCCCTCTGGCATTATGGCCATTGTCGTCGATGCGGTGGCTCTCGTCTACATTGTTTATGTTACGTGGGACGAATATACCGGGAAACCATTGGGTCTCCGGAAAGCTCGATCGAAAATGAGGCTTATCTTCCTGGATCTTTTCTTTATTGTTTTCGATTCTGCCAACCTCAGCCTGGCTTTCGAAGCCCTGTCCGATGTGACCGGTTCCTGTACGGAGGCGCAGGTCAACGATATTTGGGACGGGCGGAATGACAAGATCTGCGATCGCCAAAAGGCTCTCGCCTCGGTCTTGCTGATCGCCTTAATTGCGTGGTTAATGACATTTGCGGTTAGTGTGTTAAGGTATGTACTTTGGCTTTCCTTTCCCATGACCCTGGTGAAGATGTTCTGACAGAGTTCCGACATTAGGGTTGTCGAACGGGTTGCTCAGTGATCATATATGGCCAGGCCATGTCCATCTCCTGCCATTCCGGCCATCTTCTACATCTTGCTCCTTCTTAGGTATATATTATGTTGCATTCAACGTACTGCGGCGAGGATGCTGTTTGGCGCCTCCCCGTCGGAGGCTCTTCGCGTCTTCTTAATCTTTCTTTTTTTTTTCGACCACTAGTGATCTCTTTTGTCATTTGGCGGCGTTTCGCGGCATGGATAGGTAGGCCTAGGGGAAGGCCAAAAGGGCAGGTACTTTTGTTGCAATCAAGAATTGTGGTCGGCGAGTATACTAGATATTTCATTATTGATATTAGTTACTATTATTCATTCGAAATCGTACCGAGTCAATGCCACTCTGGGCGGACTGTCTGCCCATTGCGAGCAATTTGATGCCATTCATCTCCTCCTAAACCTCCAAGGCTGGCCCCTCATCGCCGTAGAGCGGATCCTTCTCGAACCAACCCGACTTCTCAATACTCTTAACCTTATCCTCCCCCTCTTGCCCATAACACATATCCCACTGCTTCCCTGGAGGATATGACCCGACCATCTTGAAGCCGCCATCCAGATCCTCCAACAAACGATGGCCTACCCCCGCAGGCACGATCATCAAATCGCCCTTCTGTACCGTTGGCTCGAACCGCTCTGGATAACCCTCACCTCCGAAACACAGCCGTGCTCGCCCGGACACGACCCCCAGGACCTCATGGGTGGTGGAATGGAAATGCGTCGTGGGATACATGCTGTATTGCCACTGCGGGACGACTGCACCGATCTTCTGTAAACGGGACGAAAGTTCAGATGCAGAGGCTTGGAAGGCGTTGTGGTAGATCAGGAGTGGTTTGGATTGGATCGAGGTGTTGGGGATGCCTTTCCAGGCGGGGATGAGACGTTGGGTGATGCGGATTTCGGATGCTGGATTTATGGTCATGATTTTTTTTGTGTATGTCTCTCTCTTTATCACTCTGTTTGATGATGCCCTTTGTATAATACTTGCGTCGCTATAGTAGTAGTAGTGTATGAAGAACTGGTAACTAACATATGCAGAGAAATTGAAGAAAAGCCCAATAGCAAGCAATGACGTCATGTTTCAAGATGTACTCTGTGTCCTCCAGTGTATTAGTTCATTAGTTAAGAAGAGAATATTCTTCTTCTTTAAGGATTTTTTGTTGCTAGGAGTATGTATGAAAGGGTATGCTATCTGAGTGAACTGGTGTTGACTAACATCCAGTTGAACCTGTGTCTTTCAACGTAGATAGATACATAGACGAACGCCATCACAATTCCAATAATAATTATTGCCTCCCCAGCTCACAGACGCGGGGATGGCATGTGGCCAGGGACTGGGCTGTCAGCGCTTATCTAGCGACGAGAACTAGTTGAAGGAACTACTGTTCTACATATAGGCATAACTACTAGTGAGTGCTTTGGGGTAGAAATCTTCCCCGGATGTTTAACTAAGAATAACTAAGAATAACTGAAGAGCAGCTGTCGCGGGCATGAAGTGATCCCCCAGCCTCAGATCGCGTCGATCGCTGGCGGCAACCCGAAAAAGACCGCCACGCCACACCCTCTCCACTGCTCACTAATTATTACCCCCGAACACAGCTCAGCACCATCTCTATCTCTTCCTGCATCTGCATCCCAACCCCGACTCCCCCCCATACCCCATTTCGGCTCTCTTGGGCTCTCATTTTCTAATTTTATTTATTTTCTTTCTCTTGCTTCTAGAGCCCCCACTGACGGCCTTGGGGTATCGTTGGGACACCTGGTGGATTCAGGCCTCAAGTCGGACGGTAAGTCGTGCTCCTTCGCCTCCCCTACGCATCTCAACTCCTCCTAGCTATGCTTGATCTTCCGGGGTGCGGCATCGTGTAATTACCTAGGTATATCGCGGACCATGACCGCCCGTTGCTGCACCCAGACATCGAGCACAACTCTATCGGCGGGTTACCTTGGTACCGACTGCGTTTCTGCCCTTCTGTCTCACCTTGCTGTTGCCTGTTCTCGACAAGGACAATCCCTGCCGATATGACCGCTCTGTTTGTCAAAAAGCACCGCTGAAGCATGTCGCTTACCGCTTTTTGTCTGTTTGTCCATGAAGAAACTAACCAGCTCACGCTCGACAGCCTCCTTCATTGCCCGCTTGTCACACCGTGGTCGAGGAAAAGCGATCATGCCGCCGGTGATGCCCCCGACCCCTCACAAGGATGACCTCGAGGAAACGTAAGTCTCACGCGGAGCAGAACCTGCTCGCATGCCGTATGGAGGAAAGAAGGAAGAAGGCAGTATGGATGCTGACTGGAGCTTTTTCTCGCGCCCAGGTGGACATTCTTGGAGAGAGGGATCGACAGCGTCATGCTGAAACTGGAGGATGGCATCGATATGAAGACGGTATGTGGTCTCCCACTCAGGGTTTGGTTGGCATACTGACATGGCCTTCATAACAGTATATGGCTCTTTACACGTTCGTGAACCGCGCTTGTTGGAAATTTGGAGATGGAAGAGCGCCAGGCTGACCGAGGATACAGTGCCGTCCACAATTTCTGCACATCACAAAAGGCTGTAGGCAGCAGCCAAGGTCTGCAGGCACATAGAGGGGGTGTGTGAATTCGCTATCTCGATCGATCGTGCAATTTACTGACAGTCCCCCAGCGCATCTGCTCGGTGAAGAATTGTATAACCTTCTAGGCCAGTATCTGACGCGCCATCTCGATACCGTGTTCAAGGCCTCCGAGACGCATGCGGAAGAGGCTCTTCTGGGCTTCTACATTCGGGAATGGGCCCGATATACGACGGCAGCCAAGTACATCAACCACATTTTCAAGTATCTCAACCGGCACTGGGTAAAACGGGAGATCGATGAGGGAAAGAAGAACATCTACGATGTCTACACGTTACACCTGGTCAAGTGGAAGGAGGACTTCTTCAAGAAGGTGCAGGAGAAGGTGATGGAGGCTGTTTTGAATCTGATCGAGAGGCAGCGTAATGGCGAAACGATTGAGCAATCTCAGATCAAGAACATTGTCGATTCCTTTGTATCGCTGGGTCTGGACGAAAACGATAGTTCCAAGTCGACGCTGGAAGTCTACAGGTACTACTTCGAGAGACCCTTCATCGCGGCCACCCGGGTGTACTACGAGAACGAGTCGCGGCGTTTTGTGGCGGAGAACAGCGTGGTGGAATACATGAAGAAGGCAGAAGCTCGCCTGGAGGAAGAGAAGGCCCGTGTCGGACTATACTTGCACCCAGATATTACCAAGCGCCTGACGGATACCTGCTTGGATGTTTTGGTGACGGCTCACTCGGGGTTGCTGCGGGATGAGTTCCAGGTTCTGCTGGATAATGAACGACAGGATGATCTCGCTCGGATGTACAGGCTGCTGTCGCGGATAAAGGATGGTCTGGACCCTCTGCGGACCAAGTTTGAAACGCATGTCCGCAAGGCCGGTTTGGCGGCTGTGGAGAAGGTTGCATCGGAGGGAGAGAACTTCGAGCCCAAGATGTATGTGGATGCGCTCCTGCAGGTCCACACCCGTTACTCCAACCTGGTCGCTGCGGCCTTCGCAGGCGAGTCCGAGTTCGTACGATCCCTGGACAATGCCTGCCGCGAGTTCGTCAACCGCAACAAGATCTGCAAGTCGAGCTCGACAAAGTCCCCCGAGCTACTGGCTCGTTACACAGACTCGCTTCTCAAGAAGGGTAGCAAGGCTGTCGAGGAGTCGGAACTGGAAGAAATGCTGGTCCAGATTATGACTGTCTTCAAGTACATCGAGGACAAGGATGTCTTTCAGAAATTCTACTCGAAGATGCTGGCCAAGCGTCTGGTTCACGTGAGCTCTGTGTCAGACGATGCGGAGACGAGCATGATCAGCAAACTGAAGGAAGCATGCGGTTTCGAATACACGAACAAGCTGCAGCGTATGTTCCAGGATATTCAGATCTCCAAGGATCTGAACGCCAGCTACAGGGACTGGCAGGATAAGGTCCTGGATGAAGAGGACCGGAAGAAGTCAATCGATCCCCATTTCCAGATTCTTGGTACTGGTTTCTGGCCTCTGAATCCCCCTTCTACCGACTTTATGGCACCACCCGAAATTGTCAAGACGGCAGAACGGTTCCAGAGCTTCTATTTCGATAAGCACAGCGGTCGTAAGCTGACCTGGCTGTGGCAGCTGTGCAAGGGTGAGATTAAGGCAAACTATATCAAGAACACCAAGGTGCCATACACCTTCCAGGTTTCCACCTTCCAGATGGGTATCCTTCTTCTCTACAACGAGCACGACACCCTGGAGTTCTCGGAGATCCAGAAGGCGACTGCCCTGTCTAATGAGATTCTGGAACCTAACCTGAGCATTCTGCTCAAGGCCAAGGTGCTCCTACCATCTCCTGAAGGCGCAAAGCCTGGGCCAGGCACCTCGTTCTCCCTGAACTACAACTTTAAGAACAAGAAGATCAAGGTCAATCTGAACATTCAGATCAAGTCCGAGCAGAAGCATGAGTCAGACGATACCCACAAGACGATAGAGGAGGACCGCAAGTTGTTGCTTCAGGTATGTAGCCACTTATATTACGACCGTTAATCCTTCCAAGTCGCTAACCAGTGGCAGTCCGCAATCGTGCGTATTATGAAGTCCCGAAAGAAGATGAAGCATGTCCAACTGGTCCAGGAGGTCATCCAGCAGGTCAAGGCCCGTTTCCCACCAAAGGTGCCCGATATCAAGAAGAACATCGAGGCACTCATGGAGAAAGACTACATTGAGCGATTGGATGGGGATGAGCTGGCCTACATTGCCTGATTCACTTTTACTCTTTTCTGCTGGTTTTTCTCTTAGCGTTGGTGATAGTCCCATACGCCTGTTGTAGGCCACATCGGCAGGGCGGATGAAACGGATCTCCTTTTGTTTGCTAATGTCGCTTATTCCCTTGCTGGTTTTGCTCTGTTTCTCCTTTTCTTTTCCAAGCGCTGAAATGACATTCCCGGCGAATTAGCCCAGATGGCTTCCTTTTTTTCTCTCTCCAAGGTTTCTCTTTAACTCATTGGACAAGACATGCTAAAGCAAAGCAAGGCAAGGCAAGAACGGATCGGTTCGTGTCGGTTGTTGGGGTCGGTTTGCCTATCCAAACCGAAGCCCAATCAATCCATCATACATATTTACTATAGTACTACTTATCACGTAACATTAGGTTGTGGGTTTTTAAAAAAGAAGAAAAAGAAATATGCCATCTCAGATTCATATTTTTGTTATGGGATCACGAAAGGGAGATTTTATATCTAAACCCTTTTTCTTTTCTTTTCTTCTCGTTCCCCAGTATCGAGCATAAAAGTATGCACAGTACCACGGCAACAAGGTAGTCTAAACTATCCATTGATTCCATTCAAACTATCTAGGCCCCGTATTCTGATCTTGACCCTGGCCCTCCTTGCCTATAATATAATATTAACGTATATACTAGTCATCCACGCGCGCACCAATCCTGCAAAGCAGCCGTAACAGCATCCCATTAGAACATAGTCCAGCTTATCTATCTGTATCGTATCGTGTCGTATCGTTGGTGAATCCTACTGGCTAGGGGGAGGTCGATCGCATTACAGTAACAGAAGCTAGCTTTCTTCGATCAGAATGTTGATGAGTGTATGGTATAGTAATGATATGATATATAAACTGAACAAGGTAGATGAGGTAGGTTATATAATATGTATGGATAGTTCCTGCTGGGACTAAATAGAGTCAAGTGCAGGGGACAAAGTATCTAATGTATGGTACAATGTACAAAAAAAGAAAGTCAGATCTAGATCAGCATCAACATCAACATTAACATTAACAAGAAGAATGAAAGGGGGGGGGGAGAAAATAGAAAAAAAAGGTTATGAATAAATTACTGTGAATTGTCAAGGGGGATATAATTATGAATAATATCTTGTATGAAAGCATACACACACGCCTCAGGAGGAGCGTAAAGAAAAAGTGAGAAAGAAGAGAAAATCGAAATAATGCATTACTATGAACCTCGTGGAAGGTTGTGTTTCCAAAATTGAGGCATTCTCCTTTCTGTTCATGATGTGGTTTCTGTTGAGGTTGAGGATTCGTTCTGCGTGGGTTGTGTTGTGGTTTGGAGCTCTGTTTCTGATGAGGCTGGAGCTGAAGTGGTAGATGGTGGTTCCGTGGGGGCCTTTGCGGACGATGGGGCTTCGTTAGGGATCGACTCCGAAGCCTTGTTCTCTGTGCTGGGGCTGGATGCGGTGAGTTTAGCTTCAGCTGCAGCGCGATCAGCTTCTTTTGCAGATGGCTCTTTTAACGACGATTCCTCCGATCCCGTGCTGTCTGGGAAAACAGGCATCGTCTGCGACAGAGGTGACTTTGGCAATGGAACGTCGTTGCTGCCAGGCTCAAGACTGCCATCATCCTTCATAGACGCAGAGTCCGAATCGTTGCTTTTCCGTCGGAGCATCTGGCTCCATCTCTTTCTCCTGCTCCCGCTCCTCGACAGACTCATACTGCCGCTTCGTGACAAAGCTATCGAGTCCTCACTGGTGCGAGGCACGGCCTCCTGTCTTCCACGCTCATCCTCGGGCTTCTCGACAACGCTGGCAAGGGTTGTGGTAGATGGGGACGCGATCGGAGGCGGAGATGTTGCAGATGCCCGCTTATCTTGCCATTCTTTGCGGCGCTCGCTGGCCCATGAACTCCAGGAACTGAAGTACGCTCCTGCTTTCTGGCTCACCACACCGACAGATGCCTGGGCCTGCGTGAGGTCAACCGACGGCGGCCTCCGGGAGAACCATGATGACGGTCTGGTCTCAGAGGCTGCTGATGAAGGTACTCGGGGTGAGGTGGGTGTTGGCGGTACGGAAGTGTCTATTGACAATCGATTTCCAGACTGGCCAGCCTTCTCCTCGTTCTTCTTCCGCTGAGCTTCCCGCATCGATTCGATGTCTGCCCAGAAGCTGTTGAACGCTGCAGAGACCTTCTTCGAGCCAGTAGCAAGGTGTTTGTTGAGTGCCTCCCGGCCTTCGCGGACCCGTTCATCCAGGTGCAATTCAGCGACCTGCTGGGACAGACGTCGCTGGATATCATCAATCGTTAGACCGCCCGCGCAAGGATGACGGGGCTCGACGATGGAGAACAGCAGCGCATCCGATGTCAGTCGCTTGAAGAGAGCATAGTTCGGTGTTGTCTGCCATTGTGCCAGAAAGTCGGCATTAAACTCGAGCGCCGGGTCGCCCTCGATATTCAACGCCTGCAGCTGCATACGGTTTCTGCGTCCCGAATCGTTGCCTGAGCCGGGTGTATACGAATTCAACTCTTCATGGTATTTCATACTCGAAAGCAGAGCCAGCAGATATTCTTCGAACTGCAAACGAATGAACTCTTCGGATCCCATGTAGCCGTGGGTCTTTGGTTGCTGTGGATGCGCCTCGTCCCAGGTCTCGTTGATGGTCTGCGTAAGGAAGTCGATCCATCGTCTGTCAGCCGCAGAAAGCGACAAGGCGTTGCGTAGTGATGGGGACGAGATGTTGATTGTGTCTTCGTCGAGCTGTCCACACGGTTAGAACGAGTGACAAGATCCCGCGGCGACTAATTGCTCACATTAATGATCACATCACTGTAGCGGTCCTTCTGCTGAAGAAGTAACGAATTGGTTGAGCCAACCACGTAAGATTTCGTTCCATGGTCTGCCAACAGATCCAGCTGCTGCAGCGGCGTATAGGGTCCGAACATGCTCCCCTGGCAGAATTAGCAACGAACAATTGATCGTGGGCAGAGGATGACCTACTTTGCCGAAGATCTGCAGAGGAAGGCCCATATAAGCAAGCACTGAAAGCTGTCAGCAGAGAAGCTTCGATTGTAGTGCAGGGCAACCGTACGTGAACTCCTCTCACTCGTCTTTAGGGAGGTTGGCTTCTCAACCGTCTGGGAGTATGTGTCGAAAGAGGGATCCGCGCAGTCTTGAAGATTATGAATAAGTCCGGGTATCAAAGAGATTAGTGAAAATTGTATCATGCAAAGTCGCTCGCATCGCGAGCCGAAGAAGAGCATCTGGGGGTGCACAGATCAGTACGGGTCATGCTGTTTCGTACAGACATTCAAACCTTTGGCTGTAATAATAGACATTTGAAGAGAACCAATGTTTGATGTCTGAACTCATGGATCATTTCTCGTAAGGAAAGGCCTTCTGGACGGGTCAGCTATCTTTTCGCGTCATTCTGATTCGGGGAGTAACCGGACTCACCCAGCTGCTGTTGGTCCTTCTGGGCTCCCTCGTTGTTCAGACTGATTATCAGACCCTCTCGGAATTTCTGAATCGCAAACCAGTCAGTCTCAATAAAGTGTGAACCCACTGTCGAGACCAACCTTCAAGATATCTGTGTCGGTAAAATCGCTATCGACGAGAGCACATCAGCGCTGTCGTTCCCACCAAGCACACAGGAACAAAATCCCAATTCACCTACCGCTGCGCAAACCAGGCGGAAGTGACGATGGACAATTTCTCCCTTAGCTGTCCAAAGTACTGCGGGCTATCCGTCACGACCACGACCGCCTTCTGGACCGTAGAGCGCGTCACATCCGGGGGTCGATTAATCAGCGAATTCGAATCGAGCTGTCTCGTGCACGATATTCCAAAAAGCGACGTCGCGGGCTCTGCATCGGTCGCATTGCGTCGGAGGGTGAAGTACGAGAAGTCCTCCGTGGATCTGAAACGCAACATCGGAGAAGAAGTCAGCGATTGACCTTTGTCGATCGTCTCTCCTCGAGGAAGAGGTTGGGATCGAACGCAATGAAAAGGGGATCATACGCATGCGCTCCATCGGACAGTGCCATGAACGGCAGCAAGGACCAGTCGTTCTCAACCGCGGGATTCGTCCCATCGTCGCCGAAACAGTGCTCGATCTCAGGACCTCTATATACGAGCAGCGCCCGGTTGATCAGCCATTGTCCTGTTTCACGGAATAGATAACCTCATTGACCACAAAGTCTCCGTCTCCATGATGAGATACAGTCGACATCACATCTCCCTCTCTCTCCTGAAAATGCTGGTTCCGCCCGCACTCACCTGGCATGGTGGAAATCTATAACCAAAACGATAGGATTCTGGTGGGCGCGGCCGGTTGCCATGGTCGAGGCCCTTCACCCAAGAATGTATGTAGAACAATCAAAGAAAGACTGACATCCAGCTTTATTCCCTTGTCTTTGGAGGGGACCTGGAACCCTGTTTTCTGCAAATCCAGTCCACCTTGACAATGACCTCCTTTTTTTTGGTCCTTTTCCCTTAGTTGTTGGACAAAGCATCAATGCGGGCTACACTCAGTCGTGACCGGCTGGCAGTTCGGAAAATGGGAGCTTACCATTGGTGGTACCTTCTAGGCGGTGAGGTGTCTTTAGGGAGGGATCCGATAGCGCTGATTGGGCAGAGAAGAACAAGACAATTGGCTATTCTAGGTATCTTAGGTATCTATCTATCTCATAATCAATCAAGAGTAGGTAGATTGTTGGAAGAGTCTATCTAGTCAAATTTCAATTTGGCAATGAGAGCTAATATAAAAACAAACTTGTTCTCAGGCCAAAGTGGTAAAGATAACCCAAAGTACGGCGTTACCATTTCAAATTATCATGTAGTCCGGGCGCTCCCCTCGCCATTCCAACATACATCATGTCGATGGAAACTTTTGGCAAGACATCGAGAAGATGAAGAAAATTATGGTCCAATCACACAAATACGCAGTTGAAGGGAGGATAGTCACGCCGGTACATAACCCATTTTAACGATGGCCTTCCTCGCCCAAGTCCGCAATATGTCAACGCAGAGATTCCATACATCTGTGCCATTCCTCCCAGGTAATACATATACCGGCCCGAAGAGCTGGGCGCGAGTTACAGGTATTACCTGGGTAGCTGCATTTGCCAGCGTTAGGAAGATATCCTATCAATATATTATTGTTATCATCAATTCCTTACTCAGTTGTGTGGTGGTTCTTAACTTACCCCATTTTACTTAAGATACGGAGAGTTACCAGCATCTCGTTCCCATATTTCGAAGATCCCTTTTATGCGTTGCAGGGGCGCTCCAGACATCTTAGTCCAACAGAGGACAATGACAAGTTAAACATCTGGCTGTCCACCCTCAAGCCACAGACGTATGTCTGCGTGGAGACGAGGCAGTGATTCTGCCCATCCGGATTCTACCGCGATACTAGGTAGTGGTTGAAGCTCATAACGTATAAGCATATCAGGTGCCTTGAAGGAACCGGTATACTGTCCCCTGAAATGATCAATAACTAGGTATCCAATATCAGTTAATATACGTATCGAATCAGAGAGATATAAATAGCCTACTTGTGCCAACTCCAAGTGTCAACACATAACCTTCTGCGGGAGTTAAGAATCCGGCAAGTACCATATCCAGTTTTTCTTCGCCGATCCAATGTTGATGAACATCATGGACTTCTGTAGGCATGATTAAAATGTTGAGCACTTTGATTAACGAGTTATAACTGAATCTGATAAGTATTATCAGTTAAATTTAGATAATAATAATAAACGATACATCTTTCGGAGATTTCTGCTGGTATCATTACCGCGTATTGCGTCTCTCAATGTCAGGATCTTCCGAAAGTGATTCTACCAATAACGCTCCCTTTTCTACTGAGATATTATCATATCTCAGCTCCATATATTCAGTTGCTGCTTGTATATCCCTTTTGATTTGAGAGAACCAAGTCTGGGCGGAGCCATTCGAGTCTGGAGAGGATGGTACGTTGACAGTCATATTGAGAGGATATCTATCTTTAATAAAAGGGAAGTTTTCGTAGCAATTAACTAACTGAGGAAGCAATGGAAGCAATTAAGTGAAGAAACAATTAACTGAAGGAAAGATCCGAGTATCGGTTGACTTCCGAGGACTTCTATGGCAGGCGGTGACTACTTATATGGCAGAAACCCCGTGAATGAGACCCTCAGTGGCAGTGTCCATCTATCTACCTAGCTATCTAGGCGGTTTGGAAAATTCACAGCTGAAGAGAAAAGCAAGAAATGCCCAGGAGATAGATTTACTGGGGGGGAGATGTATCTGTTGCGGCAGAGCCCCCTAGCCACGGATACTGCCATATTATTATTGACCACCTTCCCCATATGAGCTAGGTATCTACTGGTAAAACTCCATCCTGATCGCCGCCATCTTGGCATGGCTTGCATCATGTCAATCAGCGCGGTCCACCGCCAAGGAACGTCATCGGGTCTCATAGTCAAAAATAGGCCATTTCCCGACATGGTATTCGAGATCTGGAGATGCGTGCTCTATCTTGGTGCGCTGGCCCTGGCCATTGAGGAAATGGAATTATTAAAGTTACACATTTCTCTCTTCTGCTCTAACATCGTCTACTGCATCAGTCTTGAAATTCGAAACGTGCCACGTAAACTGTAGATTCCGACGAAGCTTGATCCTATTCATCCCGCTTTTCCGCGACCAAAAAAAGAAACGAAGGAGATCCATATACCGTGTACGTGTATCGACGTTGAAGGATCTGAGAAGTAGATAACCCGCATCGCCGCCTGAGTCTGAACACGCCGTAAAAAATGAAGCGACCACCGAAGACCAACATGTGGAGGCGGGAAAGAACTCGTCAAAAGTCCCCGTGCCCACTGTAGATGTTAGACGCTACATGGACAAGAGAAGCAGGATCCCGTGTATACAACGGGAATCGTTATCCATCAACACCAACAACTGCCTTCAACCCACCGTATCTGCAGAAATCCCATTCGCAAGCTATACCACTGGGGCGGTGGGGTCCACAGGTTCGGGTGGAACTTGGCCTGCGTCGAGGCCGGTCTGGTCAATGTTGTGGTAGTCGAGGATCTCCGAGTACCTGTCATAGCGGGTCAGCCTGAACGAAAAGTTAAATAATTTTGGTTTCCACTAAACATACATCATGATCTTCCATGTGTCAACTGGCAGATCAGCATCGTTGAAAGACCAGTCGAATTTCTCTTCGGCGACAGGCTCGTCGGTAGGATCGTGGTAGGGGGCTAGATATTCGTGTGCAAGAGCATCCGTCGCGCTCACTCGCTTCTTGGGGTCGAAGACCAGCATCCTCTCCAGGAGGTCGACGGCTAGGGAAACGTGAGTAAAACCGCTCGACTGATTGCCAAGGATATGCATACCTGATGGGTCAGCGTTCTTGAACTTGTTGGCCAGCGGCTGTCGTTCCCGCTTGGGCAGGGACTGGACGAATCGCAGAGTCTACAGGAAAAGAAATTGACGTTAGCTGCTTGAAAAGTCGAAGGCAAAGACGTCGACCAATACGCACATTCTCACTGCAGATCGTCTTGATCACATCGTCAGGTGGGGTACCGAGAAGCTCGGTGATGATGGAGAACTGGTTGACATGGTCCTTTCCGGGGAAGAGGGGCTTGCCATCGAGCATCTCTGCGAAGATGCAGCCCGCACTCCAGATGTCGACTTCGACGTCGTACTTCTGCCACGTGAGCATGATCTCCGGGGCACGGTAGTATCGCGTGGAAACGTAGCCGGTCATCTGCGGATCTTGGATCCGCGCCAGACCAAAATCGCAGATCTTGAGATCACAGTTCTCGTTGATGAGGATGTTGCTGGGTTTGAGGTCACGGTGCACCACACCGGCGGAATGGACGTATTTCAAACCTCGCTGTCGCCGCGTCAGAAGACGTGCCAAAGACAGGTTTCGAAATACATGGATGATCGACATACCAGGATCTGGTACAGGAAGTACTGGATAAACTGTTTCTCGAGCGGTCTCGATGTGAGAAGTCTATGAAGGTCGGTGCCCAGGAGCTCCGTAACGAAGTAACTATCATCCGTCAATCGGGGATTCAAACACACCCAGGGCAGGAACCGATCGGGGAAACTTACATGTCCTCGAGAGGGGAGATGAAGATATCGCTCAAGCTGATAACCTGTTCGTTGTCAGTGACAGGCCACCGTTTGCGCGGAGATTGCACGACTGACATTTTCATGTCGCAGATGTTTCAATAGTTTGAGTTCTCGATATGTCCGCTTCGAAAGAACCGGTGTGCTGAACGGCTTCATGATCTTCTTGACGGCCACGGGCTGCTGGGTCAATTGGTCTCTGGCTGAACTGTTCGCCGTGTCGTTGTCAGCCACATGTATCTCTGGCGATTCCCCGGCTGTTCCCTCCTCAGGATGGAAGTTGAGCATACCAGACGAGACCGAAAGCTCCCATGCCCACCGGCTGCAGGTCCGTATACCTGAACACACAGTCAGACTCCTCCAGTTCCTCATCCAGGTGAATTTCCTGCCGCGCGCTCATCCGCCATACCTGCTAGTGATCTCGAAGGTCGTCCCAAAGATCTGGGCCCGCACGAATTCCGCCATGGTGAAGGATCGCGACCTGGGGCCACGCTGGAGATGAAGTCGAGGTGACACAAGACGATCGTCCGTGGAGATTCCCGTCTCCTACTGCTTGCTTGCTTGCTTGCTTGCCTTCCGACCTTTCTCTCTCTTCTTTCTCTCCTTCTCTCTTCTCTGTCTCTCTGTTTTCCCTTTTTTTTCACAGCTGAGAGAGTTGAACAGGGAGTCGAGTTGGTTGTGGGGAAGAAGTGGCGGACGTTGGGAGAAGGAAAGCTGGTTGGCGGGTCAGGGTCGGAATGGGCGTCTTGTCGAGGGTAGAAGACGAGAGTGGCGTGTGTGTGGAGGTGCGGTCTGGTTCGTGCCTTTTTGCCCGCCAGGCCAGCAGGCAATGACGTACACGATGGGATCTCCCGCGAGGGGTTATTATTATTATTATGGTATGGTATAATTTCAGTGCCTTTTGGGGGGGGGGGAAACTGGGCAGGTTGACTAGTTAAGTTAACTAGTTAACTGGTTAACTAATTCAGACCAACAAGTTGGTTCTGGGCCGAGGGGCGCAGCGACAACTCTAGATAGAGCAGAGAGGTTTACTCTGGCCCTCCGGATGGAGACTGGCCTGGCGGGGCTGCCCCCGCTGGCCGAGCACATTGGCTGGAAATGTCTTGCTGGCTTGCTCATCCGGCCACGGGCGTTCCATGGGGCAGTCATCATTTTCGTCTTCGTCTCGTTCTCTTGCCAATCCCCAAGTTGTACCGCCAACAGCATTGCTTGCACTGTTCTGAAGAAGTCGTTAAATGATGGACCAGAAAGCACATCCATCATTCATGATCGTTGCACGCAACTCCCCTTCTCGTTTTGCCAGTAGTTTCTCCTATCTCAAGGAACCATTCTGGCATCCTTGCCATCCCGAGCAAGAACAACGATAAGAATGATACCACCATTGGTATCATCGGGACCTAATTTGGGCTGGACCGCGAGCGGGCACTTACCGGCGTCTGTGTTCCCCCTACTCCGTACACTGGATGCGGCGCCCCTAGAGAAGAGATCTGATAGAGCAACCGCAACTCGATCAGAGAGATGACCTTGGAAAGTCATCCGGCCAGTCGAAGAACTTAAACAGACTCAAAAACTACTCGTCGTGAGCGTCTTGCTGGTGGTTCTCTCACGGAAAAGAGGAAGGGTTTCTGTTGGCATTCGCTGCAATGCCATAGAGAGCTCTGTTCGTTTCCTCTCCGTCGGGACCGTCTCATTGGATGGCGTTTCGGGCTTTGCGTCAAACCGGTTTGACTGCAACAGATGCGATGCGTGTCAGCCTTGGAAGCCAGCTACACGACACGAGCGCCTGATAAACAGAAAAAAAAAAGACTTCGGGTGCTTGGTGGATGCCCCCATGTTGCTGGTGAATGTGATCACTGCTGCGCGGGATGTTCCGGGCAACTCCAAGGAATTAAGACTTGTGGCTTTGATCAATTTCCGGGATGACGACTGGCTTGACTGCCGCCCTCATCAGCTGTAAATGGTGATGGCATCTTGGTCCGACCGCCATATAGTTATATATAAAGCCGACTTCCCCAGTACTGGACCTGAATTCAGCTGGAGCTCGGGTGTGCGTTCAGCTGGGCTCTGGTCGTCTAGCAGGCACGATACAGGGGCTGCCAGGGAGGGGAACTACTGCCAATACAATACAGATCCGCTCCAGGATTCGAACGACGTCCTCCAGGATATAGTTATACTACAACGGTGAAGAAGATGACTGTGAACGCTATGGAGTACCATGCCGTATGCCACATGTTTAATTTGGCCCTTGATAAGTAACGGTCGCCTGACGAAACACCATTGCGTGCGGAGAAGAGAGAGGAGAAGAGGAGAGAGGTCTTGGGACCTGACTATCGGAGCATTTACGGCACTCTACTAATAATAATAATGCCTGCTAATATACCTCAACCCGTGAGTCGCCAGCAAGATCGTGCATTGGTCGTTGCAAGTATAGTACCATAGCACGGCAGCCCCGAGAGCCCGGCGTCGACTCCCCAGCTCCGCCCGAATGAGGTTGACCCGTCGGGCACGTGAGCCGAACTCCTCTCCGCGATGATCCAGCATCACCCTGAGGCATCGTCAGCCCTGTCAGCAACGAGAGAAGAAGAGAGAAAGAGATCAGCTGTCCTGTTCTGTATTTAGAAATTCCATTCGACGCAGAATAATAATCCCAGGGTCTCGCACAGTAGACTAGAGTTAGCTTCCCGTGTTATTATCCCAGAGCGGACGATTCACAGTTCATTCATTCCCCCGTAGGTTCGAGAGCTCCAGCCCAGCTAGCTAAGTAATACTTAGTGGTTCAAGGTTGTCCAGGGAGCCACCAAGCCATGCGCTTGCGCCCGTCACTGTCATGATCCCGCGGGCGCAGGGCAGAAGGGAACCCCCCCACAAACCATCATCATCAGAATCAGAATCGAGCAAAGGCCACTCACTTAGCGCCTGAAAGCATCGTGCGCTACCCCCCCCCCAGGACCGCCGGATGCCCTTTAGGGTGCTCTCCGTCGTCAACACCACGTTTCGCCCTACCCACCCAATAATCCCGCCGTCAACCTAACTACTAACCACTAACTAACTACATAATACTACTACTTACTGCTGCTGGATTACCACGAAAGAGCAACTCTCCTCTCCGCAGTGATCTCGTTCCTCACTACACACAGACCCCCAACAGAGCTCCCCTCCCATCGTCGACCATCATCCCTCCGTATTCGAGGTGCCGACCGCAATCCCGCCCTACCGTCCCTGTTGGCTCTCTGGCGCCTGCAATTCACGATTGATCGATTCCTTCGAATTTCCCCCGCGAACTGAAACTGTCTTCCTTTCCGGTCTTCGGGCATTCGCCGTGGTCGGGAATCCAGTCTCTGTCCGCCAAAAGTCACCTCTGCGAGACTGCTGGTGGCATAGCTATTCGCAACGTGCAGTAGCGGTCTGCAATCGAACACCGTCACCATCGATCGATACGGGAACTGTTCAGGCGGCCCTTCTCCTGCGGCCTTGAGCCCTGGTGGCCGACCCTGTCCATATCGACATCTCCTCTCCGAGGTGCCACACCCCTCTCCGGATCACGGAGCTGGTGCCGACCACCGTTCCTAGGGAGGAGCTCGAGTGCGCGTGAACCGATATCGACAGGAAACTAGCCGCTCATCGAGCGCGACTCGCCAAGCTGGACAAGATGGGTGTCTGTTTCAGCAGTGAGAATACGGACGATGCAGAGCAGAAGAAGAGAAGTCAGATGATTGACAAGAAGATCGAGGAGGATTCCAGGCGGCTAAAGAAAGAATGCAAGATTCTATTACTTGGTCAGTGGTCCCGTGCGCCTGTATAGGAGCAAACGCCTAACTGAGCGTTGGTGGGGGCAGGTTCCGGAGAGAGTGGAAAATCCACCATTGTCAAACAGATGAAGATCATCCATCAAAATGGCTACACCGTGGAAGAGCTTTCCATGTGCCGGTTGACAGTCTACAAGAACCTCATGGATTGCGTGAAATCCCTCATCGGAGCTTACCAACAGTTTAATCTGGAGCCTTCCAGTCAAAAGGTCCGCGATTATATGACATATCTCTCGGAATATAACATAGACCCCGATCCCAATATACCCCTGGACCCCAAGGTCGGTGATGCGGTCACGTATCTGTGGAATGATCCCTGTACGTCCACCGTCCTAGAGCATCAGAGCGAATTCTACATGATGGATTCCGCCCCATAGTAAGTAGCTCGACGATTCATGCGGCGCGCTGCCATTTTGCTCACCACCTAGTCAGTTTCTTCGAGGAATCGAAGCGAATAGCATCGCCAGACTATATCCCCAACGAAGCGGACGTTCTCCGTGCGCGAACGAAGACTACAGGTATATACGAGACAAGATTCACGATGGGCCAGCTTAGTATTCAGTAAGGGCTTCTCCCCGTTAGACATGTATAACTCGGCTCATGAGATATTAGCATGTTCGACGTGGGCGGACAGCGGAGTGAACGGAAGAAGTGGATCCATTGCTTCGAGAATGTCACGTCCATCATTTTCTGCGTCGCGTTGAGCGAATACGACCAGGTGTTGTTGGAAGAAAGTAATCAGGTACGTTCGGCCCCCCTCATACGCAGGTTGTCCCGGAAGAGAAACTAAGTATTTTTTTTGGCAGAATCGAATGATGGAGAGCCTGGTGCTCTTCGATTCGGTTGTTAATTCTCGATGGTTTATGCGGACAAGCGTCATTCTGTTCCTCAACAAGGTCGACCTATTCCGGGCGAAGCTGGCCCGTTCGCCCCTAAGCAATTACTTCCCCGATTATTCCGGCGGCAACGATGTCAACCGGGCCGCCAAGTACCTCCTATGGCGGTTCAATCAAGTCAACCGTGCACATCTGAATCTCTATCCGCAGTAAGTCACCCAACCGTTCCCTGCACCTGCACTCAGCAGCATGTTAACGTGGCGTGACCGCAGTCTTACTCAGGCGACCGATACCACCAATATCCGCCTCGTCTTTGCCGCCGTGAAGGAGACGATTCTACAAAATGCCCTGAAAGATTCAGGCGTTCTATAGCGACCGTCCCAAGGCTCTCGCTGAGATGAGGAATATACCCTAATATTCGTCATTCTTGGAGCACATCTAATCTTTGATCGTCTCTTGATGCCTTTCCTATGGCAGGGCGGTCGAACAGGTCATTTTCTGTTGTACATGACACGGCGTTAAACTGGGGTCTCATCTTTTGGGTTTATACTTCGGCGCCCCGAGGTGGAATGCGTTTGGTTATTTATGGGCATGCTTGATATGAGCCATTTTCTTTTTTTTGTTTTGGCGATCCGTACATCATCTACCGCTCCAAGATGTTGTCGTAGGACGACTGATTTTACCCAGCATTGATATCTGTTGCAGCTTAATGACGCATTGCTTTTAGCCAAAAGTTTGTCTTTTTGCTGCATTTCCGGACCATGTGATGCTTTTCCTTTGTTTAGTGATGAGGTTTTTTTGGTCCACGAGCAGGTCTTTAGCTGACTTTCCTACATCTGTCCTGCCCGGGGTTTATGGCGACCCATACCGGCACCCTGTTCTCGTCCAGACTATTTTTAGACGACTGCAGTGTTGGGATGTTCCTTATCTGCCGGTGGTCTTGCGGCTGTGCAGCGTATGGCTGTTGTGCTTTCCTTTAGTTATGCGCTATTCTTCCCTTATTATTATTGATCTCGCAGTGTGAGCTGTTTACCGTCACGACATCTGCTATATAGGCCTAATATATTCTTATCCTTAATCCCATCTCAATTCTCTGGCCTTTAACTTGGTTTTATCCCACTTTTCTCTTGCCTGACTGTCCTAGGGCCTCTTGTGTCTTGCTCTGCAGGGATCAAAACGTCTATGCTGGAGCGGACGCGGTCGGCAAGTTGCACTGACACGGTGGCCCGGGCTGTGTCGGATTGGGGGCGATCGATATCCGAATTGCGATCGGCCCCCATTTGAGGCTGTCAGGGCAGGTTTTGCGTCGTCCATGTAACCCTCGTGACCTTGGCAGCGACGGTTAGAAAGCGTATGAGGTCGGTACCGTCGGCTGGCGGGGTGATAATTGCGCGAATAGTCTCTATCTATACGGCGTACTTTGCGCACTCTGTTGTCGTTGCGTGAAAGTATCGCAGTTTCATGCAGACAGTTAGGTACTGTAACGATCTGAAGTATTTACTCCTGATCTATAGTAGGCGAAGACTTCCTATTCTGTCTATTCTACTGTAGACAACCTAGCTCCCCCATCCTTAATTAAGTATGGGGGTCTACATCTCGTTATTCCCATCCAATATGAGTACCATCTGATTCAACCTGCCCAAACATCACTCGATCTGAATCATGTCTGGCACGATTCACGCTAGATCGGCACTGTGGGATGCCCCAGTCCAGCGAGTACAGAAAAGACGTCATCCATTAGATAGCCTTCATGGGCATGGGTGGACGCTAGAAAAACACATGTTCGGACGTTGCCGTTCTGCCCGACGAGCCCCTTCGGTCCGTAGGTAATTAGCACGGACCGTCTCTCGATCTGAACTATCGAAATCGAGTAGGAACTGGACGGATCGGGGTATGGATTTTTCTTGTTCTTGGCTAGATATCTAGATGAAGCAGATTGATTGGCTACTTAACTTACTGCTCTTTGGATCGAGCACTACTTAACCTCCCTAGTGCCTCGGTAGGATATTTCGATAATATCTCTATCTCCCATCCAGCCTGTTCGCATCGCATGCGAGATCCGTCATCTAGATATCCGTACTATACGATACTATACTATCATACTATACTTAGTCCACAGCCTGCACCATAGACGGGATCTTCCTGTTCGGACCCATCGGCTCTCTCTCTCCGCATGCGACCAATCTTCCATTTAGTGGTCTAGAGACCGCCGTACAACCATTACAGTATGGTAGATACCATCGGGACGGGTAATAATATATGTTAGCTGGAGTTCTGTTCACGGAAAATTGAATTTGAATTTGGATAGATAGGTTGAGTGTTCGTCGTGGGTTCCGGAATCAGTTAGTTCGCTTCATCTGGAACTAGGTAAGTAGTTAGGTAGATAAGATAAGGTGTGGATGTCGTATGATGCTCACTAGGTACAGTACTCCTCCGTATCGTGGTATGGGGAGGAATAATGCAGAAAGGTAGACGATCGCATAGCGATCGAGGATAGGGTTTTTTTATTGTGGTGATGGCAGAGAGATCATTGAGGAGACGAGATGAGATTAACGGAAGGATGTTAGTATTTACGTCTTCCCGTCTGCGGCCAAGGGAATTAATTAGGTACCTATCACCTATGAACGGGATCCTGGTCTTTATTCTCACTGAACTGGCTCAATTGAGTTCTTCAGTCATCCGCGTAAGAGACATGAAATGTATGGTACAGGTCTAGGCCCAGACGGAAGGAAATTTTCAAGATCATCAGATCATGCCACCGACAGCCGTGCGGGGGAAAGGGGGACTAAAGAGCAGGGAGAAAATGCTGCGCTAATGTATGGATATGCAGCGAGAACCCCAGATTGAGCAACGTAAACTCGTGTGGGGGATTTTTGGGGAATTTGTACTCCTGGTTGTATTTCGAGGTTCTGGATGATGTTCTTGTTGTAGACTCGGTTTTGGAACGTGTTCTATGTAGCTTAACTTAGTACATTGTACAGTAGTTACTTATCCATGTTTCTCTGGCCCCATCTTCTTCCCCGTGTGAGGACGACTAGATTTGTAGCTTTCGGTTATCAGTTCAGGGCAATATGGAAGAACATGACAGTCTAGTTAGTCGAGGTACTTGTTAGAGAACTGAATTCGTGGATATCTCAATATCAGGTATACACACAGACATTGTACTGTACTTCTTGCTTCCCTACTAGTAACGGTCGACAGGGAATATTCCAAACCCCGGACCATATTGTTCATGTAGTAAAGAAAGGAAAGGTTCACATTCGCCATCAAGCCACAAAGCGGGATTCCCCATCTTCCATCGCCTCTCGCAAGGGCCTCTATTCCCGGCCAGAACCTAGCTAGCTTCACCTACCTTAGCTACACCTGGTGGACACGACGAGCAAAATACCCCTCCCTCTTCTGTCTCTGTGTCTGACATTTCTATCCTCGACCCCTCTTGTTTCTCTTTTTTCTCTTTTTGTCACTTCATTCTATTTTCTTCGTTTCTTTCTCAATTCCGCAGCCTTCGGGTGAGAAGCTGGAGCTCAGCAAGCAAGCGGGGCGTGAATAGCTAGCTAGATCCAGTCGACTCGACTCGTTCCTCCGTAAGTCACCCTGGGGAGCCTCGCATACCATTTTCTATCCAGCAACGAGCAATTCCCTGTCAATCATCACGTTTCCTTCTTGCTTTTCTTCACTCTCGTCTCACCTGACAAGTGAACTGAAACCGGTTTATCCCGATTGGGATATTCCGCATTGCTTTGCTTACCTATCTATACCTACCTGCTTTTTCATACTGTTCCATCCTCTTGCTTTTGGTCTTCTCGGGTGAAGAGGTGAGGAGATACCACCGTGCGGTATCCGAAGTTTTATCTCATTTCCACCTCACATTGTGGTTCTGTTGCTCCTGTCTACTGCAATTAAGCTGGTTTCTCACTCGTGAAACCCTTTCTGATACTCATAAGATCGACAGTGAGACAACAAACCGAATTCCGTTGTTTCCAACACAAAGGCAACCATGGCATCATCATCAACAACTACCTCATCCCACCACGAACGGAGACCTTCGGTCGGAGCACCCATCTCCGACTTACAAGGTCCCGTGGGTCCGGGGTTCAGTCGTCCCAAGCATAGACGCACCTTTACGGGCTTTGGACCGTCGGAAATCAAGAGTGTCGAGGCGAGCATTCCGGAGCCGTTGAGGGAGGCGTAAGTACCATCCATTGATGTACATACAATGCATGAAACAGGGAGAGCAGAGCTGACTCACTGATCGCGGTGTAGATGGAAGAAATATGTAGGTGCATTTTCGTCGACACCCTTGCAGCTTGGGGGTTTGAGATTGATGTTGATTATCAATTCTAGTCCCCGAAAGGGTTCACAAACAAGGATGATTTCGAGGTATTTCGCACCAATGCCTGTGGTATTCGTATTGGAGTCCCTGACAATCGAACAGAAAGAACTGGTTCGCCATGTTGAAACTACCCTGGCGCGCTCTCTGTTCAACTGTGATGAATTGTGAGTTTTGACAGCACTCGTATTCGCTAGGACTACTTGCTCACTCGAGTAGAGCAGCATATTCGGGGACGGCTCTGGCCTTCAGAGATAGGCTGATAATCGAATGGAACAAGACCCAGCAGCGCCAGACCTTCGCAGACAAGAAACGCGTATACTGTATGCCACCAGGTCTTTTGGGGTTTGCATGTGTCGGGTCTGACTCTCAGTAGATCTTTCTCTCGAATTTCTGATGGGAAGAGCACTGGATAACGCTATGCTTAATGTAGGACTAAAGGATGTCGCTAAAGGTGCGCTATAAGCACCAGATCTATGATCGTCACTGAATACTGAATCACAACAGATGGCTTGGGAGAACTTGGATTTCGCATTGAGGATGTGATCAGCCAGGAACATGATGCTGCGCTAGGAAACGGCGGTCTAGGTAGATTGGCCGCTTGTCTTCTCGACAGCATGGCAACCTTGAATTATCCCGCATGGGGCTATGGATTGCGCTATCGCTACGGTATCTTCAAGCAGGAGATCGTGAACGGCTACCAGGTCGAAGTCCCAGACTACTGGCTGGACTTCAATCCATGGGAGTTCCCCAGGCACGAAATCACCGTGGATGTCCAGTTCTATGGTTCAGTAAGAAGATATCACGATGATGATGGTAAGGTCATCAATGAGTGGGACGGCGGCGAGATCGTCCAAGCTGTCGCGTACGATGTTCCCATCCCCGGTTATGGGACGTCGACGACAAACAACCTCCGATTGTGGTCCAGCAAGGCCTCCAGCGGCGAATTCGACTTTCAGAAGTTCAACTCGGGAGAGTACGAAAGTGCCGTCGCCGACCAGCAGCGAGCAGAGACCATCTCTGCTGTTCTGTACCCCAACGATAACCTGGATCGAGGTAAAGAGCTACGCTTGAAGCAGCAGTATTTCTGGTGCGCTGCCTCGTTGTATGATATTGTTCGACGATTCAAGAAGACCAAGCGAGCCTGGAGCGAGTTCCCAGACCAGATCGCCATCCAGCTCAATGACACCCATCCGACGCTGGCCATAGTCGAACTGCAGCGCCTGCTAGTTGATGTCGAAGGCCTTGACTGGGATCAGGCATGGCACATTGTGGTAAACACCTTTGGATACACAAACCATACAGTCTTACCAGAGGCCCTCGAGAAGTGGTCCGTACCTCTGTTCCAGAATCTGCTCCCACGTCATCTGCAGATTATCTACGACATTAATCTGTTCTTCCTACAGTCGGTTGAGAAGAAGTTCTCGACAGATCGGGACTTGCTGGCAAGAGTATCGGTCATTGAAGAAAGCCATCCGAAAATGGTCCGCATGGCCCATCTGGCAATCATCGGCTCTCACAAGGTCAACGGAGTCGCGGAACTGCACTCGGACCTCATCAGAACAACTATCTTCAAGGACTTTGTCGAAATATACGGTTCGGACAAATTCACCAACGTGACCAACGGCATCACCCCGAGACGCTGGCTTCATCAAGCAAACCCACGACTTGCGGACCTTATCGCGACCAAGCTGGGTAGTTACGATTTCCTGAAAGACCTCACTCTCCTCGACGGATTGGAAGCACATGCAGAGGACAAGACATTCAGAAGCGACTGGGCTGCCGTCAAGCACGCGAACAAAGTCCGTCTTGCCACGCATATCAAGAACACAACCGGTTACAGCGTGAACCCGAGCTCTCTATTTGATATCCAAGTGAAGCGTATCCACGAGTACAAGCGACAGCAGCTCAACATATTTGGAGTTATCCACCGCTATCTGACTATCAAATCCATGACGCCCGACGAACGCAAGAAGCTCGTGCCCCGAGTATCCATCTTCGGCGGTAAAGCAGCCCCCGGATACTGGATGGCCAAGACGGTCATCCATCTGATCAATAACGTCGCTTCGGTAGTCAACAAAGACCCCGACGTCGGCGATCTCCTCAAGGTTATCTTTGTTGAAGACTACAACGTCAGCAAAGCAGAGATTATCATCCCAGCCTCTGATATCAGCGAGCACATCTCCACAGCCGGGACCGAAGCCAGCGGTACAAGCAATATGAAATTTGTCCTAAACGGAGGCCTCATTATCGGAACATGTGATGGAGCGAATGTAAGCATTCCTCCCTCCCCTATCTCGTGACTTACAACAACAGCTCGTGTATACATACATATAGACCTAAACCTAAACCACTAACAAAATAATCCAGATCGAAATAACCCGCGAAATCAGCGAACAAAACATCTTCCTATTCGGCAACCTAGCCGAAGACATCGAAGAACTCCGTCACAAACACCTCTACGCAAACGATCTCAAACTCGACCCCGACCTCACCAAAGTCTTCGACGCCATCCGCTCCGGCACCTTCGGCGACGTCAACGACTTCTCCGCCCTACTCTCCTCGATCGCCGAACACGGCGATTATTACCTCGTCTCGGACGATTTCCACTCATATATCACGGCGCAGAGCGTCGTAGATGAAGCGTTCAAGGATCAGGATGAGTGGGTTACGAAGAGTATTACGAGCGTGGCTCGTATGGGGTTCTTTACTTCTGATCGGGTTATTAATGAGTATGCTGATAGTATTTGGAACGTGGAGCCGTTGGATGTGACTGGTTAAATCGTCATTGGTATGGTATGCCTGAGCGGGTAGCAGAGGGAGAATTTTATGGAATTGTTAGTTATTAAGTAACCAAACATTACCTACTTTATCATAATTTACGAGCGTTTATCTTATGGTTTATCTTGTGGATCAGTGTTTTTTTTTTTTCCTGCTAATTTTCCATTTACTCTGACACAGTACACGAGTAATAACAAGTCAAAAGAAGCAGCATAAGAGTTCCCATCTATCATATCATTTCTATGTGATACCATAATACATGATACATGATGTATGAATGTAAAAAGACATTAATTTCCAAAAAAAGTAAAAACTGTATAGGAATGATAGATGACACATGGGTAGATCGTTTATAGATGTTCATGATGATATGACTTTCATATTTTCATTCAGTGTTGGATCACACACATACTGACGTTCCCAGACTTGGGGTGTATATATCGTCAGCAAGATATCCTGGTACCTAGGTAGCTAGTAGGTCGATGTTGTGCCTATATGCGGGACACTGGACGGCAAAGCCACACAGTTGTTATTGAAGAAGAAAGGTGGTCGGCGGTTTGGACCCGTTGGCGAAGATGTTCATGAGAGGATCTAACGGGCCGTTTCTCTTTCTCACATTTGTGTCTCCCCATTGACACATTGATCGTGTTGATGAAGGATCCGGGGAGTTGATGAAGCTGGTTTCATATGCTTCGACGTGGGATTTGACGAAGAATAGATCCAGGACTCGATACCCTTTGCGTGTGGGAAGCGAATCGGTTCTGATATAAGCCTCGTTGAGCGTGGTGTATGGTTGAGACGTGGTTGGAAAGTCGTGTATTTTCAATCGGCTATTTCCGAATTGGGGTCTTGCTCTGTTGAGCAAGACGGAATATGAGATTCCATGGAGAAGTGTTCTATAGGAACTTGTGTGTGTGAGCGAGTTGACATCTAAAAGGTGCAGCGAGACTGCGGAGTGGTAGCAGCTCAGGCGGCAGTGAGCTCGGCAACGCGTCGCTGCAATTCAGGCACCGCTCGAAGTTGCAGGTCAATCTCCTCTTTCTCACTGTAAAACAATCAGTAACAGGTTTAGTTATAGCTTTCGACCAAAGGGGAAAACCTACTCTTCAAGCTTCAATCTGCGCTCCCAGTCCAGTCCGGTGAAGACATAGTTTCCTTGGCCGTCAAACTGGAGGATCTTCTTGTGGTACTGCCAGAGGCTCCGTCGGTGGGACACAGTCATCAGGGTAATGCCCAACTTCTTGGCTGTCTCATACATCACCTTCTCGATCTCTAGAGTCACCGAAGATGTACACTCGTCGAGGATGGCGAATTTTGGTCGGTGGTAGAATAACCGGGCCATGGCAATCCGCTGCTGAAGTCCCCCCGACAGAACATCACGCCACTCCTCCTCGGCTTCCCAACCACCAGGGCGGTCCACAACGGAAGCGATTTCGACAGTTGCCAGGATGTCGAAGAGGTCTGCATCGGTGACCCCCTTGGAACGCATGTCCCGCACGGTGTCCGGGTAGATAACCTGCTGTCGGAGAGTTCCCCGCGAGAGGTAGGGTCGCTGAGGGATGTAGAAGATGTTTTCGAAGCTGGGTTTCTTGACAGTGCCTCCATAGACCGGCCACAGGCCACCAAGGATCCGGAAGAGGGATGATTTTCCACAGCCGTTCGGTCCGACGATAAGAAGATGATCACCTGGGAAGACAGTGAAAGACAGCTTTCTCACCAATACATCACCGTTAGGTGAGACGATCGGGACATCCGTAAATTCGATATAGTCGCTCTCGACGACGGTTCCACGGCCCGCCAGCACAGCTGCATTCTCTTCTGTGGATGCAGAAGAAACCAACTTCTTCGCGAAATGACCGGCCGTGAGATCATCCATCACATCCAGCAACGAGGAGACACGAGCGGTGTGTCCCGCCAGCTCCGAAATCTCCTTGTAGGAGAACATCACACGGCCAAAGGCGTCTGACGAGGAGAGCAGCATGCGTCGGTTTGTGACGAAGCCTGTCAAGCATTAGATACTGCGTCGAGGATCTGCAAAGTACGCGGCACTTACTTTCTGTCCGATCGCCCATTGTCTGAGTCACCTGGCCAGGGATCCTGAAAAACACAGGGAAACTGCAAAGAATCAGGCCCAGAGCGCCCCAGAAGTATTTCACGACAAAGTCCTCCATAAAGCCGTGATATAACCGCCGGCGTAGGATGCGGTTTACATGTTTAATCAACGTGAAATAGCCCTTATCCAAGTTATCCTTTTCAGCCTCGTGGCCGTGGTACAGCGCGATCTCTTCGCTGTAGTCGATTAATCTCGTATGCTGGAAGCGGAACTCGCCCTCCAACCGTGCCTCGTCTGCCACATATTTGCCGAACGGCGGCGTCAGCATGCGCATGACATTAGCCGACACCTGCACCAGCAAGCTCATCAGGAAGAGGCCTTCTCCACCAACAGTCTTCGATAGAGAGTAGTTGTAGATGACCATGTCCAAGATCGGTTTGGCCAGGTTGGAATACAGCTCGGCCAAGCTGTTCGAAAAGCGCGCGATATCGACAGTGATCAGCTGATCGGGATTCTTGATCCTATCATCGAGCGCAGATATCGCGTAAAAAGTCATATTGGAAAGGTATTTGTCGTGGACATGTTCAGTCAGACGTTTCCTGTACTGCAGGGCCAGCCGACATTGGTGATACGAGAGCTAGGGAAACAAAACACGCCCCGTCAGCGATTCACCACCCACTACCACGACTCAAGCAACGACTTACCATCGAGTTCGTAAACGTAGCAGGAACAGCCACCATCATCCACCAAACCAGACCAAAGAGGAAATCCTTCCCTTTCCCACGCACCAAGTTACTGACGAGGCGTCCATCCAGCTCCGCAACATACAAACTAAGCATCGTCCGCAACACCAAGAACACACTATGGCTGACCAGCAACCGCAGCTCTTTGCTCTTCCATCCCGGTATCACAATCTTCAATAAGCGCAGCAGGTTCCGCAGAAACTCGCGGTTCAGCTCGACCTTCTTCCTGGAGGTGCCTGCATCGCCGCCCAAGCTGCTGGTGCCAGGTCGTCCCCGCCTCTCGGCCTGACGCTGCGAGGCGGCTTTCTGCTCTGCGACAGCATTATGGATGCGCTTCGCAAGAGCAAGTGCCAAGGCCAGATAAAGTCCCCGCGAGACCCGGGTGCGGTGCTTCAGATACAGGTCCGTGACGGTGCGGAGAAGGTGCCGGAGGGACCGCTCAGGGGGCAGCAGCTTGGACTGTGCTGCCATGGCCGAAAGCTGGTGCCGTATCGACGGTGATGGATAGTCCAGTCAGAAGAAAAGGCACAGAGCATTCTTTGATGTAAGCAGTCGAAAGACTTGAGTGAGATCAGCTCGGAGATGGAGGGGAGTTCGAGACGGTTGGCGGTGTCTCTGTCGGGCATGTGAACGACAGGCAGAAAGTCACTGCCGAGGATGAGGAGAGAACGTCTGCTCAGCCAAGGGATAAAGAGATAATTTACATTGTTGTCATGATAATTCCCCAGTCGCTGCGAAGATCACATCCATTAATAATTCATAAGTAATAACTAATTAACTATAGAATCTCTCTCTGCCCGCAGACAAGTTAACTATCTCGATCTGCTTTCTCCGGGTTTCACCCCGGATTATGACATAAGCGACCCGCCTGTCAAATGTATACATATCATATCTAGATACGTATCTACATTCCACATTAACATAATATGTAACACCACCGCGACGGTGACATGCCAGTTAAACCAAAATACACACACAATTACCGCCTTTCCTGTGCTTCCACAGGCATAATACATGGTAGGAAAAAAACAACCCAAAGACCCCTAACCGCTCACCTAAGAAGCAGCGCAGATATTAGTCAGTTAACCATGTCAGCTAACTTAACTTTGTATAAGATAAATAAGCACTAATCAAAATAAATTGGGACGACATGGTCCTTCCACACCACTGCCGTCTGGTATCACACAATCGCTTGCATTGAGATTCGCCCAAATAGTAACGGCATCGCCCAGATAGAATACACCAATGGCAAAGAGCCAGTAGATTAAATAAGATAAAACAAATCATGTCACACGGAGTGGAAACTATGTACAAAAGGCGTCCCATCCGAGATGGACTGGTGAGATGTTGTAACCGGAAAGTATATAGAGCATGTCAAGAAGCCTTCGGGAAGGATCTGGCACGACGCTAGTGGATAACTCGATGACGACAACACGGTCACGGTTACTCGATGGCGCTGTTATCCACTGCCTCTTCGTCGACAGAAGGGCTTGGCCTCATGCCGGCGTTGATCTGAGCAGCGATTTGGCTCTCTTTAAATTTCTGGAACGCCTCCGCGTCCTGCTTCTGGATCAACCAGAGCTCCTCCATGGTACAGCCCAGCTCCTCGAGAGCCTTGTCCGGACCTACGCTTTCAACGCGAGAGCGTATCTGTTCACCACGCAAACGCTCAAGCTTCTCCCGCAGGGAGGCAATGTGGGAATCATCGAGTGGAGACGAAGATAGGTTGGCGGCAGGGTAGTCCTTGAGGAAGTCACGGCGGATACTCTGGCCAAGGCGATGGATATGACCTTCCTCAGATGTCAGGGCACGCGAGTGGAGGGAAGTATTTGAGCTGCTACGTGATATTCCAATAACGTAGTGTTCAGTATCTTCGTCGTCAATGGCGGTTTCGTCATCGAAGTTGGTTCCAGACGGAGGACTTCCGCCAGAGATTCCTTGATCATTGATTTCGTCAGAATGCTGGGAAGATGTGTCCTCACGAGGAGCTGGTGGTGGCGGCGGCGCGGCAACGCGTGTCTCAGGGTATTCATATTCAAAGCGCTGGATCATTTTCTGCAATGTGTAATCAAGGAATTGTAGACGCCGGTAGTTCGTGTCGTTACCAGCTCGGTCTTCACGGACCAGAGCTGACTGGATCCGCAAACGAATCTTGCGGGCAGCTACCAACAAATTCTTAGACATATCACGAGGCCTCTTGGGAGGTCGGGACCGGCTCTTCCGATGTCTCGGCGTGGTGGTGCCGCTGGGGGGAGCGGAAAAGTCCAAACTGTCGGAATGGTGATGGTCTGCGTTACCCAGACAGACTCCAAGAGCTTTCGCGACACCAGTGCCTCCAATGACATAATCCTCATCTGGTGCAGGATCGTCATCTTCTTCTCCCAGTTCTTCTCCATCAAGGTGACCGACGACATGTTGCAGGATCTCTGGTATAGGGACGTCGCCTTCCGTCCCGGCATCCGTAGAACCAGAAAGGTCCTCCTCCATAGAGCTGCGTTCCAAATTCCGGAGTGAGTACGCCACGATCTGGGACGCCAGAGCCTTGACGAACTCGTTACTCTCCGCAGTGGGAACTTCAATATCGACTGCGATGATGGTGCGGGAGACACGTACTGCAGCCATCAGCGAGGCATACACAGCACACGCCTCCTCTTGGCTGGCAGGATCGGCCGCCTCTGCAAGTCTTCTGATCTGCGAGTTTTCCATTATATTCAGATGGCAAAGACTCGGGCATTCTGGCAGAATCTCAGCCAGTGCGATGGCATGGTCGGGAGATAGATCCACATCAGCCAAGTGAATGCGCTTGAGCAACGGCATCTTGGGCAAGTATCGCCTCAGCATGATAAGGGCATCTGGCTGCGACGAGAAGAGACCACGGTTGTGCGACAGGTCGACGAACCGGAAGTTAGGTAAGCGAACAAAAGCTTGGAGCAACGGCGCAAGAGTTGGTGGTGTGAGCGAACAGTCGGCCAAGCTGAGGGCGTAGAGAGGGTGTTTGCTATCGAAAGCAGATGGCAAGAGGTCAAGATGATCTTCCAGAGGATTTCCACCAAGGTCGAGACCTTCGCATTTTCCAGACTGTAGATAGCGGACCACATGCTGGAGGCCTTCCCTGGTCAGCTCGTTATTCGCAAGACCAAGTCTCCTCAGACCGAATGCAACGGCAGCATCACAGATCTTTCCAACGTCACCAGTTGCTGGTCGACATTCGCTCAGCAACAACTCCTCCAGATGACTACCCCCGAACCGCTTCTCCAAAGCAGTTGAGAAAACGGCACCAATATCTGCGCCAGGGTACTCGGTCCGGTTCAACGATCCCGGGCCATTAGCGGCAGCAGGGGGCCTTGGGAACGGAATGCCGGAGAGATCAATTGCCTTGAGAGACTTTGACAGGTGTACGAAGAGACAGATGTGCCGCCAGCCCTCTGGGCCGATCTTGGGGTTCTTCTTCAAGGACAGCTTCTCAACCACACCGAAGCTCTCTTCCTTGGGATCGGTCTGAAGATTGGGTTTCCGTGATCTCCTCCGACGATACCTAGCTTGTTCTGCGGTCTTGGTGGCCAACAGACCGGCAAGGATCGAGCGGACGCCTTCGTCCGTGAGCGCGCAATTCTCCAGTATGAGTTTTCTTACCGGTACCACTGCAAGCCAGTCGCTAAACGTGATGATGTCTTCGAGGCTCATGGGGAAATCGGTGAGATCTAGCACGGCAACGGTCCCTGGAGACTCCGCAAGGGTAGACGAAGGAGATGAAATCTGCTCAACAAGCTTCTTCAAGACCGGGGTTTCACGAAGCTGACAACACCGCCGATATATTCTCACGGGATCGGTAGTCGGCTGACTCTGCGTTCTGGAGCGGCCGGTGCCAGACGTAGGCGCACTCGAGCTCTCATCATCGTCTTCTCCCCATATCAACTGCATGGGAATCGAGCCGTTTGCCTCCGCCAGTCGTCGTTTTCTTTCTTTACGTTCCTTGCGCTCTTCTTCTGACCGCTTCTTCTTCTCTTGTTTTCTCGTCGGCTCCTTGGTCGGGACATCTGTTTTAGCGTCGCCCTGGCTTCCATTCTCCTGCGTTGGCCCCTTCCCCGAGCCTGTGGCGACGGCCTTATTCTCTTTCTCAGGCAGAACAGCCTGAGGGTGTTTCAGCGCCTCTCCCTCGCCCTTCTCCTTAGACCTCACGTCGGCCTTCTTCGGGCGGGAGTCTGCTTTCTCATCGTCCGAGTCTCGACGAGAAATGCCCGCAATTTCCACATCGACACAGAATGCGACACGCTTCAGTTTCGATTGGTTCAGGTCTGGAACTCTGCACCTGTCGCGATTCTGGTTCACATTCATCACACGACGCTGGCACACCACACCGTTTGTGGCCATCTTACCGGACCCGTTTGTGCTTGACGAGGACAATTTCCGGAGAGCATTGTGGAGAAACCCGCTTCGCGGGGAGCTCGAGATAAAGGGGTTTGGCCCATCTCCATTCTTCTCCTCTTTGTCTTTCGGGGAATAGGCTGCACCAAACGGGTTGGGCAAGTCCAGTCTCGAAGTAGGTGGAATAGGTCTCGGAGGAGTTGAGTTTTCCTTTTGATTGTTCTGCGCAGGGGGGCTAGATGCAGAGGAGGAGAACTTGGAGCTCAGATTCGAGATCCACGAAGGGCGTCTACTGGGTTGCCGTACTGGCGCCGTACTGCCAGCGGGCTTTGGAGTGGCATTTTGTGAACCCGGCGTCTGCGTAGAGCCTTTATTCTCTCCTGCTGTCTGACCAACGGACCCAGCCTTCAGGTCGTCCTGCGACCTAGAGACCGTCTGTGATTGCTGATCCGGTGATGATTTCCTGGTGGCTGACGTGAGATGGTTTACATTTGAGGAAAGCGGTTTCGCGGCGGTCTGTGTCTCCGTAGTCTCTACACTCGATCCCGATTTATCGCTAATGGCTGACGATGTTGACTTGGTTCTGGACAGGGTATCTGCATGAAAGGAGCATCAGCAATTGACCACAATCAACTAAGATGGACGAATCGCCTCCAACTGTATGGAGCGGGGCCTCGTCGACTCAGCCAGCTCCGTACCTTTTCGCGAATGATGAAGCCAGCTCACATCCACCGTCTCGACACTGTCCATCTTGGCGTCCAAAGCGACTGTATTAGCCAAGAAGAAGAGCTGGCCACAGCCTCGTCTGGAGAGTATATATATATATGGGTATATATAAATGCGGTGTCTGGAATGCGGTGAGCAATGAGCCCTCAACTATACAGTCAGGCGCATTCTCAGTGAAGGTTGAGGTCACGCGACGAGGGAAATGGTGCAGTGGGAGGTCGTGCGAGTCAGTGAGATGCCTGCTGCAACACTCTCCAGACAAGAGGGAAGGGAAGAATTGGTCTGTGTGCTAGAATCGCGGAGCGTTCTTTTTTTTTTGCAGCGTCACAAGCGGAGATTCATGACCATGTCCGTCATCGGAGCGCGGCGGAACAGAGCGGACATAGTTCAAGACTGGAGGCGAGTGGAGTGGGGGAGGGATATATGGTGGTAGGAGACCGGTGAGAAGCAGACAAGAACTAGTTAGTTGGTTGGAAGCTGTAATAATAATATGATTAGGGATAGACGATTACGGACAGCTGGACGAGGGCGATGAGGTGGTATATGCAGCCGGGTCGAGAGACGGCGCGCCCGGGGATCGAGAAGCAACAAGATTCGCCGGGAAGGCCGTGTTGGCCCAGAGTCAAGGAAGAGACCGTTTACGACGTGGATGCTGATATCTTGCGTAGTCTAACTACCCCTACCTATGAATCGTCACTGGCATGACTGCGATCTGCACTAGAAGGCCTGAATACGAGTAACACATTCTATTATCTTCCTTTCCACTGGACCATCTCGCATGCTCGAAAGTCTCGAAGAGAACGCACGAGACTGTGTAACGGCCTCGTTTCGATACGGTGTCGATACCATGCCGATACCGTCCCTTACAGGGCGCTATCTCTTGGCTTACAGGCCACGCACCACACCGCCTGCCTAGTCTGCACTTTTGCGGGCCCGACGTTGCCGCCGATGGGCGAAGCATGACGTTTACCTGTGGTTCCCAGCGTCATTCTGTGTGGTGGAAAGAGTGGAAAGAGTGGAAAGAAGCTGGCAGTACCGTAAATTCCATAAGTCAGCTGATGGTCGTAACTTAACATCGATCTGGTCTGAATAATAATATCGAGTGATTCTCCTCCTCGCCACGGATCTGCAAGCGAACCACTCTTGGACCACCTGTTGAGTTGAGCCAAATATCTGAACCAGTGAGCCTCAGTGCGCCTCGGGTACGCCTTGGAAGTTACACAAATGCTAAGTTACTCAAAAACAGTATAACTACCAATGCGTGATCGAGCATTACAGAACAAGTTAGAAGGATCAATTAAATATTCGACTATTAACTAGTTATTATTATTCCTCCTGTCCTCAGAAGTACAGTATGTACCATTACTATCATACCATAGAGCAAAAAGGGCCCACGGGATGGGATGGCAAAGTGAGGCTTCGGTCGAGACCTTTTGCCTCTATCATTCCGCTAAAATACTAACTGCCCCCGCGAATCGGTTTGCCGCCTTAACTGCCGTCGACTGGCCCCGCTACTGCTGACCCCTATACCATACTTCTGCTTATGGTACAGGGAACCATCTTCTCCTATTATTATTGCCCCCCTATACTAACCCTATTGCAGTGGCCTAATCACATCAGATGATATCAAATATAGATCTGAGACATGATGCTCTTATAGATACACAGGTATAAACCCCTGAACGGTAATTATTAGCTGCGTGCTTTTCTTATGCATCTACATCAGCGGTCCATCTAATTCCATTTCTAGGAGCTTCCGGCAGCTTTGAAGCAGCGGCAAGGAAAGGGGCGCATCCTCATGATAGAGATAGTCACTGGATACAGCTAAATATGAAGTATACAAGTAGTCATTGGTAGGGTCGTGTCAATGTGGTCGGCCAAAAAAAAGGGGGGGGATTTCTGCAGCAAACCCATAAGGAATTAAGTATAAGCAACCAGCAAAGCTATATTGAATTAAGAGCAAACCTCTCAAGGCCAAAGTTCTCACGTCAACTAGACACAAAATAGCCTAGGAGGCAATGATTTCATCCACTGTCCAATAGGGATCCAACTTGCGTTCTGCAGCTTGCTCTGTTTTCTGTTTGAAAAATCTATCAAGCTCAGCCCGTTCACTTTTCTCCAGGAGTTCAACGCGATCCTCCAGTGTGGTAAATTCCCCATAATACCTCTGATCGATAAAATTCCAGTAAATATCATCAAAGGCAAAGCTAGACCTTGCGGCGAGGCAAACCCAGAAATCTCCATTATCCATCGACTGCTGCATACGTTCTGAGAGGGTATGGTCGATTGTAATATCATATGCCAATTCTCTCTCACATTCCCGCAAAACATCAAGAAAGACATTGTGGCGTGGCATATATTGCGTCGCAAAGTCGTTTAAACCACCTGGCCAGTCATCGGGATTTGCAAGGAGGAGCCACCACGGTGAGCAATGGGTAAATTCTGCTGGCGCTGCATAACAAAACTCCCAATCGATAACTGCTTTGATATCAAGATTGGAGTCCACAATCACATTAGAAGGACGTAGATCATCACAAAATAAGCTAAAAGGACCATTGTTGTAGCTAGTAGAGAAATTGCGCGCAATTCTCCTGAAAAGACAGCGCGCCACGTACTTTCTTCTGCAGTCTGCCTCATTGTAAACTGCATTGTTTCTTTGTGTCTTCAGATGTTGCATATGAATCTCAGAAAGTGACAGAAAATATTCAGTAGCAGTTGAGAACGTTCCTTGGGGCATAGCCGATGGGGGGAAATTGGCATAAGTAAGAAGCTCGTTGATGTTATGCGTAAACGGTCGTGTTCCAATAGACCAGCCTCCACGGTCGTCTTTAACCAGGGACCCAATATGAGAGAATTGACACCGATGTAATTTTAGAATTATGTATGCCATTTGACGATAGGCAGCTCGTAACTTGTGCTCACTGATGCCAGGGTCCAGGATCGCTGGTTCTCGATTGTCTCGAAGAGGAGCTTGTAGATGATCACTGAGCAGATTTCCGCTAACAAAGTCCATCACGATATAAGGTCCCGAGCCACTAACACCATTCCCGCGAACTGCAGGAATGGGTATAGAAGTTGATTGGGCGATGTACGCCATCACGGCCACTTCGTCGTTGATCTTTTCTTTCCTCAATGCAACTCTTCCCATGATGGGAAACCGTACGATTGCATCTGGTCCTTTTTGAAATGTTATTCTGTAACAGCGATTATAGGCTCCGTCCCTGCAATGAATGGCCTTCGTTGGGATCTCCTGTCGATGTTGTGCGGCGAGCTTTGCTGCTATATGATCAGCTGAACACTGTCGCAGGTTCCTTGTCCATAAAATGTACAAGGTGTTCGCTCTTTTGCAAGCTTCATCATCGGGATACATTCTTGAAGCTCTGCAATGTATTTTATGAATTTAAGGTCGAGATCAGAGGATGTTTAAGAACAATAGCAAGTCAGGAGGTCTGAGATCCAGGTGCGAAAGAACGCAACCTTCGCAAGGGCGGTGAGAGACATGCGCTAAGTATCTATGTAGCACACTACGGAGTAGGTAAATGGAGGGAGTATTGCTACAAGTGTGGTTGGATGGCAGATATAGTACTGCGTTACGACGTTACTGCGGATGATGCGTAAGGAGACTGCAATGGACCGTCTCGGAGCAGGTAGAACTGTTTGAATGACTTTCCCTTGGTAAACCGAACTAAGATGCTCCGAAAACAATGTGACGCTGATTCCCGTAACCCGTAAACCCTTGACCAAACGAGAAAAAATCTGCCCGTAGGCATACAGGTATCTCTGAAGAATACTTTTTTTATTTATTTTCGACACAGCAGCATAACTGTGAGTACATTTTTGTTGTCGTCCTAAGCTCACATTTACGCGAGCGAGCGGATCTTGGCCTCGATGCGGGCCTTGCGCTCCTCGCGGGACAGCTTGGCGCTGCGGTACTTCTTGCTCTCGGCCTTCCACTCCTCCTTGGACTTCTTCTCGCCGGCCTCCTCATCCTTCTTGAAGGGGTCCTCGCGGATGGCCTTGTGGGCGTTGGCGTAGATCTCCTCGAGGGAGTCGGCATCGATGTCGTTCTCGATGTACTTGACGAACTGGGAGTTGAAGCGCTCCTCGTCGTCGTCGGCGAGACCCTCCATGTACTCAGCGACGTGACCACCGAAGATGTACTTGCGGAGGGTCTCGGCGTCGAGCTCCTCGGTCTCAATGTCGAAACCGGGGAAGCGGGACTCGGAGTGGGGGATGAAGATACCACCGTCGGAGGCACCCTTCATGGCAGCGAAGACACGGGCACCAGTGGAGGTACGGGCCAGACCAACGTCAAGGAAAGCCTTGAAGGGGCGGCGAGTGCCATCGTCGGTCTCGATGGCCTCAGTGAGAGTGTACTCTCCGTCAGCCTCCTCGACACCGGTGAACTGCTCATCGAGGTTGAGCTTCTTCAGGGTGCGGCGAGCGAGCAGGAGACCAGTGGCGTAGGCAGCGGCCCAGTTGGTCAGACCCTGGGTGATACCATAGCGCTTGAGCTCGTGGGAGTAGGCGGCAGCGAGGATCTTGTCACCGGTGATCTCGGACCAGACGATCTGGGTGATGATGTCGCGGTTGGTGAAGCGGACGACCAGACGGTACTTGGGAGAGGTGTACTTGTTCTTGGCCTGGGTGACGAGGCGCTTACGGGCGTAGTAGTCGGTCTTACCCTCGCGACGGCGCTTGTACTTGGTCTGGTAGCGACTTGGGGCAAGTCAGCAAAATGCGCTGGAAACAAAAAATAAATTGTTTTTCGAGGATCTGACACTCACCTGTAGTACGCGCTGTTCTTGACAAGCTTGGTGAAAGGCTACAGAAAATCCATCCGAGTCAGCAATTTGCGCTTCAGAAGCCCCCTCTCCGAAGCATCTTGCAGAGACCCATATCTATTTTCCCACAGGCCATCGCCTGCAACGAGGAGGAGGTTTTCAGGAGGTTGCAATCGCACTCTGGCGATGCACAATGGCAGTGAAACTCACCATCTTGTCGGTTGTCGAGGTTGACGGCCCTGTATTGTCGACGTTGGCTGCTTGAAGAAAAAGTGACGGTGGGAAATTTCGTGGGTTCAAATTTGTGGGCGGGATTCGCTTAGCGTGCGTGACTGCATCCAAAAGTTGCGCTGGCTTTGGGGTCGGCGACGACGAGCCTCACGGGAAGTACAGTAAGCCGAAATGCACTTCTACTCCTGAGATACTTTCATCAGAACAGGAGGTCAGATAAATAATATTACATGGATTTTGCTAATCATCAGAACATGGCAGATATGCATTGAGAGCTTGAACAATCATAAGACTGCGGGGATGAACGCATATCTCTACAATAACTGCGGTAAAAAGCTGTAACCCATTCGTCTACAGTCGAGCTTTCTCTTCGCTTTCTAGAAGACTCAAACCGGTAATCTGCTCCAATTCTCTGACCGCATCCTGAGTCTTACCCAGAACGACTTTCAGCGTTCTTATTCCTGCCTTCTTGGCCGCCTTCAAATTCTCCCCGATATCGTCCAGGAAAACGACATCCGCGGGTGCAACCTCCTGGATCCCGCGTGTCTTCGCCACCCGGTTTATCTCCTTCAATGAAAATGCGTAGATCTTGGGATCCGGCTTCCTAAGGCCAGAGTGGGCGGATGAGATGAAGAAATCAAACTGCGCTTTGAGTCCATTCGGATCATTTTCGTTATTATAGGGATGGCCATCGGGAAAGATAACCGTGTTCGATAGTGCACCGATCAAAAACTGCCCGGATGCCTTGAGTTTTTTCAGGGCTGGAAAAATGTAGAGATCAGGTGTCTGCGATACTCGCATCATCTCCCAGAATAGCCATTCTGCATCGATCTCTGGTAGTGGCGGGACCGATGTCGATTTATTGTCGGTCTGTTTTCGCTTTTGAAGTCTTTCATGGAATTGCTGCCAGAGTGTTGGATTTCGTAGATCCCGATTGAATGCCGCGAAGAAGTCCGCGTCCAATTTGATCTCGCCTCGCTCCAGCTTGTGCCAGCTTCCATTGGGGGCAGTTCGCGAGATACTGAAATTCACCCACCCGAGTGGAATATTGTTGGCGCGCTCATAGTCTAGAATAGCTTGGAAGGGTGATGCTACCTGGGAGATTATTAGTGTCCAGCGTTTTGGGTGTCTCGACTCCTGATTGATGGTCTTACGCAGACTCCCCCAATGTCAAACAACAAGGCCACAGGGCGCCTATTTTCAGCCATGTTGATATTAAATAAAAAGACGTCTTCTAGACAGATATCATATGTGAAACTGTCTGATATAGAAGCGTATGGAGATAGCTAAACCGCGTGCAGAAGCGGACGTTCCTGACTGATCGTAATGCTAGTCGGCGAATTACCGAGGCTCCGCGCGAAGGAGCCCTGTCGCATCGCTTAGACCGAGGACAACACGATTACATCTGCGACTAGCGGCTAGAGACCTCGTTACTATGATCGATGTGATCGGTATCCCGATAGATATAGCCCATTCACGGAATTCCTGTCTATTAGCGGCCGTTCTAACCGACCGGGTGGACAATGGACATGTACTTGTAGAGTCGATGATACAGTAGTGGCTTAAGATCAACCGCGGTGATTTCGATTCGCGGGGAAGGTCACGTGGACACCCGTTATCGATAACAGTTTCGCGACAAGAACGCGACATCAATTTATTATCAACGTTATAATTAATCTGACATTCGTCCCACGAGGCGCAACAATGGGACGTGGTTCTTGATGAACCATGGACACTTCTCGGACAATTTCAGAGCTGAAATCCTCCTTCGTACGAACTCAGGTACGGATACTATCGGCCGCGCTTGAACCTCAAGAAGGCTGGAGAGCCTATGGAGTCCCATCAGATGAAGGTGATCTGAGTGACAAAGCGGTCGAGGAAGCATTGCAGAAATGTATGGACAGCACCTGATTATTCATTGAGGTTTCCTCGTTCGCGTCTGACAAAATCCAGTGCATTCTGTTTTGAAACAACATAATCGCGTAGTCTACTCATCTCAAGCCATCCACCATGTTGCGCGACAGATTGAAAGCCTCTACTGGAACTCGGTTCATGAGGATCTGCATGGTCTAGGCTATCATGGGAAAGGGGTCGAGCAGGGAACTGATCTCTCAAACCATTTGTAGGTCTTGATCTTATTTAAGCACTCCTACCAGGTGCAGGCTGACACTTTTCAGGAATATATCGAAGCTCCCACTCGAGTGGGAGAGTGAATCTGCTGATGAAGAGGGAAGACAGAGGTAAGGAGTCAGCCGTATTGCAGATGGTGCTTGATGGTCCAGTTATTGATATCCCCCGAGATACCAGCAGCTACGCACTCGCCTCGTCGAGCTAGACGAACAGCGTCAGCAACAGCAACGGCGGCTTGCGGAGTACAAAAGGCTGCAGGCGCTCCTTGAGCCGTTCAAGGACCCGCAAAGCAACATCCAACCGAACTTGGTAACCAGAGATGGCGAGCTTGGAAAGGAGCTCGACAGGATGAGGATGTTGGTAGCTCGAGTTGCCGGTCGTGTCAGTCAAAGTAAAAGTCTCCGTCAGGAGGACACGGGCAATGCTACCTATCTAGATACTGAGCAGAAGCTGTCAGCGCTTCTGGATATGACTTGACATGGATCAATGCGTTGCCGGACTTTCCGGGTTTGCTATTTTTAAACCCACTATGCTTGGCAAAGAAGACCTCCTTTCTTTGAAGCGATAATGATTCGCCATATCTAAGTATCCTGTCCTTTCATTAATGATTGTCGGCGCTATTATTGCCCTAGATCCCCATGCTGCACATGTAGGCATCCATCAATTGTTTTATTATAGAGGACACAAAGTCTTGTTTCAACCTTAAGGTATAAACATCATATCTGCAGTGACACTAAGACATGATAGATGATCATGAAGATTACTTGATGGACTGCAAAATACACGCCTGTAGCCGGAAGCGGGACTATTTGTGTAGGACCTTGACGAAAGCAAAGGGACTAACTAGGCCAGTCTGCGAGTTGTCATATTCACCTTGCCCTCACTCCTCAGGCAACTGAAGACCTCTTGACCGTCCACGGTCTCACGTCCAGACAGAGCCTGACTGCTGCTCTGTGAGCATCAATATTAATGCTGGAGAACTACTAAGAATACATGATCACTCCAGATGCACGCTAGAAGTCGCAGCGAACCGCCTGGCCCTTCCGCGCCTAACCCTTTCAGTGATGGCGCGGGATACGGCAGCCAGCAGGCGCCAATGCAGCTGGACCAGAGGAACATGACAATAAACCTGCCGCATAGCGACGCCAATAATAATACTCCCCTCCAATCTTCTCAGACTCCTGGAGTCCCTCAGCAGGGTTTCCGTCGTCATCGTCGTGCGTCGGGCTTTTTGAACCGCGAAGAGCTCGACAACTTCCTCGCGACCTTCAGCTACGCGAAGTACCCCGGTCCTGATCGCAGCGGTCTCGAAGCTGCCACTCGTCCTACTCCACCACCACACCTACGCCAACCGCTCGACACCAACTCTGAATTGCATCCAGTCTTTGGAGAGCTCAACCGCGCCTTCAACCGCGCGAGGATGTCCCTCAGCAACGGTTCTGGCCTGCCCAACAGTTCTCCGGGAGGTGGCATGTTCACCAATTACATCGACAACAACCCCAATCTCGCTGGTATCCCACGTCAGACTCCGTCTCCTTCCCCTCCGCACGCATCAGCCCAGGTCAACGGTGGCGGAATGGCGGGGATCAATGGTGGAATGCCCATGAATGCGGGCCATCAGATGGACCTCAACCATCTGTATGAAATGGTCCTCGAATTGAGCGAGGTGCTCAAGAACAATCGCGAGATGACCAAGGGCATCATCAACAGCGCGGAGGAAATCATGGTACGTCAATATCTGGGCCTTCTTCGTGTACCCTGACAAGTCTTTGGGGTTGATGGGTTGAAATATGATGAGCTGACTTGTAAACTCCAGAGACGTGCGAGCTCTGAAGGCGCCAGCCCTAATCTGCAGCAGGTCAATGGAGAAATAAGTGGTAAGGTTCATTCAGAGTGTTTCCACGTTTTCCACGCTAAAATCAAAGATAGCTGCGCGCATTGCGGAACTTGAGCGGGCCCTCGTTAAAGAAAAGCGTCTCGTTGAGGTCTTGAAACGTGAGCAGGTTGAGAATACTAGACTCATTGGAGAATACGAGACCGCTGTCGGCACCATGGTTGAGCAGATCCGTAACTACTGCCACAACAACACCATGCACTTCCTTGCTCAGAAGCGTCACTACAACAACCTCCTCCAAGCTGAGCGTGACGCCCACCTCGAGAGCCGTCTCGATCGCGACCACTGGCACGCTATGACCATGAAATGTGCCGAGATGATTCGGACCGCCTATCGTCTCCGCTGCGAGGAGGAAGAGCTACCTATCCGCATTGTGGCTGGACTTCAGAACGAGGTCCGTGCCTACCGTAACGCCTTGGGCATGGAACCCGAAAAGCCTGAGGAGGAGTATGGATGGGAAATCCTCAAGGATGCCCCTCCTGGCGTCGACTAAAATGGATAATGCACTTCCTCCAATCGTGTGAGGAATTCTGGAGTTCGATGGCAAAGTCTTGTTTTTCCCTTCTGGGCATGGCGTTTTGGGGTCTGATTCTAAATCTGTATTCTTTGGGAAAGATACCCTAAACTGCGACGATTTGGTTGTATGTCCGCAGAGAGCGGCCAACACGGGGGTCCATCCTCGAGTGTGTCTGGCTTCTTGGCTTGGCGAATTTCTTTCTAGCCGAGGCAGAGAATACGCTCTACTTGTTGTAATTGGTCCAAAGCTTCCATTTCTGTAACTTGACAGGGATGAAACAGTGCCTCTTTGGGTTCTTGTACTCTCGAGCTTAATCTGAAACAGGAGAGATCTGAGCAGGGATCCTTCCACGGTCATAGAGCCGAAGGAAGCTAGATTTGCCTTATCTTTTATTCCAGTAGCGACGTAGCTAACTTCTACTTGATCGTCTGCGCGGTAGTCCCTGCGGATTTGATACATAAGTTTCTTTGAAGATGTCAAGGATGCATGTTAATAGGCGAACATATCTAGCTAACGTGCGTAAATCTAAACGTGGGGGCTGGCTGCTTGTTCTACAACTCCCTGCTCCGTACAACCAACGTCTGTCTGTTCTATACAAGCCATCCCTGGTAGCATGGATCTGCAAGAGATTCCTAGCTGTGTCTTGTCCCAAATAAGCTCTATGCTCCGTTTCTAGATCCGTCCTGTTTTGCAATACGGTCCCGGTGAGCCTCCAGCATGTTCCAGGTCTACTCAAACTACTAGTATTTTTCTATTCTCAATTCTCAAACTACTTGGCGGAAGTGTATCTACAAATATTGATACTACCATGTTCAATTCTAGGCCTCTTGATGATGTCCACAATGAATGTCACGAGTTTGTTGCTTGACTTGACTGATAACAGACACTAATAGATCAAGCGAATGCCTCCATCGATAGTTAAGCTATGTGGATACTTTCTGCAATTCACAATCTTGGGTATGGGAGCTATCTAGAACCGTTTCACCACTCCGGTGCCCGTGACAACAACATGCTACAAAATCGACCTTCCTCTTTTCTGCACGATTGAAACGGCCCAACTTGCTCTCTCACACATCCCTCGTCGGGAACTGTCTTAGCTGGAGTAGCATAGCCTCATTCTTATTGTCCTTTTGGTGACCAGATTGGTTGATGCAAGTGGCTGTGATTAGCATAACCGAGGGTATCCTGTTCGATTCCTTGATCCAACGCCGTCTGTCCTGTCTATCCAATCAAGGATCTTCTTTCTTATACCTTCTCAAGAAATACTGATAGAGAAGGTGATGGATTGGAATGGATTCTAGACACGCTAGTTGCGAGAGCGATGCTGGATATGGACTATATGCCCGAACCAAGAGGACTGCTTCTTGTGTCTGTTTCCGGAAGGTAGATTCCCAGAGAGATAGCATATATATAAGACAAGGTCCTCCTGTGAAGTAAGTATTTCTATTTGGGAATTCACGCCTCAGTCCGCAGCCGCATCTTTCATATCTTATTCTGTTCTCTTTCCGCGCAGGACGCAGCCATATTTTAGTACAGTTCTTTTCTTTTTATTTGTCCAAAGAAGGTATTTGATATACCACACTGCCTTTTTCTCTGTGGTTTACTTTTGTCTTGTCGATTCATATTTGGGATTATCTACCATGCATTACTCTATCGCTGTTGTCCTCGCGGTCTGTTCCGCCCACGTCTCCGCTCATGGAGTCGTCACGCAAATCCAGGGTGCCAATGGAGTGAACATGCCAGGCCTCTCAGGTGTGCTCTCTGTCCCATTCGTTGCAGACTCGACTAGGTGTACTTACAATATATATTATGGCTTCAGTGATCGATGGCACCCCTCGTGATTGCTCATCACCTTTATGTGGTGCGGAAGACGATACTTCCATCATCAGAGACAAGGAACTGGGCACTGACAAAGCCTCTGCACTGGGTCGTACCAAGGGCAATGGTCCCGTCGATGCTGCGTCTGCGATTGCGACCTTCATGGGCAACTCGACGGCCAATGCAGCTACCAAGAGAAGGAGAGGACTGCTTAGTGATCTCCTGGGAGGTGGAAAGGGTTAGAAGACCTGGCTCTCAAGAGAGAAAAGAGTTCTGTTACTAATTGGAGTTGTTACAGATGATCAGAACGATGCCAACACATCTGAAGGAACTAAGACGGCCGATGGAACAGTCGAAGAAGGCGTCAAAGCCGCAGCTGGTACTGGAGCCACGTCCGGTCTTCCAACATGCTCTGACAACGGGACTATCTCCATGACTTACCATCAGGTGAGTAACTAATTGTCTCAGCTATCAAATCCAGGATCTTTTACTCCCCACTGACAATTCCACTTCCACCAGGTCAACCAAGACGGCGCTGGTCCATTAACCGCCATGATCGATCCGACATCAGGTGGAACAGACCCTAACGCCTTCCAACAAGCTACAGTCACTCAGGACATCCCCGGCGACAACAAGCTGTCACTCGACGGCGTCACGAAGACTGATTTCCCGATCCAAGTGCAAATGCCAGCAGGAATGACCTGCAGTGGAACTGTCGGTGGTGTAAAGAACGTGTGCATCGTCCGCGTAAACAATAACGCGCTGGCAGGACCGTTCGGTGGTTCAGCAGCATTCACGCAGTCCGCCGCAGCAACTAAACGATCCATCGAGTACAGAATGCGCAAGAGGCACTTTGCCCGTGGTATTCTGGGCGAGGCGTCTGAGTAAAGTGCTGGTCGGACTTGGACGAATACCATGGCTCAATCTGTCATGGCCAGAAGGTATTGTAGGGGGGATCTGCGGTTCTATGACTAGGATCCAATGGCCGGATATAGCCTCTAATAAGTGTTTTCCTTTTTCCATTCATTCATTCCTTTATTCTTAACTCTAATAATTATGCACAAGAAGATATTGAGAGAAGAAGAGATCTCTACATACCACGGAACAATGTCTTTTTTTTTTATAACGGGGCAAAGTTGAATCCAATATATAAGGGTGCAAGTCGTTCCTTTTGAATAAATCCCAACACAATATCCCCAACTCCAATTCTTTGCTGGATACGCTCGTCTGTCTAGAGAACCTAGATTATTTCATCACAATCCTCATATAAGAATTCTATGGAAAAATCTGAGATTAGGCGTGACAGGTTATTTATACTTCATGGAAAAACAAAGGAAGAATAATGAACTAATTGATCTGTATTCTATTCCCATGCTCTCCCATATATCATCCAGCCCTTTCGAGAGTCATCGTAGTAACATCAAACATGGAAGAAGAAGTAGCAGTAAAAAGTAAAAACGCCATCCCGACCCATCCATTCCAAGCCCAGCTCAAGACCATGGTATCGTATCATCCCAGAACTTTATAAATAAATATCATAACAGGACCCCAAAAAGATAAGAAACGAGAAATACGTTATCTGAATCACCGATGACTACTCTGTCCCTTCGGGACTGGTCGGACCCAACTGAGAGTGACGAAGATGCCGATGGAAATGGCGCCGATGATCCAGATAGAGCGGCCATATTGTACGCCGTTATAGCGGAATATAATGGCGAAAATGATACCGCCGAGATTTCCTGTGGCACCGACTATTCCGGAGACGATTCCTGGAGGGGAGGTTAGTGACGTTGTCTTTGAGGGAGGCATGAAGGAGAAGGTTAAGATAAACTTACCATTAGCATAGGGATGGACATGAGGTACTAGGGCAAAGTTGGCGCCGTTACACGCCTCCAGGAAGAAAGCCAGACCGGCAGAAAGTCCAAACATGGTGGACTGGGAGCGGGGATTCGTCAGGCCGATGGCAAGTTGGAACGCACCCATGATAACGCCCAGGAAGGTCAGCCACATCTTCTTTCCCCAGACGTTGTTGGTGGAGCGGTAGATCAGGTCGGAGATGTAGCCGCCAATAGGACGGAAGACGACGTTGAGAAGGCCGAACATAGCTGCCCAGCGGCCGGTTTCCGTCTGGCCAAGGTGAGGGAAGTTGTGCCCATAGTAAGATCCCAGGATGGACTCGATAGCGAGTTCGGCGCCAAAAGAGCAGGCGTATGCGGTAGCTACCGACAGGGTTGCCAGACTGAAGATCACTCGCAATGCCTCCTTCGTAGTAGGTGCGACAACTACTTCAGCATATGTGGAGTCACCCTCAGCGGTCTGAGCCTCCTGGTCTGCCATCGCGTCCTGTGGGCGAGGTGACTTTTTCTCGATCACGGAGGAGGATTCGGACGCAGGAGAAGAGAGGTCGTTCGAGCGCACTCCGGACTTGGTGTCGACAATTTCCTGCTCTGCGGGAGTGTTGTCGGGGTGCTGCTGCTCCATCCATTTGTGACGTTCTGACCACTTGCCCGTCGGAGTGTCCTCGCAGAGGAATAGCATGCATAGGGCAATGGCGGTGATAATGATGAAAGGAACGATGTAAGCAACGCGCCAGGCCTTGTGAGGAGCGAGGCCTCGCTGGTGCACTAGGGAGTCGAATACGGCAGGCATGACGAAGCTGATAGCAGGTCAGATCTATGGCAAAAGTACTCCATCGAGTATGTCAAAGGTAGCACTTACTAGGTTATACCACCACCAGCGTTTCCAAGACCACCCGCAAGGGAGTTAGCAAAACCGACGATACTCTTGTCGAAGAATCCGGTTGTCCACACTTGGCAAGGAACAAAAGTACCCCCGAGAATACCGACGAAGAAGCGCAGCGCGATGAGACCGTTAGGGTTCGTGACCAAACCAGCCATGGCAGTCGGGATGGCACCAGCGAGCAGCAACCCGATGAACACGAGTCGAGGACCGAAACGGTCACATAAAGGACCGGATATGAATCGTACGATCAAACTAGAGAGCGATAAGTACACATCTACTGGATTTCCCCGAGGCCATGAGTTCTTACGTGGCAAGCAGTGCGATGATGTTCGAGTTTGCAACCTGGTTCTGGCTCATGTGTAGATCCCCTTTGATCGTGTCGGTCAACTATAATATTCCCTTGTCAGAATTTTGTCCCCAGATCTACCTGACTTCGATATAGTATAACGATCAAGACTTACCAATGGCGGAAAGGCATACCATGATAGGAACGCCGTCATGAAACCCAGCCACGAGAAGAAGAATGCCCGTCCATATCGATTGAATGGATTGAGTACAGGTATTGACAAGGCTTTTTGATTGATCGGGTTCACTTCTGGTGCTACAAAGAGCAGCTTCAACATATTTCGACCCATGATGAAGCAAGAAACTCCAGCCAGTGGCAGCGATTCAGTCCTCTCGTTCGATCTTTTCCTTCCTAGTATACCACGACCTGGATGTATACCAGCATGTAATCACCGGTGAGGAGTAATGTCGAACCACCGTCAGTTGATCGATTATTGACGGCAATACCTGTTGAGGAAAGGCGAAGTATCAACATCGACCGAGGCGACTGCCAGCTTCTATATAACAAAGACTTATAGATATCGATATCTCGACCGATTAGTAGTATACCACGACGTAAGGATGCTTTCACACTAGCCCTATCGCCCTGAGGACTGATGCACGAGTCCGAAACCTGGAACTGCCCAGCTTCCCAATCGACCCTTGATCTCATGTTAGAGTAGGCATATCGACCCACAGGCCTCCCTAATGCGGTCTGCACAACGGTCTTGTCCCAATATCAAAAGAGCGGACAGGAACTTATCGCCAATGCTTGGGCTAGTATTGGCAGTGAACATGCACGCAGACTCGCCGCCGGATTCACGAGGCTAGTTCCTGCTGAGTACACGGAGTTGTGAGACTGTAGTCCGGTTGGCCCATGGTCGAATCAAGCCGATCGGATAGATTTACTCCGGGTTAGAATTGGTAAGGAGCCAAGGTATTGGGATTCCGATGCCATCGTTTGCCTGGCCACCCGATTGACGCCTCTTCTTTCTGGGGGATCACGCAGAATAGGCTATGATCCTTGGCATCGAGTCGATCTCAAACGTGTCTGCTCATCCCGATAAGCAACGGAATGTCAGGACTCAGGAGAAATAACTCCGCGGGCACAGAAGTACTCGGACGCTGATAACTCTCGCGCTCCCGATTGGGTCCGCGGTTGCGGATGGCGGACCTGGGCAAGCGTTAGTCCCTGATTCTCTCCACCTCAAGCTGGACGATTGACCTGCGAGAGATGCACCTGTCCATCTCCGCGGCGCTTTGAATCTATTGTCCATTGTTTAGAGTAATAATCAGTATAGATGCGATGGGATGGGATATGGTATGTCATTCTAGGTCCATCCAGAACTGCTGTTGTTCTTATGTGGCGTTCTCATTCCAAGATATGCGGATGAAACAACTGATAAGCCCAGAATAGATCGAAATCACTGCGGTAATGCTAAGTTAACTTGGAAGTAACGTAATTCCCTACCGACCTGATCACCCGCCCGACCTGATCAGTGCCGTATTACATATAAAATAGCCCCTAGATATCTCAACAACCAATTGTTTAACACGTATAAGAGTTAATTTATAGTGTTTTATAGTCATAAATTTATATATACTTAAGACTTTAGTTCTAGAAATTGCTTTTTATCTAGGTAATATAAATTACAAGTGTAATTCTAGTAATTATCTTACATCTTTAATATCTGCAGAAAACCAGGATTTAAATATCTAAAACTCAGCTTAAATATTTCTAATAATCTATATTTTAGATATCTATCTTCTAAACACCATTAAACTGCTTCGTTGTTGAGATATTCGTGTTTGAAATTTGGCCATTTTGTATGTAATACAACACTGATCAGGTCGGGCGGGTGATCAGGTCGGTAGGGAATTACGTTAATGGGGGATTTCCGCGGAGTTATTGGATTCGATCACGTGAAGCGTCTTGCCCTAGGGAGATGAGTATGACTAGGTATGTACTCGAGGGATTCCAGAGCATCGGATGGTATACTGAATATCCTTATTACGGCAGAGTATATTATTAATATCAATAGATAATATACCAACTACACTGCTACTACTTACTACCTAGTTTATCCTCGATTCAATAACCTTCCTGCGCTGGACCAGTGGCAAATTCCGGCTGGTTTAGCGAACGAGGCAGATACCTGGCTCTGAATGCTTGCCGGGTATTACAATAATTTTATAAATGGCCTTCCCATGGGAACTATCTTGCAGGGCTGAAGTTGCCTGGTGTTTGGATTCTCTAGCAAGCCCAGGCTATCTATCCCCATGGGTGGAGCTTGTTGGGAAGAACTCCGTCACTTAGGTAGTGAATCTCTGAGAACCTATGAATGAATGTTAAATGATGAGAGTGATATTCATAAGTCATAAATGTATTCATGTCTAGCAGTAATCCCATAAGCAGCGTCATCAGAGTCTTGACATATTCAGGTATTCATACAAACGCCATACTCAACCAATGCTGATGTATACGAAAAAACCAAGGTCATCACCCGAACAAACACAAACACCGACACCATCGTAGGCCCTAATGTTCAAATCCAGCAAATGCATATTCTACCAGTCGATCCCGTTGGCCGTGGAGTGCACCTCGCGTACCTGTACGTCGACATGCCCAACCTTCTTGCCCCGGATCCCCTTCTTGTTATATTTCTGATCCACCTTCACGAACGGATCTTCTGCCTCACCCTTGCGGACCTTCCACTTTTCTGTTCCCAGAACTGCATCCAGCTCCTCCACAGGCGGTAGCTTGAGGTACACCCAGCCATCGTCTCGCTCCTCCGCAGGAAAGGTTGCGATGTTCAACGCCTCATCGTTTGAACAGCGTCCTGCCTGTTCTCCGTTAAGCTCATAGTTGCGCTTGTGGTACGGACACGAGACCCAGTATTTGCCTGCATCGTCATCTCCGATGAGCCCGTCCGAGAGGACAAAGGCTCGCTTGTGAGGACACATCTGCTGTGTCGAGTAGTACTTTCCCTTGATCTTAAATACTGCAAGTTGCGTGTCACCCCGTTTGATATTGGCCGAAGAGATCTGTGGCTTCTCATCAGAGAAGTGATCCGCCCGGATGATGGGCTGCCAGGATACAGTCGACCACTGATGACCACGGAAGTCTTCCGTGGCGGATTCTTTGGGCCAGTATGTCGGCCGCTGCTGATCCCGCTCCTTAATAATCTCGACTGTCTCCACCGTTTCGGATGTGTTGTCGAACTGCTGGAAGAACTTGCGTCGTTCGGGGTTGTTAATCGTCTCCTTCCACTCACAGTAGTATGAGCCCACGAGCTCCTGCATTTGGCGCTCTAGATCGGCACAGATGCCTAGCTTGTCGTCGATAATCACCTCCCGCAGGTAACTGATGCCGCCTGGCATGTTCTCTATCCATCGAGCAGTCCGCTGCAATTTGTCCGCGGTCCGGATGTAGAAGATCAGGTATCGGTCGATCAGCGGGATAATTTCTTCAGGAGGGACATCTTTGGCCAGGAGCTCGGCATGCCGAGGTTTGGCACCCCCATTTCCGCCAACAAAAATGTTGAAACCTTTTTCGGTTGCAATCAGACCAAAGCTATCCGTAGTATTAGCATGCCAATTACTGACGACAGCAAATGTTCTCTGACGTACTCTTTGTTCTGCGCCTCAGCACATTCTCGGACGCACCCTGATACAGCACCTTTGAACTTGTGCGGAGCCCGAATGCTCTTATAGCGCTCCTCCAGTCGGATGGCCATGCCAACACTGTCGCCGATTCCGAAGCGACACCAGGTCGTTCCAACGCAGCTCTGAAAATATGTCAGTTATTGTAGAACTACAGGCTATCATAGAGAATAGGAAATAGACCTTGATCGCCCGCAGTCCCTTAGCATAGGCGTGACCGCTCTCCATTCCCGCATCCACCAGCGCTTCCCATATACCGAGCAGATCCTGTTTCTTGGCGCCAAACAGATCGATACGCTGAGCACCTGTGATCTTACAATATAGATTGTATTTTTTGGCCACCTGACCGATGGCAATGAGCTTGTCCGGGGTAATCTCTCCACCAGCCACGCGAGGAACAACAGAGAACGTGCCGTTGCGCTGGATATTTGCCAGGAACCGATCATTGGTTTCCTGTAGGTCATGGACAGGCTTATCCATGAGATGTGGATTGTAGAGACTGGACAAAATGGAGGCGATTGCAGGCTTGCACAATTCACAACCAAGCGAGTCGGGGTTCTTCCCCACGGATGTCATGACATCGACAAACGTCTTCAACTGCCGGACAGCGACGATATTGTAGAGGTCTGCTCGCGAGAACGGTATATGAGGGCACACTAATAGGTCAGCCTAAATCAAAAGCGAATAGGGGCTTCCAGCTCTTACAATGATTGGAAACTTCCTGACCCATTTCCTTCATTGTCTTTTTGTAGATGGATGTAACAAGGTCCATGCATCCACCACAGCCTGTGCCGGCTTTGGTACATGACTTGACATCAGGAATTGATTTGCAGTTTCCACTCCTGACGCTCTGGACGACGTCGCCTTTTGTCACATTATGGCATGAGCAGATCTGTGTATCATCGTCCCTGCATGCGCAGTCAGTAAGCAGCAAGTTGAAATTCTATGACTCCAACTCACAGCTCGTCCGCGTTCTCTTCTCCTCCTTTCTGGGATCCAAGGATAAACTCGCTGGGTGGCACTCCCAGCTTCTTCTGGGTCTTGACCATCTGATTTAATTTGACGTAGTCTTTGGTATCCCCAATCATCATACCTCCCAGCAGATACTGACCGTCCATCGTAAAGAGATACTTCTTGTACACAGCAGCAAATGGGTCCTTGTAAGTAAGCGCCTTGACCGCTGGCTCATTTCCCGTCATCTGACCCCCTCGGGATTTGAAGGTTGATGCTCGTCTGCCCGGCAAGAACTTCGGGCCATCTCGATCGGCGAAGAAGTCTCCAAAACTTGCGACATCAACCCCCAATAGCTTTAGCTTGGTACTGAGATCAGGCCGCTTGAAACGCTTTGGTTCTTTGTCGGGGTTTGTGAGGTTATACGACAGCACGTCCGCCATCTCAATTCCAGGCGCAATGATGCCAAACGTCTGATTCTCCCAACTGGCACATTCTCCAATGGCATAGATATCGGGCGCTGATGTTTGCAAACTAAGAAGTAGTCAGCAATTTCATCCCATCGGTTTAAAACAGTCAAAACGTACGACTCGCTGATAACAAATCCCCCGCGGGGAGCACACTCGATACCTGCGACTCGAGCTAGTTCATCTCTTGGTTTAACGCCAATCTATATCACCAATTAGTAACCGTTCGAGTGAAAAGGTCTGTTGGACTCTTACCGCAAAGCAGATACAGCAGCACTCGAGACTTTCCCCATCTTCGAAAGTGATACCAACGACATTGTTGTCGGCATCTGTATCAATACTTGCGACGCGTTTCTGGAGCATTACATCAAGGCCAATCTCCCGGATCTTCTCCGTGACCAATGTTCCTGCGTCCGCATCCAACTGTCGTGCCAGGACATACTTGTTACGATCAATCAGCTTGACCGCACCGAAGTCCTGCAAGTCCGTCATCGCTTTGGCGGCCTCGAGTCCGAGTAAGCCTCCTCCCACGGTAGCTCCTGTCTGACCCTTGTGCTCAGCTGCAAAATCGATGAGCCTTTCCAGATCCGAGATTGTTCGGTAGACAAAAACGCCCTTTGCGTCCCATCCTGGCGTACGCGTGGGAAGTACGGCATCTGACCCGGTCGCAAGAACCAGGATATCGTAGGAAACAGAGTCACCGGTCGAAGTCTTGACATACTTGTGCTCGGGGACGATTTCTGTGACCTGAGTGTTTAAATGGTAATTGAAAGAGCCGTCTTCGAAGGATGAATACTACCTATAGTCAGTAGATGTCTCTAGTCGTTCTATACCATGATGGCTTCTTACCCATTCTTTGGGGGTCAAGTAGAGATCCTCGATCTTGCGGTGTTCGAAAAAGGAGGAAAGGCCGACGCGGTTGTAGGCAACGTGCGGCTCCTCTCCAATCACCACAATGTCGTACAGCCGCCTCTGCGCGTCGAGCTTCTTTACTTTCTCACTTTCTGACAGTTAGAAGAGGACGCTCTATCGATCGAGTCATGATCATTCGACTGTCACATACATGAACGAGATGGCCACCATGCCTAGTCCAACCACCACGATCTTCTTGCGTCTCCCCGCATCCGCCTGTGCCAGTCTGTCGTTTTGCTGTCCTCCAGCGCCATTGACTGCTTCCAGATCATTGGAAATATCTCTTTCTTGGTCGATATTGTCGATGTTATTGCGACTCTCGCTGACGTAGCCATTGACAGGCTGGTCGTCCCTGACTCCGTTGATGGACACCATTGTCGGCGTAGCTGGGAGGGACCTCAGCAACGGCTGGCAACCGTGATAAGGGACTACGTTGACAAAGTACGGTTCTAGAGGCTATCGTTAACTCATATACGATCTACAATGGCACACGGTGACACACGGTGGCCGTCCACTACGCCCAGTCACTCCGAGAAGGCGAAGTATCTCCGTGGCCCTTGACTATGACCACAGCATCAGACAACATCCGACCAGTGTGGCTGCGATACAGGCATTCCGCTAAGACGTCCAATACAGGCCAGTTCGGGTCATCTAGCTTTCCTGATCTCTCCGATGAATGCATCTGGATCTCTTTTGGTTTTCTTCAAGCACTTCCGCGGAGACTTGAAACTTGACAGCAGATATCGCGCGGCGCCTTCAAGTTCTCCACGGGTTCCACCGGACGGCGTGCGATAAGCAGCGCATTCTCGCGAATCAAATGCGAGGAATTGAGAACACAAAAAGATGTACACAGGCAGGCAACAATGCTCTGTACTCGACAGCAGCGTAATAATGGATGGGTCAATGGTCTTTGTGTGAGGATGCTAATGGAAACACATATGGACTACGCTACATTGTTTCTCTAACTACCTCCTGCAGTATCGCAATTAGAAGGATACTCCCGTTCAAAGGACCAGTGAGATCTTGAACTTGTACGACATTGCTATGCTATACACGTGCCAAGATATCAGAGTCCTGGAATGATGCAGCACAGGCATTCTACCGGAGAACGTCTCCGCGCAGTCCGCGTTTGATTTCGCTTTACGTTCCAGTTTTATGTTTTCCTCCCGAAAGAGTGTTTACCTAGTGGATCTCGACCAATTTGTCTTGCCACCACCAGGGGCCACTTCTTTTGATTCTCTAACGGTGGATCGTAGAGCCAGAGATTCCCTAGTTCGCCCGCGGAGATCGCACTTAACGATCGATCAGACCGGTTTCGCTTCGGCCTTTGCATCATGGCCGCTGGGCACGTACCATAGCAACTGGCCAGAAGAATCTACCCCAGAAGGCCGATGCTGCGGCCCGAGTGTTCAACTTTCAGGTCAATATTAGTTCCTTTGAATCCAGACCATCTTTGAACGGTTCGACAAATATATCTCCTGCTCCAACGGAAAGAATGACAACCATCGCGTAAATCAATCATGGCAACTATCACACAGGTGCAAACGGAGGAGAGCGTTGTTAGGACGAAGCTCTATCCTCTAGAGGCTGTCGATGTGGACAGAGAAGAGAAATTGCAACCAAATCTACCCGATATTCCTCTTCCACCGCCGTCTAAAAATCTGACAGAAGTTCTGAGCGTCGACAAAGACACTCCCGATAGCCATGTCCCGCGAGACCCACGACTGATTCGGTTGACGGGAGTCCATCCCTTCAACGTGGAACCGCCGTTGACAGATTTATTCAATGAGGGCAAGCAGGCAGCGTGTTGTAGATAACACATATAAACATCTCTTACTGACTGCCTATTAGGTTTCCTGACCTCGCCGGAACTCTTCTATGTTCGCAATCATGGAGCTGTCCCACAGGTTCGGGATGAGGACATTCCAACATGGGAAGTTAGTATTGAGGGGTGAGCAATATACTTAATGCTTCTTTCTCTTTAGATCATTCCACTAACAGGATGCGCAGATTGGTCGAAAACCCGATTACCTTGAGCTTCAAACAGATATTACAGGATTTTGAGCAAATCACTGCACCGGTCACCTTCGTATGTGCCGGTAACAGGCGCAAGGAACAGAACATTGTGCGAAAAACAAAGGGTTTCTCATGGGGCCCTGCTGGCCTCTCCACCGCCTTATGGACGGGCCCAATGATGGCGGACATCATTCGAAAGGCAAAGCCGCTCCGAAAAGCAAGATTCGTTTGTATGGAAGGGGCAGACAAGCTGGTGAGTTATGGTTGAGCCGATTAGGTATCTTCAACAGTATTGACTGGTCTGCAGCCTAATGGATACTACGGCACATCAGTGAAGCTGAACTGGGTCTTGGACCCGAATAGAGGAATCATGCTCGCCCACAAGATGAACGGGCAGTCGCTATCCCCTGATCATGGCCGCCCCCTGAGGGCTGTTGTCCCTGGTCAGATTGGCGGACGGAGTGTCAAGTGGCTGACGAAGCTAATACTGACTGACGCTCCAAGTGATAACTGGTATCACATCAACGATAACAGAGTACTTCCGTAAGTGATATATTGCCGGGGAAGTTCTTCTGGAAGGCTAATAATTGATCAGTACTATGATTTCACCTGAACTGTCAGCACAAGAGAAGAAGTGGTGGCTTGACGATCGCTATGCTATCTACGACCTCAATGTTAACTCCGCTGCCGTGTATCCTCAGCACAACGAAGTCCTGCATCTTGCTTCTGCTGGTCCTACATACACCGCCCGTGGCTATGCATATGGTGGTGGTGGACGGCGAATCAATCGGGTGGAAATATCGCTGGACAAAGGAAGATGTAGGTGATGTTCATGTTTTTTTTTTATACTTCTGCTTCGCTAACGTACGTAAAGCATGGCGGCTGGCGGATATAGAATACCCGGAAGACAAATATCGCGATTACGACGCATATCTCTTCGGTGGTAGGGTGGATATGGCCTGGCGGGAGACTTGCTTCTGTTGGTGCTTCTGGTCTCTTGCCATACCGACGTCCGATCTTGAGAATAGTGATGCTATTCTCCTTCGAGCGATGGATGAATCGCTCCAGGTCCAGCCTCGCGATATGTATTGGTCCGTACTCGGTATGATGAACAATCCGTGGTTCCGAGTTGCTATCTTAAAGGAGGAAGGTGCTTTGAAATTTGAGCATCCGACTCACCCAACTCTGAGCATTCCTGGATGGATGGAACGGGTTAAGAAAGAAGGTGGCGATCTAACCAACGGCAATTGGGGCGAGAGGCTCGACGGAGAACCACCGAAAGCACCGGAGCCCGTGCAAGAGATCAATATGAAGAAAGAAGGCGTTAATAGAATCATCAGTCTCGAAGAACTTCAGAAACACACTACTGCTGAAGCGCCTTGGTTCGTTGTGAACGGGGAAGTCTATGACGGTAACAAGTTCCTCGAGGGTCATCCAGGTGGTGCTCAGAGTATTATCTCTGCCGCTGCAACGGATGCATCTGAGGAGTTCCTTGCTATCCGTAAGCTACTTTCAGATCTGTTAGTAGAAACTGTGATACTAATGTCTCTCCACAGACAGCGAAACCGCCAAGGCGATGATGCCCGATTACCATATCGGAACACTCGACAAGGTCTCTCAGGAGAAACTGAAGAACGGTTCAGAGCCGGAAGAATCAACCGAGCCGCGTAATGTGTTTTTGCAATCCCGCTTTTGGACTAAGGCACCACTGGTCGAGAAGAAAGTGGTTTCTTGGGACACTAGAATCTTCATATTCAAGCTGGAGCATGAGAAGCAGAACTTGGGTCTGCCTGTCGGTCAGCATCTCATGATGAAGGTCAAACATCCTTCCACGGATGAATCCATCATTAGATCTTACACGCCCGTCTCAGAGGTGAACCAACAAGGTTTTCTGGAGGTGCTGGTAAAGGTATACTTTGAGACGGCTACAACCCCGGGCGGCAAGATGACCATGGCCCTCGAAAAGCTCCCTCTTGGCACAATGGTCGAATTCAAGGGTCCAACTGGCAAATTCGAGTACCGTGGCAATGGCAACGTTATCTTCAAGGGCAAAGAACACCACGTTCGCTCATTCCGCATGATCACCGGCGGCAGTGGTATTACACCCCCGTTCCAGGTGCTTCGCGCCGTCATGCAGGATAAGCAGGACCCAACCACCTGCGTCCTGCTAGACGGCAACCGGCTCGAAGAGGATATCCTCTGCCGGACAGAACTCGACACTTACGCTGCGGAGAACCCGGACCGATGCACTATAATCCACACCCTGAGCAAAGCGCCCGATAGCTGGACGGGCCGTAGAGGGCGTATTTCAGCAGAGCTTCTAAAAGAGTATGCATCTCCAGTCGATGAATGCATGGTGCTCGTCTGCGGTCCTCCCGCGATGGAGAAAGCAGCTCGTGAGGCGCTTTTGGCTATGGGATGGGATGAATCCCTTATGGTGTTCTTCTAGTAGATATCTAGCGGGTGGGTTTTTGGTGTCGGTTGTTCTTCAGCACGGGATATCACACAGACGATCGGAATTTCGTCATGGGTTAAGGCGTTATAATCTTGGTCAGGCTATAGATAAACGGTCCATAAACGAAGTCTCGGAACTTTATAAACTTATAGAAATACAATTGGATGGAAACATATACTGGCATATTCTATCCGTCACTAAGATTATGCTCGGTATGAAGCTACAGTTAGAAGAGCAACATAACGTGTCCAGTAATTGCATGAGTTCAAGACAAGCTAGCTTTTTATCTATTCGTTGACTCGCAATGATCTTTCTGATCAATAAGATACAATAATAGTGTGAATATATACACAAGTGAAAAGGCGGAATGTGCCCTCTCAGACGACTATTATCTCCACGCATCAGTAGTACTGCTTCATATCCAACTTCAGAAGTAATTGCTCAAAGACACTCGTCGCGTCATTACCATTTCCACTACTACCACTTGCGAACATCATCCCCGAGCTGCCTAGTCCTCCCGACCTAGAAGAGACCTTCCTAGCATCCAAACCGCGCAAGTAGCTCACGAAGGAATGAATTTGCTTCCGCAGGGTGACATGTAGCTGAAACACAGCCTTCTCACTCTGATGTCTGACTCCGTTCTCGCCATCGAGTCTGGACAGTGGCGCGAACGCAAGGATCGTTCCGCAGATATCGTCTAGGAGCTGACCTGCCTGCGCGTGGCGTTTGGTTCGGAAGAGAGCGAAAAGGATCTGATCGAGCGTGTCTTCGTGATAGTCGCGGAGATGAGGGAGGGAGTGGGCGGTTTCGATGGTGCCGTCGATATCGCCGCGGTCGAGACAGCGTTCGATTTTCGAGAGGGTGGCTTCGAAGCGGTGCCAGGGGATGCCGACGGCGATGTGGAAGGTGTAGTCGCTGATGGAGAGGATGAAGTGTTGGGCGTCGACGCGGAATTTTTGGAAGAGGTTGTGCGTGTCGCCGGATAGGGAGGTGCGGGCTGTCGAGTCGCGGATGAGGCCACGGACGACGGAGATCATGCGTAGTAGGCGGAGGAGGTATTTGAAGAGTTGGTCGTATTTGCGTAGGCTGCGGGGGGTAATGATCGGTTCGAGAATGGGAGGTGGCTTGTATTGCAGACGGAGAAAATCAAGGGCTTCGACGGCGTTTGGGTCTTTGCATTTGGACAGCTCGTTGCCGGATAGGTCGCGGATAGCGAAGCTGAGGCCTCCGGGGAGTTCGTTTTCGGTACCTCGAGGCATGGTACCTGGTGTTGTGGTTGCAGTTGAGGAATTATCACTGGCAGCATAACATTCCGTGAGTAAGCCCATGAGGACGAGACGCAGTTCTGAACTTGCTGGCGGCCAGGTATCGCGGCTTCCTAGACGCAAACCGGTGTGAACGCCGCTGCGCATCACGCCAGATCTGCGCTCGCCACTATTCATCTCTGGATCGAATAGAGAATTGGAAAGACGAGATCCGAAGATACCATCACCTAGAAGCTGGAACCGCCACTGTAGATGAAGATGGAATCTGATTTTCTGCTCTTTAAAGAGGAGGTGGAGACAGGAGAAATCAATGAGCCGCGCCTGGGCTGATATGATGGGTGCAAGTGACAGATGGAAGGCTGACATGAGTGGTGGTCCGAATGGGCTGTCACTAGTCATGGCCTCCTCGATATTCAGACCATCGCTACCAGCAAGGATCGTATATAGCTTGTCCGATTCTAGAGACGAAGAGTCTGCCAGCAGACCAGTGACATGTTTCTCATCGTCGACATCGATGATTTCAAAGGTGTGCTTGATTGGATCATCGATCATCTCAATTTCATTCGTATCTCCATCTTCATTGCCATGTGGAAACGAAGACTTGATCTGCGCGGAATCACCTCTGATATATCTCAGGATCTCTGTGCGCAGCCGATACTCATAATCACTAGCCTTCCCCTGGATTCTTTCAATGTCCTGGAATGAGATCGCACAATGGAGAGCGGGCGGAGAGGTAGCTTGCAATATGTCACACCTGCCAATTGGATGCCTGGGATGCGACTGTTTGAGAAGGCGAAGACTCCGTCCGCTTTCAAAGATAAGGCGTGCTTGCTGCTCTGGTATAAAAGAAGGCATCATCTCAGGATGATAAAGGTAATCGACGATCTTTGGCTCGGTCTTTCGTCCAGTAGGATCCTCAAAATATTCTGCTTCGATAAACCCGTTCTTTGTAAGCTCAGGCAGTGCATTTTCTTCGCCCCGTAGCCCGAGCCACGTTTCTACCAGTCTAAGCCATGGCTGGGTGACACGGAAGGTAAGCTCGTGTAGTAAGTCTGCCATCCAGACAAAGCGCTGAGAGAAGTGATCACATCTGGCCAGCACAGTAGAGACCACTTCACCTTCAGTCTTAACTTTCTCGACGGCGTCTATGATATTGACCAAAGTGCCGACCAGGTCGCCGCATCGCTGGAACAATGTTTGAATCTGAAGCAACGACCTCTGTTGGTCGTAACGCTCGGAGAGTTGTTTTTCGAGACTGTACACAATGACCGTCGTCGCAGCTGCCAGCGTCGACAGAGCAGTCGGCTGGTCAGACACAGCGGGATTCGTGCGTACGAATGCTCTGATCCTCTGCAAATCGGTCCCACACTGGGAGATGTCCTTGATCACTCCATCAACTGCAGGAAGACTGACGCCAGAGATTCGCACGTCTCTGAGTTCCTTCTCAAAGGTCCGTTTCTGCTCATTATATCGGAATAAGACGGAGTTCCAACCCAGCCCGAGGCGGAAAAGCGATTGGAAGAAAATAGCCGACTGCACAAGACGACCTGAGTCCTCCAGCCCAGTCAGAGACGCTTGATAAGATAACGCGGCATCAAACCCATGGGCTCCTGATTCACTTAGGTATGCAGAAACAGGTTCCTCGAAGGCTGGCTGGGAAAACCCGTCCCATGATTTCAGCTGAGACTGCGCGACGTCTTCCGCCGTAAGACCATCCAGAGACCATATGTTGTCAGGCTCCTCCTCTTTGCAGGAACCTTTCTCTTCAGTTTCCTGGATTGAAGGAATACTAGGCTCTTCAGTGGACAACTTGCGCTGAACGATGGACTCGAGGGCATAAGGGTTGGTCCCAAAAACGTCAAGCTGAAAGACCGTGGTTGGGTCCTTTTCGATCAGACCCAATGGGTTCTGGAAGACATCACGCGCAAGATCTATTGGCGGATTCTTTCCATCAGCACTGTGATCAGCCGTGACAGGGCAGACTTACCAGGCAGGTCGTCGTCCCATCGCGGATGTTCCAACGGCTGCAACGGCTGGAAAGTAAATGCAGAGGACCTCCATAGGTCGCGGTCTGTGAAAGGATCTACATTATCCTCTGGTAGATTCATTGTGATGGCCCACAATGGTAGGAAGTGAGGCCATTGCAGACTTGAACATGGATCTTATCAGCAACTGCAAACACGCGCTTTTGCCCGCGTCGAGGAAAGTCACATGGCAGATAAAGCGCTAGTACCTTCTTGGAATAGGCGTCCCGCGACATGTGCACAGACCACATCTTAATTGGGAACAACTTTCCTCCGTTTCCTCCGCCGGAACTCGTCACGAGCGCGGAACGCGGAGCTTACAGCTTGACCAGCGGATTGTAGTCCCCACGCTTTCTACGACTGCGATCTTGAGAGTCATTTTCGATCCCAAGTTTATAGGCAACAATGCCTCCCAAGAAGAAGCCAAAGATCTCTTCGCGCGGCCCCTCGACGCCGTCACAAGGCGACAGTGCGCCGCCCTCCGCAGACACCCCCAGCAACACAGGCGCCAAGCGGCCAGATGCAGATTACGATCTTGTCAGCGACCCATGGACAGATGAACAGGAGACTTCATTATTAAAGGGCGTCATCCGATGGAAACCTGTTGGTCTGTGGGACCCGTCATTACCTCTGTGTAGTCGGTCGCGCTAACCGGTGCCGCTCATGATGAATAGGCATGCACAAACATTTCAGAATGATCGCAATCGCAGAATACATGAGAAGCCAAGGATACGCCTCGCCCGATGAGCCACATACGCGGATACCTGGGATATGGAAGAAACTAGGAACGCTTTATAACCTCCCCGCGCTGGACGAACGGGTGAGCACATACACCAACAACCTTGGTGGAGCTGGGAGGTGGTTGACCAATTTGATTATTGCAGGAAGACGCGCTTATCACAGAGGGATCCGACGATGCAGACCCTTCTAAGGAACTTTACTGTCCGTTCGAACTCCCCGAGGACGAGTACGGTGACTTGATGTTCGAACGGCGGTTGGCCGTAGAGGCGTCCTTATCCCCGACGACGTCTGGTCCCCCCGAATCGAGACGAGGAAGCACGGTAGCAGACACAGACGGTCAGTTCGAGAGCCTTCGCCTCTCGTCAAAGCTCTAAGCTAACGTTGTGATCTCCACCACAGAACCTCGATCATCGCCAGCGCCGTCTCGAGGACGACGAACAAATCGCAACACACGTACTGCCACCCGCGGTACGCGCTCGACCAGACTCCAGGTTGAAGTGGAAGCGCTCAAAAAGTCACCCAGTGATAGAGCCAGTCCCGCAGAAGAAGACGAGGAGATGGAAGATGCCGAGGAGGATGAGGAAGGCACTGATGGAGCCAAGGAGGACAGCGAAGGCAGCGAAGAACCCGAAGCAGAGGCAGGCGGCTCGGAAAAGACACGGAGCACGAGAACCCAAAGCTCACGCACGAAGCAGAAGGAGAAGAAAAGCACTGGAACTAGTGGGGGGACGACGACAAGACGGACCGGGCGACGTCGTTGATACTATGACTTCCCATGACAAGGGTGTCATTTCTTCACTTTTCTTTCTCTCATATTAACATTTTTTTTTTTCGTGTACGATTATGATCTACCATTGATACCTTGAAAGACCGGGCGGCATAATGCGAGACGAGACCTGAAGTTATTTCCAGCGTCTGTATGAATAGCTGAAGTGCTTGTTTCCAATATTTTAGCCTCACTTATAACTTTATCGCTTCGCGATTGAAAATATAAAGTAGACCATCGCCGTGCGCTAACTAATGACTGCATCGATCACAGATACAACCGGGTCGAATTGACCTCTGATCGGTTATATTAATACTCAGGACGACTGCTATTTACGTATCATGCAAGTAGAGAGATAGATATTTGTTGGTCCTCCCGCTCAAGTTTCGTTTACAACGTACTCTAGAGGACGGTCCCAGAAGTAGGAGCTTTGATCCTATATCTGCATTCAGATTGGTCGGTTCTCGATTCTAAATGATCGCTACGTTTTTTATTTGCAGATCTGGCAACTCTAATGACAAATAAACTGTGAGAAAGCTAGCACTGGCTAATCGTTACATACCTCTCAGACACGATCAAACCTTGACTCTACAACCAAGATGGAGACATACGCGAAAAGCCGATGGGATTGAGACAAGATTAGAGAAGCGCCTCTGGGAGACAAAAGAAATTTCGGTAGAATTCTTAGATCGGTAGAAATGGCATCTAACTAGCTACATTGGTAGATAGATTAGGTGTGACGGCTATGGAACGATTCATGAAAGGTGCATGGTACAGAATCTGCAAGGGCAGTCCCTTACAGGTGCTTAATGATAGCATCAGCGTACTCGTGAGTCTTGGCCTTGCCACCAAGGTCACCGGTGAGAGTCTAGAAGTAAAAAAGAAACTGTTAGTAACCGCCAAAGGCTCAGCCAGAAAGCGTAGAAGACGACATACCTTTCCCTCAGCCAGGGTCTGGAAGATGGCCTTCTGGATGCGGCCAGCGTGCTCGGTCAGACCCATGTGCTGGAGCATCATGATACTGGAGAGCAGCAGAGCAGTGGGGTTGGCGAGACCCTTGCCAGCAATGTCAGGAGCGGAACCGTGGACAGCCTCGAAGATGGAGCACTCGTCACCAATGTTACCGGAGGGAGTGAGACCCAGACCACCGATCAGACCGGCGCCCATGTCGGACAGAATGTCACCGTACAGGTTGGGCATGACCAGGACCTTGTCGTTGTAGGGGGTGGGGTCGGTAACGATCTTCAGGCAGGCGTTGTCCAGGAGCTCAGCATCGAACTCGACGTCGGGGAACTCCTTGGCGATTTCCCGGGCAGTGTTCAGGAAGAGACCGTCGGACATCTTCATGATGGTGGCCTTGTGCACAACACGGACCTTCTTCTTGTTGATCGCGCGGGCATACTGGAAAGCAAAGCGGAGGACACGCTCGGAAGCCTCGCGGGTGATAAGCTTGATACTCTGAACAACACCATCGACAACGACGTGCTCAATGCCGGAGTATTCACCCTCGGTGTTCTCACGGATCAGGACAGTGTCGACGTTGTCGTAGGGGGTCTTGTAGCCAGCGATCGATCGGCAGGGACGGACGTTGGCGAAGAGGTTGAAGGTACGGCGCAGGGTCAGGTTCAGAGAAACGTGACCCTTTCCAACGGGAGTCTGTAGTCTCATCTGAGCAAGCGCGCAATAAACAGACAAGGGAGAAGGGATCGTACAGCCAGAGGTCCCTTCAGCGCAACAAAGTTCTTCTGCACACTGCGGATAGCATCGTCGGGAATGGCGGTCTTGCCATCCTTGAGAATGGGGGTCACATCAACGGGTTCCCATTTGATAGGGGCCTATTGTCGTCTCAGCTTCTGATTCTTCTCCATCGGGGGTTCCTTTTCTTTTGTTTTCGAGTTTACATTTGCTGCCGAAAAAATGTCCTTGACGGACTGCGAAATCTCGGGACCGATACCATCACCCTCAATCAGAGTTACCGTGTATTTTCCCTATACAGATCCAAGTCCAATGTTAGCTCCCGTATCTTTCCTGGGCTCCATCCAGATTTGCGCCGTGAGTTCGAAAATGGCGTTATGCTCCGGAGTAAAGGAAAAAGTGCGCGCGGGGATGTGACGTACGTCAGAACCCTTCTGTCCCTTGAACTTAGCAACAGCCTCGTCGGCGGCAGCAGCATAGCCTCGAATCTAAACACATGCAGCTTGTCAGTCTCAATCCATTGGCGGTTGTGTTGTCCGATATGCAGCGAAAGACGGACCTGGGAAAATGGCGACGGGCAGCTGGGAGCGACGCGAACTCTGCGCAGGCATTGGCGCGACGGCGCAACGAAAGCACGAGCAGAGATCATTGTGAGTAGCCTCCGGAGGGACAGCAAGCGCTTCAACGGGGCAGGAGAAGGATTAGATGAAGATGGATGGGAGGGGAGGGGAGAGCAGAGGCAAGCTTGAGCGAAAGAGCATCTGAAGTTTGGCGTGGGCCGAAAGAGCGCGAGCTAACTAACTTAAGTATTCACTACGGCACCAGCGCCGCCCGATCCGACTGCTCGATTCCGTACTTTCTTCCGCCGTTCGGCACTTTTGCTTGTTCGGCCCCTAAATGAAACAGGCTGGACATTCGCTCCGGTCGGATATTCTACAGTCTAGAGTCTGTGGTACTACTCTAGCTGTGAACTAATTAATTAATTATATTACTATACTTGGACTGTCCTCTAGAACGAGTCCTTACTTCATCCGGTAACTATCTCAGAGCTCCAGCTGTCTCTTCCCCGCTCGATCTCCCGTCTCGATCTCTGGTGGATGGAGACACGCTGCCACAGAGCCCTTAACCGTACGCCTGCTCTGCACGTCACGTTGAATCATTCTTCAATATGGCAGACGTCGAAGTGGTAAACCACTACAACCTGCCCTCAGCCTACCCCGAGGAGTGGCCAGCTGAGCTCGACCAGAGCGACGAATCCGAAGATGAAGCCCTTTCCAAGAAACAGAAACGCCATTCGCGATATTCTGCTCTGGAGCGCCCCGCCAGTGACAGAAGGAGTCTCTTCGTGGGCTCAAAGCAAGATGGGGACGGCGATACCCTGGTGCACAAAGACGAGCGGGACCCGTTAGGCACTGGGGAGAGCGTGGTGTCCATCCTGAAGCAACGAGGGTTGCCCGTTGACGAGGATGCCAAGTTGCGAAATCGCTTCCTCCTCTCATCGACCAGCTTCTCACCAGCGCTGTTCCTCTCCCAGGCACATTCTACGGCCTCGACCAAGTCCCTTCTGGAAGGGTTGGACTTCCTGTCCCGCTCAATCGATCAGAAGTCGGCGTCGTTGAAGGTCCTCGTCGAGGCCAATTTTGAACGATTCGTCCGAGCAAAGGCGACCATCGACAGTGTCTATAAAGAAATGAGGAACCAGGGTGCGGAGCATGATGGCCCAGAGGCTCGTCGGAGATCTGGTCATTTCAGAAACTATTCGACAAGCAGAGCACCGAGTCCGGCAGCACTAGTCACATCGGCCACGGGTTCCAACAAGAATGCACTCACCAAGGAAAGCGAGTACGGAGTGAGAGGTATCCGGGCTCCCCTGGTCGAAGCTTCAGTGAAGGCGGAAGAGGTCTGGGGACCAGCGCTGGGTGGCCGGGAACGTGAACAGGGTCTAAAATCGGTGGTCACGACGATGGAAAGACACCGCGCGGTCTACGAGATCGGAGCAAATCTCTCCAGGTCGATCAAGCTGAGGGACTACGAGTCTATCTTCGAAGAGTATACGCGGGCCAGGACACTTGCAAAAGAAGCCAAGAATATCGCAGATCGAGCGATCAGGACCAAGACACCCCTGACCGACGAAGAGACACATACGATCCTGATTACCGGACGCATGTGGGCGGATGTCGAACAACAAGCCCAGTCATTCAAACGCGATCTGTGGCGGCGCTTGAGCACCATCCAGACGCCGTCATCGACCGTTGCACCCACCGGTCCCGTCGAGGAACACATGGAATTGATCGGGGCTCTTTTGGAGTTGGGAGTCGATGACAATCCTGTGTGGGTGTGGCTTCTTAGTCGATATGACTTCCTGAAGACGAAGATCGCATCCTTCTGCGAACGCTCCAAGGTCGAAATTGAGATTCTTAGGCGCAGAGTGGCCGCTGAAGAGAAGCCCACGCCCCAGGAAGTGACCTCATATCTCCGCCTCTCTCCCCGCGAGGGTACAACTGATCTAGCGGACAGATTGGACTCGGATGAAGTGATTGAACTGTGGGAATGTATCCACACCTACCTCACCAAGCTTCTGTCGCTGCAGGGTGGTCTTCTCGGCGACGTCGTCGACTTCTGGGAGACGGCGCAGTCGTTCATTGATGGTACAAAGCAGAAATTCCTGCCAGCTGGGTTCGAAGGAGAGAGCCGGAAACACCATCGTCTCAGTCCCAAGAGCATCCAAGATCTGCAGGATGGCGTGGTCGAGCTCGTGAACTGGATCCGTGAGAGTGTCCTTTCATTGTTTGTTGACCCTCCGACAGAGGATGTCTCCATGCTATTCTCTCCTCTACCTCCACTCAGCCCAAGCAGCCCGCTAAGCAGAGGCATCACTCCCACCGAGTCTCGCTTCAAGCTTGACCCGAAAAACCTACCGCCACCGTCGCCTAAAAAGGGAGAGCCCTGGGAGGACTTCGCATTCTGGCCGCCACATTCGAACTCTCTGAGCTCGGTCCACTATCTAAGCAAGTTTCTGATCTTGCTTGGCACGGCTGCCAGCGAAATGAGCGCTCTGGGGCCAATATCCAGGGGAAGCAGTACCTACGATCAGCTCAAGCTGCTGGTCAGTGCTGCTCGCGAAAGATGCGCAAAGGCAGCCTGTGCCGCCTGGAACAAGGATGCCGAAAGTATCAAGCTGCTCGAGGACTGGACGCGCGACCCTGAGCGTAGGGAGCTTACCAGGATGCCTGGCCTGTTTGTGTCGTTCGAGAATGCCATCCTCGCGGGGATGCAGAAGATTCTCTACATTTCGGACGCCATGACCAAGTCCGGGGCTGTGGACGTGGTCACTCCGCCCCCGGCGAAATTGTTGCAGATGGTGCGGACGCAATTTGTGACCAGCGTATACAAAGCTCTTAGCGGTCTGGTCGAGAACGCGGAGCGCCCTGTGAAGTCGGGGGAGGACGATGAGTGGGTTGTCGTTGGCCCAGCGGCAACCGTTGGAGCCGATGTCACCTCTTCGATCATCGCAGTCGACGCTGTTGATTACAGGAACAGGGTAAGAGCTTGTCATTACCCGCAGCATGAGCGAGATGGTTACTAACGTTGAATTTAGAATGTCCGTATGCTGCTTACGCTTTCCAATCTGAAAGCCCTGCAAGCAGATTTCGTCCCACAGCTGATTACGAACTTCGAGACTTCGTTTTCTGTCCAATTGACCGAGGAAGCGAAGACGATCCGTGATGTGGTCAGCCAGATTGACACCAGGCTCTTCCAGTCATACACAAAACCAACCATCGCGACCCTGGAGAAGACCATCATGGACGGCATTACGGCCCCGGATTGGGTGCCAGCGAACAATCGCCCTGACCAGGTCCGGCCCTATGTCTACACGACCCTGCTTACACTCGTTCTCGTCCACACTGAGATCTCGACGACTATTCCGAGCAGCGCCCAGGCCAGCCGATCCTCCACGCCATCCTTGCTCTCCACTGTGCTCACTCACCTGCTGACCCAGGTGTCTGCGTCCCTTCTGGCTGCATTCAGCTCGCGGACCAAGTATACGTTGGCGGCATTGATGCAGGCCACGCTTGATACTGAATTCATTGCACAGACGATGTCGCAGTATGCGACGGATGAAGCATCGTCAATCCAGAGTCAAATATACCTGGAGCTCGACCGGCGGACATCCAACGAGGCTCGGGCCCAGCTGCAGGCGGAACTCGGAGAGATGAGGGTCGTGCTGAAGCGGCTGAGAGAGCGGACGAAAGGAGAGTTTGCTTGTTTCAAGAAGCCCCGGAGCGGTGGCGCCAAAGCCACTTGATTGTTGCCCCGGTTATCCGCTATCTTATCCTTTGATTTCCCCTGTCTTTTGCTAGCAGTGATTCTGCACAAAGTCAAGCAAGGTCTCGGGATTCGGGGGATGGGGCAATGACCATGGCCCCATTTGCTTCGCAGTGGAATAGCCTATATGACGATACCCATTTTTGTCTTGGATAGCCAATGCGTTCAGGCTTTGCGGCGCATTCGAGGGAAATGATATAGCCTTCTGCTTCGAAGCTGGGTTATAACGAAATGAACGTATACTGTAGTACCAATAATTCCAATTTCAATTCCATTGAACAATGAACAAGACATCTAGCTGGGTATCATCATGAACTTTTGTTTCTCGCCGTTTCAAATCATGTCTGAGCCTGACCCATCACGCGCTGCACCTTACTCAACAAGACCTTACTCTCCCGTCCCAGTCTCCTCTTCCCGAACTGATCTGGCTTCTTGGCCCTGGCCATGGCTTCCCGTTCCTTCAGCCTGGCCTCCCTCTCTTTCCTCCTCGCTTCAGCCTCCTGCCTCCGCTTCTCTGCGATCTCCATCTCCTTGGCGAAGGCAGACGGCTTAGGACGACGTTTCCGCCGTCCATTCTCGTCGCGACTGTTCTTGGTCCTGGTCGAATTGTCCTTCCTCGGCCGACGCTCTGGTTCGGGAGACGGAGCATTCAGCATCGCCAGACGATCCGGATGGAGTTCCAACGATGCGGACTGTGGCTGCGCGCTGCCATCTTTGTCGTGTTCCTCGTCTTTGTCCGTAAAGACGGGCTTGATATCCGCAAGTTCCTGCTCTTTGATCTTGGCGTAGGCTTTTTTGACTTTTGCTTTTTGGATCAGGTCATTTTTGATCTTCTGGGCTATCAGCGAGGTTGTGTCGTCAGCAATCATCCAGCATCATGAATGGGGAGCAATAAGCCACAGTTCAAACGGAGTCCCAACGTACTTTTCCTTCGATATGTCCCATCTGGTAGATTAGCTGGACCGACTGAGAAGCCCTTCTTCTTCTTGGCGGGCGGCTGCTCCGTATTTCCAGGCCCGGACTTCACGTTTCCATCATCGCGCGTTCGTTTTGGGGCCATGGTTGATGATTGCTTGCAGCCCGCGTGATCTGCAGAATGGTTTAGGAAGAAATAATGCAGAAGATGCAGCGCGAACTGATAACCATCTCCTAGCAAATAATACCTTGAGGCGGAAATGCAAAAAAAGAAGCCAGTTAGCGTCGGGAGCGGATCCCGCCAGTCCCAAAGAGGAAATGGACTATTGATCGCCATCACGTGATGGGCTTATCGATTGGCGCGGTAATATTACCGTATCGGCGGTACGGTACCGGGCAGGTACTGTCACGCAGCGAAGAGGGAAGATGGGAAGATGCATCGCAGTTTTATTTATTTAATGATTTATTCATTCATCATCTTCATAACTGGTTCATTTGACTCATAGTCATTATAACTAGTTACTCTGTATGATAGACGTGTCCAGGAATCAGCCACGATGAACTGGAGCGATACTCCTATCGAGTGGGGAGTCTGGAAAACGAATGACGTGCAAATAATCCACCTTCTCCTCGTGACTAACAGCGCATCTCGCCTTGTCTTTGTCTCATCTCCGGCTCTGACTCCCTCGTCCATGACTACTCCCTCGTTGCGCTTCCTCCGGCAGATCCTGTCGCGCCCTTTTCTCCTTCACCTTCATTGCTGCCGCCAAATGACCAGGGATTCCTCGTCCGGTCTCCGTCAACCGTACCGGTACGATCCATAGATAGTCCCGACCTCCCCGACGGTCCCCAGAAGCACCGTATATCGGAACTTTCCCTATTCCCCTCCGCCACTTCTACGACAGTGCCACTGCACACCTATTTGCTTTTTCTCTCTGGTGTCTCCGTTCTCACTGGTTGAATGAGGTGGCCACTGTTCGGAATAGCCTGAGAGAAATAAAACCAAAAAATACAGGCGCTGGGTCGGATGCTATGCGTTTTCGATGATATATCGCTGAAATCATCATGCCGATGTTTCAGGACCCGGACCATGAGCGATTTTATGGCTCATGGTCTGCGGAACATAATCAGAACTATAGTCAAAATCGAGGATATACAGTCATGACGGATAACAGAAGAACGGATAGGAAGGACGGTGATATGATGGAGATCTTTCAGGCGGATGAGCATCTGGACTATCACCAGCACCACCAGCCTGAAGGGTTGCGGTTGCAGACGGGAGATAGAGAGAGCATTATTAGTGAGATTAAGAGGAGGCAGGTTCCTGCTTGGAAGGGTCAGAGTGTGAGTAATCCTTCTTGAGTGCGTTTTCTTCTTTTTTAAATTCTTTATTTCTGGAATGGGTACGGGCGGGGATCTTTCATTCCCTTAGATTCTATATACATTTTCTCTTATAGAAGCCTCGGATTTTATTCTGAGATCCTGGTTTGCTGACTGTCCTCACAGCTAGGAGATTATCCTGCTACCCAGAATCAATCCTCCCAGTCGTTTGTCCATGTCTTGCAACCGGAAGAAGATGTTCCATCAAACAACGGCAAAGATGCGCCAGTGTCCGGTGAAAAGGAAGTCTTAGCAACCCCCGCTGAAGTCGAACGGCCCAGGTCGGCCTTGCATTCGGGGGACTTCAGAGAAGGCGCTGCGCAATTGAAAATCCAAAGAGACTCGCTCTCTTCTTTCTTGGGCCGCCAGGATCATCCGCAATCACTCCGCCTTGCCTCTTCTCCTACGACTCCCTGGTATACACCGTCTGTTTTCTCGCGGAAAGAGAATGAGATCAACGGCAATCATCGGCAGTCTCTTGCGTCTGTTTCTCGCGCGCGGGCACCTTCGACCGGATCTCTTTCGTCCAGCTATGTCCTCAAAGCTCCAACCAGCCCGCTGGTTCACCAGGCCAACAATACAGATCTGGACTTCTCGCCGAAGGTCGATCTGATGGACTTGTCCGATAATGCAGACAGGGCCAACCGCCGTCGCACTCTTCCTCCTCCTAAGACGACCCAGCAGCTTGCATTGTCGCCTTCCGATCGACCTGGGGCTATTAATATCAGCAGGTCGCACACGACCGTTCGGAGGGAGGCAACATTCCCATATCAGGCGCACCAGCCACGGAAGTCTTTGACTTCATCCTACAGTTTGCAACTAGCGTCGCCCCCGCGGTCATATATGCCGCGGCCCCGGGGGCCCTCGTTTACCTCCGATCTTTCTCCTATTCACTATGCCCCGATGGTCGGTTCATATGAAGAATCTATCCTCCGTGGCAGGATGTCAACCACGCCCTCTAAACCACTTGATTTCACCGCTCAGATCGGTGTGCTTGGCAAGGGCAAATGTAAAGCCAATCTTAAATGCCCACCACATGTGACAGTAGCCTTCCCCGCGGTCTTCTATAGCTACCCAAATTCGGGGAACGGCCGCTCCATCTCCGACGACAGCCCAAGCCCATATGTCGGTCTCATCGATCTCGAACACTCTCTGCCCAAAGACGATTCCAGCAGCAGTAAGTCTCGCAGAGCTCACACAAGTCCGTCACGGACAATCCCTAGCCGCAACCTGGGCGATGAGGGTAATCCGCAAATGCCGTACGATGATCAGTTGGAGCGTCGAAAACGTGAGAAGAAATCCCGGAGAGCTCAGTCGCCCAAAGCACCACCTGGAGGTTGTTACCGCATCCCGCAGCAAGGCCAGCTGCAGATTGTTATTAAGAACCCCAACAAGACTGCAGTCAAGCTTTTCCTAGTTCCATATGATCTCAGTGACATGGAGCCAGGAACAAAGACATTCATCAGACAGCGAAGCTATTCGGCTGGCCCCATCATCGACATGCCCCTGACGGCCCGGAAGAATTACGGTACAGACCGTCCGGAGGCGTCACTGAATCCTACCGAGGATCCGAAAGATAAACCGGTCCTCAGATACCTTATACACTTGAATATATGCTGTCCTTCTAAGGGGCGGTATTACTTATATTCTACTATACGGGTCGTTTTCGCCAACCGTGTCCCGGACGGCAAGGAGAAGCTACGAAATGAGACGCAGTATCCGGAGCCGCGCTACAGTGCTTATAAGCCTGCGAGGGACACCACCCTTGGCACCAGTGTTGCCAAATCGGCTATGGACAGATCGTTCCGCAGACGGAGTGCAGGCATAGGTTTCTCGGAAGGTCTGGTCTCTTTCGACGGCGCTCCTGGGCCGACTCCGTATGCACATCGCTTCTCTCCTGCCTCCCCGAATGTCGCGGCTATTCCGTTTTCGTTATCCTCAGTTCCAAGAGAGGAGCATCGATCTCTTCCCAATGTTGAGCAGTATAGGGAGGATGGCAAGGAATGGTTCCGCTCACCTTCGCATCTGAGAATACACACCAAAGCCACCTCATCGTCGTCGAGCGGCCTCTTTGGCACCGGCACTACCCCCAGTTCGCAAGACACGGGTTACCCCGAGCACATGGCCGGCTTCTACAATAAGCTCAGCAAGGGCGACGCAGGTTATGGTGGCTATCCTTTCAGTTCCGGCTCGAGCGTCTCTGAGGCGGGAGAGAGTTTACTAGCCAAGAGACTTCGAGACCTCGAAGTCAAGAAACAAGAAGAACGGGACTCTGAATAGGTCTCATTAGCAGCGAAAACTACCGTATGCCATTTATATACGCGTCTTCTGTCTTTCGTTTGATGAACATATATATTCCTCGGCGTTTTAAGGTACACGGAGGCATCACTGCAGCACAACAACATGCACATAGCAGCATTCTTCAAGATGCGGGGCTATCGTCAGCGTCAGCGTCGTTGTCATCGACTCTCATATGTGACGGAATGATTTCTTTATTTCACCCGAAAACACTACTATACCCCCCCAACTAGTCATCTTTTAATATCTCCAACAACAGCACATATTGGAAAAATTGGTTCCGTTCGGTTGGGCAGGCAGGCACTTCAACTTTCCGGAGTTATATATTTGGGCCGGCTTTCTCCAACATCAGCATCACGTCGAGTCCTGATCGCTATTAGTCCCCGATGTCAGTGGACTTGGGTTTTGTATATGTGATTTTTTTTTCAACAGCAATCATGGAAATTTGCGTAGACTGGTTTCTGGACTATCTCTCATCTCATTAGCGGATGTTGTGTGATTTGAGAAGCATATGCGCACACAGCTTTCACTTGGATGTACGTAGCGAGTGCTCTAGACATAATCGAATCTACATGGCATTGTATTTAATCGAGGTCTATATATACAATATATATATATATATACGTACTTTTGTTTTAATTTGATGCAAGTACAGTATTCACGATATTTCCTACATGAACGTTCTGTTCGACTACAATATGAAGGACGATAGATATCAAAAAGATATATATTTTTAGATCTAGAGTTGATTTACTCAAATACGCGGGATGGGATGGTTAATTCCCGTTTTTGAATCCCTCTCGACTCCGGAAAGTAATAGACCGGAGAACGAAACAAGATAATGATAGACGCTAGCTAGCTAGCTAGGTTGCAGAGTATATCCAGGAAGCCACATGCAGCACGCTCACCTCGCACCTCCACAAACAAAAGATGTTACTAATTACACAGTATAGGTTCCCCCCCCACCCCACTCCTCCTGCTCTTTTCAGCCGGCGTGCTCGACGATCTCGTGGATGAGAGTGCCGTTCTTGACGTAGCTCTTGATTTGTTCTGGGACGGGACATTCCTTGGTGTCTTCATCTGTACCCTCCTTGGGTGGGAGCATGACGTTGACAGAGGTGCATTTGCTGGTGAAGACCTCCGTGTCCAGACTCTGGCTACCGAGGTAGACGGTTGCGCCGTCGACCTGGTCGAGGAGGACGGTGGGGACGACGCCGTCGACCTGAAGGGCGAACTTGGGAGACTTGATGACTTCCAAGCTGCTGACGAGGGAGTCGACGATGATGGAGAGACCGGTGCAGTTGTCGATGGAGACGGCGTTTGCCTTGTTGGAGATCTTGACGATGGTCTTGTTGCAGCGGCTGATCAGGATCGAGTGGTTCTGCTGAGCAGGGATCTCGATGATTTCGCCGGGGTTGTCGAAGTTCTCGATGAACCACTTGTTGGATTCCAGCTCCTTACGCGGTGGCTTCTTGGCACGCATGCTCTCAGGCTTGGGCTTCTTGCCCGGCGGAGCGGGTGACTTGCCCCGAGAGGAGCTGTTGCTACCTTGCGAGTCGGGACGCTCTGGGACAGTCGAACTTGCGCGCAGGCTAGGGTTCTTGTGCGTCATTTGCGACCTGTCCACCTTGCGCAGGCCAGATGTGATCGCCTCTCCTTTGTTCAGATCCGCAAACACGGCGGACATATCTCCGCCCTTAGAAGCAGACGATGTAGGAGCGGGTGTGGGATCAGCTGGTGGTGGAGGTGGAGGAGGCGGAGGTGGAGGAGGACCACCAGCTGGTGTGCTGATGGTTGGTACTGAAGGAACTGGGACTGCGCCAGAGCCAGACTTGATTTCTTTAAGAGCTTCGAGAGCGTCGGTGCCGTTCTGGTTCCATGTCAGGCCCTTGGGGTAGTGCTTCTTGAGATACGCCGCAAGCGACTTGAAGATACGGTAGTAGCCTTGAATGTACTGCACATGTGTCGCATCCCTGGGGAATGTCGTCAGTTCTGTGAGGACAAAAGACGAACGCTGCCGTAATCTAAACTCACTTCTCCTTGTACTCCTTCAGGACCTTGTTTCCGTAGTACTCAATGCCACCCTGCATCTCATTCACGAAATCCGCGGGCTTCGACTCAAAGAACCAGCCGAGCGCGACAATGCCTTCAGCGACAGCGCTGAGGTGGTTAAACAGCGGCGACGCTCGGTTCGATTCTCTGAGGTTGTTGATGGTATCTGAAGCCTTGTGGAGCTCGGTCATGAGCTCTGGAGGATGCGGCTCCGGCTTCTTCGCTTTCGTGGCTACATAGATATAGGTGCGCTCCGCCTGGAAAGCCTGCAGCACTGCTTTTGACTTTTCACAACTGTTAGCTACCTTGCGCCCCGTCCTCCAAAGATGCTTATTTCAGAGTCCAACCTACCTGCTCCGCAACCAGGCCTCCAATATTCTGTCCGATCTCCACAAATTTACCAACGTCCTCCTTGATCAAGGCATCAAAGTCCGCGATTTCCGGTGGTACGGCGCTCGGGGCGGGTGCAGGAGTCGGCGCTTTAGGAGGCTCAGGAGGCGCAATCTGTCCACCAGCGGGGATAGCTCCATTGTTGGATGCATTTTGCCCGACATGTTCACTGCCGCCGTCGAAGGACATAGCCATGTCCTCCAGACGCGACGTAGCAGCTTCCAGCCTGTTGAGAAGTATACGGCGTCAGCCATATGCAGATAGATGGACAAGGCAGCATTGAGCAAGATCCGAAGACACCGCAACTGAAACCAGAGTACGTACCGCTTGATCAAGGTCGTTAGATTATGCATATGGTTGCCTGTCGCCATCTTGGCTGCTTCCTCGATGCGTTCGAGGACACGTCTTGGGTGGAAAGCTGTCTTTAGGGGGAGGTTCAGGAGCTCGAGTGAGGAGCCTGTCAAGAATGACAAGGCCCGGGGAAATGGGATCTCCGCTCGCGAAGCCCAGTCAAACAGAAGGACTGAGGAGGTACGTGGAAGCTAGACCGTTCCTGAGTCCGTGGGCGTTGCAGAAACGGTGCAGTGTTCAGAATCCAGATGTCCCTGAGATGAGACGAGACGAGACGGAGCTCCAGGGTGGACCGTGACCGTATCTTACCGTACCTTACCGCCCGCTCGTGCCTCCACCCCCCTAAAATGGCTAAAATGCCCGCCATCGAAAATGACGTGTGTGTAATCCGTACGAACTCTTCGAAATAGTCAATAATCATAATTATTATATCCCAACGTTCCTCTTGTGGTTTTGCGCGAACGCAGCGAGACTTTCATTGTCGGGTCTCTCCTCTGGATTGTCCTCTTAACCGGCCATGTCGACATCGCAGAGCTCGACAGACCCCTCCACACAGGATGTCGACTTCTGCACTCTTGGCATGTTCATCCTTGGTATGATACAAGAACTCCCGCCTCGGATGATCAGCCACGCATTGTTCTTAGATCAAATGCGAACTATTCCTGCAGTAAAATACCTAACAATCAACTCCTCTTACAGATGACATTGAGTTTGGAGAGGGCATTCCGCCCGTAAAGGGCGCCTTGGGCGGAGCGGCTTCCTTCGCAGTCGTCGGCGCACGGATGGTGGCCGGCAGAGAGCATTCGCAGGCCGTCAGTTGGATCGTCGATGTTGGATGTGACTTCCCCAACGACGTATTGGATGTAATCCGCTCGTGGAACACGAAATGTGTAATTCGAGAGGATAAGGGGAGATTGACCACCAGGGCGTGGAATGGCTATGGTCCAAATGAGAAGAGGGGTTGGTGCCAATTGACCTCTAGCAATCTACTTTTTTGCCTTTTTACTGATTGTATACGATGATATCGACAGACTTTAAGTATCTGACGCCGAAATTGCGTTTGGAACCGGACATGCTGTCCGAACAGCAGGTCTTCTCGCGGACATTCCATATGGTCTGCTCGTCCGTGCGGGCTGTTTCCATCGTGCAAAGGATTCTGGAGAGGAGAGAAGAGTTGCTACAGAAGGGCTATATTCCTCCGTCCTCTGGCGCAGCTACGAGACCGCTCTTCGTCTGGGAGCCCGTTCCCGATCTTTGCACTCCAGAAGAGCAGGAGAGGTTCTTCACGGCGATTCGGGTGGTGGATGTGGTCAGTCCTAACGAACTAGAGCTGGGCATGATGTTCGGTCGACCAGGATGGGATGAAAGCAATGAAGATGACCGAGAACTAGTGAGGAAGATTCTCAAATCGGGAATTGGTCCTGACGGGAACGGGACCTTGGTGATCAGGGCAGGTAAGAATGGCAGCTACTCATACTCGCGGGGCCATGGGATCTGGCTGCCCGCTTATCATCAGCCAGACCCTTCCAATCCACCACCTGTGGTCGATCCCACAGGCGGCGGGAATTCCTTTTTAGGAGCCTTGGCGGAAGGGATGATCAGTCAGGGAAGAAGTCCTGTCGAGACAATCGAATCTGTCCTTGCACCATCGGAACCCTGGAAGAACATTGTCCAAACCTGGGGCAAAAACGGGCAGATTCCTCTAGCACTGATTTGCGCAACGGTTGCAGCAGGTTTCGTGGTGGAACAGATTGGCGTTCCTAAGATATCAGAAAAGGATGGAAAGGAAACCTGGAATGGATCTGAATTCACGGAACGGGTCCGTCTGTATACACAACGGTTATATAGAACGTTAGAAGAGTCTCCACAGAGACATCAATTGGCTCTTTGATCAAATCAATTCATTGTCCATAGCCTGTTTATTCCTGTTGTACAGCCCACGATATGATATCAACAACTGCCGGTTGTCATCCCCGCACCAGAACTTCTCTCTTCTATGACGACTCCTTCGTGGCCTTCTCGTGTTCGATAATCTGCTTGCTCCAGCTGAAAGAAAGGAGACGGGTGAGTATGTATGCGATGGAACAATCTGAGGGGTAGGGTGCGACTGACTAGCGACTGGGGAAGAATCGGCCGGGCTCGGGCATCTTGTCGCGGTATTCCCGCTCAGCGCTGAGGCTCCATGTGAAGACTGAGATTCCAAGGATGACGGCGCCAATCGCAGCAGTGTTGGCCCTCCAGTTGCCAGGCTGGGCGTACCAGCCTCCAGCAGGAGACCAGACTTCCTTGGGATAACTGCGGAGAGAACTGTTAGCGCACCACACCAACGGGCCAACGCCGGGGGAATTGTGCGGCAATGAGGGGTCATTGAAACGTACTAGATCTTGCCGCCTCCTCCCATGGTGAAAACGGGCTGGATGAATGCAATCGGTCGAGGGAAACGGGGTGGATGTGTGGGAGGTTCGTCGTCCGTGAGGTCGAGAGAGCGTCGATGTCCAACTTCCCGCGGCAGGTCGGCTAGTGCTCGAAACGGCCTAGCGCCGTCCGGTCCTTTTCTCCCCGTGACTTCCAGCGAAGCTCGACACTTTTTTCGACGAGAGAAGAGCATCGCCGAACACGCTCCGTCGATTGCCATCCTCTTCAACGTTCTGGCCGTCCTTTTTTTCTTCCATTCCTCATTGATTCTAGGGTGCGGCAGGCGCACGAAATCCCCAGATGAAGAGGCTGCAGCTCCTGCGATGGAGCGGTTCGGTTCTCTCGCCGCGGGTCAGGCCCGTTAACCGCCTGCAATATGTTTCTGTCGGTCTGCGATATCAGTCTTCAGCTTCGCCGGCTCTGGCAATCGAGGAGGATCAATTAGATGTCGACTACCCGCCTGTTCCGCCGGCACACTCGAGACAGTCCCGACTTCTGTTCCCTTCGCCGCCGGTAGAGGCAGCACGCGACTCAGCCAAACTGGCCGCCCTACATGCCCGACTCTATCTCCCCTCACGACTACCTCTCGAGACGCTGGCTCGCGCCCTCGTCGATGCCTCCGCCGATCCTAACCCCGATTTCAATAACGAGTCGTTGGCCACTCTCGGTCATGACCTCCTCACCTACTATACCTCCGAACACCTCCTTTGCACATACCCTCGACTTCCGTTGACCGTCGTCTTCGCCGCGATGTATGCCTACGTGGGCCCTAAGTCTCTGGCAGCAATGGCACGAGAATGGGGTGTGGAATTGGCTGCGGTCCCTGGTGGAGAAGTCGACCCGGGTCTGCTGCAGTTCAAGAGGGTTCCGCCAGACACCGACTTGGATGCGGAACCTGTCACGGGCACGACGAGACCCAACGACGACCGCAAGTCGTGGAGAAAATCGATGACCTCGCGGGTGGTCTACGATGATGAGTTCGGTGACCCGTCCAAGGCCCCGACGGACCCTGCGGAGACGCCAGTCATCCCCGACCCGCAGAGCCTGAAGGGCATCACCGCCGAGCAGGCGAGCGCTACGTTTGTCCGGGCGGTGATGGGAGCCATCTATGTGCACGCTGGCCGTCCGGCCGCTAAGCGCTTCTTCCAGGAGCACTTCCTGTCCCGACACCTCGACATTGCCGGACTCTTCAACTTCTCGCAGCCGACGCGCGACCTGGCACGGCTGTGCGCCCGCGAGAACTTCGAACGCCCGGTGGCCAAGATCCTGAGCGAGACTGGTCGTAAGAGTCGACACCCCGTGTTCGTGGTGGGCATCTTCTCCGGCAAGGACAAGCTGGGCGAGGGATCCGGCGCCAGTTTGGTGGAGGCTCGATTCCGGGCGGCGGTTGCTGCTCTGAAGGGCTGGTATCTGTACAGTCCGCTGCACGTGCGAGTGCCCAGCTCGATGGAGGAAGAGGGAGCGAAGCCATGGAAGCCGGTGCACGTGGATCTGGGCGAGGTGATTGTGTAAGATTTTGGCTGAGCGGCATATTAAGTGTGTTTTCCAACGAACGGCGCGCCCCATTGGCTCTCCCCGAGGATACCTCAACGGCGCTTTTTACCCTGCGTGCATGCATGCGTGCATTGCATCCATCTATGCCTATGTTTTTTATTGACGGTACATTGATTGGCAAATTTCATCATTGGGGACCGGGGAGCCAGGGCATCATCAAACGGAGCCGACAAGATCTGCGCTCTGTCTGTTAACAAATTTTTTTTATATCTATTATGTCAACCATGTTTCTATAAACTGAAATCTGCAACGAGATGCTGTACAGTATGGGCAAAAATCCAATTCTCTTTCCTCTTTTCTTTTCTTTTCTATCCTCGGTTGCTCTCCGCTCCAGCTTCTGTCCCTTGTTGGGCGATGGTGGTTCATGAATGAAGTACAGTACTATGGAATAGCCCAGTGGAAGGAAGTAGGAATGAATACCAATGTCTAGATATCCTATAGATCGAGATACTACTGCCAACTTACCTACGAAATGCTTCTCTCAGTCATGACAAGCCAATCAAATACATACCGTCACTCTGGATTCACAATCTCCTCTTCCCAATTCTCCTCAACTCTTGTCTTGCCGCCATCTAGATACCGACCATATTCATCCCAGAGATCCGCAATATCCACTCCAAACAACGCCTTCCAGAACCCATTATTCCTTTTACTTGAATCATTCTCATTCTCATTACCTTTACCATTACCATTATCATTATCATCTCCAACATACCCCACACGAAAGAGTCGATCGTTCAATCGACCGATCGCCGCCTGACCAACACGCACGTCCTCAAGCCATGCGAGGAAGAAAGCGGTATGTTGATAGCCGGCATCCCAGCGATCTGGCCGGTCTGTTGCGCTGGAGGGACGTTTCCAATGGGGAGGGTCGAGGTGGGCTTTGAGACGGACGAAATCGGCGATACCTTCGATGAGACCGCCTGGGGGGCGGAGATGGTCGTTATTCTCGTTTGGGGAGGTGTTGGATGGAAAAGAAGAAGAAGGAGGAGGGGCGGTGTGCTGGTAGCAATGGACGAGTTCGTGAGTGAGGACGCCGACGAGTTCCTTGCGGGGATCGGGGTAGGTGGTGGTGGCGGTGCGGATGTAGGAGAGGGAGAAGTGGATTTCCTTGTGGTCGTTGTCGAGGTCGGTTCCGGTGGTGTAGGCGACGCCGCTGAAGTCGCGCAGGATGATGGTCACAGAGCGAGTTGGGGGAATTGAGGGAGTAAATGCGTTGTTGCTGCTGTGACTGGGAGGACTGTACAGGTGCGTGATGATCTGGGCCAGCGCGGTGTCGAGCACGGCAGCGAGGTCAGGAACCAGGCGGAGGAAGGCGCTGGCGGCGGGATGGTGCAGGTCCTGGATGTGCAGGCGCAGCGTAGGCGAGGGCACTGCAGGGCTGTTGTTGTTGTTGTTGTTGTTGTTCTTATTGTTGTCTGTCTCCGACTTGGATGGCCGGACAGGAATTGGCGTCGCAGCAGCGGTAGTCATAATGTGAATTCAGCGATTGCGGGGTATAATAGTTAAGTAGACAGCTGAGAGGAGAGATGGCAGGTCAGATCATATAGTAAAAATAGGAGTCAATAATAGAGTAAATAAACTCCGCAGTTTGACTGCTATAAAACTAACTATGCGTAGGGATGGTGAAATATTGAAATGGGGGGTCAATTTCACGAAACGTGAAATTTCAACCCTTTTTTTCGTTTCGAAATTCGAAACGCACGGACCATAAATGGGGCGCGCTTATTACAAATTAGGAAACGCGGAGAGCAAATCAGCTAATAATAATTCAGTTAGGTAGTTACTAATTGATTAGTAACATTTCAAAATTTCACACATTTCATTTCATGAAATTCAGACCCCCAAATTTCATGAAATTTCTGAAATTTTGAATTTCAAATGCCATCCCTAACTATGCGATCAATGGATGACGCCCGGATCATTGAATCTCCTTCATTGCATTTAAACTCTTTTGGGCACCTAACTTAAGTGAGTTAATCTGGCAGCTAGAAATTCTATTCTGCAGTCGCGGGATTCGAACCCTCGTCTTAGAGGCGCCAGGAAGACATGCTAGCCAGTCGACCAAAAAGGATAACTCCGATTTGGTCTACCAGTACCTGAATCTCTAACCCAAATACACGCGCAGATCGAAGTCTGGACTCTGGGGTGAAAAAGATACGGCACTCGATCTAAGTAACGCCAGTCGCTTCTCCGGGCCAATGACGGTGGATGAAGGATTACTTCTTGGTCCACAGGGCTGACCCTGCCGTCGATCATCCAGACGAAGCTAATCATAATTAATACTCTACGTATGGTATTGTGTTGTATAGGACTTCCACTCAACGTCTGTAGACCATTCGTACGGGGGATGTAGAGAGATGCTGAGGATTACGACACTGTTTATGGTATCGCTCACAGTCAAGGCAGGTGCGACATGGTCGATATGAAGTCGTGGAGGGAATTCGTCGCATTATTCACTGTAGGTACGTGTGTGGAGGGGCAGATGAGGCTGTGGGGAATATATATATATATATATATATATATTCTAGTCCGAGTATGTCGGTCCCTCATTTCGTCGAGATCTGTACTCTAGCCTTTTTTTTTTTCTTTTTTCGCTTCTCTATCTATCTACTCATCGAGAAGACATTTCAGATGCTAGCATCCTCTCGATCACTACGAGCAGCAACTTACCCTCCCCTCTGTCGCTGTGCTGCCATTGCTTCTTCGTTCTCTGCGGTCCTTCCCGTTCCGAACTGCTCGTGCTGCCCGGCAGCCCAACCACGGTTCAACAGCCCAGTCAGTCTACGGTACGCGGAAACACCCAGACAACAACATAAACATAAACAAACCAAGTAGACGGGTGGGAAAATAAAAATAAAAAACGAGATCTCTGACAGACTCTATCTTGCGAACAGAACTGAACTGGTCGGATCTCGTCCTGGGCGATCGAATGATCTAGGTACTGTACTGTTTTACTGTAACTAACTAACGGCGCGCTTATCGTTTATCGCTCCTGCGCTAACTCACTAACTAATTAACCCCCCCCGGCAGTGCACGTCCCACTCTCTCCGTTCTCCGACGCAACTGCTTTCTTTCTTTCCTCCCACTTCCCCTCGACAGCTTCCTCAACTTCCTCAACTTCCTCAACTTCCTCAACTTCCTCAACTTCCTCAACCTCCCCTCCACCCCGTCACTCGCCTGCCTCTATCGCTCACCACCACGGCGACCTCTTTCCCTGCGATCGCAGTATCATCCTCAACAGCATCGGTATGTGCTCCTTCCTCCATGCGCAGTGTTTGGGGGGTATATATCCCCCGTCTCGAGATCCCCCCGCTGTCTCTGATTCTTCCCTCTTCACCACCACTTTTCTCTGCGTCGAACAGCTTCTGCTTCGAATTCTGCTTCGAAAACAGCTTCTGCTTCATCTGCTTCGAAAACAACTTCTGCTTTCACACTTCTGTGTCATCGCACTCTTCTCCATCTTCTCTCTTCTCTCTGACCTCTTGCTAACTCCACAATGGACGTTGACAGAGTCTCTCTCCCACTCAACCCAGTGTCGAGAGCGCTGGTTGTCACCCTCATCATCTCCCTCAACCCGTTCAAGTTCTTCTTCTACCTTCTGGTCTTCTCCCTGATCTATGTGCTCTTCGCTAAGCCGGAAGAGCTGACCTGCCTGTTGACCATCATGGAGGCCAAGGCGATCGAGCTCCTGGCCATCCTCAGGAACAGCAATGCTTCCGTCGACACCAAAGTCACCCACATGACTGCGTTGAAGTCTGAGATCAAACAGAAGAACGTGCCAGAATCCGCCATTACTCCCATCTTCGACAGCGTGAAGCAGGCCATAGCTTCCCCCCACACCTCTCTCTCCGGTGCTGGTTTTTCGGCTCTCGGTCATCTCCTCAAACGGCTCGGAATCCAGCAACAGCAACATGCAGTCGTCCTTCAGAGCCGCTATCTCTACCCGCTGCTCCTCGAACGCCTCGGCGATCACAAGGAACGGGTCCGCGCGCAGGCGGCCCAAGCATTCACCGAACTCTGGTCAGCGGCAGGCGCAGATGTCGAACACCATGTGCTCGAGGTTGCACTGACGGGAAAGAACCCGCGCGCGAAGGAAACGGCCATGAATTGGCTTAGCACGGTAGGAGCCTTCCCCGAGATACCCTCCTTCCTCATTTGGAACTTGAACTTTGTACTCACTCACATGTCATTGTATTACAGATGACCAAGCAGTACGGTCTGCTTTTCAAGAACCATGTTGGCCGGCTGGTTGCCTGTTTGGAGGATGCAGACAGTGGTGTTAGAGACACCGCCAAGGCTACTGTCATTGAACTCTTCCAGTAAGTCGTCGTCGACCCACTGACCCCTTGTCTCCTCCTCGTCACTCACTAACCGGACATGACAGGACCGCACCCCCACGAGCCAAGTCTGATCTCAAGAAGCAACTGACGCTTCTAAATGTCCGCAAGTCTATTGCCACTGCAATCATCAACAGCATTGACCTCGATGGATCCGTCGACCAAGAGATGTCGACGACCACGACGACGACGAAGACAACTATGACTATCGATCCACAACCTCGTGTCGATTCTGCACTAAGACCGGCAAGCAGCTTTTCACACCGTGCTCCCACGACGAAGGCAACTATGACTATCGATCCACAACCTCGTGTCGATTCCCAGCCTCGATTCGATTCTGCACTAAGACCGGCAAGCAGCTTTTCACATCGTGCTCCCACGACGAAGACAACTATGACTATCGATCCACAACCTCGTGTCGATTCCCAGCCTCGACTCGATTCTGCACTAAGACCGGAAAACAGCTTTTCACACCGTGCTCCCACGACGAAGGCAACTATGACTATCGATCCACAACCTCGTGTCGATTCCCAGCCTCGACTCGATTCTGCACTAAGACCGGAAAGCAGCTTTTCACACCGTGCTCCCGAGGAGATTCCACGTCCAGCATCGGTCATGTCGGTCATGTCGGCCATGTCGGGCGTCTCGACGAGCATGTCGACGTCGGCCATGTCGATGCCACGTCCTGAATCGGTCCTCTCGACTCTTTCCAACTGTCGATGTGATACACCTACCCATCAACTGCCGTTCAAAATGCCGCGCGAAGACTCGATCGACATCCTGGAAAAGCGTGCGTTGGCAGCGCGTGCAGCGACAGCACGCAGGGGTGAGCTGGGACGGCCGGCGCCCTTACCTCCTCAGAATTTATCTCAGAGTCGGAGCATGGATTCGCTCACGACTTCTGCTGCCGCGGCTCCTATCGAGACCGACGAGGGCGAAAAGATCGACCCTCTCTACATCCATTCCCATCGCGAAATCGACGACATGACGCGCGAGATGACTCCCGACTTTGAAGGAAGAGAGTCGGAACAGAACTGGACTCTCCGCGAGAAGCATGTCATGACGCTTCGCAGACTAACGCGAGGCAACGCACCTCACACCTACCCTCAGCAGTACCTTGCCGCCATCAAGACCCTGCTAGACGGCATCCTCAAGACGGTCAACTCCCTCAGAACGACTCTGTCTACTGCCGGATGCCTCCTTATCCAAGACCTTGCCCGAGTCAACGGACCCGGAATCGACCACATGGTTGAAATACTCATGCAAAACATGATCAAGATGTGCGCGATCATCAAGAAGATCTCTGCTCACAACGGCAAAGTCACTGTCGACGCGATCATCGCTCATGTTTCATACACCCCCCGTCTCCTGCAGCACCTGTGGCTCGCCTGCCAGGACAAGAACACCCAGCCGCGTTTGTTTGTCACGGGCTGGCTGAAGACTCTGATACAGAAACAAGCCCAACACAAGGCCTCGGTCGAACACGGAGGCGGACTCGACCTTTTGGAGAAGTGTATCAAGAAAGGACTGGCTGATGCCAACCCGGGCGTCCGAGAGGGGATGCGGGGAACTTTCTGGGCCTTCTACGCGGTGTGGCCGGACAGGGCCAATGAGTAAGTCTTTTGTCTCTTCCCTGAAGGTTCGTTGATTTGCGGTTGCTGACCATAGGACACTAGAATACTCTCTACTCTAGATTCGAAATCGAGGTCGTTGCTGGAGAAGGACCCAGCGAATCCGAACCATGGCGAACCATCGCTGTCGACTTCTGATCAAGCACGACCTGCGTTCTCGAAAAGCACTTCTGCTGCACCAACCCGCACTTCGCTGAAGGAGGCTATCGCGGCTCAGAGGAAGGCCAAGATGGCGGCTGCGTCCAAGGCGACACCCGATGCGAAGCACGCACCTTCTGCTGCAGCTCCTACCTCTTCTTTATCATCTGCACCTATGCGACCAGCTCTGAAGCCTCGTCGTCCTGAAGCATCTCGCCCAGTGACACCGGCTACGAGGCCCTCACATCCTGTGCTCCCGAAGTCCACAACGGACTCGGCGCCTACCACCACCACCACCACCCGTCCTGAGACATTCCGCCCAGTGACACCAACTGCGAGGTCCTCGAATCCAGTGCGCCCGAAGTCCACAACGGACTCGGCGCCAACTACTGCCACCACCACCACCAAGCCAAAGAGACTTGGTGGTTTCCAGTCGACCGATACTGTGACGACAGTCGAAAAGCCAGAGGCAAAGCCCGAGGTCGACAGCATGGAATATGAGACGGTGACAATCGAAAAGCCAGAGGCAAAGCCCGAGGCAGACACTATGGAACTTCAGACGGTCACGACGGTTGAAAAGCCCGAGCTAAAGCCCGAGGCAGACACTGTGGAACTTCAGACGGTCACGACGGTTGAAAAGCCCGAGCTAAAGCTTGAGGCAGACACTATGGAACTTCAGACGGTCACGACGGTTGAAAAGCCCGAGCTAAAGCTTGAGGCAGACACTATGGACCCTGAGACGGTCAAGGTATACGAAGACTCACAGTCAAACGACCTTGCCAAATCTTTCGAGTTCTCTGAGGATAAACTCATCCTCAATGACACACCTTCACCATTCCTCCTTCGTCCTGAACGTCTCCAACGTATGCAACAGATGCAAAACGAAAACATGGGCCCCGATCACAGCAGTCTGTCCACGCCGTGTCGGACGATTTCGAGCCCCTTGGAAGAACGTTCTCTGAACGACTCCTCACTCCGTCTCTCATCACTATCCTTGCGCGCCGCTTCGAACCCAGATTCAAACCCGACTTCAAACCCGACTTCTAGAGCGAACCGTGAGAGCTGGATCAGACTCGAATTTGCACACAGATGCAAGAGTATCAGTCCGCGCTCGAAAGATCCTGCCGCGGCCCGAGAAATCCTGGAGAAAGGAATCACCAAAATCAAGGACAATAAGCTCGACGTATACGGTTACCGCAAAATCCAAGGTCTCATCAAGTTCCATGAGTCCATGTTTAACCCAGGGGAAAACGCTGACACCGATCACCTCTACATGCTCTTGCTCCTTGCCTTGTTCTCCGCTCTCGAAAAGCCCCCTACATCAAAGCTACCGGCCGCCCTGGACATCAAGGTCCAGATTCTAGTGACGATCCGTGTCATATACATGTTCGGACGCGAACAGTTTGCCCCGTATTACCCGACTGCCACGACGGCAATGCTCAAGGCTCGGAAATACTACGACGCAACTCATTACATCGTCAGCGGACTGGAAGAAACTTTTGAAGACTTCGTCGTCGACACCCGCGACGGACACCGCATGATAAGAGCCGTCCTCGACCAGATCGAGACGGAGAAGCGGGACCGAGAAGGTCTCCGCGCGGTGAACATGGGCATCTGGGTCCTAACGATGCTCCTCCGCGACTGCGCCATGACAAAGACGGCAGTCCAGCAGCCGCTGTTGGAACGAGTGGCCTCGTTCACTCGTTCCAACCTCTCAGACAAAGACCCCGAGGTACGAAAGGGGGTAATGGACCTTTGCGTCCCTCTTTTCGGCGTCTTCGCCAACGAAGACGCCTTTTTCAGGGCTGTTGACGCCAACCGTCAACAGAAAAACCTGATCCTCTACTACGTCACGACGAATCGTTAGTCGTGACGTGCCTGTCGCTCGTTTTTGTTTTGTTTTGTTTTTTGTTTTTGTTTTTGTAGTTTTTATTTTTGTATTTTTTTATCCTGTATGTTAGTTTTGTTGGCGTTGGTTGGGGCCGGGGGCGTTCGGCGTTTTTGTTTTGTGTTTTTTTTTTTTTTGATATCCTTACCCCCTGTTTTATTTTGTATCGTTATCCCTTCGGGGGTATCGGCATCCTTTGTGCTATTGTTTGTTTTGTCGTCCGTTTGTGCCGGCGTTGCCGCATGGCCTCATCGGAATTATATGTCTCTCCCCAACAACATCCATATGGTTGCGACAGTCGATCCCATCGATACGGTCTTGTGCTCGAGGGGCCGTATGTGGTCCTTCGGAGCTTTTTATGTTTTCTTTCTTCTTTACCGGCCCCAACATTGAGTGTTCACATGTGCCCAGGGGGGCCGTATGTTTGGCCCCCTGGGCTTTTTATGTATGTATTTCTCTTTGGTTCTCTCTTCTTTTCTGTCTGTGCCTGGGCCCCCATCATGTCACCGGGGGCCCCAGGCTTTTCAGTGTTCTCATATTCCCACTGTTCTTTTCACATTCATGTGCCTGGGGCCCCATCTTGTCATCGGGGCCCCCAGGCTTCTATATATTCGGCTTTGGCTTTCCTTTCTTGCTTTCACTGGGGCCCCTTGGCTCGACTCCGTCTTCATCAACCCCTTCCATTACAGAGCACAATGCTCTCCAAGCATGTCTCCCATTCGCACATACATATTGAACAGCTTTTCACACTCTTCATTGTAATGCCTGTCACATATCCTTTTCCTGCTTCCGCGCATCTTAGATGCATAATTATTTTGGCCTCTCCATCCCTTGCTCCGCCCACAGGCAATGGTGTGACGCAATGATGTATAACGACCTCTTACCCCTGATGTATATACATATTTAATATCAAAAGTTGACAAGTGTTCGAGAAAGCTTCTTTTTCTTGTGTCATCGAGTGCTATTGTAATGGATTATCACTCGTGTAGATTGAGCGTGGTTCTACAAGTATATATACACGCGCTGATTCGTAACGATGACCGGTAAAGGACGAGAAAAGGAAATGTACATCAACGGCTACTACTAGTATATACAATGGACTGGGTATGCACTCTATATCTATGTTTCGTTCCCTTCCCGAGCACTACGGCCCTGGTATTTCTCCCCCTTTCCCACATTGCAATGATCATTTTACGGGCCGTGCGAGACTTTGAGCGATACTCTCCACCTCAGTAGCCACCGCATCAATGAACGTTCTCACCTCACTCTCATCCATGATCCCACCCTCGACTCGGACACCGAATCCGATCGTGTCTTTGCGCGGATCTGGTCCGATATCGATGTAGAAGCCCTCGTCAGGCAAGAAGGTTGTGTCAAGCAGGTCGACTGACGTGCTGCCGGGAAGAGGATGCGAGGGCATAAAATCTGTTGGCACCCCGATAGGGAGAGGGCTGAAGAGCGACGAGGAGTCTGTGGGATCACTGGGCTGAGCCCAGAGGAGATTGACCCAGGCATTGAACAACGGGGCATCTTTACTGCCGTGGCCTGTCCAGCGGAGGATATCTCGTAGAGACGACTGCTCGTAGGGGACGCGCTCTGCGAGGGTGGATTGGATAGTGCGCGCTGCATTGATGCATATTTCTGCTTCCGCTTCCGCTCCTGCGTGTGAGTCAGATGGTGCATCGAGGGCATTCTTTACGGTGAAAGGTGTGACGTTCAAACAGGGTCCAGAGAGGCGCTCGATGTCTGTGAACGAGGCCGAGCGACCAGTCTGGTAGAGACCAAACGTCGGGTTCGCGGTTTGGGTGTGGCGCGCGAGGGTGCGGGCCACCGCGAGAAGCACGATGGTTTGGAGACCCATTCCTGCTGCACGGACAGTCTTGTCGAGGCTGGAGACATTGTGGATCGTGTCCCAGGCTCCGACGAAGAGTTGAGATGGTCGCTGCTGCTGCTGCTTATCTGACGGGTCTGTTTCACTGGAGAGAATTGTAGGCGTGCCGTCTGCGAGGGCTGAGATCCAGTATTTCTCCTGATCAAGACTCTGCAGAGAATCGATCGAGTATTCGACGAAGGATGGGAAGTCCGGGTTCGAAGTTGGCTCGAGGTTCTGATACAGCTCTGCGAGTTCGTTAACGAATTGAGGCATGGTCCATGCATCGTATGCGGCGTGGTTGACGAGGAGGAGGATTGCATCTTGATCAGACGCCCTCACGAGACGGAGTCGTACGGGTGGTGTTTTTAGCGAGGAGGGATGGAGCGCTTCTTCTCTTGCTTGAGTTTGCGCTGCTTCGACGACGGCCTTGGAAGAGGCATCGATCAATTCGAACGTTTCGTCTTCCCCGTTACCGTTGCGATGTGCTTCTTTCAAGACAACCTGGACAGCGTCAGCTGGCGAGAGAGCCGCGAAGCATGTGCGCAGGATAGGATGTCTCTGTCGGAGCTTGAACCATGCTTGCTTCAGTTTGTCCGCATCTAGTCTTTCACGACTGGAATACGTCCATGCCGGTTCAAAGAGCGTACGGCCGGATTTCAACCAGCTGACGAGATGGTACATCTGCCCGCTTAGACAGGGGAGTATAGTCTCGATGGCATCGGCAGGAATGCCGAGTTGTCGCGTCACTGTCTCCTGGACCTGCTCGTAGTTGGGAAGGAGCGGTTTCTTCGTCTTCTTGGCTGAGTCGTTGTTCCTCTCTTCCTGGGAGGATGGCGAAGAGGCTTCGTCTGAGACGCGCATGCTGATGCCACGAAGAGTGTTTCCTTGGAGAATATCAGCAACGCCTGCCTTGAGGCCCTTGGCGCGACAAGTGGCAGCGATGCGGATTGCAGCGATAGAGTCCAGTCCGATGCTGAAGATGCTGGTGGTGGGCGTGATGACTCCTGGGGGCACGCTTGCGATTTCAGCCAGGATTTGCCGGACGGTGTCCTCGTGTGCGGGGATGTTGGGATCCTGGTGAGTCGACTCGTCTGTGGACTTGTTGCCGTCGGTCAGTTGAAGTGGTAGCTGCTGGAGCTTCTCAGGAATGATCGTTGCGCAGCGATTTGGGTGTTCGATGATGTCTTTGAACGCGAGCTCGAAGTCCCTGAGAAGAGAGCGGAGCGTCTCCTGAGATATGTACTGTCCTTTGCAAGATGCTCGGATTATGACGCCGTCTCGAGTATGGTCGACTTCGACGTTCAGTTTGTGCTCAGCTTGTGCGCCGGTGTCTTCTGTCACGTATGGTTGCCAGATTTGCTGTTCGTCGAGAACTCCAGGCTCTAGGTCGGCAGTCTTCTGGAAGACGAACAGATTGTCGAAGATGGACGCAGTCTTTAGATCATCAGACTGGCGCAGGGAGCTTTGAATGGTGCGGAGAGAAGCGTGCTGGTATTGTTGGGCATCGGTGTTTAGTTGCTGCAGGCGAGTCACTATTGCCTTGTTGCTGAGGAATTTGGGATCTAATGTGACGCGCTCCGCAACAGTGTTGAATAATGGACCGATGGTCCTTTCGCCTCCAGTAACAGGAAGAGAACGTCCGGCGAGGACGTGTCCGAAAACGACGTCTCGCTTACCTGTCAAGCACGCTAGGACTTTGGCATATGCCAGGAGAGATACTGTCTGGACGGTAACTTCCAGGTTCTTGCAGGCTTCAATGATCATCGACAGATCAAGGTCGACGCGCCGTTCTGCGAGGTACATCTTTTCTGATGATTCGGTTTCGGGCAGCGGTGGGATTTCGAAGACATCATAGCCACGCAGTCTCTGGGTCCAGAACCTGGATGCTTCTTCTTGACCTTCCAAGATATGTCCGACCACCTCTGTGAACTGAGGTCTTGCTGGAGGTACTGATCCTTGGTAGATGCTTGCGAGATCCTCGAAGATGTACGGCAACGAGACACCGTCGTACAGCGCGTGGTGCATGGCTATAGCCAGGTATATCTTGTCCGCGGTCTTAAGCACAAATGCGCGCAGCGGTGGGGATTGGAAGGAAGCTTCATCTTGCAACCGGAAACGGCTCGTCACTTCAGCAGCGATATTGAGGTCTGAAGATAAGTTAATCTCCTCCCATAGAAGAGGGGGGGAGCTGTGGACTGCGCCGATCCATGAGAAGCCAAGCTCCTGCATAGAGTGGAATGATGTGCGCAGGATATCATTTGAAGAGACCACTTCAGCGTAGGCGTGTCGAAGCTTCTCAATATCTGTCGTATCGGAAAGCTGGACAATGTGCGGGTGGACATACACTTCACCGGAAGAAGCCAGTGTCTGAGTGATCATGCCTGCTTGTAGCGGTGCGCATTCAAAGACGGTCGAGATAGAATCTTCGGGTGCTAGAAGAGGTATCTTATCCCGGTATTCATCAAGGCTCTTGATACCATTCGTCTCCGTGACGCCATTGATGTTGATCTTGGATTCAGCACGCGTGTCTTCAATGTGAGCAGACAACGCTCCGACGCAAGAGAAACGCATGATATCAGCTGATGAAACCTGAATCCCGCATTCACGCAGCTTGCGCGCAAACTGAATAGCGGTAACTGAATCAATACCGAGACTGAGGAATGAAGCTGACTTGGAAACGGTCTCTAGGCCTAGACCACAGAAGCTGGCGACGAGCTCACGGATCTTCGTATCAATCTCCGACCATGACGCCTCGTCCCATCGGGATTCCTTAGTGATTGCGTCTGATCGTCTCGATACAGACAAGTTGAAGTTGTCCAAGGAAACGTCTGCACCATCGATTATGCTCGAGATAAGGACGTCCATTTTCTCCAGGAAGTCCTCTGCGCTGTGTGATGCGCCAAACGCGGAGGTGAAGCCACAGTGGGTGTACATGAGGTCGTTTGCATTGTCCGCTTCGACTTCAAGAGCAAAAGGATAGTCAGCAGCCATCTGGCTGTCTAGTTCTTTCCATAGACCATGATCCCGAGGCTTCGTGCTCCGAATGTACGAGAAGAGACAATCGAAAAGAGGCCTCTCAGAATCAACCCAGCGTTGTATGAGTCGCAAAGAGGTGTGTTGGTATTCCAGCGACTTCACAGCTGATTCCTGAACGGCCTTTATAACCTCTTTGACGGTTGTAAGACCGTCAGTGTTTAGTCGACCAGGCACCGTCGTAATACAAGGGAGGAGCACGGAATCAGCTCCGGGAACTGGGACAGCTCTTCCTGAAAGGACCGCTCCATACGTGACATCTCCTTTGCCCACAGTGTCCGCAAGGAGTAGCGCAAAGATTGCTTGTACCAGAGATTGTGCCGTTGTCCGCAGACTTGATGCGCGCGCTTCCAGTGCAGAGAGCTTGAACCCGAGAGTTCGATGCACGACTGTTGGCTGCTCCAATACATCGTCTTGGCTGGCTCTGAAAGTGGTAGGATCGCAGCCCTCAAGAAACTGTGTCCAATGGACTTTGGACCTTTCGATGTCTTGAGAATGGACATACTCCACGAAAGCGGCAGCAGAACCTCTCTTGGGGACATCGATTTCTTTGTACCGCGCTGCAACCTCATCCAGTAACATGGAAAGCGACTCTCCATCATAAAGAGAGTGGTGGATAGCGATGGACAGGAGTAGTCGTTGCTGGGGTCCTGTGGACTTTGCCAACCGGAAACGAAGTGGTGGGATTGAGGAAATACGGTTGATGATATCCTTTGCGAGTTCTTCTTGTTGATCTTGAGAGCTCAACCACGGCAGCTCTGTGTCATCAACTTCTTTTACGTCCCAAGGTAACTTGTATTCACTTTTGGCGAGGACCATTTGAACGATGCCTGACGGCGTCGGGACGAATGCAGTTCGAAGGATTTCGTTGTCTTTTGCAGCTTCTTCCCAGGCATTTTTCAATCTGTCCGAGTTTATGCTTCCGGACAACTCCAGCATGATGTGGTTGACGTATAGCTGCACACCCTCGCTGTTCATGGAACGTGCCACCAGTCCCTCTTGGAGGGGGAGACAGGGTCTAACAGCAAATATCGTTGCTGCATCGACGCCATCTGCAGGGTTCTCACGGACATAGATTTCTAATTCGCGGAATCTGTTTCGAGTCTCCTCGCTTGTGGCATCGGTCGCTGCACCTGAAGACCTAGGCAGTTGAGCAAGTTGTTCAACTATGGGGTTGCTCATCACGGATGCGACGGTTGCTTCATAGCCAATGTTCCTCAGCTTGACCGACAGACTGATAGCACTCAAACTGTCGAGGCCGATTTCAAAGATGTTCGTTGCATGACTGATAATCGAGGCATCCGTGGAGATGACACTTAGGATTGCCTTGACCACCTCTTCTTCGTTGCTGGTCAGGGGACGACTCGGTGCAGTATTAGAAGATAGTGACGGTCCGCCATTTGTCTGCAGGAGATTCGACAACGGAATTCCCGCCAATAGAGCCTGGAGTTGTTTCACATCCGCCTTACCAGACATTGGTGCCAGCGGGATAAAGTTCACGGGGATAACGAGTTCGGGCACCATATACGCAGGGAGCTTCTTTTGACATGCGGACCGAAGCTCTTGACCTGTTGTCCGGAACTCGGACTCCAAGAAGGAAACAGTGTGACCTTTTCCACGCGGCCTGTCCTCTGCTCGTGCGATGAACGAGCCTAATTGTACTCTGGAGAGGCTTGGATGTTGGACGAGCATAGTGACAACATCGAGCTTGACTTCGGACGAGGACCTGATGACTTCTGAGACTTCTCCGAGTTCCAGTCGCTGTCCTCTGATTTTGGTTTGATCATCGCCACGACCGAGATATTCGATGGAGTCATCGGCCATTAAGCGGACGATATCACCCGTCCTGTAGAGCCGAGTGCCGTGGAAGTCATCGATAAATCCCTTGGCATCAGGTCTGTTGAGATAGCCTCTTGCGACCAGATCTCCGGTGAAACAAAGCTCTCCTGTTTGGCCACGAAGAGCATAAATCTCAGTCCCGGGAATCAACACGTGAGCTACGCAAGACCCGAGGGGCTTTCCTATATTCCTCAAATTGGTCTCTGGCGTGACAAGTGCTGAGCTACAGCCGATAGTCACTTCTGTTGGTCCATAGGCGTTGACCAGGGCCACGCTGGTGGAGGCGCCCCATGTGTCGACCACTCTCTTTGAGATCTTCTCACCTCCCACACTCAGATACTTCAACTTCGGACACTGATCTGGGATGAGGTTGGCTTGATCGAGGAGCGACGGGACAAAGCTAGCATGGGTAATGTCCAACTTGGTGAGAGCCAAATGGAGATCGTCCATCAGCATCGATCGGGGACCCGTTACTGTCGCCAAGCCATGGCGCCAGGCGAGGTAGATCTCTGCAAGATGGACATCGAAAGCTCTGCTGGCAAGTGCCAGATATTTACCAGCGCCAGCGAGCTTGAGTGTTGCCGGAGCATGACGACAGATGAATTCTGATTGACTCTCCACGAATGAGGAGAGGTTACCTCTAGTCACCAGAACACCCTTGGGCTTGCCTGTCGAACCAGATGTGTAAAGGAGATAGGAGATATCGTCTGGCTCTGCCTGGGACTCAAAATTCTCCGGGGAATAACCTTCTAGAGTGTTTTGGAAGGCTGGATCGTCAATGCAAATCACCTTGCAGCTATCAGGGGCACCGGAGAATGTGTCGACAAGGCTAGACTCGGTGAAGACAAACGCACAGTTTCCATCTTCGATCAAGAATGCCTTGCGGTCATCAGGAAGTGCTTCGTCGATAGGGAGGTACGTATTGCCCGATTTGAAGATACCCGCGATGATCGGATAGGAAGCAAGAGTGCGCCCAGAGCAGAGTGCAACCATCCGTTTCTTCACGCCGGCTGCTGCAATATATGCAGCGACACGGTTAGCCGCAGCATTCAGCTCACCAAAGCTCATAGATTCCTTCTCGACCTTGGCTTCTGTGATTTCACTGGCGATCTCTACTGCGGTCCATTCCGGGTGCTCTCCGGCCCACTTCTCCAGCCAGAAGGTAGGACTCTTAGTCACTGAGTCTGCGACTTCTGGACTGATCTTGGGGTTACTTATTGACAGCATGTGGGTAGGCAAGTGGTTGACGATCTCCAGAACTTCCTCATCCGGATGAGATAGCATGACACTGACGAGAGCATCAACTTGACGGACGAATAACGACAAGTGCTCGGAGCTCATCACCGCATCCTCAGAAGATGCACTCAGAATGAGTTCACCGGCATCGTTTTGTGTGACATTGAGTGCCATCGGATGTTCCACATCTAGACCGATCTGATCCTCGAGCTCTGACCAGAGGGACGGTCCATCAGCCTTCGTGTCGCGACCATCGGAGACAGGGTGGAAGGTGAAGAGTCCAGGGTATAATGTCTGGCCTCTAGAGCGCATCAGGAGCTTCTGGACAGTCCGAGCATGGATATGACGATGCTTCCACGTTTCAGCCGACAGCCGCTGCTGCTCAGCTAAGAACTCCCGAACGGTGCCTCTGGGACGGAAGGGAACAGGCACAACTGATATTAAGGGCCCAATGACATCTTGGAGAGTCGAGTCTAAAACACGATCTGACAGCGTCTCGCCGAATACCGTTGCTGGAGCTCCCAAGTAATTCAATGAGACACAGCCCCAAGCTGCACGAATAATGGAGGCAATTGAAGAGACGCCGAATTGAACTGCAGCAGACTGTAACTTGGACGCAGAAACACCAAGAGTGATTTCCTCTGCGATGAATCTACGACGTCGAGAGGGATCGGCTGCATTTCTCTTTCCAGTCAAATCGGGCCAAGCCGGTCCCTCTGGGTCAGCGAACTCTTCCAGCTCCCTTGTCCAGAAGTGAAGATTCTCAGCATCCTTGTCTGAGTTTGGGAGGACAATCGCGAGCGCATCGAGCAGCTGGTGCCTTACGGGCGGTGTCAAATTAGGATTGTTGTATGCTGAGCGCACATCTTCCGCAATGTATTCAAGTGACGGGCCGTCGTGAATTGAGTGGTGGACTGTGAAGACCATAATCATCTCGCCATCTTTATCTAAGATTGTCACTGCCCAAGGCGGGTAGCGGAAATAGTTTGCTTGGTGCTTGGCCATGACACCGTTTATCCTCTTCTGCAAGACCTGCAGGGAATCGTCCGACGTGCATTGACAGACCTTCCAGTCTAGACTTGGCTGGCTGTATATCAGCTGCAAGACCGAGAAGCCTAATTCAGCAGCGTTGTCCACTTCAAGTTCAGCAATCGGGATGAATCCTCCGCGCAGCGCCTGGTTTTCTTGGGCGGAGTATAGCCACGCCTGCTTCAGTCGCCCTAAGTCGACGTCTTTATCAAGTGAGAAGAAGTGGTTGCTCCAATACATATTATACACTCCCATTGTCTCACTAAGCAAACCTTCCTGAATAGGAGATGCACGAACAACGGAGAAGTCCTCGCTGACTTTGGTCATGACAGAGTCGTGCCATCTCTGTTCGAATTCGTCAATGTTGAAACGGTTGGCTGACGACTGGTTCTTAGAGGACGCTGTAGCGAGAGAGATGAGATCCTGCACAGTGAAGCATTGGAGGACGTCTATCACGGAGATTCGATAACCCGACTGGTTCAGTCTGGATGCAAGCCTGATAGCGCGAATCGAATCGATGCCGAGAGACGCCAGTCTGTTCGATTTCTTGATACCCTTGGCAGAGATTCCAGCTAGTGAAGAAATAATATCGACTATGACATGTTCTTCGGAAGTTCCATTCTGTTGGACCTCGCCATTGACAGATGGGTCGACTTTGCTTTCCCATGCTTCAATATCGACTGAAGCATAAGATTTCTGAAGCGCAACACGGTCGATCTTTGCAGACTGCGTCTTGGGGATGTTCTTGACAACCACATAAACCGAAGGAAGCATGTGGTCTGGCAAAACAGATCGTGCCTGGTCGATAGCAGCACGAGCAATGCCAACTGCTTTGTCATTGGAAAGAACGAGCCCATCGCCAGCTTCGCCTGAGACGGCCTCAGGTGCAGATAGGAAAGCAACGACTACCTTTGTTGGTCGGTCTGGGCGGCTGAGGATCATAGTTTCGACTTGTTCGACGAGTGGATGGCAACCACCAAGCGAGAAGCTGATCTCGCTCAGTTCAACACGGATACCGCCCAGCTTGACCAGGTCGTCGACACGAGTCATATATTCCAGAGAGCCATCAGAAAGCATGCGAACGAGATCACCCGTGTAATAGAGTCTCTGACCGGTCTCTTCGTTCCAGATATACCTTTTTTTTGTCGTCTCTTCCTGATTGAGATATCCATCAGACAGCTGTGGACCCCCGAGCGCTAGTTCACCAACTGCGTTTTTCATGACGACTTTCTGATCTTTCATCACAAAGACAGAAACGGTTTCCAGCGGCCATCCGATGTTAGCACTCTTGAGGTTTCGGTGTTCGTTGCCGAACTCGCGGACTGTCGAGACGACAGTGACTTCGGCGGGACCATAGGTGTTGAAAGCTCGCATGTCGTAACCCCAATCATCAGCAACAGGCTGGGTGAGCTTCTCACCGATCATGGTGATGACTTTCAGAGTTTCACAGCTCTTTCGGGGAATGCCGGCAGAGAATGCAGGCGTCAAATGTGCATGTGTCGCCTGGGTAGTATTGGCAAGCTTTGCGAATGATCCAAGCATAATTTCTCGAGTGGCAGATATCAAAACACCTCCTACGCCCCAAGTGTAGAAGATATCTTGTATTGAGACGTCAAAGGTGTACTGTGAGAACTGCAAGCAACGCACGCCTCCCGGGACGTCCGCGGGAATATCTTTCTGAAGAGATCTCATACTCGAAACAGCCGCAGAATGCTTGATTGGAACTCCCTTTGGTGCGCCAGTGGTGCCGCTAGTCCAGATCAAATACGCCATGTCGTTAGGACCTGCCTTTGAGGCTGCATCATCGCCTGTGAACCCATTTGTGTAAGTTGGCGTACTGTTGGCGAAGGCACTGATATCTACGACGTCGACGCCGTCCGGGATGGCATCCTTTGGTTGTTCTCCGTCAGGGCTAGAGACTAGAAGTATTCTTGCGCCAGTGCGAGCAATGAGATCGTGCCGACGCTGCGCGGGAGAAAAGGTATCAATGGGACACCATGCACTTCCTGCCTTGAGAATTCCGAGAATGGCGACATACATTGCTGGGCTCTTGGTGATACAGATAGGGATGGGAGAGTTGGCAAATGAACCATAGCGGTCGACAAGGTAGTGCGCCAAAGCATCAGCTCTGCGGTTGAGTTCACTGTAAGTCCATGTGATGTTAAGAGGGCTGTCGTCGCGTTCAAGGTCTCCTTTGAAAATCAAAGCGACATCTTCGGGATGATCCTTCGCATGATCTTCAAATTGAGTATGCAGAAGAGTCTTGTTTAGCGGCTCCTCAAGGTACACCGGCTCTGGATTCCAGGACGACTTCAAGCTAGAGCTAGTGCTGGTAAGGCCATGTTCGAAGGTTTCGTCGGGAGAGTCAAGGATGAAAGCTATGATATCGCTCATCTGCTGAAGCATCAGCTGTGCAGCAGCCCTGTCGAGCTGTATATCATTGTAAGTGGCTCGCAGGGTCAGCGCGCCATTCGTGTCAGGCCACACCTCGACCATGACGGCGAAATCGTTCGCCATAGGTGGATGCTCTACGGACGTCCAGAGACTGCTCGCACGGGTCCCGGCACCGAAGTCTTGCCAGGCCAGAAGGGTATCATAAGGTAGCCGGCCGTCTGCAGTGATCAACGATCCCAATCGTGGCTGAAGATATGGCAACGTCTCCGCATTCAAGGAAGCCAGGTGGTTGGTAAGAGTCTTGTTTGTATGACTGCCGTTCCCTTGACCACTGCTCACCCGACCTGGTGCAAGCCTAAATGGCACCGTGGTGAAGGTGGGCCCAACGCATGCTTCGGATTCAGTGTCAAGCCTACCAGACACCACACTTCCGAAAACGATATCTTGTTCCTGAGACCCAGTGTAGGCGAGAAGGATCGAACCCCAAGCAGCCTGAAGTACAGAGAGCGGTGTGGAGCCTATGATCTTCGATTGCGTTCGCAGGCAGTCATAGCTCGTGCGAGCAGTGATCTCTACCGCGTCAGAGACACCCTTGGCAGATGATGGTCTATAAGGTGTGACGGAAGGAAATTGAACAGGAGAATAGTTTTCCAGGTGACTCTTCCAGAAGTTCAACGTCTCCTCCTGATCGGCCAGATAATGGTGCTTCACAATATGCTCTATAGAGGTCCGATGACTGCGAGAATTGCCCTGATATTCAGAAGTAACGTCTTCTAGGAGAAGTTGAAGAGAGCCACCATCGAAGATACCGTGGAACATGCTCAAAATAACAGCCGTCTGGTTGGTTCCTGCCACCAGAGAGATATTCCAGGGATGGCGTTCTAATGAGATGGACTCCTCACTTTCGCGAAGAGCAGTGTCCAGTGGTCCTGCACTGGAGTTCTCCTGCTTGGAGTCACCGTATGTCTTCCATTGAGATTTTGGTGCAGAAGAAGGTGCTATAATACACTGAGCGAACGGCGCCATCTCGTCATCCAACATGCAGAAAACGGTGCGGAAGGAATCATAGCTGGCTATAACAGTATTCCAGGCGGCTTTCAACCGTTCGATATCGACACCCGATTCAAGGCGAATGACTGAGTGGTAGATATATGATCGCTTCGAACGTGTTGCTTCTGATGAACTGCGAATAAAGCTGGCCAGCATACCGGATTGAGTTGCTGTAGTTGGTAGCACCTTTTCAATGGCCTGCGCATCTACATGTAGTCTCTCTGCACAAAGTTGGCGGTTTCGCTCGTCAAAAGCCAGCAGTTGCTCTTGAAGAGACACTACGCGGAACTCAGCTGACTGGGAACCATTGGGCAGCTGACTGGAGCTCTTCTGACGTTGTTGAAAGATCGTGGAGACCAGCCTTCCGGGGGTTCCTGCGCGAAGCACATCACTGACTGACAAGCCGTCAATGCCATTATCCCTCAGCCTCTGGAGGAACCGCATCGCTCCTAAACTGTCTATGCCGAGAGAATAAAGACTGACTGAAGATTGGATAGCGGTCAGGGGTTCATTTGCAGTGTCAGCGAGAGACTGGAAGACAAGCTGCTGCAATGCCAGATCATCGACTTGGGAGTCATCGGGCTCATCTTCATTATGCACTTCGTTTGTAGCTGGGGTCTCAGATCCAGCTGCGAACTTGACTCCGTCTTTCAGGGCTTGCTGTAACCTCGCCAAGAGAGTCTTTCTATCCACCTTTCCAGAGCTTGAACGAGGTAGGGCGTCGTAGAAAGCATAAGACGACGGGCACATGTACGAGGCCAGATGCCTATGGGTACTTTCGTGAGCGTCCTTGAGAATTTGGTCTTTGACAGCCTCAGTCTCCTCACTTGGGACAATACAAGCGACAATTTGCTCGCTTCCTTGCTGCGCTGGATCTCTCTGCAAGAGCACAGCTACAACTTCCTTAACATTGTTGACAGTCGCGAGAACAGACTCTATCTCTCCCAACTCTAGTCTTCGACCACTGATCTTGACTTGATCGGAGCTAATACGGCCGAGGAACTCGAATAACTGACGACCCTTCTCATCCCAGACGATACGGGCCATATCTCCAGTTCGGTAGACCGGGCCAAATTCTGAACTATGCACGAATGACTTGGCCGTCTCCTTCGGACGGTTCAAGTACCCCTTGCTGACCTGAGGGCCTGCAATAGCTAGTTCACCGGCCATACCCGCAGGGACAGCCTTTGGCACTCGAGAATAGGGATCTAATACGAGCATTGTACAAGTGGACAAGGCTTCACCGATGATCGATCCACGCACTGAACGTTCAACTGGAGCTAGGAAGGTACAGTTAATAGCACCTTCTGTTGGACCATACGCGTTAACGAGCATTCGCGAGGGTCGCTTTTCATCTGTTACATCAGAAGGAAGCCCCTTGGAAGCGAAATTCTCAATAACAGTGCGATTGAGTTTCTCTCCCATAGTCCAAAGGTATTCGAGCGTCTGAAGGCGTGAGGGCCGCAGCAGCGCTGCCAAACTTGGCGTGGCCATCATCACTGTGGCCCTAGCTTCATTTACGGTAGTTTCGAGGTCGGTCAAAGTGAGATGTCGATATGCTGAACAGAGAGCAGCACCCGAACTGAGAGTCACAAATATCTCCATCAGGGATGGGTCGAATGTCGGAGAGGCAAATTGAAACCAGCGGAATCTCCCATTTGGGTCTCGAGGGAGAGGAATAGAGGTCGCATGAGCGTTGATAGAACAGGTTGCTGAGAGATGGCTAACTTGCACTCCCTTAGGTTTACCGGTCGAACCACTCGTGAAAAGGAGGTAGGCAACGCTGTCTTCTCCAAATTCAGAGGATCGGGGGAGATCGGTAGGACTTCTTGCTTGCAGCTCCGTCAGAGACATTTGGCTCAGCTCTTTCCATCTTGTGATCTCTGCCACATCAATCCAAGCTGGCCTTGATCCGTTGTTGCAATGTCCCAAATTTTCATACCATGGGCCCGAGGAAGGCTCAGGAGTCCTGCCTAAGATCACAGGGGAGCCAATGTCTCCCAATATCTCCCGCACTCGCTGATCCGGTGCATCTTGCGGAATTGGCGAGAAAGCATAGCCAGCTTTCAGGATGCCGAGATATGAAATATACAGTTCAGGTGAAGTCGACATGTATACAGGAATAATGCGGTGCCAGTTCGCCACTGAGTCATGGCGTGACAGTAACCCGCGGAGATGAACTGCCAAGTTCGTCGCGGCAGCGTTTAGGGCGGCATATGTGAGAACGCTATGTTCCGCTGGGGATGTAGATGATGGAAGTGATTGTATGAAATCTAGAGCCACGGCTCCAGGATCCCTGCGAGCCCAGCGCTCGAAGGCCCCATGAAGCAGAGAAGAGTCCGGAATGGGCTCATCACGTTCGTGTTCCAATGGTGGGGGTTTCATGAGAGGAGGGTAGTTGATAATCGAGAGCTCCGGAGAAGCGCTTTCATCTTCAGAAGCTAGCAGCTGGAGGTGACTGGATGCCCTCACTAGGCAAGAGCTGACCGTCTTCAATATCTGGTTGAGTGAGCCTTCGGGAATCAATCGTCCGGAGCATGAGATAGAAATTTGCAACTCGTTCTTTGTCTCCTCCGGCTGAACTGCCAAAACGAATGTCTACACCTTGTTAGCTCAAGTGGGCTCAATGCATCTTATGCAACTTGACTAACATCTTTAGAACCAGTGTCCGCTTGCTGCTCGCCATTCTCAGGTCGAACGCCAGACGCTAAGAGCAAAGCAAATTGGATCTCATCTTCATTATAGGAGGCAAATTCGAGCTCCTGGAGCTTTTCCGGGAGCTGAGAGTCTGAAGAACCAGCTTCTTCAGAATCTGGTCTTGAAAAAGACGCGCAGATTACCCCGCACCTGGCACCGGTTTGCCAGGGACTGTCGGTACTTGTGATCGAGAAGGCAAGGTCATCGAGACCAGTAAACTCGGATATAAAGGACGCATAGCCTTTTACGACGTCGTCCGCAATGCTGGAAATGTCTGCGGTATATGACAGACGCGTGGAGCTGCTCACCCGGGAAGAGTGACGGGAAAGAGGGGTCTCGAGAGCATACTGGTCGATAGTATCCAGAGCAGGTACCTTCGTCGTAGGCAGAATGTTGGCATCTCCGGCAACATTTCCATCGTGACCGTTCTGCAGAGGTACTGAGGGTTGATCGTGCTGTTGGGCGGGAGCTTGCTGCCCCTCACGGGACAAGGTATTACCTCCCATTGGAAAAGGATTGGATTTCGATATGCGTCCTAGGACCTCTATGGAAAAAGAATGGATTGCGAGGTTAGTTAAACATAACCCTGCGACTGAGAGCCCTCGTGTCCGAGAAAGTGTACAGCACTTGTGTCTATGCGTACGACATTCTTCTTTTGATCTGATAATAATCTTCCTAAGCTTGGCACACCTTTATCGGAGCTTGATGGTGCTAAAGCAAGGTCCACTGCTTTAGCATCGGTGCCGAGTCCCCTTGTCAAAATCGCCGCCGCCATGTACCATACTACTGTACTTTGAGCCGGTGCGGAAAAAAGAAATGTATGTTGGTCAGGCACCAGGTCGGCGAGTGTGTATGATTTCACCATCATTCCCTGTCCAGACCCTTGCCCAAGTGACGAGTGGCCCCCCATCGTCCCCGTGGCATCGGTGCGAGATTGTCTTTAGCGCGGTCCCGTAGAACGCTCGAATCGGCGGACGATCGCACATGGAATAATGGAACCCATCCTCTCCAAGTTTGATGGAGGACAAGCCAATGGGACCAGCTGCTTGGCATAAGGAAGTATCGGCGGTTGAAACCGATCATGCTAAGGATTGTGTGTGGGATGTAAGTTAGACTAATGGAAACTTTCGTCCGGCAGTTTACGGACGGAGAGCAGACTCGGAGCTGTAACCAATTAACAATATTACATGGCGTACTTAGTAGTGAGCCTGTATTACCATCGTTATGTATTTCGGCAGCGTGGTTAAGTATGTATGTATGTACGTACTGTACTACTGTACCAGTCCTTCTGGTGGGCTTTTGTTTTTTTCCTGCGGTGGAATGGAAGAGCAACGCGGATTTCACGCTGCTTTAATGAGATCGACAGCACTAAAATCAGCCACTGTGCCCAATCTGATTAGATGTCCGATCTGATTAGATTATTCGCTTTCGGCCCTGGTAAACTAAGACGTAAAGTCCCACTGTAGCGTCGTGGTATTTTATCTCTCCACTTATCGTATCGACTCTGCCACAGGGTCTTCATGAGAAAAAAAAAAAAAAAAATAAAAAAATAATTCTCTCGGAGGTTATCATTCGATAGTAATTACATTGCATCAAATTGCTGCTCAGTAATAATACAGTTACAGTAGTGGACCACCATTATTATGGTAGAAGAAAAAAAGAAAAATTAACAGCGCGGTAACTTCGTTTTCCGGGAATCTCTCCAAGGTTTCTTTTTCTTTTCTCGTACAGCCCAACCAGGTCCACACTACCGAATGCCAGAAACCTGTCAAGACCAATGCCGGGAAAGATGGGGGCCACGCAGAGACTAACTATGTAGATACTCTACTCGAGTACGACTCTACTCCACGTTGTACGCTCCTGGAACCAGCTGACGCAAGTAGTGAGAAGCGGACTTGGCATTTTTAGTACAGTAGTTGATGGATAACCATGCCGAAAGCCAGTAGATAACTATGGAGAGCTGAATCATGCGATGTTTTGGTAAGATCCTTTCATCTCGATGTATTATTATTATTATTATTATTATTATTACTTCTGCTCCCCCGTTTTTTCCACGCATGAGTCATAATACATACTGTAGGAACAAGGGACCATGCCAGACATGCGGGAACTAAAAAGAAAGAAACATTAGTTATGGACGAAAACTCGAAGAAAAAAAAAGTTGACATGTCCCAAACGCCAATGGCGGCTCAGGCCGATGTAGGCCATGTCTTTGATCCACTCAGCTCCGTAAACGGCCGATCATTATTATTATTATTATTACCTGTACGGAGTAGATACGTGCAGAATTCTTCCCTTGACTTTGGTACGATGCCGTACAATTTGCGCCTAGAATCGTGAATAGACTGGTGTGTTCTGCGCGACACTGGGACCAGGGCTTCCCACTGTCTCGGATAACGTATCCCTGATCAAGTAGCAAATACCGAAGATCGATTGATTAGATCGGGCATACTTAGGCTTTATCTATTCTGATCATAACTTATCATATGAAGGATCTGCCGAGCTTGCTCCATTATTGTCGGTTCTTTGTCCGAGGAGCATTAAACTTCTGTCGATAGTTAATTAGTCCTTAAAGTTCGCTCTTCTGGAGAGATATTCTCGAACGTCGCAGGACAGATTATACCCCTTCTGAATAAGAGAAAAAATAAGAGAAGAAAAAAAAAATGTCGACAATACGAAATACCAGTCTTCAACGACTGCAACAGACGCTTCTTCATGTGCAAGAGAGCGCGACCTCCAAGACCCAACAGCTCTCCATCGTGCATGGGCCGCGACAGCCGGAATTGCTGGATATCACACTCGGAGAGCTCCTCACGCTGCAGAGTCTACAGCATCAGAATTCTGAATGTCTCGTTGTACCATGGACAGGAACGAGATGGACATATGGCGATCTCGAAAAGGAGAGTTATCGTCTCGCGCAGGGACTGTTGGCGGTGGGGATCCAGAAGGGCGATCGCGTCGGTATCATGGCCGGCAATTGCGAGCAATATGTTTCGGTTTTCTTTGCGGCCGCGAAAGTTGGAGCGATATTGGTGGTTTTGAATAATACGTATACGCCTTCAGAGGTGTATTATGCCTTGGATCATGCGGGTGAGTGAGATTTAATCAATTAACTGGGTTTTTTTTTTTTCGCGAGGAAATTGTTCTAATGAGGGGGCATTTTAGATATCAAGTTCCTGTTTATGAGCCCCACCATTGGACGCCATTCTCTGGTTGAAGTGTTGGAGAAATTGGGCCCTCGTCCTCAGAAGAATGGGACGTCAAAGTCCCTTGAGGAAATTGTTATTGTTCGGGGAAAATATAAGGATTTCGGAACCTATGCCGATGTCATCGAGAGGGGATCTGGGTTGACGCCAGAAGCGCTCTTGAATCGAGAAGAGCAATTGAGTCCGCATGACGTCTGCAATTTGCAATTCACCAGTGGTTCAACTGGGAATCCGAAAGCAGCTATGTTGACGCATCAGTATGCTGCCCCCCCTTCACTTTTACTGAATATTCAGATCGTTAAGAAAGAAAACAAGCTACTAACTAATGTGTGTCTAGTAACCTGGTCAATAACTCACGGTTCATCGGTGATCGAATGAACTTTACAGCTTTCGATATTCTATGCTGTCCACCGCCACTGTTTCATTGCTTTGGTCTCGTTCTGGGACTTTTGGCTGTCGTGACGCATGGCGCAAAGATCGTGTATCCGGGTGAGACATTCGACCCAAAGGCCGTCCTTCACGCGATTTCGGACGAAAGATGCACGGCTCTTCATGGCGTCCCGACGATGTTCGAAGCTATTCTGGCCCTGCCACGACCGGAGAAGTTTGATAGCACGAGTCTGAGGACAGGTATCATCGCCGGAGCACCGGTGCCTAGGCCACTGATGAAGCGGTTGCTTGAGGAGTTAAACATGACTGAGTTTACGAGTAGTTACGGTATGTCTCTGGCCAAGTACCTGCGTGAAAAAAAAAATGCTAATAGCATCCTACAAAGGCCTGACGGAAGCATCGCCGACGTGTTTCAACGCATTCACCACAGACACTATCCACACGCGTCTTACAACAGTTGGCAAGGTTATGCCGCACGCCAGTGCCAAGATCATCGATGCCGCTGGCAACACCGTGCCAATTGGGCAGCGGGGAGAGCTCTGCATGGCTGGCTACCAGATCACCAAGGGATATTGGAACAACCCAGCAAAAACCGCAGAGACCATGATAACTGATTCTGACGGTATTACATGGTTAAAGACTGGTGACGAAGCATCCTTTAATGAACAGGGATACTGTACGATTACGGGCCGGTTTAAGGACATCATCATCCGAGGTAGGTTGCATCTCTACATGAGCAATATGCATCCGTGAAATAAAGCTAATGCCTGAACCAGGTGGGGAGAACATCTACCCCCTTGAAATCGAGGAGCGTCTCACAGCACACCCGGCAATTACTCTGTCGTCCGTGATCGGGATCCCTGATCCCAAATATGGTGAGGTTGTCGGCGCCTTCATCCAGATCGAACCAGAATATCAGAACAAGCGGCCATCGGATGAGGACCTCCGAGATTGGACCCGGGAGAAGCTAGGTCGGCATAAAGCGCCTCGGTATTTCTTCGTTTTCGGCGAAGAGGGCGTTCCAGCCACGGTCCCTGTCACAGGGAGCGGGAAGGTGAGGAAAGTGGATCTCAGAAAAATGGCGGCGGAAGTGTTGGAGAGGAGGAAGACGAATACGGGATCTGTTCAGGCGTAGAATGCTCTAGAAGTGATGTTTTTGTATTTTTGTTCATACTTGATGCTGACTTTGGAAATATCTACAACGTTGTATATAGTCACTTAGGTAATTAGCGGGTTTAAAAGTTAGATAGCCAAGTATTCATTTCTTCCCCCTTGATACGATCAGGATCATACAGTCAGTAAATCTCAACGATCAGTATAAGCCGTGGTCATGTAGTGTCACGTATGCGCATGGCATCTTGATTCCGAGATATCTCAGCGTCCGGCTTGGCAAATGGTGGCGGAAATTTATCAGATCATCATGTTCCCATCAGATTAGATTATCAATCTAGGGTCCGAGTCGCCGAGATTATCAGATGGTCCCCCTTTTCTGTCGTTGTTTTCTTTTTGTCTCAGCCTTGGCTTTTTCTAGTCAGATGTCACCATGTTTCTCTTACTTGAACTAAAATTCCTCTCCTCTCCAATAGGCATCCTGAACGGGAGCAGTCACTCAATCGAACACGTAAAGAAAAGCTCGGTGGTCCCGCCACCGTGAAGGTGTATACCGGGCCTAGAAGACGATAGATTGTTTCGAGTTTCTTTCCTTTTTGCACTTTTTGTCTCGGTTTCATCAACTTCCGGGGTCTTGGATCCGGCTATTGCCATCATCATTCCCCGGGCTCGTTGCCGTCCGTGGGTCGGTTTATTGGGCCCTAGATCGTTATTATTATCTAGTTCGGAGGTGATTTTTTTTCTTCTTTATGTCCGTAATCTCCAGTCCAGGGAAATAATAATAATATGGAGGAAAAATATTACACTTTCGTTTTCCATTTTCGTCCTACCATCACCCGGGGTAGCATTAACTTATTATCACTCTATATTTTACTTACTCCGGTAACTAGTGATTATTCAGGTACTTAGTACTGTACTTTAGTCTCGCCGACATGGCGCCGATCCGTCTCCAGAGGTACCGCCAGGAGTCTACATATTTCCATTGAAATTAATATTAATTATCACAGCGTACGTAGTAGTACGGCATGTATTTTCGGAAGTTCCTGACGCGCTTAGGCTTTCTCCTTTCGCGTTCTTTGTCTAGGCTGACGACGTGGCTTTGATTCAAGCGGGGTCTACTGTACTAATGGGAAAAGAAGCCAAGGATCTAAGAGTATCATGTACTTACTCCGTACTACATAGTAGTGTATAGGTACGTAGTGAATTACTTGGCATTTGCAGGAGAATGAAGCGATGCCGTATTATTCTTACGCGGAGAGCACGGACCTAGGCGGGTATAGTATGTACTATATGTCATGTAGTAGTATAGAGTGGTCCGTATATTAAGCCAAGTCTCTTCCCAAGCTAAACCAGCATGGGCTGCTGCTGCTGGGGAGCATCCCCAGCCCAAGGAACTTGGGACTATCTACTCCGTATTCAGTGAACCGAGCTCGTACCCCGCTCATCGTACATACTAATGTCTGTATGTACTGTACTAAGTATGCAGGGATCTAAGTTTGTGGTCCCCCACATGGTGATAACGATTCGATATCAATTATTATGTGCGCCAAGAGAAGGAGGAAAATTTTTGACAGAAAAAAAAAAAAGTGAGACATGGAAACAGCGGCTAACTACTACATAGCCAAGCAGCCACAATACAATTACGGGTAGAAAAGAAAAAAGCTAGTCTAATAATTGAAAAGAGGTCGTTTCACTAGAGTACAAAACAATTTAAGTAACCGCCCACGCTAAGAAAGTATGTATGACAGCATTTCAAAGCTTCAATGCGCGATCCGGGTTTCCCTTGATGGTCCCAGCGCCGTTGAAGCCGAAAGGCGCAATTTGAAAGAACTTCTCGCGACTGCATCGGACGAATGCAGATCGCTTATGTGGGAGATCGACGAGCTTCTCGATGTTGAACCCGTGCGCGTGATCGTATGCGAGGACGGTGGTATTTGTGGCTTTGGGCTCTCCGACAACAAAGCTCGTTCGCGGCTCGTCGAGGAAGATGTAGTGCATCAGGCTGCACCACCAGGCCATCACACGGTGCGGTCCTCGGAAGCGGGCGTCTCCCACGAGGGAATGTCGGCCGCGGTCGTAGTCGCCTGCGTCGTAGTATGCGCCTAGGTGATCCTCCTTGAGGTGGTTATCAGCTTACCGGACTCGAAAGTATGGATAGAAATATGAGCAAGAGAGTCAACGGCCTACCTTGGCCCAGTAGATTTCAAAGTATGCGAAAAATGTGTCATCAAATTTGGCCAGGACGGTCAATTGATGCGGATCCTCGTGAGCTTTGCGCAGATACTCTCTGTGTTGGTCCAGAGTGCCGGTCTCGTTCCATCCTTTCGACACTCGGGGGTCATTCTGCCACTTGTGGAACAGTTGGAGGTGCTCATCGTTCTCGTAATCGAGAGCTACCATGGAAAAGTACTCCTTCAGATGAGGAATATACCGGCTGTATATCGTCGACCCCGGAGTTGGCTTTACAGGTCTGACAGGGTGATGAGCGTGCACGCGCACATCGGGAAACTTGGTCGTCAGAGTGTATTCGAGAGGGTGAAGTGGGAACGCAGTGAGTGGACGACGGTAGGAAGAATAGATACTTGGGTCAGAAACCCACGGCGCACGAGGACCAAATGGCCAGCCAGCGCCTTGCCAGAAGGTCCGGCGCAGGATCACCAATTGCCCAACATGATCGCTGGATTGCGGAATAGGCTGGTTTGGCGGCGCAGAGGGATCAGGATGCTGGATCGCTAAGCCGACTGCTTCCAATTCCTTCGAGAGAAGCTCTCTGCCAACGCCCGACAAGACCAGGCGGAAGATCTCAGGGTCTGGTCGCAACGAGAAAATCGCATAGACGACATTCCAAATCTGTCCCACGGAAGGTGTATCTTCCCCATCCCATGTCAAGTAGCATGCTGGGCTTCGCTTCGCGCGCGCCCATGGAGAGTTGTTGCCTTCGGGCGGTGTTTGCGATGGATCGGGCGTCAACAGCTCGCTGAAAACGAGAGACGGGTGATGAAGAGGTTCAGGAGGAGCAATTGCACCGTCATCAAAGCTGCTCAGCGCCAATCGAAATATCTTCCATGTCTGGTCTGTCGAGGCAACTTGGATCTCGTAGGCAGTCTTGAACGGCTCCGGAAGTCGAACGAGAGGAAGCTCCTGCTGGTGATATCCCACCGGAGGAGACGATGCGGAAGCCATGGCAGCTTGAATCATATGTAACAATTGGAAATGAGAGGAAATAGCATTCAACTACTGAACGTCTCGGATGACGGGAGCTTCAAACGTTGGACGAGTTCACCGTTGCACAACTCATCGCCAGCTGGAAGAACTTTGTCCGGTCCGCATTGCGATTATGAACTGGATCATTCCCGCGGCCTTTGATGGATAAAGATGGATTCTAACCTCGGTTTTCCGAAAGTCTGGGCACAACGGCGATCCAGAAAAATCGAGTCCACTCAAGTGACAGGGTATGTATGGTACACTCCTAGAACGAGACGACGGCAGAGCCCGACCACTGACGAAGCTAGACTTGCGAGTCTCGAAGCTGATAATGCCCACATTTGCGGGACATCACCATCATCACGTCACTTGGCGCCAGCTCACACTTTCGCGAGCATCCGGAGAACAGGCGATGGGAGTTTCTCTCGCCCGAATCAGGTACAGTAACTATTTCTGTTGTATCGGAGGCCCACTGCTGCTAATGAACTTACTCAGCAGTACCGACAGGTTCGGAGTCTGGGTGCATCAGCATCGGTAAAAGATTATCAGATAATAATTACTTAACTCCGTCGTGAAGCTCAGAAAGAATCACCGGTGCGAGACATTGTATGGTACATACGTCCGGTGCATGCCAACAAGAGACCTCATGACGTTTCGTGCAGTGGGCCAGATAATACCATACCTCGAAGCGGAGACACTAAATGACACTAAAGAGGCGAACAGAGTTATCTGATGAGATGGATAACTTTCTAGAGCCGCTCTACCGTGTCTAACGCCCTGTTAGCGGCCGAGTCTGAAGAATCTTCTCCGATGTGGAGGGCGCGATGCCACCCTTTGGTAAACTAATAACTCCACATCTTTTGATGCCGCTCTAACAGAGGTCACGCTGAAGATCTGTTGCCGGTCTCTGGACAGCTCCCTCAATAGTAGGACGAAGTAGTGTTTTCGTTACATACCGAGATACCACTATGGAGCCCATGCAAGCCACTAGCCAGGAATCAGTGTCCGCAACGAAGGAAGGGGAGAAAAAAAAAAGAAAAGATCTGGCCTACAGCTCTGTGGGGTGACAGCTCCTTGTGGTTTCTTTTCTTCTGGCAACGCAGCAGCTCCACAGACGCATCACTAGTAGACTAGAGTCGACTAATTGCTCGTACTGTCCCTTGGCAGCTCTGAGGGTTGTCCATGGCGGAGAACGATCTCTCCGATGGCGGTCTCGCGAGATTATCAGATCTTTTGCCACGAGGAAAAAAGAAATCCACTGACTCTTCTTGTCTGCTCCGGCAGTCGCAGAAGATGAATTGATCGTTATCCCTATTATTACGTTAACCAGGCGCAGCTCTCTTGGCGTTCGACTGGCGCTCTTAGAGACTTGGAGTCGCCCCTGGTGGTTCTTTGGAAAACGCGACGGACCCCGTGGGACAAAGAACTCTGAGAATTAGACCCCTCACCAAGCTGCAGGAACCCGATTTCGCGTCTTCAACGGGCTCCCTCGCTTTCCCTGCGATTGACAGAGGTAGCTGGTAGCGGTGTTCATCTATCCTAGACGCAAAGAGGGGTTGATGGCCGTGTAAGTCCTGGAGAAACAGGCCGACAAGATGTCAGAACAAGCACCAGAAGATGAGAAGAACAATGGGGTGCAAGGTGGCCCAAAGCCGGTATGTCCAATATTATTCCTGTCGCGCATTACCTGCTCTAACAGCTGGTTAAGTGGTGGTCGCCTTTGAGATATATTCCAACGAAGCAGGACCTCCGGAAAACCTTCGTTTATCTCCATTTGCTCTTTTCGTCGGATCCGACTCCTCTGGATATTTTCCTGGTAATCGGCGGATTGATCTTTGCTATCGCAGCCGGTATTCCTTTCCCTTTGCTGGGTATCCTGTTCGGACAGCTGGTCAATGACATGAACTCGGCCACATGCGATGCAACGACAGCCAACAAGTCTGCCTTGACTGACAGCGTACGCACGAAGGTGTTGTATGTGATCTACATCACCATCGCAAATTTCGGCTTCATTTACCTCCACACGGGATGCTGGAGCTTGGTTGGAGAACGCCTGGTGAGGCGTCTGCGGAAGCGATACTTCGACAGTGTGCTAAAGCAAGAGGCGGCCTTTATCGATTCTCTGCCCCCAGGAGATGTCGTCTCGCGCCTTGTCGCGGACATCGAGGTAGTCCAATCAGGTACTTCTGAGAAAGTTGGTATCTATATATCAACCCTCTCTTACTTCACAGCCTCGTATGTCGTTGCATTCATCAAGGTTGCAGCTATTGCCGGTATGCTCGTGTCAGTCGTGCCCTGCTATTTCCTGATGGCATTCCTGGGTGGCCATTACATGAAGAAATATGCCGGACGAATGGCAGAGCATGTCAATGCAGCTACTTCGATTGCATCGTCCAGTCTGTCGCATCTGCCACTGGTGCACGCCTTCAATGCCAATGAGCGTCTCGAGGCCCTGTTCGCTGCGCACCTTAGCAAGTCTCGCAAGGACGCAGTCAAGAAGGCCCTTACGCATGCACTGCAGTTAGGCTTGCTCTATTTCATCGCATATTCGTCCAATGCTCTCGCTTTCTGGCAGGGCAGTAGGATGATTTCGGATGCTGTAGCCAAGAACGAGTCGGGAACAACAGTTGGAGCCGTCTATACCGTTATATTCGTTCTTCTCGATGCCTCCTTCATTCTCAGTCAGGTAGCGCCCTTCGTGCATATTTTTGCTGCTGCTGCAGATGCGTCGAAACGACTGTTTGAGACCATTGACCGGCAATCGGCAATTGATGGTACCTCCTCTGAGGGTGATAAAACCGCATCCTTTGCGACGGAGGATATCGAATTCAGAGACGTCCGATTCTCCTATCCTTCTCGTCCGGAGATCACTGTGTTACAGGGCGTCAATTTCAAGATCCCTCCGAACAAGCATACCGCTATCGTGGGAGCATCCGGAGGTGGAAAATCGACAGTTGTGTCTCTTCTAGAGCGATTCTATGACCCTACAGATGGAGAGATCGTGATCGGCGGCCGCAACTACAAGGAATTGAACGTCAAATATCTACGAGGGAACATTGGTCTCGTCCAGCAGGAACCTTCACTGCTCGATAGATCTATCCTGGAGAATATTGCACACGGTCTTGTCAGCTCTGCCGCAGAACAGCACCAACACCTGGCTCCTTTCCTCCTCGATTCCACTCTTCCGGACCTGGCAAAGAAGATCCGGGATGGTTCCTCAGAAGGAGAAGCCCTTTCCTCCTTCGATCCCGCGGTCTCTGAAATTGTCAATCTTGCGAGAGAAGCCGCCCGCACAGCAAACGCGCTGACTTTCATTGAGGCTCTTCCACATGGATTTGCCACAAATGTCGGTGCAGCAGGAAACCAGATGAGTGGTGGACAGAAGCAACGAATCGCCCTTGCCCGTGCGCTTGTCCGCGAACCGCGTCTTCTTCTCTTGGATGAAGCTACGGCTGCATTGGACTCGACCAGTGAGCAACTGATCCAGTCTGCCCTGGCAAAAGTATCGGATAGAGTCACGATAGTGTCAATTGCTCATCGTCTGGCTACCGCAAAGGATGCTCATAATATCATTGTCATGCAAAAGGGCCAAGTTGTCGAACAGGGAACACATCAGGAGCTTGTCGCTCAAGATGGCGTCTATGCGGGCATGGTGCGACTGCAAAACCTTGGAAAACTCACCGTTGCAGATACTGTGCCAGCTGTAGATTCGGTCACTCGATCAGAACCTAGCGAGGAGCACATCAAAGCGGCATCACTGGACAAGGAGGCCTTGGTGCTCCAGTCCGGTTCTGGTTCTGATACCTCAGCAGACGAGAAGGCTGTTGTCACAGAAAGCTCGCCACCGGCCTCAAGAGGAAAAGAAGAGAAAAAGCCCAAAGAAAAGCGCTCTCTGTGGTTTACAATGAAGACCATCTTCCCCCTCATCCGTCCTAACTTGCTCTATATCTTCGTGGGACTCGGTACATCTTGTGTGGTTGGAGGTAGTTATTCCGGTGAAGCTATAATTTTCGGTCACACCGTTGGCAGTCTTAGCCCCTGCAAAGGAGCTCCCAGCATTCGGCATAGCGGAAACCTCTATGGAGGTCTATTCTTTATGATGGCCATGGTGGAATTCATTGCCATTATTATTAACGGTACTGCATTTGGCTGGGCGGCCGAAAAAATTCTGTACCGTGTCCGCGTCCTGTCACTACGATCTCTGCTGCGGCAAACACTCCACTGGCACAGTTCAGATGGCCGCAAGCCCGGTACCCTGATCTCGTATATCACAAGCGATGCAGCTGCTCTTAGTGGGTTGACGGGAACGACTATTGGTCTTTTGTTCTCCACATCCGTCAACCTGGTTGCCGGAATTGTCATCTCGCACGTTATTGCATGGAAGATTTCGGTTGTCCTGTTGGCAACTATCCCCGTTCTTCTATCTGCTGGTATTATGAGACTGAGGGTCCAAGCGCAGTTTGCGGAGCGGCATCAGAAGGCGTTTGCCGATGCCACCGCGATAACTGTTGAGGCGGTCGACAATATCAAGATAATTGCTGCGTTCTCCTTAGAGAATGAGGTGTATCAGGTATACAGTCGATCACTGCAGGGTCCCTACAGAGCAACAATGAAGGCTATTGCGTGGAGCAATGTGTGGCTTTCGCTCGCTTTCAGTATCAGTAACCTCGTTTATGCTCTCGCCTACTGGTGGGGATCTCGACAGATCACTGAGGGAAAGTATTCGCAGACTCAATTCTTCATTGTGCTGCCGGCTTTGCTCTTCAGTACGCAGTCCTGCGGGCAGATGTTCGCACTGGCGCCAGACGTCTCGAAGGCACGAGTGGCAACCAGCAATATCGTTGGTCTCCTTACTTCACACTCAGCGGAAGATGAGCTTGGTATAAAGCCCCAGGGGGGCGTGGATGTGGTGGACGAGAAGGTGAAAGACGTTGAAGCGCGTCCCCAGGGGTACCTTAGTGAGTCCCCCGGTTTGCCTCCAATGAATGGCATCGGTGTAAGACTCCAAAACATCCATTTCACATATGCCTCTCGACCGGACCAGAAGGTCCTCGATGGCCTGACTCTGGAGGTTCCTGCTGGAAAATTCTGCGCTCTGGTCGGTCCTAGTGGTTCTGGAAAATCGACAACTTTCGCTATGATCGAACGCTTCTACCGTCCATCTTCGGGTGCAGTCATCATCGACGGGGTCGACATCACCAAGCAGACGGGCACTTCTTTCAGAGATGACATCGCCCTTGTACCACAGGAGAACGTCATGTTCGAAGGAACCGTTGCTTTCAACATCGGTCTGGGAGCTCGTCCCGACCACGAGGCCACTCAGGAAGAGATCGAAGAAGCCTGCCGTCTATCCAATATCCACGATGTCATCATGTCCCTTCCCAATGGGTATCAGACTGTGTGCAGTCAAGACGGAAAGCAATTCTCCGGTGGTCAAAGACAGCGACTGTCAATCGCTCGAGCTCTTGTTCGAAAGCCCAGACTCCTTCTTCTCGATGAGTCCACCAGTGCCCTAGACGTCGAGTCTGAGAAGCGCATTCAAGAAGCATTGGCCATGATTGCGCAGCACACCACCATTGTCGCCATCGCTCACCGTCTCAACACCATCCATCGCGCGGATCGGATCTTCCTCATCGAAGGAGGTCGCTGCGTGGAGCAGGGCACACACACCGAGCTGATCGAGCGCAGCGAGACTTACAGGACGAGCGTGATCCACCAGTCTCTGGAGACATGACGAGACTGCATCAAACAATGAAGAATGGAAGGGGGGACCTCGTGGAGGTGAACGTTTCTTTCCCGTTCGTACTGTTGATATCCAACCATATCTTGACTTTAATCATGGGGTTAATCGGCGTGATGGGCGTTTTGCACAACAATAATGTTCAGTCCTACCTAGTATACATATATACAATGCATCGAGGACGATCATAGACATATAGTATCCATAGTTAGATAGAATCGCATCTTACAGATGATTCCAGGAACGCATAGGACATTTCAATCATAATCTACGTGAAATTCGATAGTTGGTACCAATGTATCTGATATGGGCCATAGTTCTCTTTCTGATTAGAAAGTCGTGATGAAGTTCAGTAGGTTTTAGACGAATACTATCGTCATTTAGCATCGAAGCTACGGGTTATGGAATTCGATAATCGTGTCACTGACTATGATTGTACATACAAATTTCGCTGCAACGATGGGAATATAAACATTTAGCTTCCGAACTTTGACATTTTCCCGACCGCTCTTCTTATTAAGCTTCTAGAAGACCCCAGTCGCATTTTCGACGATTGTATCTTAAGAATAGTAGTCTCCCTCTAATAAAAGACAAACTGTTTGAAGTCCGAGTGATCTATCGATATGACAAGGTCCACAAAAGTCTGCTTCCCCGGAATTGATCGGTTTAAAAAGGATATGTCAAGTGGGAAATAGAATGTCCGATACACACTTAGGTACACCCTCAACTGCTCTAACTCTTCTACTTCCTTAACTTCTTGATAGTCGGACCCATAGGCTCTCCATTATCCAAACACCGCTTCGTCTCTGCATCGATCTCAAACCTCTCCTCACAGAGTTTCAAACACTCCTCCGCCTTCTCCGGCGGAATGGCCACCACTCCATCCGCGTCACCGAGAATAATATCTCCCGGATTAACACTAACCACTACCTTTCCCTGGCCCTCTATCCCGCTCAACTCCTCGATCTCATACTCAACTGGCACGTTCAATTCAGAAGACCTCGTAAAGCCATTCGATCCCAAAACACCAACCCCCCTCGCAAACAGACCCATGCCCATCTCGCGATGCTCATTGATATCGCGGAACCGGCCATCGATCACCACGCCTGAAGCCCCGAGATACTTGGCACGAGTAGTCATCAGACCGCCCCAACAGGCGCTGATCACCCCCTTGGGCTGCGAGATGAAAACCACACTGCCGGAGGGGATGGAATCTGCGAAATGGCCAGGTGGTGTAGGCGACGTTTTGTCAGATGCATGTACCATGCGGACGGTGTATGCTGGTCCGAATATCTTGCTGGAGCCGGACATGTATTCGGGAGAATACATCTTGAGGCCCGAGAGGTATCCGCCATGGGGCACCTTGAGACGCAGAAGAGCGTCGCCGACCTAGGGGGAAAAGTTAGCTGTTTTCCTTTCTTCCCGTCCTCTCCGTATACTACACGGAGGAGAGATATTGATTTGATTGATTAATCTTACATCGCAAGAGGCGAAACGGCCAAGAGCACGCAGGACCGCAGGGCTTGCTTTTCCGGCCATGTTTTTGATGGGTTGCTTTTTTATAATAATATTAATAATAACAATCGAGTTTGATAGTTGATGCGATCAATAAGAACAATAGTAATGGTGGATACCTTTACGGTCCCGGCGTTGGTCGGCGAAAGGTGAAAACAAAGCAGTAGTTAACTTCGGATGCGAAGCCATTATTCAGATGGACGGGTCCGTTTGCCAAGCCGGGATTTTCCCGAGGGGCCATGACATGCATGCTTTTTATTTTTGTATGCCATCTCAGTAGTTACTTTTCATACTTACTCCGGTGGATTTCATTTTTTATCTTATTGTGTTTTCCTCTTGTGTGGAAATCGACACCGGTAGCTAGCGATATGAAAGGGCATACAGTAAACTGGGAGCCTGGAGAGTTGGATATACACTACATTCGTGACCGCGGAAGTAAATAATAAGGTGACCTTTTCGCAGCAAACAATTTTCCAGTTCGCTTTTGCAATGTAGAATGTACTAGGTTTCGGTTCAAGCTATTATTAACCTCCGTTCACCATAAAGGGACTGAAAAGAAAGGAAGAGGATAATGTGCAATGAACCTTTTACCTGCTCGTAGCGAGAATAGCGTAAACAGACGAGACCCTTTTAAGATGTTCTTTTATGCTGATCCCTCGAGAAGTAAGGGTTATCAAGAGAGCCCTTCCGGGCAATAACCCATTCGAACCGGGGCTAGCGCTGAAAACTATGTAACTTGGCACATTGCTTGTATTACACACACATAGAACCTAGGGGCGTATATATCATCACAGACGAGGATGATAGCGTTGTTGTATGAGGAGACAACATCGAAGAGAGAATGCAACCAAGTATACAAGTCCTGGCGACTCTCAAGCGATATTATCAACGCTAACTACCCTATCCGATTCCAATGTCCGATTCCAATGCCAGCTCAGATCTGGAGCTGAAGCACGACTCGTACGGCAACGCGAATCGGCCAACCTAGAGCCTGGTGTCCCAATAAAGCGCCCTGTAACCGTCCGGGCCGTCCCTTCAGCTTGCCACATGCATATTCGAGGTGGGATTGGGATCGCCATTGAAAGGGTCGCCTGTTAAAGTATGTTGTGACACGTGATTATAGTTTCAGGTTCCTTGCGCTAGAATCCACGGATTGTTCGAAGAGAGGAAAGCCGGAGTGAAGACAGAATGGCAAAAGGGCACGAGGATGATCGAGCCGAGGGTGGGAGTGAGTGATCCTGGTAGATTCGTCTCTGTGTCCCTGCATCGGCTCTTTAGTGGCCGATAGTCATTGACACCAGCGTGCCCTCATGCAAGCATCCACGATGGCGTATAATACTCCGTATGGAGTCTGGAGTCGCGCCAGATCCCCCTGAAGCCGCGAGGGCTGAACGCGCTTTCATTTAGCTTACCGTTTCGGGCATGATGCGACGGTTGGAACTAGAGGCACATAGGCGCCCTCGGTCAGGTCCCAAATGGCCAACGCTGCGATCCACGGGCTGCAAGTGCTGCGCCTGGCGTCGCGAGATCTCGACGAGAATAATGCAACGTAGCGATGCGCCGTAAGATGGTTCCTGCGTCAACAGCAACATCTAGCTAGCTAGACTAGGCCTGAGGATTCAAGGTTGAGCATGGGTAGTATTATCTCAGCTGGCCTCTTCCCATGTCTTCAAGAACATCAGTATTTCTCGTCCATCGCCAATCCGATTGTTCATTGGTTCCGCGGGAAATTCGCCCATGGAAAGGGTCAGCCCAAGACACGGTCGACCGCCTGTTGTCTCAAAGGTGAACAAGGAGAAATACACAATTAACGTCTCTGTCCACGACGCCTCCGGGTCCACCGCCACGAACAGAACAGAGCTCGGGTCCACTAAGGGTCAAGACCATCGAGAGGATTCCAGTAACCTAACCTTCGAAGCTGAAACGGAACAATAATAATGGCATTCATATCAATCGTCGCTGTGGTTCATTCCAGCATCCACCGGTCGGCATAGAGAAAAGAAAGTTGCAGAGGCGCCCACGTGAGGCTTGAAGGCGCAACATTCTGCCCATCGCGAAGGTCCCGTCTTCTTCTCCCTAACGACATTCCTGTTCCTTCGACTACTTGTCCCCAGAAGCCGGGGGAAAATCAATAGTGAATCCTTCTCTGGAATCGAGCACTATCTCTTTTTTTTCTTTTCTTCTTTACTTCTCTCCTGCTTTGGTCTTTATTACAGACCAGTCTGCCGTCACTTCCGCGTTTCCGTTGCGGACGCTGTGGAAGCAAAGCAAGACAAGACAATAATAAAAGCAATCCAGCTTTATCTCAGACTCAGAGACGCTCTGGCTGTCATTATTATTATTATTGGCCTCTGGTCCAGGCACGGGTGGTCAGATACTCCTGTGATCTCCGCGCCAGCGACGGGCCCATAGTCTGACGCCGGTGCATCCCCTACCGCTGCCTATTATTGCGCACGCCAACGACTGAGAGGACCGCATTCCACTCAACTCAGACCAGCTCTCGTTAGCAGCTAGCTAGACAGCACGCGCGCTTTGACCAGCCGGCCCCTGGCATTACAGAGAGACCAACTGTCGGCGGGCGCATAGTTATCCATTTCTAAATATTCTTAGGTCGGCGGAAGGCTGCGGTGTTGTCGCCAACAGGGCCTTTTTCATCTGGCCGGTGATAATCCCTTTTTCCGCCTCTCCTTAACGATCTAGTTTCAACAACATAACAACACTGAGAGGAGAAGAGAGACTGCGGTCTGAGCGTCTCTGGTGGTACGCAAGTGGGCCGGCAGCACGTTCGTTGTCCAACCTTGAAACCGCTCCACTGTTAGCAACAAAGTGGTGTACTCTCTACAACAGAAAGTCCTTTTCTGTAAGTGCGAATCAGAACCTCCTGCTCTGGCGGTCAATTCCCCCTCGTTGCGGCTCGTGGTGGCTTGCGACGCCCTCTGCTTGTCGGGTTGGGTGCTCTGCTCTTGACCGGGGTGAGAGTCCAGACTCAACCGCTGGTTCGTGGCCGACTGTTGCCAATTCATCATCCTTCTTGTCTCCTTTCCCCGTTCCTCCCTCCCCCACACGATATCGCTCCAGACACGAGCAACCTGCTTGCCATCCCTCTGCGATCTCCGATACAGGACGATCCTCACCTTGCAAAGCTTCCCTTGGATCCGGAAGCGCTGTGGTGTGAGGCTCGAAACATACCGGACCTGCACCTTCTGGTGTCGCATCGAGGGACCAGAAGCCGAACCACCGCGCGCCGCTCCCTTGGGTTCCCCGAAACATCTTCCCTTTATGTCGATTGTAAGGACATCCCCGGTCCTTTCTGCATACTGTGTCCCTGCCAGTGTCATCGCTCTTCAGTAGCACGTCCCCCGGTCCATGGTCTGTGGTTGAGAGACCCGCGGGACGCTCCAGAGGGGTCTTGTCACGTTCTCACATCTCCCAGAGTCCGGACGTGAACTGGTTCACCTATCGGCTTGCAATTTTTTCTTGTTGGTACGAACCTGACCTCTCTCTCTGTTTCTTAGGTTTCATGATCACATCGCATAAAGCACCTGGCCGCAGGACCCCTCTCCCGGTGCCAATCGCACTGTCTGTATCTTTACCGGTGTTGTTGGCGGGTCTCCCTTCACTCGACATTGCGCGCCTCTAGCTCAGCACTCCGGAACCTGCCCTCGTACGAACGCTTGTCTTCGACAAACTTGCGGTCTTCCTCCCTGCCTTCGCTTCCGGTTGCTAGTATCTCGAATGCTTCCTGGAACCGGTTCCTCATAAACGTGACCCCAGTAGCCGCGTCTCCTAAGGCGTGCCTAGGAACGTGATCAAGCACCAAGAAGGAAACGAACACTTGTCAGGACACAGACAAAACAGAAGACAGGGCAGAACAGCCAAAGATGGAGTCACCGGCCGGTTACCCTGAATCTCCTATGGATCAGGAGGATGTCCCCTTCCCATGTAAAGGATGTGGAGAGGTATGATTGTTTGGGAGAAGATCGACCCTCTACCGCAAACGTGACTGACATTGTCTTTGCAGATTCTCGAGGAAGGCAAGGCTTTTGAGTTAGGTGAGTAGAGCCTCCCTCTTGACGTTATGTTCAAGCAACTGACAATCCCCGAAGCTGGAAATAGATGGCATATTGACTGTTTCCGCTGTAACACATGTGGCACCCTTCTCGATTCCGACGCACACCTTCTTTTGCTGGGAGATGGATCCCTGATTTGCAACAACTGTACCTACAGTTGTAGTTCATGTGGTAACAAGATTGAAGACCTCGCCATCCTGACGGGCGACCAAGCCTTCTGTGCGAATTGCTTCAAATGCCGCAATTGCAAGAAACGCATCGAGAACTTGCGATATGCGCGCACATCTCAGGGCATATTCTGCATGGACTGTCATGAGTCACTCATGCAACGGCGACGTAAAAAGAAGACCACCACTCAGCAGACGAAGCGAAATCCTCCTGGGATAAAATTGGATAAATCCCTTCCGGCGATCCCACCTCGTGACGAACAGAGAGACACTTCTAAACCTCGCGACGAGGTTTATGCAACTACGTCTGCTGAGACGTCCAGAGATAGACCGGCAGATCATGCTGCAGTTCAAGAGGGCGGCATATCAGAAGGATCGCAACGCCGCGAAGCTAATGATCAAGGTGAGATTCCATAGATTAAGAGCATGAGACATGTGCTAATTTCAGATGATCCAGAGGACCTTTTGCTGCCTTCAAGCACATATCGTGCTCCCAATCGTCACTCGCTCCTGTCGCGGAAGTCAGAACCAGAACCGGATGCTGGAGAGGAATTCTTGATACCAGTTGCCTTTGATCCCACCCCAGAGGAGCGTCCATCCCAGTCTCACCAGGATGGTTACTTTCAAACGGCGCAAAATGGATCCTCCCATAAGGATGCCGAGGATAGACAGGAGTTTCTGCAAGGAAAGGCCTATGAGCCTCCTTCGCACGGCTCCTCGCCACATATTGCATACCAGGAGAGGGGCCGTGAACCATCTAACATTGATCCGACGCGTTGGCGACAGGAAGAGTTTGCTGGCACACACCAAGACACTTCTACGCGCAGCGCCTCACAGAATAACAATGAAGGCGGTGAAACATTCAAACTGCAAGACGCGCCAAAAGGCAGACGCCCTGGCTCAGCTCACAGTTCCAAATCAGATCTTCTTGCCTTCACTAGGGAAGGCATGTCGACCTCCAACACCGTGCCGAACCTTGATCGTTCAGACTATCTCAGCAGAGACATCCTTCGATCTGAGGCGTTTGTCCCAAGGCCGGCCAGCTCAGGTGGAGAGGCAGCCTCTCCAAGGCCCTCGCATGAACTTCGCAGGCTCCACGAGCATGCGTCAAGCGAATCCGCTCGGTCATTTAGGCACCCTGCTCAAGGTATGCAGTATCCTCCCAAACGAGGAGACTCGCTCGAGAACAAAACGCACCAGATTCAGCGCAAAGGAGTGGGCTCTCCATCATCAGTAAAGGCGCCGGCTGGCCAGGGTGAGGTTGGCAGTGAATCTCCATCCTCGTCCCTCGACGCCACTTCACTCTCTAGGGTTGGGATTGGGAGGGAGCCCAGGCAGTCTTTGGAATCTTCCGCTTTTAGACTTGCTGGAGAGATGTCTAAAGAGACTAGTTCGCTGTTGCGCGGTGTTCCAACTTCCCCTGAGAACCGCCCCCAGCATGGTCGCAATGAGTCGGCGCAGTCTGATCCCCAACGCCCGGCAGACCTTGGGGCCTCTCCGTCATTACTTCACTATAGCGGCGGGGGAGAGTTTTCTATGGACGAGGACATGGCTCGCATCCTGGGTACAGACGAGGACATACACAGTGAATCCTTTTTGCGTCGGGTGTCTAACTCCGTCCGCCACGGTCGAAGCTTCAGTGAGAAGGGTTCGCGTCTGTCGAAGGACTCTAAATGGCCCAGGTCGCCTGCAAATGGGTCTGCGTTCGACAACAGCAGTCCTATAGCCAGCTCTCCAGATCCTCGCGATGAAATAATCCAACTGAGGCATGAATTACAGCGGGAGCGCCAGAGAGTACTAGAAAGAGATCAGAAGATTGCGGAGCTTGAAGGCGCTCTTAAAGCCACTGCTGATGTCAACAAGGTCAATACAGAGCTCAACGAGAAACGTTCTACTATGGTTGTCCTTGATGCGCAGAAGGAAATCGTCCTCCGAGAACTAAAGGTCCTTACGGATCACCTTGAAGCAGAGAAGCATGGCGGTGGCGGAGGTTTGGATGTCGGCAAGCTCACAAGCAACGTCCTCCGTGAGTTTGTCGAAGCAATCCAACAGCTCAAAGACTCTTTCACACCGCAGATTGAAGAGATGATCCAGAAACGCAACCAAACGCTGGAGGAACTTTCGGACTTGTCACGTATGAAGGACAAGAGTTTTAAAGAGTTCGAACAGCTGTCGTCAAAGAACGCCCAGTTGGCAGAATTGAACAACCAGCTTGTATCTCAAATTCAAGAGTTGTACAAAGCCAATACCGCCACGGAGAACCACCATGGCAACGGCCTTGGAATCTATTCCCATTCAAAGGGAAAGTCTCTTACAGCTGTCGAGGCACTAAAGACCTCAACAAATGATTTATCTACGTCCATCTCGACGACGAACATCCACCAAGAAGAGGCTGATGCTGCAACCATCGTTCCTGGTCCTCAGGTCGTCAGTATTCGCAAGGGACAGCCCCGTAAATTCAACTGGAAGAAGGGGGGCCAGAATGTCGCCAAGGGTGTCACCAAGGGCCTCAAGGGCGCTTTCTCCTCTAGCGAGCCCAAGCCGGATGTTGTAGCATACAGTTCAACTGCACCGGCTCAAGAGACCGTTTCTGCATTGCCACGCTCTCAGACGCAGGACCCAAGCCGTCAGGGCTTTGGTTTCTTCGGGAACCAGAAGAACAAGCAGGTTACGCCCAAGACCCAACTTAATGGACCGACTGAGCCCGCTGGAACTGGTATGTTTTCAACACACGTATATTTGACTGAGTATCACATGCTAACTTGACCCCTAGGCCTGTTTGGAGTCGACCTCGAGCAGCGTTTGGAGCAGGAAAAGAGTATCATTCCTGCCATTGTGACCCGCTGCATCCAGGAAGTTGAGCTGCGAGGTAGGCTTTCCACAATTCAGACATTTCCTAGAGAAACTAACCCGTCTTCGTTTTCAGGTATGGACATGGAGGGCATTTACCGTAAATCGGGTGCCAGCTCAATTACCCAGATGATCCGGGATGGATTTGAGCGTTCCCCACTTGACTATGATATCTCGGACCCGGACCTAGATATACACGCCGTCACCTCTGCTCTTAAGCAATACTTCCGGAAACTGCCCACGCCTCTTATCACGTATGATGTCTACGATGAGTTCTTGGAGACGAACGAAATCGAGCCAGCATCTGCTCGCATTGAAGCTTTACAGAAATGCCTCCAGAAACTTCCGCGCGTCCACAGGGATGTGCTTGAGTTTCTGATGTTCCATCTGAAACGGGTTGTTGAGCGCGAGCCGGAGAATCTGATGACCAGCCAGAACATAGCTGTAGTGTTCGCACCCACGATCATGAGGCCGGAAAGTCTGGCGCGTGAGATGACCGATGTTCAGAAGAAGAACGAGGCCCTCAAGTTCTTGGTCGAAAACTGTCAGGAGGTGTTTATGGGTCTGCAAGGCTAGTCGACAAGACATGCCTGGCATTCCAGACCGAATCTTTTGATCGCATAACGCGAAAGTGCATCAGTTTCACTATCGCTTCTCAGAGATGTCCGTTCGTCGGTTTCGTACATTGGAGTGGTTGGATTTGTCCATGGACATTTGAATGTGCTCTTGTTCAGTTTACCCTTGGGAAATTACGGATACGCTTCATATTTGAAGACTCTCTCAGGGGTGGAGAACGTGTACATATCATGGCGCGGATTTTCTCTTTTCTTGCTTCTGTATTCATTCACGACAGCGCCCTCATGGTTGATACCCATGCATGTCTCCTCCAGCTTCGATTCCGAACGAGCTTTTTTTACCACACCAGCTCACCATTTTTTAATACTTCCCGCAGGCTCGAAGCTAGTTTCCTTCAGCGACATGCCATTCCCCAACGAGATGGCCTCGCCTACGTGCTCTTTTTGCTCATGTCAGGATTATACCCATTTTCCTTTGTTTCTTCTTCTTTTTTCTTGCTTTGTGAATTTCCAAACTACCGGGTGGTCTTCTTCCATGCCCCGATGTACCAAACTTGGCCTCCTCTCGATTTGTTTCCTCGAGCGAACTATTTGCGAGCGAATGTTTGAACATGTTAGCTAGCTAGCGAGCTTTTGAGCGTTTAGCAGCGGTGAGTATGAAATGTGTTTTACTAGAAATGAATTGAGCTGTCGTGTTCAGACGGCATTAAGCTTTTCCTCCGGTCGTGTTAGTAAAGTAAGATGGGTCATGTTCAAGGATTTGGCAGGCTGGGTTTCAGCTGCATGATGCGTGAATTCTCCGACAAGCTCAGGCGATTTATCTCCGTGGACGGAGCTCACTCGAGCAACAGCGTGGGAATATCCCGTCACGAACTCACCAAGTACAGAGTCTTGAGAATTATTCTACGAGGAGTTGGCTTTATAACCTACAGATACACTGTTGGTTATGAGTTCTACATGCTATTTGGGGAAGAAGAATGCCTGACATGAAATGGATAGTGAAGTATGATATGTACAGCACGAGACATAATCAGCTAAGATGCTACCAGATAGCTATATCTTCATACGTATTTCATGCCGTTAGAACGTCTCGTCCTCTAATGCCTTGGCGCGGCCGATGACGCTCGGACTTTGTTCGTCGTAGGTATCGCTGATGTCGTCGCCGCCTGCGGTTGCAAGGAGATCTTCGACTATGCGTCTGGATGCTTCTTTGGCTATTTCAATGATATATTAGGAGCTGCGTCGCAAGGACAAGGACAAGGACAAGGACAAGGACAAGGACAAGGACAAGGACAAGGACAAGGGAAAGTATGGAAATGTGTAAGGAGAGTACGTAACATACCAGGAGTTTTCATGAGTCGACTCTGCGGGATATGGAACTGCATAGTCTTAGGCGGGCTGTAGCCAAACTCATCCTCATTATCGAGATCGTCATCGCTATCGAAAATGGCGGACTTTCCAGTGAGCTTCTTCGCTGGTGTCAGGACACTGATGCCTGGCTTCGGAGTCATATGAGGTATGCTGCTTGTACGGCGCTTGCGATTGGTAGCCGGGGTCTCGCCTTTAAGAGGGGAAGAGAATATCTCCGCGTGAAGCTGGGGCGCCTCCGGCTCGGGACTGGAGATGGGTGAATCATCGAAGTTGTATTTCGATGCCGGCTTCGTCTTGGGCGTTATGGCGAACTTGCTGCGGGTGTTGCCGTATCCCTTGCCCAAGGGCGTGGCCTGGACGCGGTAGGTCTTATCCAGCACACGATGAAGGACAGGGTCGGTTGACTTTTGGTACTTGCTTTTCTGGGCCGTTTCCTGCTTGATATGGGATGCTGGGGGGATGAAAGGTGAGGAACCAGGTGTCACTGAGATGTCCTCCGTTATATCATGGGTGCGCGACGTAAACTTCCCAGGAGTGCTAAGAGCTGCGTCCCGTAACACGGACGGCGCCTCCGTTTCCACGACTTCTTGCCGTAGAGTTTCGTATGGCGACGGATATGGAATGGATGAACTCGTCACATCATCCTCGATTTTTGTTTTCTGACTAGGATGCACTCTGGGAGTACTGTGACCCTGAGATAGGGAGAGTGACGAGAAGTTCAAATCTTCATCTTCTTCATTTTCGAGGTCGATATGTTGCGAGGATTGGTCTTCGTATGAAGTGTGCTCTTCAGCGGTTTGGGTGGTGTCGGCTGCCGTCGTGTCTCCTTCAGTTACTGTCGGTTCCTGCTCCGTTGCGTCCTCGTTGGGCTGATCTTCGTAACCCGATAATGAGACATTGGCACTCGCTTCGAAGAATTGTTTCCAGAACTGTACCAGGAAGACCTGTTAGCTGCACAGCGCATGTACGGTGTCGATCCAATCCACCCGTTGCCCACCTTTGCGCCCTCCCAGACATCTCTCGAGTGTTCCGCGTATTGTTCCACGATCGGGAGAATAGTTGTTGTGACAATGCGATGGGCTCGACTGAAATTTGAATCGATCTCTGACAAGATATAATGATCAGTAAGCTCCCCCGACTGTCTAACCGATCGGATATTCAAGTACAGGCTATTGTTTACTCACCTTGCAGTGTCAGAGTAATGGACTGCTCGAGCTTTTCCAACTCCTCTGTGAGCGTCAGATTTCGCTGTGGCGGGATGGTAGGACGAGACATATTGAGGGATTCCAATGCACAGAATAGAATAGATGTCCTGCTCTGTGGATGGAATGCCAGATGGTGATGCTATCTCCAACTCCAACTCCCTCATCAACGCGTGCCGGTGGAGAAACAGCTTGTCCGAAAGGGGACAGTTGTTAGGGCCTGCGGATAAGGGTTTCTGGAACCACGTGCGGGACCCTCAGCGGGGCATGACGCGCTCTATCGGCCGCTATCGCCGAGACTGCCAGGCTGCTTCGTTTCTCCTCTTCGCCTTCTCTTTTGCCTCCCAAAGCACTGGGATACATTATTTCACTCATCTCATCCAAGCTGTCTTGGCGGGGAACAGGCTCCCCAAGATCTGTCTCGACTCACGATGACTGCGCCGTTGGCAAAAGGTGAGTTTGGCAGCCCCTGATTGGCATGCATACCATCACCGGATAGAGCCGGGGCGGTGTGGATAGGCGCGGTCGATGTTTAAATCTACATGCGTCGGTCTATGTTCCCACCCGTTTCTCCCCCATGTGTGACTAGAGCTGGCGTTAGATATAGCAGCGCTGACACAGGGACATAGGGCTCATCATTACTGTCTCTGTACTGGTTGCTGCAGGCATCGCGGCGTACGAAAATCCTCAGGTTCGACAATGGGTAAGCAACTCTCGTCGGAAGATCGCGGTGGCCCTTCACAGCCTTGGAGATGAAATCCATCCAGGCGACTCTCGTCCGGAGAATATCTCCATGACGGAGGAGATGGGTGAGGCGGCTGAAGAGCGAAGGCGGAGAGCTCGAGAAGAGATTATGCGGCGAGGCGCTCTGCTGGAGGCCCGACGACGAAGGAAGGCCTCCAGTTCGAGTGGTACCTTTGATACACTAGTAGACGAACATGGGAATCTCAAGAAAGATGAAGATCTTGGAATCCTTGATGAGCCTCTAGCAAGGTCGACAGCTATTGACATGGACCTTTCGGAAGTTTCAAACCGACGAGGGCAATCGGAGACTAGGGTCAACTCGGAAGAGCAGTCGCAGTACCAGCGCGACCTTCTGGAAACTGCTGGTCGCGAGAGACTGCGAATTGCTGTTACTTCTGAAGTCTCATCTAACCACCCTTCTGAAGCACTCGTCGACCTCACACCGACTTCGGAATTCCCAGAAGCTGATGCTGGCTGGGCAGATCACCATGCAGAACAGCAGCCATTGACAGAGTCCGAATTTTTCTCAGTTGCCTCACGCAGGTCATCAACAAACTACAGTGTAGATATGGAATCTGGCTTCTATTATGCTCGTCCAGAGCTGCTGCATGATGCAAATAACGCGGGCATCCAGTCGCCGTTTTCAGACGACCAGGGTCATCAGCGTGGTATCTCATCTGCGTCTTCAATCGCCGGAAGCCTGACCCATGTCCGCCATGACATTTCAGATGCGTCATCAGATGGCACGTTAAGCGACAATGGTCACCTGGTCGATGGTATTTCTACTCCTGCAAGCTGGTCAGAAGTTGGCAGTGTAATTAGCGGCGATGATAACCACCATTAGACTATTGTGGCGCGTTGCAATATATGCAGATGAAGTTAATCGGCTCGTGCATAAAGGGGAACAGGTTGTCTAAGAATATGTCATCGATCATCTCTTTCTGCTCTCCCAGTTGCTTTGGTTCTGCGGGTTGGCGCTGAGTATATCTGGCGCAAGGAGTTTCTGGATATTTATCGCTAGCTCGTCTCTGCGTATGGTGCCTTTGTTTTCTTATTATTTTATGGCATTGCTTCGGGGACACCAAAGGGCACCATTAGCGTTACCGTGTCACCTGCTGAATACGGCAATATACGCACCTAGGGAGCAGGACTCCAATCAAAGGGCTGCTACATAGCAACCGTTACTGCAATGATATATTGGCTGTATGTTCAGCGGCATTCTCAATATTTTCTATATACGTATATATAATTGTCATGGAGTGACAGTAGTCAAATTAATACCTCCCGTGAAACAAGTCAATAACTCCGTCGAGACGCTCTCTTTAACCCGACAGTGAAAGCTGCAAAGTGCGACGAATAATATACAGAGAACAAGTCAAACCACATGTATAGGGAACTGTTCTTTGCCAGATGACGAAGATGCTACTGTTTGATGATCAGAATGACTGGATACTCCATCTCGTTCTTGATCCCGGTTCAGGGAGATGTTGATAGACCCTTCGTTCGCAGATGTTATGCTGTTCAGGAGGGTCCCATTGAATTCAGGATATAGTTTGACGAACTGATGACTTATCGTGCTCGTGAAGCGCTGCTTTCCTTGGAGTACCTTTTCAGATCCGGCATAATTGTTCCCTTGATCGCTGTTCTGTGTCTTCCACGGGGCCCACGATGAGAGACTTTCACTGATCCGCACAAACAACGGCCTCATAACCAGCATACAAGCAACTGTGACTCCGATGCTGGGCTCCACGATGGACCACACGATAAATTTGACGCCTGGCTCGACGTCGGAGGGGTTGAACTCGACACGCGACACCTCCACAATTCGTGTGATGCCCGCACCAATTGTCAACCCGCCCAGGGCGAAGATGGCCATGGTCGCCAATTTGGTGCGCGTTGGCACCTGGAGTGTCTGGATCATTGGGATTGGTAGCAAGAAGATCAATGTATCCGTAAATATATCCACGATTCCAATTGCAATGTAGGCTCCGTGTATGTTGCCGCAGGTTCCTTCGCTCTGCTTGACCCAGTTGCGTGAGAGAGGCCGGCAGATCAGGAATGCGATTAGAATCGTCTGGAAAGACCAGCAGATACTGAGTATGAGAACGACAGATGCTAACGATCGGAACAACCGGTGGATCCTAAAGATCCCAATCAATTGCAAACAGATACTGACTTTGACGCACCCAAGCGCCAATGCGTAGAGGACCTGGCCAGCAATGGCAAGCTATATATATGGATCACAATTTTTGTTGTCAGTTCAACCTTTTCCATCTTTCGTTCTTGATCTGCTTCTGTAGAAATAAACCACAACGAACCTCGAGTTGAGCAATAACATGATCGTTCTGGCCAGCCTCAACTAGCACTGCAGATGACCATCCAACTGCACCTAGTGTGGCCGCTGAGTTTGAAGAATTAGTACATATCTAGAGTTCGAAATGACAAATGCTGAAAAAAAGAAAGAAAGAGCACTTACATAGTATATTACATATTCCATATCCAATCGTCCATACTGAACCTCCGACAATTAACCAATCCTCAATTCCCGGCTTCGCCCGTCTCATCCTTCGCGCTAAGAACCGGAGTCCAGTCGCTATGATGGCGATCGTAGGCATTACAACACTGGCGATGATTTGTCTGATAGCCATAGCACTCGCCCCATCTGCGGGGACTTTCCCACCGCTGCTTGGGGAAGCCGTGATAGCCATAAAGCGGGGTATGTTATCAATCAAATGATAGTGATCACACTTCTGGCCTAGAAAAGCGACAGCAAGAAGAAAAAGTTAGCAAACAAGACGAACGCCGAAGGATGAGATCAAGACAAAAGAAAATGCATGTTGTTTGGGAAATGCCCTCACATAAATGACAACAGAGTCCCCAGGACTTTACTTGGATTCCTCTTTAGTCCTATGATCATCCTACAGGCTACAATGTGAACCCCTCCGCGAAATGCGATAAGAAAAATAAGACAGTATTGATTGCAACGAGCGGACCCAATAAGGAAATGCAACCAACAAGCAAAGGGCTGGAGTCTGGGGCTGATATTTACTCTATTAGCTGGCTGGTTTTGGCCCCCTATGCGTTTATCCTTACATTTGGCCCCCGCATGAAGGTGGTGCAGGGAACCGGTGTGTAGGGGTTCTACAACATAGCGGGTGGTTATTAGTCTGCAGCATGCATACAGTAAAGATTTTGGGGGCCTTTTTCGCTTTCGGGCAATATTCTCGCGTTCCATATATATAGACTTAATTGATATGCTGTCCGATGTAATCTGGCGCCGATTTCCTTCTCGTCGGATCGGGACAATGTAGATGGAATTCTCGTAGGAATCTCCGTGAAACTGCTTGCACTCAATGCATGGCCACTCATCGCAACGTCTGCCATCAATAGAGGCGAGCCTACCAACGCTTCGGGGAACAAAGGAGTCATTCTCGGGCGGATGCCAACGCCAATGTATACATGCATTAGTCGATCATCAGCATCGATCTGAAACTCGAAAAATTACAGGCTCTGGTTCTCCTCAACAATGATATCAGCTGCTTGCTCGGCAATCGCATAGACGGCTGCTTGATAGTGGGATGCTAGCGGCACGGGGATCTAATATTTAGGTCAGCCATAACCGGACTATGTCGCCATTCGAGTATTCCTTGACTTACGATGCTTGCATCGACTATTCTCAGATTGTTGGCACCTTTGACCCTCAGGGAGCCATCAACCACGGTACCCATGCTTGCTGTACCCGCAGGGTGAGAGGTCGTAACCCCAGCCAACCGAATGCGTGCGTCGATACTTTCGTCTGGCGCATCACTCGAGAGTGAGTCGTGACCATCAGGGACAATCTCTTCCTTAACAAGGGCCTTGCCTTCGGCGGTTTCGAGCATGAGCCTCGATAATAGTCTCCAGCCCTCCCGCATGACGAATCGATCGGCTTCTGTGGCGTAAAAGTTGGGGTCGATAACTGGAGGGGAGGCTGGATCACTTGACTGTAGAGTAACCGATCCTCGAGATGTTGGTAAACAGCCCATAAAGAAATTCATGATCGCTGTTCCATCAACGGGAATGTTGAGGCCGGAGAGCTCCCCACCAAACGCGGCATAGATTGTAGTAAGCTCCAAATGGCTCCGAGGACCTCTAACTAAATGATGGTCACTATCAGTAGGGTCTGCTTCATCTTTAGCTAAAGCATTCTGCAGCCCCTCTGAAGGAACGGACGTCGTCACAATCCATTCTCCAGGTCCACCTTTATCGTAGTTTGGCCCGTTGAACAGTGGGGAACCAAGGGCCAGACCTTTCTCGGGCTCCCGCAGCTTCCAATATCGAAAGACCATGAGATGATCATGTAGATTGCGCCCAACATCAGGCAGATCAATCTGCAGTGGGATCTGGTGTTGTGACAGCTGTTGTGAATCGCCAATACCAGATAGCAATAGGACTTGGGGAGTCCGCAAAGATCCTGCAGAAACAATAACCTCACCACCGGAACGGACAGAATAGATGCGGCCATCCTTCAATTCAACGCCGGTAGCGGTTTTGCTATCATCGAGGACCACGCGTTTGACAAGGGCATCCGTCACAACCTTGACCCCATCCAGTGGATAGACTTGGCTCGTCAGCTGTCGGCGGCCATCAGGAAAATTGTTTATTAGCTCTGCAATCCCTTGAGGATGACCATTATTCGCGTCGTGAATAGCACGAATACCTAGGCCCAAAAAAGCATTCTTAACCGTCTCTCGCAGTGGATATTTTCGTCCGCTTGAGGAGACAGAAGACGTATGAATCGGTCCCTCGAATCCGTGCTGTTCTGGGTCTCCATTAGGGTCGTAATGGTGCTCAGTGCGCTTGAAATAAGGGAGAAGGCCCTCATAACTCCAGCGCTGATCAGATACTTGACGAGCCCAGTGGTCGTAGTCTTGTGCATCACCGCGAATCCATCCACCTAATAGAGGACTAATTAGTATCAAACTATGCGAATGGAGAGGTAAAGAACAGATTCACTCACCACTGTTAAGCGCAGCACTGCCCGACAGACCCTTACCAGACTCATAGTAAATAGGCCGATTGTTCAGGTGAGATTGGGGAGTACTCATGTATTTCCAGTCGGCATCAGAGCCCAAGAGTAACATTCCAGCGTGTGCAGAAAACACCTGGGGGTTCTGGGACAGATCTCCACCGGCTTCGAGGATCAGTACCGATAGGGATGGTTTGCGCTGGCGAAGTCTCGATGCGACTACACATCCTGCCGTGCCACCACCGACGATAATGGCATCGAAACCTTCGAACTCAGAAGAAGTCATCATAACAATGATGAATGATGGAGTCGTATGAGAGTTGGGAGGATCCTGGCAACGTTGGGCTCGCTTTACAAATCTTCAGGCAGATAGAATCTAATACATCGTTGACTCAGGTTGCAGACGCAGGTTAGTATGAGATTCCAAATGCAGCCGGAGGGGCAATACGGCACAAATATCCCCCATCTGCCAAGTACTTAATCGGCCCCAATTCTGGACCCGCGTTGGCGCGCGGATCCGTCAGCTCAACGAACACCTCCATGTCAACGAATAACTGTCTAAAAGTCATTGCTTCTGGAGCGAACCTCGCTGAGCTTGAATTCTCTAGCAACTAGCTCAGCCTACTTGTCTCTGTGGGTGGAGCTAGAAGGCGTGGGAGAAACCCGACAAGAGGGAGGCCTGCATGTAGGCAGGCTACGACGTTGCTTTTGGGGGGTTTGACTGACTGGATATAGTAGCAAGGGAATTTCGTTCTGTTTTCGATATAGCTATAAGAATCAGGCCTCTTGGTTGATTAGGAACGATGTGGAAAGTTTCAAAATCATCATTTTTTATATGGACATTCGTTGACATGGAGAGTAGTGTTGAGCTGGCGCGCGTCTCCACCATTGGGACCGATTAGGAGGTATGTTAATTCACTTCAGAAGAAACAGATACATATTAACTGGCTCCACGGTAGTCTTTGGTACTATTGATCACCATGTTCATCGTCTGCGGGAAGCTCCTGTTGTGTCTTATGTTTGTAGAGACTCTCCGACAATTTCAACCTACTATGCGTTCTCAAGTCGAGGCACTGAGTGATCGTTTTCGTCAAATATGCAGAGAGAAAAAGTTATAGACCTACGCTTGACTTTTCTGGCCTTTGCCACAGACGTACTCTGTGTCTGCGGTAAGTTGTGAAATCGCCGATCCTATAAGACTAAACAATGATTTCTCTTAGCGTTTGGCGGCCCAATGGGTCTTTCTGGATTCTAAGGAAAAGGCTGTCAAATGGATGGACACTATGGATGGACAAAAAGATATACCCTGCGGTACTTCCAATGTTGATGTTACACTGAGTAAGCACTGGTCCAGTTGTACAGTACTAGGGTTGATGCTGGCGGCACCTTTGCGTCCAATAGAAAAAGAGAGAACAAGCAATTAAAGCGTGAAATAGGTACAATCAAGAGAAGATGCGGCTCTTGAAAGAAAGTCGACCACCCGGGTGTCTTGATGGTATCCTTTACGCCATTCAAGCAGAACTGGACAGGAATATGCCGTACCCTAAGTAGCCGACTACCACAGCTACCTAAGCTAGAATTTCTTCCGGTCCTCATAAGTATCGTTCTTTCGCAGGCATACCACATTTGCTACGGAAGTAGACTGCCATCATTAAAGAAACTATGCGGATTATGGGTCTGACGACCTCAATGTTACCCTTGATCAGTGACACCCCCCACAAGCAACAACAGAGAATGATAATACTCATCTGATCTACAGATACCACTCGGCATAAGTGTCCGGTAAGTTCTGCAAGACAAAAAGTACTTCCCTGACTCAGAGATCTTCCGTCCTGGATGCTGACCCGAGGTTTGTAAAGATGGCATGAAGCTAGACCACTGCTATATTCCATTTGGTCGTGGCACCCGGATGTGCGTTGGTCAGCAGTAAGCGCTTCTGTGGGGAACCTAGTCTCAATTTTCCGTGCACTGACTGGGATGATTATCCTGCAGCTTTACTCAGGCTGAAATCTACATTGTGATGGCAGCTGTCTTCTGGCGCTTTGAACTGCGTCTCGTGGACACTATCTTTGAACGGGATATACAGACCGTTCGCGACTATCCTTATCGAAACTTCTCCGGAGTGTGCGGGTTGTTGTAGTTGGCGAGCGTCATTGATCGTCGTCCGCATTAAGGTGAAGCCCTATTGAATTAGAACGGGAGGGGCGCAAACCATAAGTATGTATGTAACTACTAGTTAGTAACAAGCTTATAAAAATAATTACCATAGTCCTCACAGAAGCGCAGAATGCCGCTCTGATTTCCCAATCAGCCATGTTCTCTACTAGTGACCCGCAGTGATCTTCGCGGTTTGTCCCGAACAGGCAGTTAGACTACCTTGAAAATAGCCAGGCTTTTCTCGAGTCATATCCTAGAATACAGAGCTATATCGGGCCGGTTAATGTTAGGCGCGCTGTCTGCGCGTCCATTTACACCCACTTTGCAAGCACTTCTGCTTGACGCAAGGCCACCGTTCCTGCAACGTGCCCGGACAATCAACCCAATCGGCAAGGCAGGATGGCTGTTTGGCCTGATTGTTGATTTGAGTCTACGCAGCTGGAATGATGCACATCTCATTAGCATTGCAGCGAACATTTTTTGGACATTGGAGCAGGTGGAACCGGTGGGATGATTATGACAGTGGTAAGAAACACAAGAATCAGATGATACAAATGCGCCGCCGACTTCACATTAGATATGAGTTCACGAAGATAGATAGTACATCAGTCAGTTTACATCATGAGCTGTCCTCGAGTGCTGTACAACTGGCCTTGTCTACATGGCCAGTTCCACCGCTACCTGTATCTAATGCAGACACACTGATGACCCAAAAACATGTCTTGCAGGTCATGCGAATGGAAAATTCCGAATCCCTGACCTGGCTCCGCACTTCTGCTACTGGCCCTCCAAGACTGAATCAGAAGTGGAAAAACCACGCGTGGATTTAGAAGACTAGCTTGATAGGTCTGCCTCTGAGACTTATTACTCTAGAATTCTTGCTGATCGCAGGAACGAGTAGCATTCTTCCTCCCAAGTAAAGCTCTCGATGCTTTTAAGGTGTCAGACTTTAGTTTCTTTTGGTACCACATGGTGGCCATGTGCCTCTAGTATCAATCTGAAAATTGTGACAATATTGCAATCTGGGTATTTCTTTTCTACTGCTTAGTTGGCCCGAGTCATCTGCTGACTCGCTCGTCTATCATGGCCAAGGCCAGCGGCAGATGTTTTATGAATCAGTCCGAGCGAGAACAACGTTTTCGCCTGAATAATGACTATTTGCTATCACATCTGCATAAGTCCTTAGCATTGATATCCACCTGATCAGAATACATGTGGACTAAACATAACATTAGGGCAAATGATATTCTCTCATTGAATAAGGTGATTGTATTGAACTCCTATTGTTCTGCTGATGATGAGCTCCAAATCCAGTTACGCAAATCTATTGATGGCGTGAAGTACTACTGTACAGGTAATCTTACCTGGAGGTAAGATCCAGAGGCTCAGTTCCTAAACACTGTTCATTGCTAATGTCTCTGTAGCCTGGAGAAAAATAAGGAATAACGAATCCGTATAGCAATTCAATTTTGACATAGTGTTTAGTTCGATATCTTCATCGTTTGCCGGTAGTTGTGGGTCTCAATAAATGAGCGAGAGTCGGGCACTGTGGCTAAAAGGAAAGAGAGAAAAAAGAAAATAAAAAAACGCTCATACATGTTAGGCCCATCTTGAAAGACAGAATTCAAAACTTAATGCACGCACTTATATAGCGGTGGTTTAAACACCTAGTCGGCAGCACACCATGAGAGCACCTTGATCTTTTGAGAGAAGACGCCACTGGTCTCTTTCACTCAGGCTTGCCGCAGCTTGTTGCTTACCACCATTTTTATTTCATTTAGTTCTGCGTTCCATCTGTGCCTTTTGTTTTGACTGGTAGTGGGTACTGACTGAGGCCGATTTGACGGCAGGAAGCGCTGCTTTCATAGCTTTAGGCTATATATGAAAGCAACTTCTTGCAAGATAACTTACTTCAAATTTCTAGAAGAAGATGTAATTAGCTCACGTGGGCCCTTTGAGTCTGTAATAGCATTGGTTTGACTATGGCAATGAAGACAGAACCAACTCATCTAATCCTTACTTTCCAACTAAATGCCAATCTACAACCGGACTAAGCTAATAAGTCAATATCCAGAGCTCATGCAGGCATCTGAATAAGCACTACTATATGGTCACATTCTACAATATTGGTGGGCTAATCTGAAAACTTCAAACAGGTATCATGTATGTGAGACTGGAACTCAAGTACGTAAGGAAAGGAGAAAAACTCGTGTGGAAAGCTAATTTCTCAGGTACCCTTTAAGGATGTAATAAAGTTTGTTCGAAACAAGTACAGTGCAGGAAATACCGTCTTGCCATATACGGAATTCTATATATTCCTCATGTCCCTGCTTTCTTACCAGCACATGTGTAAAGAGAAGAAAGGTCTTGCGATGCCGTGTTCAACTTGCTATGCTACTCTTCCTTGAAAATAGAATCATATGGCACATTAGCCAAGAGGATCTGCATGCTGAGAATACTATCAGCACTACTGCTGTTTGTTGTTGCTGACACTCTTGCTGCTGTGTGCCTGTATAGTGCCAATTGGAATGATAGGATTATTGCCGCTAATTAAGCTGCTTCACGGCTTTACTCGTGAGGATAATATTGGATATAGATAGGGACTTCTGCATATTAATTCACCATTTCCTCTTTGGGGCTGATAACCAGATACCAATCAGGTATAATGCTACTCTATTAGTTTAACAACCTTCATCTTCAGGTCGGATTTTCTAGCTATTGCATGCAACTAAACACACAAGAGAGGCGTTTTTGGCTCTCGGATATTACCAGAACTAGTAAATAAACCGCAGGTTGTTGTTCAGCTGCAGAAGCAGGCTATGCTACGTAGGATAATGAGGTTGTATCTGTAGAAATAAACCAGTGCTCCAGTCTCTGACTTGGTCTATATAAGGAGCGAAGAATCCCACCATTGTCCAGATCATAACACATACAGACTCATCTTCGAAACTCATCCAGAGCCAGTATATACAAGAACAATCTAACAAATTCTCTTCTCTTTTCTTTGAAAAGCAAACAACAAATATCACAATGAAGTTCCTCGCCATGATGATTGCCCTCGCGGCAAGCACTGCCTCTGTTATGGCTGCACCTCTCTCTACGGAAGATGCACCTCTCTCTACTGAAGAGAACAAAGTGGAGGCTCGAAGCTGTCCTAACGGCTGGAGCCAATGTGGAGTATGAAGACACTGATCTCTCTGCTGCTTCTACAATTCTTGATTTCTAACGCTTTCTTTTCACTTCTCTAGGTGTGCAATGGGACCTCATGCAAAATCGCCGGCCTTAATTGGTAAGTTTGTCCTATGAGATTGATATAGCTATCGAGAATGTATAATTGACGATCTATTAACCAGGAACTGCAATGTCGGATCGGTATTTCAAGCCCGCCCATACATAAACATGCAAAAAACATAATGCATGAACAACTGAGAACTGACATTATATTTATCATCTAGTGCACTGTACAGAGTGGAGGCGGAGATGGAAAACCATGTGGAGGGGGTCTCTTCGAAACAATCTATTGCCCTGGCAAGTAATATAAAGGGGGGGATGGCCTCCGCGCATCAGATTTCTTTTGTATTTCTTATATTCGCTCGTTAGGCTCTCTTGATTGGAAATATCGTTACGTGAGAATGTAAGTAGGGTGCGGCAACAGAAGTAGCGGCACGAATGAAAAAAAAATGCACACTGTCAGGTCACGAAAATAAGTATCAAGTAAAGCAACAGAAGCGGATTGACAGAAACGAAAGTAATAGAAGAGTCTTTCTGGGCGTCCACAGTGACTGGTGAAGTCCTTTGCTGATTACCAATTAGCTACAGAATAGGAAGATACTAGTGGAGATGGGCGTACGATTAGCTTTATTTGCAGTTATTCCGGTCTTGCTCGAGTCTCTTCGTAGAGAAATTCATGAAAATGTTAATCAGAGAGCAGATATTCCAGAAATGAGAACTGCGCTGCATACGAACTTGTTGGCACTGGTGTGCCTTCGACTCCAATCTTGAGATGATGCCGAGATACAAGCTACCTGGGTTGGAAATACCAGGTCTTACGGATGAGCAGAGAGCCAAGGCGGCGTAGAGACGGAGATTGGCAAAGATAGAGCCGGAAGATTGGGGGAATGCCAGGAAAGACAAGGGAGGTGGCCAAACACTATGTTCCGGACGATACGGCGATCAACAACGCATTTTCTAGAATACCATTGCCAGGTCACAACATCAAGAAATGAGCTGGTTATTATATCTTGAGGGATATGCGGTGCAGTATCTAAGGCGGATGTAGGGACAGAAACAATATGAGGAATCGGTGCTACTGATAAACCAGTCCATCCCAATATTTACCGGTCGGTTTACAAGTCCCTACATAACATCTCACAGCAAGTAATCTTCCTTGACACAAAAGGGAAGGTTCAGTGATTATTTGAGCCGTGCAAGAAGTAGCAATTAAACGATGCTAAGCCTTCAATAATTAAAGAAGTATGCGACAATGCTATGGCCGACGGGTATCGTGACTGTATCTGGTTGTGCTATAATCGAGGAGGAAACTATTTTGCCCGAGATATAGCAATACCACTCGAATCTGGAGATCTCGAAGTATGCAGCCTAAGATACATGAGTGGATGGTGGAAGCGTATTTCCCTGCGATCACCGATGAAGCTACATATAGTCAATGTCTGTAAGACCTTCACTGTGGGCAGTTTCTGGGCTAAATTCTACTATAGATACACTTTTTAGGCCTCAAGGGCTCCAATGAGGTTGAGGTTATGGTGTTGCCAGTTAATATCGCCTCAGAGATAGCGGACGTTGACAAGTATCTTCAAGACTCTTGTCTAGATGGTAATTGCGATGCAGGATTCGGTGAAAATGGCAAGTTGAAAGCTTGCACGCTTGGTCCATTGTGTCCAAACATAGAAATGTACGGCCCTGGAGAATTTCCCTTATTCCGTTGCCAGAAGGAAAACTGCTGCAGACTTCGATTGTATAAACGCGCACTCCTGCGCAGAGACGCTATGCTAGAATTTTACTGGAATTCAAGTGGAAAAACAGATTCTCTCAAGTTTCTGAAAGATTCAGGACTAGTTACTCGATACAGGTAATTATCACAATCCATGCCGCAAACAACGCACACTCACGGTTATTAGTGATCTAACGACGATACACTTTCTGGATGCAGCCGACCAATATGGTGAAAGCATCCCAGCATTGTTACTAGTTGATGGCTGGCATAGTCAGAAACTGCTTATCCTGATCGGCTTCGCTGTCATTCTCAGCATTTTAATTACGGTTCTTGCGGCAGCTATTGCAAGAGATTTGAATACGGGTCCAACTGCTGGAAGTTATGCTTCAGGAATAGTGGCGGCTTTGATTGCCACTCTCACTTTCTTTAGCGCACTCGTTTGAAATCCTGTTCCACTTTCATTGATCTCCAGAATCTTGAATGTAGGATTCAGACGGTCTATGATCAGTTACGTATTCATGCACATTAGGCGCTTCCTTACTACAAGTCTGAATCGGCTGTCTGGTGTCAGTAGCTGTCAGTTAATTCCAACTATTCACATCAATTTCATAATCCAGCTGTAGGAGCTAGAAGGCTCTATCATACGAACATCTTGACAGAATAGAGGAATAGATAGGACCAATCTATCAAAGGAAAGCATCTCCATCAGATAAATTCCGTACTGTCCTCAGAACCTCCAAGGGCAATCTCCATAGCAGATATTTCAGCCGTATGCCGGCAAGATCGAAGGCAAGAGAGTCAAGCCAAGGAATAGCACCGGTCCCGACGAGGCACTAAACCCGTCAGCATACAATGGACATTTTTCAAAAGTTATGTAGTAATGGTTCTAAGCACCTTAAGACTTCTCAAAAGCTGTCCTAAATGGCAGCAGTGAGCCAAGGATATGCTGGGTTAATCGAGTAACCCACGGACTTTGAATGCACGATCCAGGATGTCGCGAATGAAGGGCTGCTTGCGGAGATTATACTGATCAGCCGTCTCGCCAGCCGCTAATGAGGCGCGAGAGGCTTCTTGTTTGATCTGGACATATTTCTGGAAATCATCCTGATGGTCTGGATCCATGATCCATTCTCGAAAGATCTGGTGTTGAATTACCAGCGGACAATTCGGTCCGAAACAATGGATATTGCCGTAGGGTTCACTGGACCCAAAGAAGCGATGCTGGAACCAGCCGGGTTCGCGGTGGAGGAACTGGAAGCCTGCTTTTTCCATATCTGCCACATACCGTTCTTCCTTGCTTGGATCTACCACGATCAGGTCGACATCAATGACATTTTTGCCAGGCAAGCCGGGGATGCTCGTTGACCCGACGTGGATAACGTCTAGCGCGCGGTCGCCGAGCGCGTCCTTGATACGTTTTGAGATCACTGCGAATGCTTCGGGCCAAGTTGGATCGTATTCGACAATCTCAAGGCGATGTTCCTTTCGTATTGCGACACGTTGGACGTCATTAGGATCCAAATCCACATGTTTGGTGACTTCTGTGGTGGACATTCTGGTTAGTCCGATGTTTAAGTAGTATTTGGCCCCCAATATAATGTCGATGGGGGCCTGGGCTCATTAAGTAGGCTGATAGCAGACAGAGAACACGCATCAACCATCTCGAGAGCCAATTATACAGCTCGCAAAGTCAGATTCATCCATGGATCCCTGCAGTATATTTTGCTCTTGGGTTTTCTTTTGTTTCCCACTCCCGCCCTTTGAAATATCCCAGGTGGAATCTTATTGATGCATCTTCACCCATCGCTCGTCTTCAAAATACTTTGCGCCACAACGCTTATGGAGTTTCTTCAAGTCCTCACGACCAGCATTGTCGTGGCCCTTCTCTGGGTGGTGACTGAGTCAATCCGCCGTCTTTTCTTTCACCCTCTATCCCACATTCCAGGTCCCCGCCTGGCCGCTTTAACCTGGTGGTACGAATTCTACTACGATGTCATTCTTCCGGGCAAATATATTTTCAAGATCCAAGAACTGCACGGTGAATATGGTATGTACAGTACATATGCATTGATCTTTTCTACCTTTGAGCCAGTGGGCACTACTTAAGTAGAATCCGAACCTAACAATCATCATGTAGGACCCATTCTCCGCATCACCCCAGACGAAATCCACATCAACGACATTGGGTTCTCGGACACGGTCTATGCTGGCTTGAGAGACAAGTACGAGTACCCATTACGGGCCCTGCGAGTGCCTGGAGGAGTAGGCACCACGGCAGATGCCAGGCTGCACAAGTTACGCCGCGAAGCTCTCGTGCCCTTTTTCAGCAAACGCAACGTTCTATCCCTTCAGCATCTGGTTACAGAAAAGGTCAACCAGCTATCTAATATCATCGCGAAACACGCTAGAGAAGCGTCGCCAGTCAATCTATCGGATCTCTTTTTCGCATTCTCCAACGAGTGAGTGGCGCTCTCTACTCTCTATTACGAAAGTCGGGCTACTTAGCTAATCGGAAATACTTAACTACAGTGTTGTGACCAACTTTTTGTTCGCACACAAAACGAACGGCCTCGCAGATGAGAAGCAGGCAGGTATATCTCGGAATAACAGCAGACAACTCCTCCAGGGCGTCCATGTTAATAAACATTTTCCCTGGATCGCGGACTTCCTCGAGGCCCTTCCGACCTCCATCAGCAGACCCTTGATGCCCCCAGGTCGCGTTGATATGTTCAACCTGTTCGATGTAAGTAGTCCATACCTCAATCCAAATCTATCTATCTATCTATCTATCTATCATTCCCTAACCCACGACAGAGAGTCCGCGGAGAAATATCCAATATCATACAAGCGCAATCATCTAAAGCAGGAACCGATAAAAAACACAGACGAAATCCCACCGAAAAAGAAGCCGTCTACGAGTCTATCCTAGTCAACGAGTCCCTTCCACCACAAGAAAGAACTTTGACCCGATTAGAGCAAGAAGGCGCCCTCCTCGCCCTAGCAGGAACAGAATCCCCAGCTCTATCCCTCAGCATAATTTTCTACCACCTGCTCTCCAACCCGTCAATTCTAACTAGGCTTCGCGCGGAGCTCGAAACAGTCCCAATTAACGCCTCATGGTCCCAATTAGAAAAACTCCCTTACCTCATAGCAGTCATTGAAGAAGGTAACCGTCTTTCATTTGGTGTAACAGCACGCATTGGTCGTCGTGCATATGAGGAGCTGATTTACACTCCGTCATCTTATGCCACTACTCGTGGGACCGGAAAATCATACAAAATCCCTGCGCATACGCCATTGACTATCTCCACGCTGAGCGTACATACTGCACCATCCGTCTTTCCGGACCCATTTACCTTCGACCCTGAACGCTGGTTAGGTGAGGATGGCCGAGAGCGCAAGCGGTTCCAAATGGCGTTTAGCAAAGGAAGTCGTAAGTGCCTGGGAATCGAGCTTGCCAATGCCGAGCTCTGCTTGGTGATTGCGGCTTTAGTTCGCTTATTTGAAATGACCCTTTATGAGACCGATGCTAGAGACGTCTCTTTCAAGCATGACTATCAAATCGCGATGCCGAAGATAGGATCTAAAGGTGTCAGGGCAACTGTCAAATTCAGAGTTGAGAATAGCTATAATAATAATCTTCTCGATTCATAGCATCAAACTATTTTGAATATTAAGCTATAAAAAAAAGACCAAAAAATAAGAAGAATACATACAACAGCAGGGATTCGCTGGTGGTCACCCACCCAACTACTAACCTGCCGGCGTGTGGCTTAAGTACGGCTGAGCGGACGGGAAGCCCTGTTTTCCACACCCTATGGTCGTATGTGCTAGTTAATCTTTTGAATTGTATCATATGGAAATGCGTACATAATGTCTACAAGCAAAGAGGGAGTGAACACTTGAGCATCACCCTCTACTAGCAATGGCCATCGCTTAGACCTACGGCAGCTGAGCCCCCCCTGAGGCATATTTTGCCATGGGTTGTCTAGACGACCCTTTCTAAACATGATAGCTATCACCCTGGAAGAACATTCCCCACACTGAGCTAAGAAGAAACCTTCCATGAACCTCATCAGCCCTGTGAAACAACCGATGAACGTCCATCAGCAACCACTTGCTGGACACTTGAGCAATCTTTGAGCCCAGTAGAGTCACTTTCTGGCAGGATGTGTTCATCTTCCTGCGAGCCAACCGCTGCTTCTAGATGGGCCTGTCCAGACCCTCCTTCAGCATCTTCAGTCTGCTGCTTCTCATACATCCACCAGCCCGACAACGGTTGGATCGAGTCGAGTCCAGTTTCCTCCCCAGAGCCCTCTTCGGAACGGCTGCTCTCATGCTGGTCCCCATAATGGCCCATTCCCTGGTCAAGGGTCGCTCCACTGGACGTAGCTTGAATACCGACCAGGCCAGCCAACATCATGGTATCGTAGATGTTCCCGTTATCATTAACTCGAACAGGGACTGATGCATATGCGGATGGGACCTCATCTGTATCAATCCTACGGGCCAAAGCGTCGTCCAAGCTCAAATCGGTATTGCGTCTTTTGAACTCATCTGACGAGACTGGGTAGATCTGGTCTCTATACAGCCTCCTTCCATCCTCGTTCCAGAAGCAGAAGACTGAGATCCATCCACTCAAATACTCCGGACCACTGCCCATGAAGTGCTTGTGTGCGCACCTGTTCCAAAAGTCTAACACCTCAGGAGAGTTGGGAATCTCAAAGGAAAGAACGAAATGATTCAGAACGGGCCGCAGAAGCTGCGCAAACCGAGCAGGCTCATCCCCAAGCTGTTTAAGTTTTTCGATCCTCTTCAAGATACCCACCCAATCTTCTTTGTCGCCCAGCAGAGTAACCGAAGGAATGCCACATAATAGCCCCATTTTGTAGGAGAAGTATTTTTGCAACGCCCCCATCATCAGAATAGCTGCGACCACGGTGTCCGATTCGGTCGTGGTTGTAAACGAGGGCATAATCCAATCTCGAAGTTCTTCATCCACGACATTCTTCTGCATGAGCTCGGTCATGCGAACAGCCAAGACACCAAAGTTGGCGGAGTCGATGGTTCCCGCAGCCTTGACTTCAAGATCCTTTTGTCCTTTATGAGCAACGAAGAAGGATCGAAGCTCTTCAGCATGTGCATTGATAAAAAAGCTGAGCTGTGTCAAGATAGCAAACCAGATGTCTTCGGGCCGGAGGGTTAAGTTGTGGTGAGCGCTGTAGGCATGGAAGACGGACCAAACGAGGCCATTGCTCGAGGGGGAAATATGGGACTGGTGAAATGAACTCTGCTGGAATGAGCTCTGGATGATATTTCGACAGCGATGATGGTCTCCCGGGCTTGACTTCTCGAGAAGCTCTTCAGCAGTAGACACTTTGGACCTTTCCCACTTGCGAGGGGGGTGTGCTGCAGTGGCAATCGTGACAGGCATGGTGTCTGGAAGGGAATTGAGAGGAGATGATTTGCTTGGAAAAGAGGATTATTCTGGATTGTGAAGGCATTTAAGTAGACGTTGGAGCCTGCCTACAGGCAGGCAGGCAGCAGGCTCCTGTGGGTTTCTCCCACGCTTTTCTGACTCCACCCATAGAGATAAATAGACTAAGCTAGTTGGTAGAGAATTCAAGATCAGCGAGCTTTGCTCCGAAGGTAAACAAGCAAATCATATGTGGGTTACCTATTCACCCGGTGATTGAAGCGCGGCGGGCCCGCACACTTACTTACTGCGGCTGAAGATAAAAAAACACAGCCCACTATCGACTGCAGTCATCATACCTGCAACCAGCTTCTTGTCATTTCTCAAACTTGTACTTCGTTCCGCTTCTACTGTATCAAACCTTTGGATATCGAATGGCCAAACAGAATGTCAACATCGGTTGTCAAAATGTTCGGGCATGACATGGGCGCGGCAAAGCCCCAGCCATTCATAGCCTCTGTCGACGGTGTAGCGGACGACAGTGTCATGGGCATGCTAGTACGCTTCTGACCCAAACACGGATATATAGAACAAGGAGCTAGCATTCTATCTATAGAGCTGTTTTCGTACAATAGACATGATACCGGATAGCACATTCTGAGGGTCCAAAGACACGAGTATAGGGGCTTCCTTACTAGTCGGTTGACTTCATTATCCTAATTTTGAGAATTGGAAGTTGATAGTTGATAGATGCATTCTCTTCAATAGGGGCCGAATTAAGTCATGGGGGAATAAGAGCGCTATTCATTCGCTATAGTTTCGGTGATAACCTACGTGACAACGATAAACCAAACTGCACACATAACCGGGGAAGGCCGAGACCCAAAACTTACAGACTAGCTTTGGCTTGCTTCTGCTGTGCCAGATCAAATCGATCAAGGTTCATGACCTTGTTCCAGGCGGCTGCGAAGTCTCTGACAAACTTCTCCTGGCCGTCGGAGCTGCCATAAACCTCTGCGATTGCGCGTAGCTCAGCATTGGCGCCGAAGACAAGGTCCACGCGGGTGGCAGTCCACTTCTTCGCGCCAGTCTTGCGGTCAAAGCCTTCAAAATACTCCCTTTCAGGACCGGTCGGCTTCCATTCAGTGCCCATGTCGAGCAAATTGACGAAGAAGTCAGTGGTAAGCGTGCCCGGGCGCTGGGTTAAGACACCATAAGAGGATCCATCATAGTTGGCATTGAGTGCACGCAGACCGCCAACCAGCACTGTGAGCTCCGGAGGAGAGAGATTCAGGAGCTGCGCCTTGTCCACGAGGAATTGCTCAGTATGTACACGCGAAGTCGACTTGCCGTAGTTACGGAATCCATCGGCGTATGGCTCCAAGTGGCTGAATGCCTCGACGTCCGTCTGCTCCTGGGAGGCATCGGTGCGGCCAGGGGCGAAGGGAACGGGGACGCCGCTAGCCTGCTCCACGACGGCATTTCCGGCCAGAACGATGAGATCGGCCAGGGAGACCTTCTTACCGCCCGTCTGCGACTTGTTGAAGTTAGCCTGGACAGTCTCTAAGGCGTCCAGCACTTCCTTCAGCTGCGCAGGGTTGTTGGCCGGCCAGTCTTTCTGAGGAGCCAGACGGATACGCGCGCCGTTGGCACCACCGCGCTTGTCACTGCCGCGGAAGCTGGCTGCTGAGGCCCAGGCCGTTCGCACGAATTTGGCAGGTTCAACACCAGTTGCGAGGATGGCATGCTTCAGATTGTTGACATCTGCCTCGTCAATGAGCGGGTGGTCCACGGCTGGAACAGGATCCTCCCAGAGGAGCACTTCAGATGGCACCTCTGGGCCGAGCCAGCGAGATCGCGGGCCCATGTCACGGTGCAACAACTTGAACCAAGCGCGAGAGAAGGCGTCATGGAACTCGTCGAAATGTGTCAGGAAGTGACGCGCGATCTTCTCATACGCAGGGTCGAAACGCAGAGCAAGATCAGTCGTCAGCATCCTTGGCTTATGCTTCTTGTTGGGATCGTAGGCATCAGGGATGAACGCATCAGCATTCTTGGCCTCCCACTGGTTTGCACCCGCGGGGCTCTTGGTCAGTTCCCATTCGAACTTGAAGAGATACTCGAGGAAGCTGTTGCTCCATTTCGTGGGGGTCTTGGTCCAGATAACTTCGATACCGCTGGTGATAGTGTCTGGACCCTTTCCGGAACCGTGCTCACTCTTCCATCCAAGGCCCATCTGCTCGAGATCGGCAGCTTCAGGTTCCTTGCCCACCTTATCAGCAGGACCGGCACCGTGGGTCTTGCCAAAGGAGTGACCACCGGCAATCAGGGCAACTGTCTCATAATCGTTCATGGCCATACGACCAAAAGTGGTGCGAATGTCCCTGGCGGCCGCGACAGGATCGGGAATGCCGTCTGGGCCTTCGGGGTTCACATAGATCAGACCCATGTGTGCGGAAGCCAGGGGGTTTTCCAGGTCGCGATGGTGGATATCCTTGTGGTTCTTGTTGTGCTCGTCTGCATCCAGGACGCCATGTCCCTTCAGACCAGCTCGACCGTCCGAGTAGCGGACCTCATTGCCCAACCATGTGTTCTCTCCTCCCCAGTAAGTCGATTCATCAGCCTCCCACGTATCCGGGCGGCCACCAGCGAAACCGAAGGTCTTGACGTCAAAGTTCTCGAGGGCGACATTACCGGCAAGCAGGAATAGATCGGCCCAGGAGATCTTCTTACCATACTTCTGCTTGACGGGCCACAGCAGGCGGCGAGCCTTGTCAACACTGACATTGTCGGGCCAGCTGTTCAACGGCGCAAAACGCTGCTGACCCTGTCCACCGCCACCACGGCCGTCGTCGACACGGTAGGTGCCAGCACCGTGCCAGGCCATACGGATGAACAGACCACCGTAGTTACCGAAATCAGCGGGCCACCAGTCCTGAGAATCCGTCAGGACGGCATTGATGTCCTTCTTCAAGGCAAAATAGTCGAGGCTCTTGAAGGCCTCTGCATAGTCAAAGTCTTTCCCTGTTGGGTTGCTGACATCGGTGTGCTGGCGTAGAATGTTCAGTCGCAACCGGTCCGGCCACCAGTCGATGTTCCTGGTGCCACCACCGGCGACATTCGAGAAGCGAGCCGGACATTCACCCATGGTTGATTCGTATCGCAGTCAGTTCTCAATGCTAATAAACAACACAGATGAACAGGAGAACGAGAAGTGAAAGGAGAAGAAACTCATCGCCTCCAGAGAGGGGGCTGACCCCGCACTCTTTATATTCCCTCCTCGAGTGATATCAAATGATCGCGAATGCATTACCGAGCTTCAGGAAGCATCGATCGACCGTCCTTGCCGGTTTGGGGGCAGGTAAAGCTAGTCCCCCCAAGCGCGTTTGAGGTGTTGATCCCATCATTGGACATGGCGTTGCTCATAGTGCCAGGCGATAGATGCGGGGACCAATCGAGGATGAGCCGATAGCAAGCCGAACCCCGCGTCGAGAGAGAAGTGAAGGCGTTGGCAGAGAGCGTTTCGAGCAATGATGGCCGTGGATAGCGACGGTGAGGGCTAGACCATGGCTGCTGACAATTCTCCATGTTATCCAGTCCAACACTGACGCGGTTTGTTATGCCCCTTCCCCACTGGTGAGACTCTACATGCAACATACAAAGATGATGAAGGCATTGGTCACACCACGCTTGCTGGCAATTCCCGTGTCTGCAAGGTTAGTCAGTCGTTCTTCCCGAATCAGAGCCATCTCGATAGTAATAGCAGCATCCATTCGTTCATTGTCTGTCGTGGTTTCTCTAATGATCTGCCGTTCCAAACGTCTCGAGTCCACCACATAGAATGGCGCCATACGCGTACTACGAGGTCCGTCCATCAAAAGAGGCATGGTTGGACCAAGACATCTCGGCTTCGGAACGCTGTCTGCGATGGCTATACACGGCATGGCATGCCTTGATGCATGACAAGTCACAAAACAGTGCACTCATGATGGAGCGATATGGATGACAAGATAGAAGCAGTGGTTACCAGTAGAATGAACTAAGTCACTCATTGAAAGACGATGCATTACCGAGAGAGAGATGTGGTTCTCCCCACTGTCCAGGTGGAGATTTCCCCGCACCCCGCAAAATCACAATAACGGGGCCGCATTCATTGTTGCCAGTCTTTACCCAGATAGTTAATAATCTATCAAACAATGAGGGCTTTCGAGTCAACTGCCAGTTTTCGTTCTAGGCCAGCAGCCGTGTTGCTTTGTGTTCAGCGTTGCTCACTCACCCAGTACTCTGGGAGCAGTTAGGAAGTGCTCCGCGAACAGGACAGAGCATATTCGGGATAATCCATCAGTGGCCAGTGGCAATGTTCCTGGACTGTGTTGTCTTTATCAGACCTTAGCAGAATAAATCCTGCCAATACTATCTTACTAGCATTTTCCGCCAAGATTTCTTTCCCCGGTTAAGACCTTTAAGCGCCCTTCTTCAGACCTTCCTTTGCAATAAGACATTGTTACAATAATTGTGGAATATAAGAAGCAGTTATATAGGCTCTTCTACTATTCCAATGTTTCACCCCATGTGTAGGATCCGACACAGATGAGATGGACCATTCATGCAGAAAAAGATAGTCATGGAAGAACGATTGACGCCAGCTCAGGCTAGTAACCGAGATAAACCCTCTATGACAATTTCTTCAGGACACATTGAATCTTGCTTTCATTCATTCGATATCGTAGTTATTATCGGACATTATCACATCTTGAAGTCTAGTTTGTCAAAAAAGATCTCTCGATCTCGGACCTGGCGGATGAGCCGGTTACTTAGGTAATCAAGCCGCAGAGTGGGTCAAGTTGACGCTCTTGGGATATTCCGGTCGCTTGAAACGTTCAACAAATAAAGAACGCAAACTCGCCTCATCAAACAACCGATTCTCCCTCGAGTATTCTTGTCATCATGGCTGAACATCCTTCGTTCACTCTCGCTGCTCTACGTAAGTTCCCAGTTTGATTTATGAGAGAAGCGTAATGCCTTGCTAAACATTCATGATCAACAACCAGTGCCTGTAGGGGGTGTCGCTGGCTTTTTGCGAACTGGCTCAAAACCCTCCTTAATTGCAGGTCTCGGTTTGGGAGCTTCCTACGCGTATGCAGGTAAGCGAGAATACAATATCGTGCTATTATTGCTTGTGCTCGTCCTACAGGCTAACCGCGTCGTCAGGTTATTTGATCAAACAAAACAAAGACTACGGCACTGAACTCGCCCTGGGAAACAGCATACTCCTCCTAGGATCTGCAATCCCTAGGATCATCAAGACCGGAGCGAAGGCACCCATTCCTTTAGCTCTCGGTGCCACTGGTTTGTTGGCCTCGTTCTACTACCAGAAAAAGGTCCGAGAGTTCCGATTCGGAGTCTAGATCACGAGATGTGATTTAGACTTGATCTTACTACTGAATCTACAAGGCTGTCCACTCCTCTCTTAAATTTGAAAATCAAACAAAGCAACATCTGATCAAAGCGTGCTTAATTGTACATTGGTGTACTCTAATTCCATGTTCTTGGCAATCAATTCATCTTGGTTCGGGCCTGTGAACTTGTAAGCTCCGCGACTAAGTATGCCACGGTTAGTTAAACTCGATGTGACTCGCACCGCCTGGGACTATTTTCTCAACAAAGCTAAATGCATGCATGCTTCTAAGCTTGCCTACTATGTAATCATTCCAATCAGGACATAATCCATTACCGTCAAGAGTAATACCATCATCACCAATTACGTTCTCGCCCGAAAGCAACCTTTTCTGATCATCTACCGTCCATCTACAGTACCATAGTATCCCTCCCATCATTATAATTAACCAGACGTAGTTGGCTCTCAAACTCCCTTCGTTAAATTCGTTCCCGAACTGCTATCGAACAGCCGAAATCTCGATGAGACGCGAGGGATGGGGGAAAGCAAACATAAAGCTGGAAGCGTCCGTTAGAGATGATGCCGTTGCATCCGTATTCCGAAAATCAGATTTTCTAGATCGAAAAATATTTGTATTGTTTTCTTTTTCTTTTTATTTATTTTTTTACTTTTTTTCCCCCCTGCATGCTTTAGTTCTTTGCATGAATAGCTTTGACGCTGAAGTTCCCGTCCTGCCAGAAACCACACAAAAATAAGAAGCGTTTAGAAAATATCAGTATTTCTCCTTTTTTAAATTCGATACTTCTCTTTTACGTTAATCATGAAACCATTGGAAAGAGGGAAATTTAGTTTTTCGTAATATAGGATTTGTATCCATTATCTGGTTCTATCTTCATGTGACTGACACTTCTGGTCGAATCTGTCTCTATCTATATATACAAACAAGAAAAGAAAAGAAAGAAAGAAAGAAAAGAAATCACTGGATATGCCGCTTCATGTCCTAAAATCCCATAATCTTCGCTCAAACATTAATGCCTTTCGATTGGTAATGATAATACCATCGAGGAATTATCCTCCAGATTTGCGCCGATGCTTCCCTTGCGAAGACAAAAAAGAAATATATAGTACACTCATTGCTTGAACGCCAAGACCAAAAAAAAATCATTATCGTGCGGCGATGGTAAACAGGAATTATATCCGAGTCGAGTGTTTCTGTGATAAAAACGTATTATCGGAAAGACCGAATGGATTTGCGAATCACTTCGCTTGTCGTTGTTCTTTAGTAGGGCTCTGGGCTCTGGCTGGCGGTGCTTCGCAGGCTGGAGTTGCTGCAGGGGCTTCGCAGAGCTTGACGGAGCTTGAACATGGCTCGTCTGTGAGGAGAAGGGCTGCCTGAGCGCTGCGAGGAGAAGGATGCAGCACTGGGGCTTGCTGGCTCTGAACTGCGGTCGGCCAGGCTGGCCCAGTATGTGGCGGCGTCACCGGTCTCCTCCATATACCACTCGGGGACAGCCTTGTGAAGCTGCGATGGCTGCATTGCTTCGACGTGAGGATAGAGGGCCGAAATAGGACGCAGAAACTCGCACGGAGATGGCAGTCTAGCGTTGGCAGAAGCAAGGCTAGAGCCTGAGTTGTTGAGGATGCTCATTTTTGGCGACTGGGAGAATGTATTCGCGTCTGGTGGTGGTTGTGTCGAGTAGTGATTATGTTGTACTGAGCAAATGGTGCGATTGATGTGATGGTCTATTGCAGCTGTACTTCCTCTGGTGTAGTGAAGGAGTGTGAAGAGGAGTGTTCGTATTAAGTTTTGTAGTTGGTAGTAGAGTAAGACTTTGATGGTGGATGATGATGAGATGAACAAGCTGGGAGGGCAGAGATGTATTTAACAGTCTCTCACCCACAATGACAGGTGGCGCTGACATGATGCTCACCTGCCCCATACTTTGTGGGAACGATTTGGAATTTGATCTGTCTTGATGCTAAGCGTGAACGCTAATATTGTCAGCCTGGCAATTAGCGTCATGATTCTGCAGCTGAGTATTCTCCGAAGACAGTAAATTCTAAGGAACAGGTTAGATCGTTCCTCTTAGCGTGCATTTTGTATCACCGCGAATACTCCGATCATCTTCCCTTCTGGAAAATCTCGATAAGGTGGATCCTGGGAATTTGGGGCTCAAATGAGATCGTCTCCACTGGTTAGTTGAGACTCTTTCGCCCTGTGAGCGTCTTCGGAGAGCCCGGGCTATAAACTTCAACGGAACATTATCGTCTGGCGTCCAGCTAGCCGGCGACCCCGAAAAAGGCAAAAATAGAATTAAAGCACACAGAAATTTCAAATCATGTCAAGTACAACCTCAATCCTCGGGACAGTCACAATTCCCAGCCGTTGTAATTGTTTCCACGACATCTGCAGACACGGTGGCTTGAGTCCACGAGAGGATCTGCACCGTCTCTGCAGCATTGCTCGCAGGGCTGATCTATTGAGATGTGGCTTCTGTCAGTGCGGCGGTGCAACAGCCTTACAGAAATCCGTGCCATGGTCACTTGCGGATCATTATTGATGTCTTTTGAGATTTGTCACTGTATGGAGTAGGGCCCCCTTGATTCGTGCAGGCGAGCCATGACCCATTTTTCAAATCAATAATAGATAGTCAGATCCCCAACTGTGCCTCTCTAATTCAGACGATCGACAGGCACACGAGGGCTTGCAAATCCTGCTTGACTGACCCAGGAATATGGGGCGCGGTTGGGGATGATCTGCGTGGCTTTAGTATTGGTATTATTGCCGCGCTAGTAGTCACTAACGGCTAAGTCGACATCATTATTCGCAGAATTCTACTTCGTAAAGTATAGTAACTTGGCGTTAAACACGGAAGACCAATAGCCTCGCATTATAGGCGAATAGGTCCACCAGTTACTCAGGAACCATCCCCTTCTCCAGGAACTGTTGACAGCACGTTCCTGACCATGACAGCGGGACGGCCTGACTTGACAAATACACCTTATAGCTTCAGGAACCATGGTTTCATCCTCTGTAGGATACGGAGCTCCCGATAAACAAGCTCATGGTTCAGGAGTCAAAGACGGGAAATATCCGTCCCCTGTGTATTCATTTTTGAACGCGCGCCCCAGGTGAAAATCGCAGTCCTCTGTGACAGACCACGGGTGATAAGCTACAGATCAAAAGGGATCGAGCAGTTTCAGTGGATCTCGTGGGGTGGCTTCGAGTCGTGATATCATCGTCAGCGCTAAGAGAGACCGCAGGAGTGACCATTGGCCCAACAGAGGCTGAAATGTCATGATGGGCTTCATAGGGAGATACGATCTCAGTCCGCGTCAGAGCCCGGGCCATCAGACTAGTAGACACGGGAGACTGAGTTGGGCAAGCGCTTGGAGTAGGCAGCCCTCTAAGTTGCTCCGTATCTGCTGCTTAGATCACCTCAGCTGAGGCTCAGCAAGCCGTAGATAACTCGCTACTTCCCAACCTGGCAACGTTTCGAGATCTCCCTGTCATCAGGGACTCGGGAGTCGGGAGTATGCAATCAAGCAGCCCCCTCTGAAGCCTCGAGGATAGGTAAGGTCGATGCGCTGGCTGACCTCCTAGACCAAGCATAGCTAGCTAGCCAGAGTCCTGATAGCATATCGGTCGATCTTGGCCTCAGTTACTCTTGATGTTATGTTTTGGCTGGTAACCCAAGATGAACCGAAGAGCTGGATTGGACTTCTCAGCCAGCCATTCATCAATTGCTGATCACGACAACTCCCACCTAAAACATAAAACATAAGTTCTCAATGAAGTGTATACCATTAGGTGGGGAGAGGGCTTCTGCCTCTTACTATTTGTCATATTGAAAAGGAGATGACTTCGAGGTAACATTGTCCCTCAAGGTTAATCGTCCTCTCCTCGGATAATTAGCGTATCTGTTGGTACTCTGGCAGCATGTTTTAGCACGTTAGCGTCAGATCTGACATCGTGGGATGTTTTGTAATCGCTCTTTCTGTAAGCCTGTAACTAACTAGGTGAAGACGGCAAACTGTCCTCGCGTTTGCTATCGTGATTCGCGCCCTTGAACTTTGCTTGGTAGGGCTCACGCCCCACGTCTGCGTCAAGGGCAGTAAGTATTTGTGTTAAGCATTGTTTTTAGCTCCTCAAGCAGCCGGCTGTGTCGATCTCCTAAAGAAGCCTGGCATTCTCGTTAGGTCTCGATCCATTTGAGAAGATAAAACCGTGTTTACATTTAAATTTACCCCATCCTATCTCTGTTTCGAATTATTGAATTTCAAAGCGGAAATCGCACGAAAACTGTCATCGTAAGTGTTCGTCGATGGAGACTCGATTGTGTAAACAAGGTTGCGAAAGCTCCATGCTACGGCGAATCGCATTGTTTCGGATCGCGTGTACGACCAACACGTTTCACGCCATTAGATCTTTGGGTCCTAGTGCTGGTCTAGCAACCTATAATCATTTTTATTAATGTTTCTTCACTGCTCTTGAACTTGAGGTACGATATAGCTAGTTATGTCATTTCATTTGCTGCTCACTAATTCCTAGAAAGTGCCGTGCTTCCTACTGCCCAAGGTGGGAGGAGCTCCTTTCTAAGAGGAGGTACTGGAGCATGTTGCATCTCGACCTGATTTTTTGTCTGCGTCTGATTCTGTGGTACGCAGGCAGTTTGATCCTTCACGCTATTCGACGGCTTTGGAGTCTCTGTTCGTGGAAGAGGATTGGGTTTTGTTGCGGCCACATAAGTGCCCTTGCAAACCGGATCCTGATCAACTGGATCCCGATTCTTGCCTCCCAGGTTCTGCGACCGCCCCCCTTCTTTTTTCGGATAATGTGATAAAGTGGAATTGACTGAAAAATCGAAATGATCTTTGTGCGCACCTGATTGCGAAGCAGATGGACTTATATACTTTTCGCCTGTGCTGCTGCTATATTTTTCTGCACTCGACCTGCTATCAGACCGATAGTCTGATTCCGATTTGGATATAGGTGTCTTCGCCTGTTTTTGGTTCGATCTTGACGTCTGTAGTGCGTCTGTCGTGACGGAGGATTGTCCGATTATCTGGCGAGAATTACATCTCGTCTTCTCCTGCGGAAGATTGTCCATTTGTCGGTTCGACTTGTGGGTATCTTCGTTTGGTGTCTCCGGAATTGTGGGCAAATACGTCGCAGCGTCGCCGACTGAGCTCGTACGTCCCTTGGATAGGTAGTCCAAACTGGAGTCAGAAAATGACTCTGCGGATTGCTTGGATGCAGGGTGAGTTTCACGCTCTGGGAAGGGGTCATGCTCATGGGAACCGGTATGTTCCAGCTGTGGACAACTATATGACGGCTGCATAGCAAGATCCCGGGGCGACCTGCTTTCAAACGATCGTGTGAGCGATGGCCCTGATGAAATGTATGGTAGCGCAGGCGAATGATTCTGTTGACTTCGAGAAGAGAACGGATTTGGGGGATCATTCTCATGAAACGGAGTCGACATTTGCTGGCAGTCCTTTGGCGATTTCGGTAGGTTGTTCACCCGGGACTGTCCCACGGTGTTTTCATTGGGTTTTCCGTGATGGACTTCCGGTCCTTGCGAATGTTTGTTGCTACCTTGACTGACTCTCGTTGGCTTCTGCTGAATATCGCTCTGGTTTTTGGGAGTTATAGGGGAAATAACCGACAAATTCTGGTCGGTTACCCTAGCGTGAACCGGTATGGAGACATGGCTTGCTCCTCGTGCTTGCTTCAGTGGTTGACCATCGTCCGTTCCTGGCTGCAATCGTGTCGCTGGGGTACTCTGGGAGGCAGGATTTGGCGTGTACGTGTCTCTTGTGTCAGGAAGTGGCGGGAAGAAAGTCCACCCAGAAGAGCTTTGGCTTTTCGATGACTCTGCGGGCATCTTTGTTTCATTCTTACAGCTTCCACTTTGTGGCAGCTGTGGTGGCCCCATTGATCCTGATGAGATCAGACCAACCAGACAAGCTCTCCCTTCTCGGGGTGCTTTCTCTGAAGACCCAAGCGCTGAGTTTTTGGGGGAAAAAAGAATCGAAGAAGTGTGGAAATCTCTTGGTTATAGTGCATGCTGGTCCACTTTTCTACTTCTTAGGATCGACTTCTAGAAGGCCAGTGCTTCTTTGCATCTGATGCCCAACGTCTTAGAAGGTATGCTAGTTTGTAACCGGTCTATTACATTTCCACTGATGTCTCCACAGATTTTCCTCCCAAGACATCATTACCAGGATCGTAATAGAAGTGAATATGGGATATGGAATATTGTGACTGACTTTCCCCGCGCATCCACGCATAAAACGAGAATATTCGAAGAAGTGGGCCTCTGCGCCATACGTACTTGTGAATGCAGGCTATAGCGAAACTCTATATGATGAAGGCAATCTCGTAATCCATTTACTGGATTCCCTCATCGTTGAGGATGTGGCAGGGAGTCTTTCGATGTGCCTTTCGCTGATGCGAAAATTTTTACCTAAACGAAAATGTAAGTTCTTCTACTTTGTTGGTCTCTGTTTTCTGACTGATTTCTAACGAGGAAAAGCGAATACACTATTCAATTTATTATTGTCAAGATTATTTGAAGTTAGCTACTACTACAACAGGCCATTCTGTTTTGAAGGGTAGATATAGGGGCTCGTGCCCAACCGTCGGAGATCCCTTCGGCCGCGAACCGTTGTGGCGGGAATAATAAGATTATCATCGCCGAAGCGGAAAAGCAGCCCGGACCCAATAGCGACGAACAAAGACGGCACAACGGGAGACGAAGAACAATCAGTCATATCTGCAGGTTACCGATAACTTTGAGAGCCGTTAAATGATGTAAGTGAGCATGTTAGATGCAAACGAAAGGTTCAAGCGGCCGATACTTAGAGCGCCCGAAGCATACTTACGGAGTACGTCCGCGTTCCCACAGATGCTTAGCGTTCCGCTATTCTTGATACTGCAGTTTGATTAGATTAGGTATTACATATTACCCCTGAATTGTTACCCAACATCATCAACTTACCAAACCAAATTCTATCTTGCTACCCAGCCGTCCCATGGATCGCTGATATGATTGACCTGACCAATCACAGTAATCATATCGACTGGGCTATCTGGACGATCGTCGCGCGCTTCGCATTTAGGCACCGAACCGAGAGTTTTCCAATTGCTAGATTAATTTTTTGGCAGAACCGAAAGAACTGGAGGGAGTTATGAGATGAGATGAAAGAAAATCATCCTGCTCGTCGGATTCTTCGCAGAATGATACCTCAACGGCGGTCGTAGCGGAAGATGTACTTTTGTTATATATAGATGAAGGAGGGTTAGTCCTTGCCCAAATTCTGGAAGAGTGGTGCAAAAAAAAAAAGAAAAGAAAAGAAAAGAAAAGAAAATCAATATCGCTAGGTATATCCAGATAGCGAATCGCAACATATGTGATCATAAAGTTTATGTGATGGAATGCTAGGTTTAAGAGGCAATGTCGAATATGTAGATCCATTCTAGCTTAGTTTACTTACGGATAGACCGGAAAGGACGGCCAATTATTTAATGCGCACAGCGTTGGGACTGATTAATGAGTTGTCTGATCCATAGCAGTCTGACACTGAAACCGAAATCAATCAAGTGGTTGTATGTACTAGGGCTAATTGACAAAAGGACGACCAGAAAGGAGGACAGATAGGTAGTTACCAGACAACAGAAACTTTTCATTAAGAGATACTTTCGGGAATGGGCTTTGATATGAATAATGAATTCTTCTTCGTTTATCTACATCATATACATGCAAGCTATGCGGCGGCTACTTACAGTACAATTGATGGTGGATGGATCGACTTTCGGATATTTACTGGACTAGATGCTTTCCAAGTTACGATGCACATTTTCAACCCATTAGGAGCGTTATACTTCATAAAGTAATCGATTACTAAACAAACTTATGTTAGGGACACATAATTACAACGATCCTAACACACTTCAAGACAGTGTTGTTGATTCGTGGCATCCGATTGGCCCGTCCTGATAATTGAGTGTCGTGGTGGTGTTGTATTTCCACCAGAAATTCAAGTACTGCGGGTACGAGGACGGGACCTGGCACGTCTTGGTGTAGTTTGGCAGGCTGTCTTTGAGAGTTGATGTGAAGTTCGCCAGAGGACACGAATAGCCAGGACCAGACTGGCATGAGTTGAAAGGCACAACGGCCTCGTTGAGGACCAGTCGCACGTAGGTCCCTTGGGAAGAGAGAGCGGTCTTGTTGCAGGTGAGGCGTTCAATGGTCAAGTGCCCCTGCATAGGAACGATGTTTCCTATTGACCAGGGATTGCCAAATGGGATGTGGTCTAAAGGCAAGTCTTCGTTGGGGAGAAGGATGCCCAGGGCACCGATGATTGGGGTGATGTTGGTATCGTGGGCGAAGTTGAAAAACATCGTTCCCGATGACGGGCCTTCGTTGAGCAATGCGAGAGATGCGTTCAGATAGACGGCTCCGACTGCATTCATGTTCTTGTCGCCAGGGCCAGCACAGTAATAGTAGTAGAGATCCTGTGTGTAGCCAAAGCTCACCCACTCATCCAGGGTGAACACGTTGATCCAATCCGAGAAGGCCCGCGCGTTCAGCTCGAAGGCCGCCATCTGCATCAGATTGTAAACGTCTGTGGCATTGATCTTCAGACCGGGATTCTGCGAGTTGATTCTCTCAGCGGCAACATAGAACTGAGGCAACAGGTTGGTTAAGGCGTTGCAAGTGTTCTGATCATTGTCCTTGGCACAGGTCGGAGTGAGGCTATCCGCGCCCTGGCTGGCGTCCTCCGAGATGATGTTGAGCGCAGCGCTCTGCGTATAGTTGTATCCGAAGAACCCTTCGCCGAACTTGCGAGCTGTCTCGATGACACGCTCGTATCCACTCGTAAAGATGGGCACGATCGATTGCCCATCCCATAGATGCCCGTAGCGTTCGCGATACTCCGCACCGCGTCTGAAGGCTGTCAACAGACCGGCGTAGGGGCCAGTCCACGTTTCCGCCTCATAGTAACATTTGTTTGGCACGTAATAGGTCCAGTGATCTAGGAATGCTAGATCTCCTTGCCAATTGGTGATGTTGGCGGAGTAGATCTTGGCCAAGGTCTGTTCAAAAGTAGCTCCAGCACCAGATGACGGGTACCGTTCTCCATGTCGCATGATGGAGATGACCTGGTCGACAGCACAACCGCTCGGGGTGTCTCTCTCAATGCCATACGAGACGCGCTGCGAGTAAGGTCCATTGCCTCCGTAATGCTTGAGAACGCTGTAGCCGTCTTCAAAGTGCTGGGAGAATTGCTTTTCAGCGTAGGACCGCGGGTTAGCAGCACCGTGCGACAGGGCGGAGGTGCCCACGGCAGAGCAGAGAAGGAGTGCAGCAGCACTGTCGAATCGAACCATGATGGTTTACTAACTAGTCGCAACCACTCAATTGGAGAGCTCGATGCTTCAGGATCCTCGACTTGAGGAAGGGAACGTGCTGCTGTATTTAACTACCAGCATGGGAGCGAACATTATTGCTTCACAGTCCATCATGGATCTCGGCATCGGCTAAGTAACGTCGCGCGGGGCGAAGAATCCTATTCTAGTATTCATGAATGCCCATCGTGCTGCCAAGGCTTTTATTCATTGGAGGCAAAACGCCAAGTGGGAAGCCACGTTAAAGCCAAGTTTCCTAAGCGCAACCTCATGGGATGGGATAGTTAGTGAGATGTATGACAGAGCGCGGAATGATACCATGGCTGTGGCTCGCGATACATACAGATCCAGTGGGTGCTACTTATCAGTATTCGCTGGGCCATGATGTTCAGTGGTCCTCGATCATTCGTTGTCAGCGAACAGGGAACACAATCTTCTAGAACATCTTCCCCCCGGCCAGTCATAATAACAGTAATAGTAGGAAGGCAGGGTGTTTCTCACAATTCTCCGATCCTGGTAGAAAGAATCGTTCACAGCAAGTTCGTCCATTTTTCCATCAAGCTTCGGCTCTAACCGTCCGATCACAGTCTCACGCGAGAACTTGGCCGGTATAACCGATTCTGAGGAATGGGCCCACTTGATATCGTCGGATCTGATAAAAAGCAATAATAATGTTCTGCGATCTTCTGCGACTTTATTCATTGTTCTCAATTGCATGTGCCTCCTTTTCAGCTTTCAATTGGCCCTTGGGCTTTCCGTCCTGTAAGGCTGCGGGTCAACTTAGTTACATTAGTATGTACTTTTGGCCCCCAGTTTATACTTGTTGATACCTAGTAAACACCGTCTAGATTTAGTGACGGCTTTGTCGGCTCCGGCTGCCTTGCCCTAATACAGACTGGGAGTACTGTACATATATATCTCAAAAGAGATTTAGCTCATGTAACAGTGTCACACTGACTGCATTGCCGATACATACAGTTCATAATAGTAATAGGAGCTTGGAATCCTAGAAAATTCGAATCTTGTGAGCGTGACGTTTCTGCAGAATCGAATAGCACGCATACATACATGTACGGATAACTCACTCTTTCCCTTAGCATCGGTCATACTATTTTAGCCTGCCGCGCGGCACAGAACGCAGTTTATCGTCTATAGACATTCCTGAGAATCGCCGTCCAGTTTGGACTTCTTCAGCTCTGGCCCTCGAAATCGTGTCGGCAAACATCTGGCTGAAATTGGATTGGCATCGACTCTGTCAACACTGTATCAGCTCTCTGATGTTGAGAATGACTGAGATGATGGGATCTTGGAGGCTAGAAACTAGATGGTGAAGAAGCTTAGATTCCTATCTCCGATAGAAAGCTCGAAGCTTTACCTATCTATCTACCTATAGGAGGTAGGTAGATACTGTGCGCCGATCTAACCTAAAGAGGAAGGAGATAGGCCCATGGATACCTGCAGAGACCCAAAATAAGAAAAAAAGCCAGATTAATGCTAGTGTTTATTAGGTCAACACTGTTCATTGAACGAAAGGTTAAGCGAATGTAAGAATCTCAGATAACCTGTAGGGTGTTTTATGGACAGATCCAGAAGCGATATACGTGGGATGGTTTATATAGTCATGGTGGATGATTGGTTTTTTTTTTCCCTTTGCAACCTTACTGAAAGGGCTTTTATATCTTGCGTATGAACGATCTTCTCCAGGACGAAAGGCAATTGCCGTCATAAATAAATAATAAGAAGATTCTACGACTGGAAATGACTTGAAAACTCGAAACAGCAATCCCAGCATATACGGTCCAATAGTAATATGTAATTCACTCGCGTGAGAGTCGGTAGTAGAATCATGTGACGACTGTTTATTCCGCGTTGTAGTTGCCTAAAAGTCATTCACTGGAAGATGAACAGTGAGGCAGAAGAATGGTTGTGTAACCAGGCAACATCCCACAGTTCCATGCTTTTAGCCAGAGGCCATGCACTACTATGTATCTAGGCTTTTGAAAGCCTTCGATACCTATATTTCAAAACTCTTTCTACTAATTCCACAACTGCCAAGTGGTGATATCTTGGACGCTTCTATTCTCGATCAGCTGGCACTAAAAACTCACCCTTTTCAAGTGTCTGCCGACTGGACATAAAGATTGGATCTGTCAGGCACTGGCAGATGATACGGATATTCTAAGGTGAGAGAAAGACAAGTGAATACCTGAAGATCTCCAGAACATTATTGATGGCTTTCTGCCAGTCGACCAAAAAGGAGAACTCTTAGTTGGTCTACCTGGATCTCTAACAATTATCTATCCCTGCTTTCCTGTCAAGTACATTGTTTGCTTCTCCTTTCAGCGTCTTTATCTTATGATTCTGTCCTCTGGCGAAATGCAATCCTTATATTGGCCAAGCATTTCTCCACGAAATTCCAGCAAGCACACCTTCGAAAATACTCACAGCAAAAACGAATCCCACGAAAAGGGCCTAGATGATATGTTAAGAGTTGCGAAGAAAACGCTCCGTCCACAAGGATCATTCAATGCTGAATTCTGGGCCGAGACTGCCGAATTCAACAACATTATGATCCAAAGAGCCGAAACAGAAAGAAATATCTCCTTGCAAGACTTCAAAGGGCCTAGATCCGAATGGGAGACAACCGAAGAAGCGAAGTCTATTTTGGAAAGGATAAAGGCGTATAAGGTACAGCGACGAATCTGCGATCAGCGATCTGAAAAAGTTGGAGAGAAAGGGAGCCACTCTCTCCGAGCGAGCTTTGTGAAGCTCTTTACAACAAGCCAGATGGGGCTAGAGATCAAAGATACAGGCGCTGGAAAAAGAGATGGCAAGCTTCAGATCCAAGTCCGAAAAGCCACGATCGATGCATATGGGAGTAGACATCCTACTGAGGAGGACCTCCTTTGGTGCCCAATCCTGGAAAGATGGACACCAGAAAGTGAGATGACTGCCGCACCTCTCTTTGCATGGATGCACGGGCAGGATACTATGGATGCTATCTTTGGGACTACTGACACCCCTGAACTCTTCTCGCCGAAGAACGGCCTCATGATATCGACGTGCATTGAGAAATATTTCGATTCTGGAAAGATTGTCCTTGTTCCAGACATTCCAGAACACGCTAGCATTATCGATATTAAAGGCTGGGTCAAAAGAGACCCTCGTCAATACAAAATTCGGATCCTTGACCCCAATTGGAAGAAATTGGATAAGCTCATCCATCCGTGGATAGGGCTGAAATGGTCAGCTCTCCAAGACAGGAGGCTAGTCTTTAAAACTCAATTCAGGCCAAGGGCGAGATACGTATACTTCCATTATTGTGTGCAGGTTCTCCGCCACATATGGCAGCAAGAGACTCCTGACGCCATTGGGGTATTAACTGACGAAGAAGGGAAGCCCTTCTGGGCAACGCCGTCAAAATACATGAGCAAAAACATGCTCCGAGCCTTTGTGGAAGAACTTGGACATGAATATGAGGGGCTCATTGACTGTGGACCATCTTTGCCTTGGGATAGAGGAGATCCAAATCTCCTTCTGGAGCTTGCATCAAAACAGGTCACTGCGGGGGAAGATAATCGGGGCGAGAATTATGAATATACGGATGACGACGAGAGCGATGAGGATACAGAGGAGCACCATTGACTATGAGATGGTTCCTTTCTTTCCATGATTCTATAATTGTTGCATTTTCAATAGCCCATGTCACACCGAATACAGCAGAGCAGCTTTGAGCTTGGGGAGTCCTCGGAACAGTGTGTGAGCTAGAAAAGAACCGTTTCTCCCACATCTACCGATTCAATGCATCGGGTAACAGATTTGGAGATTCAACGCTGTACTCCGTAAAGGGTGATTTAGACCGAATGAGGACCTCGATGGCTCGGTTTTAAGTAAGTATAATCGGAGATGTCCTTGAGGTCCAACTTGTGACCATCTCAGCTTTGGCATCAGCCGCACTAACTAGTTAACTAGTTACTTCTGATAGCCAGCCCTGCCAAGAACCTGCGCCAGGAAAGTTGACCTGTTAGGCAAACTAGCAATTTTGACGGCTTGGCACAAGCAACTAAAGCAGCCTTATGAGGCGCCGTTTGGCAAGATCTTCGCAGTTCTCTTGCTTCCTGATGTTATGCTTCGTTTTTCAATCATCGTCAAATTGACCTACTTGGGACAGTAATCCATGATCACTCATGTCGCCATATTAGCAGACACTATCCGTGCTTCTGCTAGTGATAATCTTTTGCGAGAACCATTAATTTCCGACCTTCTTCACCAAGTGGGGCATAGATAGGAAATGGGGAAAGGCCAGGTAGTTAAACCAGGTTACCAGGGGTCTCTCGAATAAAGGGCGGATTTTCCACAGTTCCAGTTGAGTTTATTCGTGGAACGTACTGGGCCAGTCACAGCTTGATTACTGAAAAGTTCTGCGTTATATGGGCTGTTATCGAGGGTATATCAGAGCATAATGTCACACGGACTCGTCTCCAGGGCTGGCTCCAGAGCCAGGTATTATGGACAATGAAAGCCTGGCATCGCACTCCATACTACTATGGTATGAAACAGCTGGTCTGCCGGTATTGATTCGTTTTGACGTGATTCCTCAGAGCATGCTGTCAAAATGTCGCGATCAAAAAGGCAAAACAGCGGCCGGAAAGACCGGCTTCTATGGCTTGCATAATCGCTATCTGCTAACGGAGACTAAGTGAGCGGTTTATTTTGCGGTTTCCTCGCACCAAGGGATCTTCAACGCCTTGTAGAGTGCCTCTATTTCGGGATCTGTCATCTACTCCGTCCCTTGAATCACTCGCTACAGGAAATGGACTCGCGGTGAGGTACGTCCATAAGTGGTCCGTTCGAGACGGATGAGAAACCGGAAATCAGCGGATCCTCTGCGATGAATACGTTGTCATTGATGAGGTGGAAATATGCGATTCGGGATCAGTCCGTTTCTGGCAGGCCATCACTGGTATGCCGGACAGAGCCTCCGCGCGAAGAGCCAAGTCACGTACGACAATAAGCCTCAAAAAAAGAATTCTACCGACTCGGAGTCAAGCGTCGTTGGGAAGAGTCTCACGCTGTTAAGAGTGCGTCAGCGTTACGGGAGCAGAGCTATAACATTGCCAATTCTTGTGGGCTAGCTAAACGGCTCTCCATTGCCAGTGACATGGAGATTGTATCGGCCACTTGTAGGGACTCTTTGTCCCAAACTTCATCATACGCATGGCACAAAGATAGAGTCGGCCTCTGGGGGAAAGCGCACTGACGCGTGGCATATTACCGATCAATTTGTCCACTCGTATTAGGCACGCTTAGTGGCATTTAGTTAACTGGGCTCTCTGAGGTTAGACTCTGAATTCGAGAAAACATTGGTCTCTCCGAGGCCGTGATTGCACCTTCGCATACCGGTCTCCTCTCAAATTCACCCCGGTGATTTTCAATCGATGGGCAGGTTCCACTTTATGGAGACAGCGCGTACTTTTTCTCCTTCTGTTAAGGCCGTTCGCAACTATCACTTTATTCATCGTCGCCACTGCATTGTTATATAACAAGGATATAATAAATGGCAAAATGTGGCTTAGCTGCTTCCTATTATTGCGAGTTAATCCGTACAGTAGTTGACAGATTGACCGATATTTTTAGATTAAGTTTCGGATTCGAGAAGGTGAATCTCAGCCCTGTCGGAATTGAGGTTATCTCTCAACATGCCGATCCCTGACGGCTGGAGTATTTGCCACTCCTATATGGGAATTCTCCACAGCACTTTGTCTTGGTCCACAGAGATCGTTGGTGATCTCCGAATCTCTAATGCTGGGGGGGCGTTTATGCCCTCACAATATCACCCAACTTCTCTTTTCTGGTCATAGATATCCGTGCTTCTAATCGAGATCCCTTCCAGCGCTCCAAGTTATACCATCTTTCCGGCAGTTACTGGTGTTTCGGTCACTATCGTTGTGGCATGGTATATACGTCATCCAATCGCATGCTCCGTGCATGATTTTTGTTGACATTTTCTTCACTAGGGGAAACAATTGACTGCTGAACAAGTGTCGCAGTACCAGAAAGCCTTTGCTTTACTTGTGAGTTTTCGTTCTTAATATCAATTCCACATATCTAATGCTCTTAGCTCCTCTAGGATAGAGACAAAGATGGTATGCCTCCCCGTTGAAGAAATCCAAACAAAACAGGGATATGTCAATTTCAAGTAGCGACTGATAATTCCCCGAAGGAAACATCACGGTGAAGGACCTCTCCGGGGTTATGCGATCTTTTGGCCAGGAATACACTCTCTTTGAGCTAGAAGAGGTAATCAAGCAGATTGGCGCAGGGAAGAAGGAGGGCGCTATTCAATTTTCGGGTACGTCATTCAATCCGAGACTTGTATATCGTGATGCTGAACCAGATTACAAGAGTTCGCCAGAGTAATGCAAAGTCGAGACGATGAGGAATCCGACTCTGACCTCAACCTGCGTGAAGCGTTTGTGATCTTTGACCGTGATGGCAACGGTTACATTTCCGCATCATGCTTACGGCAAGTGATGAATTCATTCGGTGTCCAGGTCACAGACAGTGAGGTAGACGAGATGCTCCGTCGAGCGGATCATAATGGTGACGGGAAGATTGACTGTACGTATTCCAGGACTTATCCTACCTTGCGACGAATGTGAAGCGATGGCTGATACAAATAACCATGTAGACGAAGACTTCTGTCGGCTTATGAGACAAAAATAGCACGTTTAGCGAATCTTAGAAACTTATTATCGGTAATATCGAGAGGTTATTACTTTCCGATGTCTGCTTTCTCGTCCTTTCTTCCAGGAACTCTTCAACGTTGATGATCAACGCCGACTCGGCGATCGCCCATTTCTAAAATACCGTGTCAAAGCCAAATACCAAGACACTATGCACTCGCCGCATAAATTCTATCCTATAATACCAGAAAATACCTTGTTTACTTATAAGGCTCCCGTCCCGGAGGCTGGTGGTCAGCGAAGATTTCACATTTCTGGCTTGACGCGGTGGCTAATTACAATTGTTGAAGCTACTTAGCACTACCGTCACAAGATCGCATTGTATTAATGGCAATAATATTATACCTATACGTCCCTCTATATAGTACCCGTCCACCTTCTCTTTCAACTCCGACGGCGGTTTACCGCCCCATACACAACCAACGGCGCATTGGGTCTCTTATGAAGACAGTTATTAGTCCCGCAGGAGAATGCAGTATTTTCAGACCATTAAATAAATAGGATTCCGATTCTATCTATATGGTGCTGGACCGAGATCTGAATATTGTAAAACTGTATGCCTCTCAACGGTCCGCAGCTTGGGCTAGAAATTGAAGAAATCAGTAGAGGACAGTCCATTTGTTTCCACACCTTTTTCCCGACTAACAGCCAGGCCTTGTAGCTTAAGTAGACCAACATTAAGAAAGCTGCCAAGTGGTGGCATTCAGCGCTCCAGAAATCATTTCTGATTCCATGAAACTTCACAGGGAGCAGAAGATCAATCCAACGAGTGCGGCGAGTAGATGAAGATGTCACAAGTATTAGCTAGCTCCCTTTATCGAAATCTTGTAATAAAGACATCTACGTACTCAGATGCTGTAAGAGTTGCAAGTAAGAATAGGGTTGGGAGCGCTGAAATTCATCATTTACCAGCCACGTGTGGCTGGTACAGTAATTGAGGTGGCGCATGCGACATGGCACTCCTTCCAACCACAGCGGTTAATCGCTCCGCCATCTTCGCGCATTCTCCCCTACCAGAATTATCTATGTTGCATGCAATATAGCCATCAGAGGCATAAAGGCTTCCTTGGAGGTGTAGGCTCTGGACGTACCGCAGTTGTCTCTTTCTTCTAGCGCATCTCGCATCTCTTGAATTTCCTTTTCTCATTGGCCACACTGGGCTCCTCGTACTGTACATAGCCTCTCGAGGCCAGCAGCGCGCTTTGTAGACCATTAATCAGTGTTTCTTCACCTGTGTCAGAGCTATTTTGCTGCCAGTGTTACGACGCCTTTTGTGCTGGTGGATTGCTGACCTTGTGCTCGACTGTCAACTCTTTTCGCGCAAAACTCGTCACAGAGACGCTTATTGCAGCATAGTCTCAATTTCTTTCAGTCTTCCCTTCTCTGCTTATTGCTATTTTCCTCCTTCAGGGAGGACAGCGCTGGTGTCATGGCGAGTGTGCCCTCTGTCGGCCCCAAGGCACAAGCAACCCCGCAATCGAGCGGTAATGCGCAAAATGCGGGTAATCAGCAAGGCATCAAATCTGAAGTCGCTTCTAAAGAGAGCATAAATTGGAATTCTGAAAGGCAACTAGTCTCATCGTTATGGAAATTGCAAGAACTCGAGGCAAAAGTGAGTTATATTAGCACCCCTCAGCGCCCAATACAATGGAAGCGCGTGTTTCTAATTTCATTGCTATGTTCGCTGTTTGCTAATACTGAACAGATTCATCAACTGCGGACGTTACTACCAGATCGTCTTCTCGCTCCCCTTATTCCAATTGTCAACCCGCGGAGAGCGGGTCCCAATAGGCCTGTGCCGAAATCTCCGCAGATGCTATACGAACAGCTATCTCAGGCTGCTCGCGATGGTGTCACAGAGGTCGAGGACTTCGTGTCTGCGTGGCAAAGCCCAGAAATGCGAGCTGTCTGGGCCAGGATGGATGAGAAGATGAAGGAGTGCGACGGCGACTACCCGCAGCCGAGTGGAATCTGGGAGCATGACTACGACAAAGTTCTCGAGGAACTTGACAAGGAGGAGCACACCAGTCAGCGACGGCATAAGAAGACCGAAGAAGAACAGTCGAGGGCGCAAGCTCTATCGGCCGGAGGCTGGAAAGGCGTCGTAGAGTCCTTCAAACAGAAAGGCTTGTCCGGTGTGCGGATCTTGCTGAGCAAAAACGAAGATGTGATCACAGTTGTCCTATTAAAAGCTGGAATGTCGTTTGATATTCAAGAGATCCACGGACAGGAGGAGGACGGTAAGGTAGAATGGCGGGTGTCCAACAAACAATACCCTGGCAAGCCAAAAACGAAGCTTGAGACGTCTGTGTCCATATGCTTGAATCTACGTCCTCGAAAATGGGACCTCGGTTACCTACTCGTGAGTACATCTTCAGTCAAAAAGAGGCTACTGCACTATGAAATGTAGCATCTTACTGATGACTTTATGCAGGACATGATATGCTCTTATTCCGATATCAAGAAAACGCCATGCGTGAAGTGTAACAAAATGATTGACAACACCGCTCAACTTCCGACCATCCGCCGTCCAAAAACCGTCGATACTCCGGACGGAAAGAAATCGACCACTTGGGAGGCCTATCATCAAAACTGCGCTTGAGCGCGTTTTGCACCGGCTCCCACCTTTAAAAATCCATATCCCCTCAGATTCGGTATTGGTAGTCGGCATCTTGGCCATAATAAAGATCATGCCAAGCCCAAGCCGGATACGCAGCGCCATTCACATCCCAAAAGTACTGGGGCACCTCGTGCACGATATCATCGCGTCCCCATCCACGCTTTCCATCGTCGCAGTATTGCACATAACTCCATGTCGCTTCGTCGGGGATCTTATATCTTCTCGTTCTGAAATCATATCTCTTCAACCCACGATCTGCCCCAGGAAAAGGAGCTCGGGTCTCCTCTTCACCATCATCCGGATGACCGTACAAGTCCTGCCAGCGCGACCAACGGGCAGTACGCGGCGTCGCATTTGGCCCATCAAGCGTACCGACGAAGATATCAGGGCCTTTGTTGAATAGGACATCGAGAAATCGCCAGTGCCGTGGCCATCGTGGAGGGTTTCCGGGACGAGGATCTTTGGGCCAAATAAACCCTATCGTGCGTTCTGGCTTGGTTGGCATGTTTTCGAAATGTTGTTTCTTGCGTAGCTATTATATTTGGAACTTTTTCCTCGTCACTTTCTAATAAGACTCCTTTTTTTTGCGCTTTTCGCAGGCTGGGTAAGGGGGGAAAGCAAAGCGAAGAAGAAAAAGACGTAAGAAAAAAATAGATCTCTCTACAAGACAAACAGTCTGGCTCTCTGTCCGGTATTTGTAGCTTTCTCCCTTGGCAGCAATATGGACAAACTTCTGGCTCATTTTCACTTTTCTTCCTCACCCTCCTTTATGCACAAAGAAGGAAAGGCCAAAGAGCGTGACTCTCCTTCGGCAATCAAAATTCCCACTCCTCATCCACCGATTTCTCTCCCTGAAAAGAAAAGACACAAGGTAAGGCAGCAGCAGCAGCAGCAGCTCAAGCCAAACAGACAGACACATTAAGAGGAAAACAAAGCCAAGCCACGGAAAAATAAAGGATCCATTCCATATTTTGCAGAAAACATCAGATCAAACATGAAATCCAATCCTGAACCCGCAGTATGCTGCTAAGCATCTAGAACACAGATAGCCGACATAAGTTAACTAAACTAGCTATAGTCTTCAAACAGTCTGAATCAGTATAATAGAGAAGAATTGTATTATCTTCATATTTATGCATATCGAAGCTTCAACTTTTCAGGATCTAGAAAGATCTCATTCAGGACCTGCGGAGAGTAAGTAGGTAACTAGCATCTATCCACCTACCCATGCACATGTAGGATAGATACGACACGATACACGTGGACAATGACGTATATACTATAATATAATATAATATAATAGCCACATTTCAAACTCTTCAAACACTATCAGATCTGATTGCTCTATCTGCAGGGCTATCAGTCAGTGTGTAAGATAGATAGATGTACGCTGGTGCTCGATCCGATTTCCGCAGAAAGGATCCTTAGGGACGCGGACGCAAACAAAATGAACCAATACCTACACACACTATCAAGTATCACTAGATCGTGTCTGGAGGAAGAGGGGGGGGGGATAGGTAGTATGGATGGAGTTTGACAAACAAACATAACTTTTCGATTAGTCGCGCATGATGGACGCGTTATTACAAAATACATAACTCGCTGCGAAGTATTAAAACTACATCGATATATTAGAGCTCTTTTGTAGGAAGCAAGGGTGGGAAGTTATATGGTGCAAAGAAGCGCTAACCTTGGGCCTCTCGTCTTACTGAAGAATGCGAGGCGACTTATACTTACACTGATGGGGAAGTTTCAGTTCTGGCGCATAAGAAATGTGAGGAATATGGTACCTTTTTTTCCATTCTATCTACCATAATCAGTGGAGTCATCCTTTCGCTGTCATTCATCTGGAAAATGAAAATGGGGGCATCCATCAATAAGACGATTTATCGCAGAAATAATGCCACCGATTCTGTTGCCCTCAAAAATTGCAAGGAGGTGAGGCATATACCGGTAAGAGAAAACTATTCCATATGATTATGTGTCACATAAAAAAAAACGCCAAACCCACCGCCGTAGTTGAACAAATCGGTACATCATGACAGATTATTATAGCTGAGAATGCAAATTTAATGCTGAACAGCAACGCTAGACGGAGACCCAAGTATATGCATGAAGATCAAGTTGTGTGATGCGTGAAGCAGTCATCTTTCCCACTCTTAGGTAGAAAAGACCCCAAAACCGCCGGCGAACCATGTGAAGGAGACAAATGTAATCGTCGCCATGGTAAACATGAATCCGAGCGCATGGCGCTCCAGTTCCGACATGGCACCGTTGCAAGTGACACACTCGTAGGCTGCATAGTCATTAGTACAGCATATCTACTCCAGGGTCTCAGGGCAACTTACCATTCAGCGGAGTATACGACTGAGGCAGGTACATGCCGAAGGTGTATTGGTTCTGCGAGCTCAGGTGTCCAGCGCTAGCAACAGCACTGGGGTTCGAGTCCACATCATAGACGATGAGAGTGTAGGACGCCGTGAGCAGAGGAACCGTGGCAGAGGCCTGATATTTTCCAGTGTCCCACGTCACTGCTCCCGTGGGATGGACACTCATGTTGTGCGAGAGCGTGTAGGTCTCACTGTTCAAGCTGCATGAAGCCACAACGTTGACCGCAGACGGGGTAATCGAGAGAGAGGTGTAGTTCCACTTGAAGGTGACATAGTCGCCAATCTTGTAGTAGGTGCTCTGGGCATTGGCGCTGGGGGTGAGCATACTGATCCCTCCAGGACCTGCTGCAGGATTGATGGAGATGCTGGATGTGCTGCTACTCGTCTTGGTGCCTTTGGCGGTGCCAGTCTTAGATGTACCCGATGCCTTTCCCGTATGCGTGCCTGTCTCTTTGGCGGTATTGGTTCCGGTCGCAGTCGGTGCTGATGTGACTGCGGCATCCGTCTTTTTCGCCGTCTCTGTCTTCGACGCCTCTGTTTTCGACGCCTCTGTCTTTGCCGCCTCTGTCTTCGCTGCCTCAGTTGTTGATGTCGCTATATTCGAGGCGTTAGCAAATAAAAATGACGATGATAAAATCACCCTTGAATCAGATTCTTACCTGCCCGCTTTCCTACGAGGAGGCCATGGCGCAAGGTATCACCCTGCGGCCACGGCCATGCAGCAGAGAACGTCGCCAGTACGAGCAACGTACACAGCAAACTGATAAAAGTAAACGAACGCATCGTTATTGATAGTTAAAAGGTCCAAATGAGATAATGGACGCAAGGAGAAGCGTCAGGAGCCTCCACAGCGGTACTGGAAACAGGAGGGGTCCTCAACACAATTCAGTTCGACCAACCACGATTTCTAACCGTCTCTAGATCCGACCTGATCGAATCTATCTTTCTTCCAGTTGGCAGTCAAATCACCAAAATTTTTGATTAAACAACGAGAGAAAAGATGTCCGTGTCGACGTCGAACGAGAGGGCGAAAAGCGTCGTGGGAGACCGCCCGGGGCAAACTGAGACACAGCGGAAGCAAAACACCGACCAAGACTTCCCACTACAGGGACGTGCGACGACCGGTTGCAGCGACAACACACAACACAAAAACGACTGTCTGCTCTCGAGAGCAAGCGAGTGACTGTCACAGAGAGCACAGCAAGACGACAGAAATCAATTCATGGAGGACGGTGTTCTGCAGACGCAGAAGATGGTGGAAGAGGAGAGGAAACAAGCGTCGATCCGCGCTTTGACGCTAAAAGGCCGGGTCCAGGTCAACAAGAAACCATAACCATCTAGTGTTTGGGCTAGCAGCTCGTCTTTGTTGTTCCTCGTCGCCTGGATGGTTCGCTGGCCCTGCAGTGACTGCGATTCGCCCAGATGGTTTGCTGGAGTGTTCGGGAGCTTCAAGCGCCGGCATGTTGGATTCAGCGAGACTATCACAGACTCAGTTTAGTCGGTTCAGCATGTTGGCTCTGACTGGAAGCTCAACCAGGAGCTTTGCTCTTTTGGTTGCCCAGAGTGCGCCCCCGGATCTGCTTTACTACTATTTTTGGATGCGCACGATCCCGGATGACAGAGTCAGACAACATTATTATTGTCTCGGTTTCCGGATACCGACAAGTGGTCTGTCAGCAAGAACTAGCTAGGATTATGATACTCTGCAAGGAAAGCTGCTGTTCTACCTGCAGCTATTCTACCGCTACTCCAGTTGTGGCGATTGCAATGGCTGTGCAACAGACAGATCTTTGTTTGGGCGACCTTCCGTCATTCCTCCAGAGCCGTCCCACGGTTAGACCAGGTTTCGGCTCGAGCGAACCATCGGACTGGCCATCGCAAAGAAACACTTGGAAAGTTGGAATTGACATCGCTCAAGTTCGATGTGGGTCGGTCAGGAGAAACGAACAACGGGGTAGAGACAGGTGCTTACTGGAGTTTTCTTCGGGTATAGACATGTTGTAAAATCGTCTCACCGTCGATATGTGACTGAGCAGATGAACCTTTCCGATTTGACTTATGCGCAGAATCTGACAATTGCAAGTTATACGCGTCGCGCGGATGAAAAATACGCTGCAATGCAGTTTTACCTCTCCGGTACAAGCTACATTCCAGACGCGTGTGGCCGGCATTCCATCGAGAAAATAAGTATGGTGTTCTTATTATTAACTAGTAATTAGGAGTAGTATGAGTCATGAACACTATCTATCAACACGATTGGGCCATAACATCGCGTTACCATCCCGTTCCCAATGCTTGTCGAATTTTTTTTCCTGGTCTTTTTCATTAATTTTTCTCAAGTCATTCCCAGTTTGGGCAGTCAATGGCTCATCATAAGCAGCAGTTTCACACAAAAATCAAGTCGATTAAGAGTAGATAATCTCGATTGCAGCGGGTATCAAGTCCATCATGTCAAGAGGTCATAGGTGGTTTTCGTCGGAAGTAGTTTTCATCCTTGTTTAAGCGGAGATGTATTCGGGCTTCAGCTGGACCTTGTCGCAGCTTGAGGGGAGTTCGGGCTGGTAGTACTCGACGAGGTAGAAGAGCTGAGGGGCGTTGTGCCACCAGTCGCAGACTAGAGATGTACCTGTCAGAAGAGTTGTCCTGGTCGAAAATGTAAAAAAATTGGACCAAGATGTCATTACTTACCAAGCCAGCCACCGAAGCCGTCCTCAGCGTTCCACTCAAGACCACTGGAGTTGATAGAGAAGCCAGAAGTACCGTAGCCAGCGTTGATCTGAACGAATTCCCAGGCTGCATTGGTTTTCATTAGTTACACTATTCGATGTTCCTTCTAAGGAAGTTCGGTTACTTACCACCGTAGTTGGTAGCGCTACCCATGTCGAATCCCCAAGGGAAGGGAGTGCCAAGTTCAAACTGAACGTTGGTGCCGTTCAAGATAGCCTTGGCAGCGTTCTGGTTGGAGCTCTCGAGAACGGCGTCGTTGAATCCAGCACCAGTGTGGTAAGCAGTGACATAGAGGTTGTTGTGCTGGTCGTTGGCAGCGCCGCTGGTCTTCAGATAGAAGGGGATCGTGGTGTTCGCCTGGCGACGCTGGATGGCCGGGTTGGCAGGCATGGCCATGACAGCGGAGGCCAGGAGAGCCAGAGAGGAAATGATCGAGAACTTCATTGTGTATGCGGTATGGTGTGGATGGATGAACTGTTCTTGACCTTTACTGTGCAAAGGATCTGGTTGAAGAGAAGAGAGGAAGGTAGGAGTGAGAGATTCGCAAGTGTCGTGGCGTGTGATGCGTGTGGAATGTACTGGGTCGTGTCGAGGATTTAAATAATATCTTCTTTGTACTAGTAATAGATCTTCCGCCGCCGTGTTTATGTCCGGCGGCGCGGAACCTGCTACATTACAGAGCTACGCTACCAGCCAAGAACTCCCCAACGATGAGCGTGGGCCCTGTCGGATAGACACTATTCTTTCCTATGACGTTCCTTGGCTGCTAGTTATCCAAACGCTAACTTTTTCCCGTTCTTCAAGTTCTTCCGGTCGGTCCTTGCGGAGTTGAAGACAGACTTCGCGCATCTTCGGTTTCTCCACCGAGGCTGTGGTCTCTCTGTGAGATCCAAAAAAAAAAAAAAAACTCCTCGTAAGGCTGCACTGCCAGCTGCCACCAGGACCACCAGTGAGATTCTAGGAATATGGTAGGTGGCAAGTCAAGCAAAGATGGCTTGCATGACCTCTTCTTTTTGTTCTCATCAGATCTGGCTTACGCTCCATGCAGATACTACTCCTACCCACTTGACCAGCCTTTGGATTCCTTCTCAGTGAGACCGCGGCATATATAGATGAGACTAGTGGCGGGCGGGTGCAGGAAGACCAGCTGTACTACTGTAGACTCTTAGAGGTTCCGTGAGAGGTTGGAAGAAAGGGATCTGGTGATCCCAGCCGTTCCGGGTATCGCGTTACTAGTAGGAAAATCAAAGCGATAAATGTGAGACACACGGTACGGAGTAGTAGTGGCGAGCATCTGCGAGGAGAAAACGTGGGTGTCGATCTATCCAAATAATAACTAGACTAGATAGCTAGCAAAGACTAAATAATCTATCTATTTGAGCAGTTAGGATAAGATTGTACAGAGTAGAAAGGGTACCGTAACATTGAATCACAAAGCCCCAGGCATCCACCGTTTATTTAGACTAAGACAAGGTACATTTCTTACTACACTCCCAATTTCATTTCTTGAGAGTAGATCACTTACATACACCGCTCCTTCTAGCTGAGCCATTCCAGGTTGAAACATCAAAGTGAAATGAAGGCACAGAGTGTACACGCAATAGATTTGAGTCTCTTTTGTCCATCACATATTCCTGTGCTGGCCAAGAAAGGAGTACCGAGGGCATAGGTAAAGATCTTCATTCAAGCTACGTCAAACGGCGCACAATCTGAGTTTCCCAGCTGTTTTTACCCCACACTTGGCACTTCGGATCCAGGATTTACCCGTTCCTGAAGGACCTTGCGCCGCGGCGCTACTAGTAGTAGTGATTATTGCTTCTTCGTTGCGAGGGTATCATGCTTTACAGAGTAGATAAGTTAGAGACCAATGTAATTGACTTTACTACTACCTACTCTACGGAGTAGATATACGGAGTTGCTATTCTGATGTTTTTTTCCTTTTCTCTCCATCTCACCTCATATTCAATTGGTGAGGGTGGCGCATCGTTTGTAGCTGCGGTATGTATAGGCCCCCTTCCTAATCTTACCACAATGGTTCTTTTTCTCTGATAGAAACCCATTATGCGGTCTTTTCTTTTCTTATCGTCCGAGACGACGGGCGACCGATGACACAATCGACTTACAGTACCGTAGAATTGTGCGGTCCCCACGAAAAGCGTGTAGATAGATGGAAATTTTCCACGGTTCGATCAGATTTCCCCTATACGCCGTACGGTAAAAGCACTCTGGCTCGGCTCTTTCTCTGGAGTATGGTACTCTACCACTTCCCTCCCCTAAAGATTGTTAGTAGTATCGTGGGCCCTGTGGCAAGAAGCTTACACCACCGCCTTCTATTCTAGGAGGAACAGAACCGAATCTCTGGTATCTAAATGGTAGTTGGGAGAATAGAACAGGCAGAATATTAGTCAGACAGGTATAATTCGCTCCACCGAACTAACAATCATTAGGGGAGGGAAGTGGTAAGTTAACTCAGGCTCGTTCTCTCTGGAGTCTGCAGTAATCATCCTCACTTTAGTCTTTCAGTTCCCCTCGGGTATGGGCTTATAATAGTACTAAAAACAATCTCTCTTTATTTTATCATTCCGCGCTCAATAATCATAACTAGATACCCTACACGAACTTGCAATTGAAAATGCCTAAAATCGCTACGCAAGCACAACAACAGCCCTTATAGCTCAGTGGTAGAGCGCAGTACGTATGTTAAGATTTACCTCTCAAAAACACCTCCTATTTCATTGTTACTAATAGATCCTAGTTGTATTATACCTCGATATACTGAGGCCCGCGGTTCGATCCCGCGTGGGGGCAATTATCCAGCAATTTCTTTTTTTGCCTCTTCGTCACGTGGTTCTGGGGTATTTTGGTTCGTATCCATATAAAGCCGGAATATTTTTTTTTCTAGCTTTCTTTTTGATCGGTGTTTATGGATTCTGTATATCGAACTGTTTCTCTGCCACTGTGGCTCTTAGGGTCCATGTTGGCGTTGTTCTCGCGCGATCGATGATATAATATGTTTCAGGGGGATCAGCAGTCTATCAGTAACACGATATATGGGGTACAGGATAGCTAACTCGGTGAAGTTAGGGATTTTCTGCGAATCCTTCGATGAATCAGTGATGGGAAGACAAGCACATCCGCTGTAATCTACCGATCATCTACTCTAGTTCAGTGCCTGGCATAATATAAGTACAGGTCATGTGAACATATCCATAGATAGAAACAGCCACACGTTGATAATTAAACTTTGGTGATGATTCAATCTCCCGTAGGGCTCTGTTTCTCGGTTCGGGCTGATATCACTGAACCAGTCAAGGGTGTCTGGTGTGATGTAACGTCCAGCTTATGGTACATGGTTAGCTGCGATGTTTTAACTGTCTCTAGTCAACAACAAGAAATCTGTCGAGACTGACTGGTTCGTTTTGAGAAGTGTACAGTAACAGGCTTGCAATGCTGTAGTCTAGATCAGAACCTGATGACCGGTTCGCGTGGGAAGATGGCCTGGTAGACTAGATTCGGGTGCAATTGGCAGGTCTGGATTGTTCTTATATACGGATGGTGTGAATGGTGTGCTCCTGCAGTGCAGCGTATTACTTGCGTCAAGGCAGATCTGAGCGCAGTCAGCTAAATATATTTATCCACGAATACCCGTCTCCCTATGTCTCACATTCGAGTTTTCGACTCAATTCTTACTCTATGCAGTATAATACACTTATATAACATGTATAGAAGGCCAGACAACACTTTGACCGTCACTTTAACACCATCTTCGCTGCAGAAACAGCGCAGTATATTCTTAATCTGTCCGTAACTGGAGCAGTTCTAGATTCATAACGGTCAGAACTGGTCGCCTTCATAATTTATAGTAAGGTCGACCCCACCATCCAATCAGGTCCCGTAGCTCAGTCGGTTAGAGCGTGGTGCTAATAACGCCAAGGTCGCGAGTTCGACCCTCGTCGGGACCATGGCCTTCTTTTTTTGTTTTTGCACATTCCGTCCTCTCTCTATCTAGACAGTATAAGGAATTCCGGTTATTTTTTCCTCCTCCCACAGACAGAAGTGCCCTGAATGCAATCCGACGGAGCCGGAACGGGGTACTCGGGAAAATCTCGTATTATTGTTTTGTCTAGCTTCAATGCAGGTAAGATGAGTTCCTGCGAACTGAGTAATCTTGCATTCAGCTTAAATCCCGATCTACATGTCACCGCCAATTCAGCTCGGTAGCGTTTGTAGGGGAAATAAGGCTGGACTCGGCTCTCATACCTTGAACACTGCTAAAATCTTACACGAGTGATGAGCCGTAATGGAAGCGCTAACTATATACATCTCCGTCTTAAGACAAACCACCAAACCTTGGAACCTTCCTATTTTTATCCTGACTATATTTACCCTTTCAACTGATTAACAAGCACATACGACCATAGGGTGTGGAAAACAGGGCTTCCCGTCCGCTCAGCCGTACTTAAGCCACACGCCGGCAGGTTAGTAGTTGGGTGGGTGACCACCAGCGAATCCCTGCTGTTGTATGTTTTTATTTTTGTACTTTTTTCTCTTAATAGTCCTTTTTTTCCACTGGATATCGGACACAGTTAATTTTAATCAGTCTCTAACGTCTAGAAGGAGTGCGAATGGCATGATGGAGTAGGTACACACTCAGGACGAGTCCAGGTGACACAACTTTGCGCCGCTCTACCATACACCGCAGTCACCTTCGGAACTCCGTATACCCAGACTTCTGGTGCTAGCAATAGTGCACTGTCTGATACGTATAAATACGGAGACTATATCGGAAAGGTGGGTTTTCAAAGCTATAGACCGACCCCAAACGAGGTAGATATAAGCGTCGGGTTCAGCGAGAGCAGCTCAGATGGGAGTAAGGGAAGGAAGCTCATGAAAATTCCTGATTTTGACCATCTGCTACGTATGCGTGCAAATAAACACCTATTCTGAGAGTTTAACATGCTATTGTTCAGGACAAGGTCCTACTAAGCTTCAAGCTAGCCGGTTCCAGGATTCTGGATCTGGGGAGAACCAGTACCGCAAATGTTCGATGGATCTTGCAGACAAATACACAGTCACGTACGAGATCGGATAAGCTAATGTGAAAGCACGCTATTGATTATGAGATTCTTTTAAACGTGGGTAAAAATGCCATGGTTCTGCACAGTTGCACATGGCCCGTGGCATGTGCGAGTATATAGCTAGCTAACCCGAACCTAAAAACCGTCAACATTTCCGCTTGCAGATAATATATCACAAAAAGCTGCAATGGTGTAGACTTAAATCGGGCCTAGAACATGATATTTCCTTGTCGCGGATATAAGTTGATGTGCATCGTACCTCTCGGCCTAAAAACCCAGAACTCTTCAATTTGGTCTCGCCGGATGCGACAACGTATATACATACATGCTATGGACAAGTAGAAAAATAAATACGACGAGCACCTTCTATCAGTAGAAACGTAGACACCTCGCATTTCTCAATTTTCCCAGATCTCGCGGGCTTTCAATTGTGCTCAAAATGGCTTCTATTCCAGTACTGATGACATGCTTGCTTGCAAGTATCTGCATTGGTTCGCCAATGGGCCATCCATCCCTTCATGAAATGCGTGGCCCTCGCTCACTCAATATACCATCTGCTTATAGCCGTATCCACAGTAATGCCGGGATACAAATCGAGCCCCCGATCGTCGAAGGGCCAAATACAGAGAATAAAAATACCTTGACGTTCTCGAACTGGGCTGGTGCACTCATTCAATCATCAGACATCACCAGTGTGACTGGAACATTTACTGTGCCTTATCCTGAAGTGCCCTTGGGAGGAAATTCTTCAACTGCCTATTGCGGGTGCGCTTGGGTTGGTATCGATGGTGACGGCGCCGACTGCCCCAATGGCGGTCTCATACAAGCTGGTGCCTCTTGGTGCATCGAGGACGGCATCACATCATTTAACGCCTGGTACGAATGGTTTCCTGCTCAGGCGTTAACCACCTTCGATAACTTTGATGTTGAAGCCGGCGATGAGATCAAAGTCACTGTGACCGCAACAAGCAACAGCACGGGATATACAATTCTTGAAAACTTGACTGAGGGGACCGATGTCCGTCATACCTGGAAGACCGAATCTCCAGCTCTCTGCGGAGCGACTGCTGAGTGGATCGTCGAAGACTTCTCGCTTATTATCGGTGGTTCGGAATCTCTGGCACCATTCGCTGATTATGGCAGTGTGGCATTTACAGGTGCTCATGCTACTGTTAACGGGAAGAAAGTTGGTGTTTCAGAGTCTCAATTGGTAAATATGGTGCAAGATGGGAAGACAATAAGCAAGGCTATTGTATTGGACGACGAGCTCGTGGTAACATATAAGGGTTAAGCATCATGTTTCACACACATATAACACGCGGAAGGAAGCTGGGAAATAGAATTTGTTGTTAGTTGCTTATGATCAATATCCGAGCCCATTATACAATTACAAAGTCATATCTTCCACAAGGTGGTAGTACAAGCAGTATCACAGACATAGAAATATCACTACGCCATCTTTCTAAAACAATGGACACTAAGAACGGGAGAATAGCCTGAAGGGCTCTTTCCGTTTCAAGCTCTGCAATTAATGGCAGCAGCTAGTTTATATGCAGATAGCAGACATGTTATTTTCTTTGACTTATACAGAGTAACTGGAGTCGGGGATACTAAAGGCTTCAGATTGTAGAAGATTTGATCTCTAACACCTACAAGCAGCCCCTGATGCCGAACCTTCGACCATCAAGGACCCATACCATTGGTCTCCAATCTCTTCCATAGCTTTTCCTCCTCAGCCAGGATATTTTTACCAGAGAACTCCCCACTGAAGTCGATTTCTGGTAACAACAATTGATACGGCACATTGCGTACTCTGACTTCGGATTTCTCTTTGGTTCCAAATTGCATAGCCTCCACCACGTTTCCATCACCATACTGGGCCTCAGTGACTATACGCAGCATTACCTCTGCGCATTCAGTGGCTGTCATGTTCATATCAATCTCCCGGACCTTGTCCTTGCAGTATTCCTGCAAAACAGCAGGAGTGAAGGTAGTAGATGGGCACATGCAAGCAACTCGAATGTTGAGACGAGCCTTCATCTGCGCTAGACTCAAAGTGAAAGTCGTAAGGCCTCCCTTGCTTGTATTGTACAGAGGTGTTCCGATAGTTGGTAAATACGCGCTCTGAGAAGCAACCAGGAGCAGGTTACCTGCAATCTTGTTCTTCAGCCAGTAGTCGATAGCGATCTGGGCAAATCGAACAGGACCCATGAGGTTGACAGCCAGAATATGGTAGGAACCAGGTGCACTGTTGGGGTTGTCTTTGGAGAGAGGTGAAATGCCAGGGGGGTTCCAAAAGGCGCTCGACGGAGGCTCCCTTCGCATGGTTAGTGGAAAGAAAGGTAGAGAGGAGGTCTCCCGATGTGTAAAGGGATCCAAATACATACCAAATACCAGCGCCAGGACAAAGCAGATCAACTCTACCGAATGTCTGCAAGGCAAAATCCCATGTAGCAGCGATCTGGGACCAATCGGACTGGTCCATTCGGTGAAACACAGCGGAGGGGTTTCCATCCTTTGCAGGGTGAGGAAACTTGGAGATTGTCGCTTCAGCTTCGGGGCGTAGTGTAATATCAGCAAATATCACAGAGCAACCAGCATTAAGCAGTTGCTCAGCAAATGCATGATTAATGCCTATTGCGTATAGCAGAATCAGTTTGGGGACGACATCCTACGTAAAACCTAGAAAAGGACATACCACTGCCGGCACCGGTAACAATAGCGAACTTCCCTTTTACATCCCACGAAGCCATTTTGTTTTGATAATAAAGGGTGTTCTTTGATAAATCAAAATAGAAAGGATTCAATAGAGTAGAGCTGAGGAGGGAGGTATATCAATCAAACTGAGTAGTGATTAAGAAACCAAAAGAAAGCTGGTCCGATGAGAGAACATATAAGAGGGGTCGGTGTCTCACACAAAGGAACTGTTCACACTTTTCCCCTAGTCATATGGTCCGTTTGAGCGGATCCATCATGGATTTACCCTTTCTGAATCTGGAAATAGCTGCCTGAAACAATGCCAACTCAAGAAGCGCTTATGTAGCCGTACCGATGGCTGGAAATCAGCGCAGAGTACCAGGGTCAGTATTGGTCGTGGCGACTAGCTTGCGCACATAACATGGGTCTGCATAGATGAATACTTGGCTCCAGTCTTCGTCTTGTTTACAGGTCGACCATTGCGGTGGATTTGATAAAAATTCATCTTGAGCCAAAATAAAGGCGTATCCTAGACCGACAGATGGGCAAGACTCTTTGACTTTAAACCAGCAGATAATCATGATAAGATCACTGTATGGAATAGAATGACAGGTAGTGTCGGGCAGCTAGCCCTCTGGGCTTTGATTCCATCCTGCCACCGGAATTCAACTTTAGTCGATAAGAGGTAACCAGTGTTTCTGTCTGCAGCAACGGAGTGGCTTGGTGAAGCCTACGGAACACATCCGACGGCAGGAACTAGTACTTAGAAAATGAGGACCTTAAATTAGGGAACGGTTTGCACCAAGTACTAACATGAGACAACCCGAGACCTACGAGTCAGGTTGCTTCTACTGGACTCTTTATTCAAGGCTACTAACCGCTTGCTATGGAATCGGCCTATCTCTTACAGGTCATGCTTTCTGTAGCCCACCGTAACTTGGGGATGATACTTACGACTCTGTAGTCTTCAAGTCGAGAGTGAAAGTCCGTGGGTCCGGGTTCTCAGTAGCTTCCCCGATAATTGAAAGTTCGAGCTACATCGACACTCGTCCGTAAACATGTGGGGTTATGGGGTCCATCCATATCCTTGGAGGCGGGTTGTATAGTCTTCCTCTGCGACGCTATCCTACACTACTTGTCTATACCTCCATTTACCTACACGTAAGATCATTTCAATATTCTCCACCACGTACCAAATAGAAGTTGCCATAGTATTGAACTAATTCAGAGACACGAAATTTCTCGTCCCGGGCCAAGCATTACATCTGAGTTTTCAGAGGGGTAGTCTCTTCCAAGAGCCAAGAATACAGTCAGAACTTTGAGTATCTCGGGTTATTAAAGAGGAGAATAGTGCCTGTGAATGGAGGAAAATGACAGAGATTCAGCAAGTCCTCTACATGTATACATATCTTTAACTGTTCTGAAGTCTATTTCCCTCGGACCTCGCTCAATATGAAGTCGGATATCATCTCTGGTGCGCTCCCGTCTAGTAAGAGCTCTAATGCCAATGGCCCTCGTCAGTTCACATGTACCGATCTTAAAGTCTCTCGTAATGAGAATGTTCCATCAAGGGTATTTATAATAATTCAGCCACAAGTACGAGGTATCTGTTGTCATTGCTAACCAAGGTACAGATATGTCGTTTCTTCGCTCAGACCTGGGAAATCATCAGCCTCGCGCATCTGATCACCGAGAGTAATATCAAAGCATACGTCCTTCCTATCGTCCTTTTCGCCATGTTAGGTGTTGCATCTGGTGGTGTCACGACCAACCCATCTCCCAGTTGGAACGATCTCTCTGCTGCCCTCTCACATGCTGGATTCTATGCCTGGCTTTACGTCTTTCACTTCGATTGCAGCAACCAGAAAGATCCTGAATCCATTCGAGAAGACAAACTCAATAAGCCCTGGCGAGCCATTCCATCTGGTCGGCTGAGCATCGAGAGCGCTCAACACTGGTACATCGCAGCGACCTGTCTTTTGTTATTAGCGACTGGCACCTGGTTAGGTGGCTTTCCTGAAGCACTCTTCTTTATGGCCGAAACGTGGGTTTACGACTATGCGAGTGGCGCCAGCTCATGGTGGGGAAAGAACATCATCAATGCCTTGTTCTACATGACGGGCCAGCTGGGCGCGACGCGTGTGGCAGCGGAAGCAATGGGTTCGACAACAATGACCCGAGCTGGATATGAGTGGTGTCTTCTTCTTGGAATCAACACATTCACAACCGTACAAATACAGGACCTGAGAGACCAGGAAGGCGACCGCGCCCGAGGAAGACGCACAGTGCCTCTCGTCATCGGCGACTGGACAACCCGCTGGATCACGACTCTGTTCATCTCATTTTGGTCTATTGCCTGTCCGGCATACTGGGGAAACTCGCGTTTTACCGCTGGTTATGTGCCACCACTCTTAGTTGGAAGTTTCGTGGTAGCTCGAATGCTGTCTTGTCGGTCAGCGAAAGCAGACCGCGCCACTTTCAATTACTACACGTTGGCGTGGCTCCCTTCCTTATATGCGATACCAATACTCAGCAGGTATGAACTACCGTTGTCCTTATGGGTGTCCGGGGGTCTCCAGTAGATGCAGTCCCCGCATCATATTTGAGCTTGGATATGAGGGCAGGAATTCCATCTTCTAGACCCCTCTCTTTAGATATATCAGACAGATCGTGTATTCCCTTAATACTATGTACACCCAGCTCTGAAGAGTTATGCGTACCCATCGCCACTCACCATATTAGAATATTCTAAGTATAGCTATAGTTATAGTCTGACTAAAAGTTGTGGAAATTCAGATCAGAATGCCATAATTTAGATTCCAACCCTCAATCTAGCATGAATTTGATATGAGTTTCCGAAATCTTTCCCACGAGTCTGGAGACATCTTCGGACTCTCATACATTGTCTAAGTCATTCTAGAAAACGAATTCTGGAAGCAGATCCATCCCCATCGCACGTCTTTAGCGCTCCTCCAAGTAGTTGTTCTATCATGGAACTTCGAGATTCTGTCCGAAAGTCCGTTGACATTGGCTGGAGGATGCAGTGCCATTAAGCTAGGTACCCAACAGCAAGATAATGCGGCCTGGACCTTTCTTAGAGATAGACCGGATCCTTCTTCAAGTGGAGAAACGGCTCCGCCAGCGCATTGGACGTTTGGACGTCAGGTCGAGAGTTGTTTAGACTGGACATGATCTTGTACTAATTGTATAGTCCGAAGCTAAATACGCGGCAGGAATAACTACGCCGCAGTGATGACTACGCCGCAAGAATAGCTACGGAGTACGCCGCTGCGTTAGCTGTATAGTAAGTCCAAGACAGGTGATTCGGACAAGGTGAGGAATTCTGGGAGGAGTTCGTCTGGCCTTGACATCCCGGCGGAAACAGCTTCCTCCCGCCGCTAATGCTGTGCAGCAATGTTAGTGACATCTTGGCATCTAAAAGTCAAGACTCTCTGCCTCTTGGCGATCCATAGCTGATTCGCACTTAGGACGTGATGGATGATGGATCCCGTCAGTTGGGGTCCCGCTACATAATCAACAACAATTAGAATAGTTAGCTGACGATGACTAGTCCGTATAATCAACTACGCAGAGGCGAAGAACGATGCCCTTGTCAAGCGTCCAGTATTGGCAGTCGGGACTCGGGACGGCCCTTCTGGCGTGGATCGGCTTTTTGTCTTTGTTATTGGGAGTTGTTCTAGTACGTTCTGGTTCTTTTAGACCTCTGTTCTCCGCTGGTCTAGCGGAGAGTAACTTGCCTTCCTTTTGGTGCCAGGACTCTGAGTAAAGTTGATAGATAAAATTCTGGGATCCTCCGTACTTAGGACCGTAAGACACTACTAAGAAAGAGCATCCGGGATACTCACAGTCTACTTAGGATGGCAGGCAAAGCTGTTCTGTTTCTCTGTATCTTTAAGTTCGCATCCCGGATTGAGTCAACTGCTGATGTAGTTACTCCCTACGAGAATTATCAATTGCGGTAGGACATATAGGAAAACCTCTTATTTATCAATTAGCTCTACTTAGAGGTACTGTTAGGTAAAAAGGGAATACGTGGCAGGGGCTGGCCTAAGACCACATACTACTACCAACACCAAGAGCGGGCGAAATGGAGCGGCCCCAGGGCCACCGCAAACAAATGTATGGTATACCGCCAAGCAAGCGGTACAGGCCTGCTGTCCGCTAGGTGTCACCGTAACTCTGCTTCGAGCTAACAGGTGCGGGAACTGACTACCATACCATACCATACAAATCTCTTACGGTGGCGTCTAGGGGCAGAAAGTTGACAATTTTGATCCATGGGGATAGCACATTTGCGGTGTTTCTACAATTTACGCCCGCTAATATCTATTACGTGTTGTGAGGAATCGTCTTAATAGATTATGCAAAGTGCAAGCTCATTATCTAGCTGTCAAAGGAGACGTAGATGCAGTGGGAAGGAGCAAGGAATATCTTATTTGAAAAACGTATGTACCTTTTGTTGTATTTGATAGGTACATTATATGGAATTATATCGACAATAGATGACAACATATCAGCTCTGGAACGCTGATTAGACAGGATTTCTTAGTTTTTTGACCTGCTTTGCTGGTCTATCAATTCACCTTCCCCATAGATAGGAGATTGGATACCCTCTCGATACATCTGGTTTCGCAACACCACCCCGTAGATGAGACTGCTAAGGGACCTCCCTACAACTATTCATGGTTTTCAGTGTTTGGGCATATGTTGAGTAGTCAAATACCTACTGTAGAGATCCCAGAGCTTCTAACCCTAGGTACCCAGTAGGCTAGACTGCCAATAAAGGCCGTCTGGTAGTCATAATTAATAATTCAGTACTCTCTAAAAGTCCAGAAGAAAAATAGATGGCATTATTGGAAAATCGGCAAGTTCGAAACTGGCTAAGTAGAGCTGGTCGTAGTTAGTGCTTCTATCCTGGTAGAGCAACTAACGGCGGATTTGCCCCCTGTGACGGGATATATTGTCTCAGCTCATTAGACCCTGGAAAAAGAATCTTGGACAGTTCGATTTATTTTACTTTTCATTCGTTTATCATTTCTTTTCTTTATTCACCACCATAGTAGGTAAATGCTAGAATGGCACCTCCTGGTTGGCACGCGATTCGACCTACAGGCCTCGCAAGAAGCATCTTGGCTGTTGCCATCACATTTTCCATACTATGTACTATTATCATAATACTGAGAGTCACAGTTCGTCTCCGTCTTCGCAAGTTCGCAACTGAGGATTGGCTCATGTGTATTGGATATGTATACGCACCAAGGAGACTCGAATTGTGGTGGAAATCGCTAACTTTCTACAAGGTGATAAACATGGTACACAATGCCGTTATAAGCTACGGCACATTTACTGGACTCGGCAGTCCCGATGAAAGAATTCCAGGCGGAGCAACAGGTGTGATTTGGATGGAGGGAGCTAAGGTAACGTTCTCCTTAACCTGTCCCAATTCATAATGACCAGCCCCCCCTGACCACCCATCAGTCAGTCTTTCTATGGCAGATCTTCTTCCTGAGCGGCTTCGTTTGGATCAAATGCAGTATCTGCTTGACCTTACTCCGTATCGCAGTTATAAGATGGCACCGAATTACGCTATGGACTTTGATCGGTATCACTGTCATTTCCACCGTCTTTGTTGATATCTACATCCTACTCCAATGTCGACCAATCGAGAGGACTTGGGGCGAAAAGCCAGGAACCTGTCTCCCGAACACGATCACTGTGGTGATCACTTTCGTCATCTCTGCATTTAATCTCCTGACCGACGTTACCACTGCGGTTCTGCCCTTTCTTATGTTACGGAAGGTTCAGATGTCCCGAAGGCGAAAGACTGCTATTATCATGGTTCTTTCGCTTGGTGTCATGGCTTCTATTGCGACTATTGCTCGTCTCCCTTTTGGAACTGCTTACTTTGCGAAGAAAGACTACCTAGGTATGTTCAAGATAAGTCTAAGCTCCCCTCTTTTCACCCCAAAGATACGGCGCTAACATCCTTGTTTCTGTAGTTGGTATCGGCGATATTATCCTTTGGACCATCGTCGAGTGCGATCTTGCACTTATCGCAGGTTCACTTCCCATGCTTCGGGCCCTAGTTAAAGGTCTAAACAGCAAGGGAACCACAAACGGTTACTACGTCCAGTCATCTGAATTAAACCCGATAAGCCGCAAAGGATACCTCCTCCAGAACGACACGTCAGTGAGAACCACGAGCCATGGGCGTAGTGAGAGTATAGAGGGTATAATGGTGAAGAAAGACCACATCATTATTCATGAGAACCGATCTCAAGAGGGGCAGGAGTTTGAAGGTACATATCAAACTCAGACTTATGTCTAGTGTTCGATTCGGCACTTCTTCTCTTGGGGGCCCATAGAACCAATCAATACTGCCAATTCGCTCGAATACAAAACACAAAAGGCTATAATGGTTGCACAATAAATTCGGGAAAAGGAGGATGCAGGGCCTCGCTTCCTCTCATCTTGTGCTCTAGCGCAAGACAACGTATTGGAATGAAAGCGGCCATTGCCTAGACTGAAGTGGACACTTGCAGCGATGTCAATTTTCTATACGCTCTTTATCTTCTACGGACGAGCCATTAAGGATTATAGTTTTTAGGGACAATGCTTTGTATCGCTATGTTCGAGCAGCGGCTAGGAGCCTTACAATAGCCCTATTTCCAATTGAGAACTCATGCCAAGTATATTTACTTTTACTAGAAATATCGAAAATAATAATAATATGGAACCACTGTAAATCATAAGAAGGGATAAGAGGGAAATGCATCGAAATAGGTCATTTACGAGAATCGCCTCGATATAGAAAAAACAACGAACATAATATTGGTACATGGTATCATAGCATTAATTCACCCCCTCTTCGCGTATTCTGGCTTCAGAGACCACTTCCCTCTGCCGTTGCGGCCACCCTTTTGCAGCACTGCAATCGTCTTCAACATCTCCTTAAATTCCGCAGAACGCTGAGGAGTCGTGCAGAACCGATTAAAATGGTCAATTAACATTTGAGTATAGACTGACCCACCATGTGAAATGATGTAGTCTCGAATCATGGTCATGAAGTCCCTTCCGCTTGCTGCTGGGGCAGGGCTGTTGCTGCTGCTCCGTGACGGACCTCCACCAGTACGAGCTGTCAGATTCGCAAGAATGCTGGCAGAAGACGGTCCAGCGTTGGCCCGACGTGCGCTACTGCTGCTTCCACCAAAAGCTGGTCGCACGGAAGCAGGTTCTTCTGGCCTTCCAGCGACACCGAATTGACCTGTCCATGTTGGGGTTCCGATAGGGACAGACCTGGCAGCTTCACCGGCCTTGCGCAGTTCTGCAGCAGCTTCTGCGGCGATTCTCCGGGCTTCCGCTTCGATGATCTTGGGATCCGCCTTGACAACTCGTTTACCATTGACGATCTGGTCGTGCTCAAGCGCAGAGTGGACACCGGAACGGGCGAAGATACCTTCCATGAGACGTGCCTCGGAGGCTGAAGTACCTGGATTTTCCGGATTTGTGCCCGGCGCAGGTTCGTCCTGGAAGTTTTCCATCGAAGCGACCCCCACAACTTTGCTAATATCCCTCTTTTCGTCCTGGAGATCCGAAGGATTATTCTCGGCCGCAATAGGCTCTGCCCGTTCCTGAGATGTACTCTGACGATTCTCGTCGTAAGTGACCTCTGCATCTTTAAAGAGCTTACTAGTTTCGGTGGGCCCCTGATTTTCATCACCAAGCGAGAACAAGTCGTGTAAGTCACTCATCTGGAAAGTCTGTCTCTGCTTCGGGTCCTTGAGGATCTTGTTCGTCAGGAATTGCTTGAAAATCTGACGATGATAGATCTTCTCCTCAATAGTACCAGTTGTCATCAAGCGGTAGATAGTGACCTCACGCTTCTGACCCAATCTCCATGCCCTCTCTCGGGCCTGGACATCAGTGGAGGGGTTCCAGTCAGGGTCATATATGATGACGCGATCAGCTCCGGTCAGGTTAACCCCTAGACCACCCACTTTGGTGGTGAGAAGAAAGACATGGAGATTGGGATCATTGTTGAACTCGTCAACCATAGTTTGTCTGTGCTGAATGGGAGTGCTGCCGTCCATCCGACGATAGTTAAACCCAGACAAGGCCTTGATGTACTTTTCCAGAATATCCAGCATTATACGATGCTGCGCAAACAACAGTGTCTTGTGTCCAGTATCTCTCCACAGTTCAAGCAAGGCTTTGACGACCTGCATCTTGCCGGATTTTGACGGGTTACCGTAGTCATAGTCGGTTTTTTGAGACAGCATTTTATGGTTCTGGAGGTCAGGGTGATTGCAAATCTTGCGAAGAATGTCTACCCCGTACAGGACTTGTCTTTTTCCATTAAGTATCGATTGCATATCCTCTGAACCGAGAAATGCTTCGTAGGCTCTCCGTTGCAGCTTTGTTAGCTTGCAGAACAGCACCTGTTCACTCTTCTTTGGGAGGTCAGCAGCAACGTCGACTTTGAACCGCTGTAGGAGATATGGACTGATGGCATCCTTGAGCGTTTCCGCGCATCTGGCAGCTGTTTGCACCTGCAAGTTGCTCGCATTCGCATAACCGCCCTGACGGATAGGAAATTCGAACTGATTCCTGAAATCTACCAATGTCCCCAGACGCATCGGGAAAACGAAGTCGAATAATGACCATAGTTCAGACAGATTATTCTGCATTGGTGTCCCGGAGAGGATGATGCGATGCGGGGTACGTAACTCCTTGCAGTGAATCGTAATGGCAGTGTCGGGGTTCCGGATTTTATGTCCCTCATCAAGGACGGCGCAACCCCAGTCAACAGAAATCAGATGAGATGCATAGGTCTGAAGGCCGGAATAAGTGGTCACCAAAACATGTCCATCCTCAATGACACGCTTGACAATCTTTCTTGCTGCTTTCTGTCCCTTGGAAGCGGCATGAGAGCGAGTTGGATCCCACATCTGGGACGTCAGCCGATCTTCTCTGCTGCTTTCACTTTTGACGTTGATCATGCCACTGCCAGAGGTGTGCAGAATGGACACGCGGAAGGGAGGCCACCAGCGATGGAACTCATTAACCCACTGCTTCATAACAGTTGCAGGACATACGACGATGACTGGTTTTGTCAACTTATTGCTGTGGTGAAGACCAGCCAAAAATGATATGACTTGGATAGTCTTTCCAAGTCCCATTTCATCACCGATGATTCCTCCAACCTGCTGCTGGTACAACTCCCAGAGCCACTGGACTCCAGTCTTCTGGTAGTCGAATAGATAAGGATAGATATCGCCAGGAATCCGGTACCCGCCATCGAATTCTGCGTCTGGCACTGTGGGATGCGGCATGAACCATTCTTCTTGCTGGCTATCATCATCCGTGTCTGGTATAGTAGTCTTGCCAGTGTTGATGGCACGCTTACGGGCGGCTGACCTCCGCTGAACCCATTGTTGCAGGCGAGACTGGTAGATCTTCTCGTTCCCATCGTCAACACCGCGGAGATCTTCAACAGATTCGTCGCTCACGGGTTGCTTTCGCTTCCTTCCCGGTCTCTGGACTTCCTCTGAAACATATTCTTCATCCTCCTCTGATGGGATTCCAGCCTCACCCGTGTCAACATAATCAGCGGACTCATCTTCGTCGCTCACTTGTACATCCAGTTCTTCATCAGCCTTCTCTGTCTCCGGTGATTTGCCCACAACAACCTTTCGTGTGACCTTCGGTTGCAGCTTTCTCCGTTTCTGTGAACGGTCGAATGGAGAAACCTCTTCAAAACTCGTTTCAGTCTCATCAAAACCAAGGCCGGGAAGGCGGAGGTCGCGGTGGGACACAGCAGCCCTATTCTTGGCTTCCTCGAGTGCCTCAACCTCATCGCGTTCATCCTCCGCATCGATCAGGGCATCGTGGAGGCTTGCCAGAGGACCTTCATTTGTCCCCGATCCCATCTTTGAGAACGGCGTGATCTTTCCAGTCCGAATGAGATAGTCTCTGCGGGACTCATTTGGCAGGCGCCCGCTGCCGGTTGCCTGGGCCGCATATTCTTGGCCTTGATGTCGTTCGTCGATGCGTTGCTGTATATCTTTTAGATCCGCTTCCAGAGCGTCTATACGTGATTCCGTCTTCTCGATTTCAGAACGAATGCGAACCCTCGCGGAAGTCCCAACGGGTTGTGAGAGTCGCTGATGCAACTTGACGACCTGCGCTTCAAGTTTCCTGTAACTCAATCAGACACTGTCTCGCCTGTGAGGACAAACACAAATAGAGAGACAAACTCTTTCTCATTCTTGGCCCGTTCCAGTCTCTTATTATCGCGTTCATCTGCTTGCTCAACGAGCAGCTTATCGGCCTGATCCCGGAATTAGGACGATCTTTTTGAAGACAAACCCGTCGAATCAGTGCTTACCTGGCGTCCAATATCACGTTCAAGATCATCTTGATCTCGTATATCCGTCTGAAGTAGCTCCCTCAGTTGGGCCGACTCGTCGGTAGTTTCCGTGGTGTTCTGATTAGATGCTCCACCTTCTGGCCCGGCCCTCTCCGTTATAGTAGGATCGTCATCCTGGAGTTCTTGCTCCATTGCCTCAGGCTTTACTACCGGGCTTTCTTGTCTTTCAGGTCTACCTTCATCCATGTTTGCGCCGTGAGAGCGTCGTGAGACCGTGGTGAGGCAGAAAGGTTGTTGCAACAAGTCGGAAAAAGCGCAGGGCTCCCTTGAGAAGTATGACTCTCGAAAACGAGACCCCTCAGTCGTTCATATATGCTATTGTTAGGCTTGGTGAATTTCTATAATTCACCAGCTGCTGATGACACAATTAGATCCTGTTGAAAATTCTACAGCGATATCCGTTCGTAACGGTGGCGGAAGGTCTTGAGCCAAAGGCGGGGACAAATCTGTATGCTCCTCAGAGAGCCTCCTTCCAGAGGCCTGCAGAACGCAACGTTGCAGATTGGCGTATCCCAGAGCGGTCCATATATCAGGATGGTCTATACGCAATCCTCACAGGCAGAAGATATGCTCTGACTGAGCATGTGTTGCGGCAGTTACTGCTGCTCTCTCGATAACCTGGAGGCGATGATGACAAACCGGCAGAAAACGCTCTACGGGCGGTAGCCTAGATTCACCGCCTCCCACTGGGCTTAGTGTCATGTCACGTAAGGTCATTTTTAGCAGCTGCACGGTGGATCTTGGTGGCGCCCTATGTATTGTTCGGTATCAGAATTACCGTACCAGGTGTCCGTCCCAAGTCTTCCTAATGCAGTCTTAGTCTTTGCGATGATATGCTCACTGTCCAGCACTGTCCAGAACAAGCAGACAACATTGACGACAAATATGGCTGTTTACAGTGTCCGGATATCGTCGCTATTGCGATTTGGTTCACCAGGGCAGCTCAAGGTGGTGCGACGGAGTCTTGGAAATGGTTTCGCACCTGAAAACGGCTGGGACGCCATGGTCGCAACAGGGAAGCAGTAGAGCGGAATTCGGACGCCGAGTGCTTTATACAACGCTGTTCCCGGTAGATAGCCAGTGTCTAGACCAGACTGTCTCTGGGCAATGGTTGGCGACCAGCGCCCCCAAAAGTCTGTCTAATCTACTGGAGATGTTTGTGAGAAACAAATGAGCCGATGTCTTAGTTGAGTACCTAGCAGTCTCTGTGCCGGCTTGAGAGACGACAGCAGACGGGATCGGGCATTGGGAACCCCATTGAGGAATTCACTTTTCTCCGCTAGCTACGAGTATGGTAAACCTGTATACATATCGTCGCCTAGTCCTTCCAGGAGCTGTCTTGATCTCCTGAGATTGCAACGTTTGCGCCCGCCCTCAAACTTCCCCTTCCAGGCACGACAAACGCCGCGAACCCGAAGTTCCCCCTCGTTGACTACTAAACTCGACGAGACCTCCACCTCCACACCTGCGTCGTACGCTATTATTACCCTTTTCCCTTCCACATTCCACTACCGCAAGCACCCTCTACGATTCGCAGCGTCTTCTGCTCTGCCAGGGCACTCTGCTTTGGGGGTCTCGATTCCCTCCGACTGCCGGCTCACAAGAGCTCCTGGTCAATCCCGTTCCCGCGTTGATATTGGCTGCTGGGCCGCACCCAACCTCGAATCGCAACTGCGCTCTCCCAGCTGGTGCACGGCAGCCCAACTCTGAAGCCAACGCAACGAAAACCTCTGATCGTCTTGGATGATGAGCTTTTGCGCGACTCACTAGCAGCAATTTCTCGTCGTCCTCCTCGTACGGCTTGCGTCAGACATAGCCATCGTCCCCGAGCTCTCTCTCTCTCTCCCCACCGTGAGTCTAGGCGACGAGCCGCAGTCGTCTCGGGCCCGCTGCCATCCACGGGAACGGTGCATGTGCGCTGTGGGCATCGACAGCAGCTGTCATCGCGACTCTCCAACATCTTGTTGATTTGTATACGGATGATCGAGCGCTGTGGCTGATCACCATGGAGCCGCAGTGGCAGACATATCAGGAGCCCTCCGGAGGGCGTGCTGGGCAGTACAACAATGGGCTGGGCTCTCATCCCCCACAGCTGACTCCCAAGTACTCTGGACAGCCGCAGCAGACCCAACCACCGCTGGGATACACATACGAGAGCTACCAGACGCCTACAGCGGCCGCGAAAGCCCCATCGATGGGATCACATTCGAAATCGGTCTCTATGGCATCGTCGCCAGCCGCGACGCCACACAGCAGAGATTATGTCACCGACGCAGACACCCCCATGGAGGACGCCGATCCCTACAATCGATCGAAATATCCGACCAGGTCAAGCCAACACATTCGTCTTTCATCTCAATATTTCCCGAACGAGGAGTCGTCGGCTGCGCGCAAGTATTCGCCGATGAACGTCCTCTCGCCGCCTGCTCCCTATAACGCAAGCCCCGGGAAGACTCAGAGCTCGCACGGGTTCCCTTCATCGGGGACAAACAGCTCTCGACAGTCGCCTACGCGAGTGAACAACTACTCGTCACCTTCTCAGGTCTATCAGTCGCCGCCTTGTAAGGGCCTTTCCAATACTTGTCTACTTTGTGATGCTAACAGTTCGTTCCTTGAAGCTGCTTCGCGAGCTCCCCGGCTACCGCCTGTCCAGTCGACAGATATGAGTCCAGAACGATTCTACCCTCAATCAGCGACTGTCCAGCTCAATGCAGCGTTCGGGCAAGATATAAACCTGCCGCATCCTGTTTCGCAGCAGAACACGCCCCAAAAGCCGGCTGCTGGTCGTGGTCCAATACCCAAATTCAAGAAGATCAGTTCGACTCAGGAGCTTCAACCAAGAATAAACGCGCAACCTCCCTATAGGCGTGCTAATCCGGAGGGAGGCTTCATTAGCGTGAGTGCAGACTTCTACCGCCCAGGAACTCAGAACAATCACGGGCTAATGTCTTTCTCAGCCGCTGCAAGCATTGACAACGCACCTTCCGGCAACCTACCGGATATGCAACCCCACGTTCAAATATGAGTCGTCCAGGAACCCTAGACGGGTGTTGACGAAACCGAGCAAGGGCGTCAAGAACGATGGCTATGACAACGAGGATAGTGACTATATCCTCTATGTGAACGATATCCTCGGCAGTGAGGAAGGAGGCCATAAGTACGACTCATGGTTACCCCGCATAGACGAAATCTAGAGTTGCTGACATCTCAGGAACCGATATCTCATTCTGGACGTTCTGGGTCAGGGAACCTTTGGCCAGGTTGTGAAGTGCCAGAACCTGAGAACCCAGGAAGTGGTTGCCGTCAAAGTTGTCAAGAATAAAACAGCGTACTTCAACCAGAGTATGATGGAAGTCTCTGTTCTGGACTTGGTATGCCGTCTTAAGATTCTCTGCGCTTTTGAGTCTTGACTGACTATTTCTCCGTAGCTCAACAGCAAGTACGACAAGAACGATGACCACCACATTCTGCGCTTGAAAGATACCTTCATTCACCGGCAACATCTGTGTCTGGTGTTTGAGCTGCTCAGCGTGAACCTTTACGAGCTCATCAAGCAGAACCAATTCCGTGGACTGAGCACGACACTCGTTCGAGTATTCGCGCAGCAACTATTGAATGGGCTGAGTCTTCTGAACAAAGCTCGCTTGATCCACTGTGATCTGAAGCCGGAAAATATACTACTGAAAAAGTGAGCTCCTTTTGTGAAGTGCATGTGCGACTGCTAACAACAGGTTGTAGTCTGGAAAGCCCTATCATCAAGATCATCGATTTCGGATCTGCTTGTGACGAGAGACAGACGGTCTATACTTATATTCAATCCCGATTCTATCGATCCCCCGAAGTTCTCCTAGGACTGCCGTATGTCAACATTGCCTTTGTAACGAACGAGTGCTGACTTTTGCAGATATTCCTCGGCTATCGATATGTGGTCGCTTGGTTGTATTGTCGTCGAGCTGTTTCTCGGTCTTCCTCTCTTCCCTGGTTCTTCCGAGTATAATCAGGTCTCACGCATAGTCGAGATGTTGGGCATGCCGCCTACGTGGATGCTGGAAATGGGAAAGCAGTCGGGAGAGTTTTTCGAAAAGACGCAAGATGAATATGGAAGAAAGTCATATCGGCTAAAAAGCATGGAGCAATACTCTCGCGAGCATAACACCAAGGAACAGCCAAGCAAGAAGTATTTCCAGGCATCGACATTGGAAGAGATCATTCGCAGCTATGCGATGCCGAGGAAGAACATGAAACCTGCGGAGGTCGAACGAGGTTGGTCTTCTTTCCCGGTCTTTCGTTCACGGTCCAAGCTAATTCCATGCAGAACTCAACAATCGGGTCGCTTTTATCGACTTCGTGCGTGGCCTTCTTAGTATCAACCCTCTTGAAAGATGGTCACCACAACAAGCAAAGCTTCACCCGTTCATCACACAGCAGAAGTTCACCGGGCCCTTCGTTCCGCCCATGAACCTCAGGTACTCGTCCGTTAACAAGACTGTCGCCCCGGGAGTCCAGCAGCAACAACAAGCGGAGGCTGCAAGCAAGCAGAGGGCAGCTCAGGCAGCTCAGGCCCAGGCTCAGTCAGCCGCACAATCCGCATACGCGATGCAGATGGGCTACCACTCGCCGTCGCATAATCAGGCTCCGCCTATGTACAACGGCATCTACACCGGTCATCAGCAGGGCGCCCCTCCGCCTCCGTATGGATCTCAGCCGCCGGGATACCCCCATCAGATGGGTATGATGCAAGGTCAAATGCCCCAGTCCCAGTATGCTCCTTCTCAGAGTCTGTTTGCGCAAGCGACGACTAGGGCTGGTCGCCAGCGCGCTTCGACCATGGATCAACAGCAAGGCGGAATACCTCCTACTATCCAGCGTGTCGCCAGTCATTTGGACCCCAACGCCCCTATTCGCCTACAGCCCAGTCCGGCTTACTATCCGCCACCTCCTGACGGATATGGGGAATCTAGCGCTGCGAGTACTAGACGGCGCGGCAGCCGAGCCGGTGCAGGTCACCGCAGTAGAGACTTCATCCGTACCCTTGAAGATGGAGCCCTTGGCGACGGGTTCATGAACCAGAACCAGTGGCACTGAGACAACGGTGTCTGGTGGAGGCGTGTTATGATTATATACCTCTGTTCAGCTTCGTGCAGAATACTAGATTATCCGCCAGCGAGCAGATGTACTCCGGGCACGCGTTCCTCTCGAGGTCAACGCAGAGTAACCCGGATTAATGGTTATCTTGTTCAACTTGGATAACGTGCCACGTTTCCCTCGTGGCCTACGATCTGGCGGATCTTGTGTACCCCACTATGGGGTGAGGATCGTCAGAACCATCGCGCCCGATCACTCCGAACAGGATATCTGCGGTAGCGCAAAAATATAGGTTCGCGGATGGAAGGGATTCATTTGATGGCTGAGACTGATATTGCATGTTTCTGTTTCAGCTGCCAGCCTTCGGCGAAGAATGTATCGTATATGTGCGTGCAACGAGTCTACCTTGCCGTGGCGAGACGGTGGATGTGTGAATTTTTTATCTCTTTTTTTCCCTTGCTTCTTGCTTTACTTCGCTCCGTTTCGAATGCGCATTTCTGACGATATTCCGCTTGATCTCTTGCCTCGTATCATCTGGGCTTATCTGTTTTGGCATAGCGCCGGCGTACTTGGAGACGAATCGGATGCCTATTGTTTCTCGCCATCAAATGGTCTTAGGCCTCCTTCCCTGGAGTCAAGAGACCCTACTTAAGATGCTCTATGGTGATATAAGATGAATGCCGCCTATGTAGTTGAAGACGAAATGAATCCATCACCAGTACCTTGTCTGTATCGCACTAACCCTAGATTGTGCTTCGCCATCTGTCAAGAATATGTCCGTGGCTAACTCTTGAACTGAACCTTTGTAGAGTAGAACAAAAACATTATTTATTTGTAGACTGAACCAGTATCTCTCTGACTCTTATCGAAGGGATCGTTGCCTCAGGGTCTCCCCGCCATCTCTGCCCGCGCGGACGCGTATTACCCGATCGGGTTAAGCGCTCCCTCGCTTAAATTTCGTGTGTGAATCAGGCCCAGACATGCGGCTCAGGACACAATAGGCAGTCCGACTGATTTTGACCGCAGACACCAACAGTCCAACGGACAGCCTCTTCTCATCGACTGTCGTTCTGCCTCGACATCAAGCGAGTCCGGCAACGCAGAAGAAGAGCAGCACACCTTATCCGCGAACAAGTTCCAACGGACAGAGAACCGCCAAGATGTCTCGCTTTTTCCACGGTGGCGCCAGCGACAGCGAGTCGAGCTCCTCTGACGAGGAGGAACTCTACAGTGATCGCGAGGAGGAAGAAGCTTCCTCGGAAGAAGAATCCAGCGACGAAGAAAAGTCTGTAGAGGACGAGGAGTCCGATGAAGAGGAGGAGGCCGGTCCCCGTGGTGCCAGTGCATTCTTGAGGGATGTCTCCGAGAGCGAAGAGAGTGAGGATGAGGAGCGAGTGACGGTCGTGAAGAGTGCCAAGGACAAGAGATTAGAGGAACTCGAGGGAACGATCAAGTTGATCGAAAACGCCGAGAAGATCGGTGACTGGGCGGTGATCTCGACAGGTAAGGCTTGGATTACTTCCTGTTATCTCGGTTTCCCCCTGCATGGGGACTTCGCGAAGTATGCGCGTTTATTGCATGTGCTGATATCTATATGTAGAGTTCGATAAGCTCAACCGACAGATCACCAAGGTCATTCAGTCTGGCCCTGTCCCCAAGATCTACATCAAGGCTATTGCGGACTTGGAGGACTTCTTGAATGAGACGATTGCCAAGCAGAAGGTGTCGACCAAGAAGATGAACGCCAGCAACGCCAAGGGTCTCAACGCCGTCAAGCAGCGCATCAAGAAGAACAACAAGGAGTACCAGACTGAGATCGACAAGTACCGGGGGGACAAAGAAGGATACTTTGAGGCCGCTGAGGAACAGGAGGCCGTTGCCGTTGCCCCCAAGCCGAGAGTCACCCGCGTCGAGCGTCTTGAGACTCTGGCTGTGGCTACCCCTGATGAGGAGGGCTTTGCGACCGTCGGCCGTGGCGGAAAGACACTCCAGTACACTCCGGAGAGTATTCTCAAGCACCTCCGTCTCATTATCGAGTCGAGAGGAAAGAAGAACACCGACCGCGTCGAGCAGATCAGGACTATGGAGAAGCTGCTCGAGGTTGCTCAGACTCCTTACCAGCGTATCCGCATCTACCTGACTCTCATCTCTACCCGCTTCGACCTGTCTTCTCACTCTGCTAGCAACTACATGAGCCCCGAGCAGTGGAACTCTGCGGAGCGTGAATTGACGACTCTGCTTTCTGTCCTTGAGGAGCACCGCGACTACATCGTTACCGAAGGTGCTGAAGAGTGGGAGGACGATGAGAAGCAGCCCCAGCCTGCTCCGGGCGAGACTCTGCGCATTCCTGGCAGCATTGTCTCTTTCGTTGAGAGACTGGACGATGAACTCACGAGGTCTCTACAGCACATCGACCCGCACACTGCTGAGTACATTGAGCGTCTCAGCGACGAGCAGAAGCTGTACAACAACATCGTTCGAGCACAGCTGTATGTCGAGGAGCTCGGCAAGACTGACAAGAGCGAGCCTCGACAGGACAGCATCAACAGAATCGTGATGCGGAGACTGGAGCATGTCTACTTCAAGCCCTCTCAGGTGGTCAGCATTCTGGAGGATGCGACGTGGAAGGCCATCCCTGAGAATCTGGATTCGGTCATCACCCCCCGCGGCAAGGTCGGAGATGTCCCGACGCTCGTCCAGACTCTCTGCAATTATCTGTTCGGCAACAGCGATGGTATCATCAAGGCTCGCGCTATGTTGTGCCAGATCTTCTTCCTCGCCCTGCACGACCAGTACTACCGTGCTCGTGACCTGATGCTTATGTCTCACTTGACCGAGAACATCGCCAACTTTGATGTCAGCACTCAGATCCTGTTCAACAGAACGCTCGTACAGATTGGTCTCTGTGCATTCCGTGCTGGCCTCGTCTACGAGGCTCAGAACACTCTCGGAGAGATCTGTGGCAGTGGAAGACAAAAGGAACTTCTCGCCCAGGGTATCATCATGCAGCGCTACTCTACTGTCTCTCCCGAGCAAGAGAAGCTTGAGCGCCAGCGCCAGCTTCCATTCCACATGCACATCAACCTCGAATTGCTGGAGTGCATTTACCTGACATCGAGCATGTTCTTGGAAGTCCCTCTCATGGCCCAGACTTCCTCTTCACCTGAGATGAAGCGTCGCATCATCTCCAAGACCTTCCGTCGTATGCTCGACTACAACGAGCGACAGGTGTTCGCTGGCCCGCCGGAGAACACCCGTGACGGCGTTATCATGAGTGCCAAGTTCCTCGCCGCTGGTGACTGGAAGAAGGCCTCATCGCTTCTCAACTCCATCAAGATCTGGGATCTGATGGCTCAGCCCGACAAGATCAAGGCCATGCTCGCCCAGCAGATCCAGGAGGAGGGTCTGAGGACCTACCTCTTCACCTACGCTCCCTTCTATGACACCCTCTCCATCTCCAGTCTGGCAGACATGTTCGAGCTTTCCGAGAAGAAGATTTCTTCGATCATCAGCCGCATGATCTCCCACGAGGAGTTGGCTGCTGCCCTTGACCAGGTCAACAATGCCATTGTCTTCCGCAAGGGTGTTGAGCTCTCTCGTCTCCAGTCACAGATCGTCACTCTCGCGGACAAGTCCATGTCCCTGCTCGAGTCGAACGAGAAGACTCTGGAACAGCGAACTCAGGGTATGGCCAATGCATTCCAGCGCGACCACGGTGCTGGTCGTGGCCGTGGTGGCCGTGGTGGCGGCCAGGGTCGTGGTGGTCTCAGACTTCCCCAGCAAGGGCGCCGGCCTGGTGGCCAGCAGTTCAGTGGCGGTGCATTGGGAAGTGCTATCAAAGCTTAAGCAGTTGAATGTTGTAATGGGCTCTCTTCACGTTTTTCTCTCTCATGCTTCTCATTTTCTTTTGGAGTCTCAGATACATATGGTCGGCGCGTCCCTGTCTTTCCCAATACGGTGAAATCGTGGACCGCGTTGAATCTCATGCATGCATGCCTTTTACAGATGATGTTCATGTCTGAAAGTTAGATGAAGAGAAAAAGGTTTCCGTGCAAAAAAGGACGGTTTGAATGCTGGATGGGCAGATTGTGGGCCTGCATCTGGCTGCTTAGATATCTCAATATGCTCTCTTTCTTTTCTGTAGCAATCTCATAGTATTATCTCCGTTATTTATTATTACTAGTGCAATGGGTCACCGTATATCCACAATGAGCTCTTTCTGAGGATGCAGAAGACTAGAAGTCTATATATATGTCGTAATCATGGCTGAGAACTCCCTTGGCGCAGCTGCGCCAGTCTTTCCCGCTGAGGGTGGCATAAACGGACTGAGAAGCTGTCACAACTGGCACCGTCAGCAGGTATCAAAATATACCGCCTCGTATCCATATTCAGACCGTGAGACCACTGTTACGCCTATTCCAAGGGCGATGGTTCCATGGGCCCAGTCGGGGACTCAGGATAGTCTGGTTCCGCACCTAGGTGCAAGGGACCACCTGCAGATAGTGGTTTATCCACCTATATGGTATGACCCCAACTCCGCACCGGCATCTCATAGTCCCGTATATGGGAGACAAAAGTAACTTATCAGGAAGACACCCTTCTCCTCATCCACTATCATCCAACAGATTCTGCGGCGACCAGTACTCATTCTCTTCGCACTGGGTATCTACCCAGACTAGACCATCGGCCAACAGGTCATCGATGACTGTCTGAGCTCTCGCTTTCTCCCAATTCAGATTTAGCTGTAGCATAGAGACGGTGACGAAATTGAGGAGCTGAATAACTTCAAGGACTGTCGCTTGATCGGTGTTCAGTTCCTTGGGCACTGAGCGGATGAATTGCTTGCTACCGACGCTGATGATATTGATGCCAGATCCAAGGGGCTCGAGTGATTTCACGGCTCGTAAGATATCGTCACTAAATCAAGTATTAATAAGTGGATGTCTACCTGTTTAGGAACGTTAGACACGTAGGACATACTCTGTGACTTCGAGTCCACCACCAATTGCCTTCCCCCTACCGACCCTCTTTCGACATTCTTCGACGCCAATAAGACCGCCATTCTCACTTCGGGTTTCTCGACATAATTCGACAACTCGCACTGCGACTTCAAAATAAAAATCGTTCATATCTCCGCCGAGGATCTGGGTCCAGAAACTGCCGCCTTCCGCCAGACCGGGCACGAGGCCCTTCCGGCTGCCTCTACCCTTCACATTACTGGCTGCTAATGGGTCAACGCCGATGGCATTGCACATGCGCGCGAATTCCGCACGGAAAGTCGGGTTAGACTTGATTGTCGGGCCATGTTCGAGAGCGAAGCTGTGCAATAGAGACTGAAAGACCGACAGTTGGGTCTGCAGAGAGGAGAGGTGACTGGAGCGGAGGTTTGCGCCATGATTGGCATATGACTGGGAAGCTTGATTTCGGTTTGCGAAGGCGCCAATTCCAACGCCGCGTCTGGAAGCCATGGTTTACTTTGCGACGAGTGTATCTAGGAATGGGACTCTCTTGATCGTCCGATCCCAGGCCGATACGATAAGTGATGGCGGGACCTCCAGACCGGATGACGCCTCGAAACCCTAATCCGATAAGGGTATCGGTCACGTGGATAGCATCCCGTCGGTCAATCTACAAACAGACTAGCGCGTAAATTCCGCTTGGCGTCCACACAAACCAAATTTCTTGACTTCTCGGAACTTTTGATTTTCTTCAGCTCGACAACCTCCGCCAAAGCCAGCCGACAGACAACGTCGACACGCCTTCCAAATGGCCTCTACCGCTACGTATGTTGCCATTGTGATCCCTTGAAGCTGATTGTCGAGATCGTGAGGTTCCAGATATAGTCGTCCTTCTCGCTGGAGATGCTGCAGTCTTATACTGCTTAGCACCAGCTCGATTATTCCCGTTTTTCCTTTCCCTCGGATTGAGTCGCCTCTGAGAATGGGGTTAATGGACACTCAGGGAATGGGACTGGAGATGGGGTCTTGAGGCTGAAGGCTACTTTGCTTTCTCCTTGAAATTGATTGTTGTCTGCTACTGTCATCTCAGTGGTTCAGTCCCCCTAGAAGGGGACGATCTGCAAAGAGACAGAAAGCGTCAACATGAATTCCTGAGCGTTATGCTTAGGGTTTTGTCGGATGAGGATGTCACGGGTCTCATGTGTTGCGTTGTAATGCGAAAAAATTTGCGTTGGAATACGTGCAAAATGGAGCAGCGATTCAACAGCCATGGTCACACCCAAATGATCCTCACCGACTAAATTCATTTCGTCGAGTCCCTTTTTACCGCCTTCAGTGAGAATGTGGCGCTATATGCTGCAGTTCTTTACACTCGGCGATTGTCTTTGCCATGCTTCTGTATGGACAGACTATACTGACCTTCGTTCTCTTGTCTGATACAGTACCGTCCCCACCAAGGACCAGGTCCTCGTGCCTGAGACCCTCCTCAAGAAGCGCAAGAGCCAGGAGCAGGCTCGCGCTGCCCGCCGTGAGGAACTCGAGAAGCGCAAGAAGGTCAGTGCTGACTTTTTTTCTATTCTTTTTCTTTGCACGTTAGTGGAGGAGTAGGACATAGTGATGATAACTACCACATCGCGACTAGACCATCGGTCGATGCTGTCGCTTTTGTTAACCATCTTTCGGGGCTGATCTTGTCATGGAAAATTTTTGCATTAATTTTTACATATGCATAACTGGAATCATTGCTGACTTTCAGTCTTCAGGCCAACAAGGAGAAGCGTGCCGTTATCTTCAAGCGCGCCGAGGCCTACGTCAAGGAGTACCGTGATGCTGAGCGTGAGAAGATCCGCCTTGGCCGCCTGAGCCGCCAGGAGGGTAACTTCTACGTTCCCGAGGAGCCCAAGCTGGTCTTTGTTATCCGTATCAAGGGGTAAGTTGCGTCCGTCCTAAGCAGTTGCTGAAGTAGCATGAGCTCACACGTTTCTCAGTATCAACAAGATCGCTCCTAAGCCCCGCAAGATCCTCCAGCTGCTCCGTCTGCTGCAGATCAACAACGGTGTCTTCGTCCGCCTTACCAAGGCTACCCAGGAGATGCTGACCATTGTCAACCCCTACATCGCCTACGGTTACCCCAACCTGAAGACCGTCCGCGAGCTCATCTACAAGCGCGGTTACGGAAAGGTCGACAAGCAGCGCATTGCTCTGTCTGACAACCAGATCATCGAGGAGAACCTCGGCAAGTACGGCATTGTCTGTATGGAGGATCTGATCCACGAGATCTACACCGTTGGCCCCAACTTCAAGCAGGCCTCGAACTTCCTCTGGCCCTTCAAGCTGTCCAACCCCACCGGTGGCTTCCGCACCCGCAAGTTCAAGCACTTCATCGAGGGTGGTGACACCGGTAACCGTGAGGACCACATCAACGCCCTGGTTCGCCAGATGAACTAGATTCAGGCGTTTTTGATTTTTCTTCCTCACGATATCACGGGTCTCGGGTTGTTTGGTTCATAGGGATTGCTTTTTTTCTTAGCGACATGATATCTTAGCTTTTCCGATCACAATCAAAAAGTTTCAAGCAACCCGTAACTTGTTCTCTAAAGCTGTTGCTTTATTTTGATTCAGTAATGTTACACCTCCCACCGAATTCTCTGCTTAGAAACGTCTGCAAGCTTTGCCTTGGCCTCAAGGTCGGTTCACATGGCTTTCTTCCTGCTTTTTACACCTCAACCGGTATCTATATTACCTTGTGTGTTACGACGGCGCTTGCGCCAAAAGTTTCTATCTGTAAGAGCGACACCATTGCACTTATTATGATCAATAGTAGGGAGAAGGCACAGCGCTCAGGAAGCTCAGATCCAATAATAATAGGGAGCCTGTGCCCCTACGCCCTAATCGACGACACCCAACGGGCAGTAGCGTTCACCGAGGTACAGCGCGTGGGCGTACATTGAGCGGCGGCGGCATGCATAAAGCTCAGCTATAGTTCTCCTTGTTCATATGGAACGGAAGAGGTACCCGGAGAACAAGATCTACAATTTTTTTTTGGATTGTTTTCACTCGTACACAGAGCGTGGTGCATTAAAATTAAAAAGTTATAGGTTATGTCTTCAGCAGACTTTATCGGTGCCTTATACTTACTACTACCTCAACACTCCTGTTCCGAGCTACGATTAAGGTCGCAGGATAGTAGCTCAATGCTTTATGCACCAATATGTATGCCATAGGAAAAGAATTGGACTTGTATTTCGAGCTTAGGATGAAGAAGAAACACTGATTCTAGATCCAGATTTAGGATGAGAGTAGACTGAAAACTTGCTACGAATGCGATGATTTTCAAAACCTGATAGAGGATAGAAGTTGCATTAAACAATTATGACTAGCAATAAAACGCTGACCCTAACTCTATATGTAGCGAAAAGTCCACAGGCTGATCTCCGAGACAGCGATGTGGAGGTTAACCAGCTGATAGAAAAAGGCCACTCGCCTGACCGTAGAGAATGAAAGGCTAACAGCGATCAATGCCGCCATGGAGGCCGCGCACCACCAAGAACTGAAGGAGGCACAAGAGGCCACAGATAGAACAAAATGCATGCAGTATATCTCCTCTCCATTACCAGCAGAACACCAGCGCCGCTCCCAGGGCTAAAGATAAAGAGTAATACCCAATCTTGCACCACTAATTACAATAATATTGAAATAAGTTAGCAAGCTATTGTAGCAGTATAAAGACAACTCGACAATATACAGTATTATACAATATTCTGAAGTTTACTGCTATTCTGTCTTATCTAATTAACCTATAAGAAGAGTTAGTTTACCTCTAGCGATTATCTTTGTATTTAGATGGATTTTTAATCAGTAAAGTTCGAGCTGCTAATGTTATTAATTAGAAACGGAAAGCTCTACTGAGTTTCTAAGAGAGTACTTATATAGAAAACTGGTCTTTAGAAAGCTTTAGCGTTGCAGAGAAATTCTATCCTATTTTTAGTCTTGTGCGCAGCTTCGGCTATAGCTTTTCGCCGCTTACCAGAGTTGCAATAAAATACTCGGTACCCTAAAAGGTATCTAACTTCATGCATATTATTAGCGTCCAAACTTATCGGAGAGCCCTTATAGCTCAGTGGTAGAGCGCAGCACTTGTAATGCTGAGGTCCGTGCCGGGGGCACATCTTTTTTTTTGTTTCCCGGAGGTCACGTGACATATCATGTGACAAACCTGTACTTAGACTTCTCGGATCCTAGGATCTCCTTTAGACCTCTAATGAGAAAAGCCTTCGACACCCACGTTATTTCCAATCTCTCGCCCCCGCTTTTAGCCATTTCAGCTAGTAAGAGCCGTCGGAACTGCTATTATTGACAGCTTTTTAAGTAAGTCGCGAAGGGATACTGCCCGCTAACTAAGAAAAGACCACAAGGAAATAGAGACCCTTTGTCTATCTATACAGCGTCTATTCCAACCTATATAGATTCCCATGGGCAGACTTTGGACCCTAAATCGTAATAACTTCCCGTACCCGTCTGTTCTTTTCGACGACTAGACGAAGTTGTCTTCCCTTCCAATCCGCCTCGGGAACGGGTTTGCCTGCAGTAGGTTTAAAGACGCCTTCACGGAGGGTTTCGGTGAAGAGTTCGTAGGATGGGTAATCTGAGTTGCGCGTTAGAATTGCTAGTTTTTATTTTTATTTTTATTTTTTTTTTAGAAGGGATTGGAGGGTATTCTGGGAGACATACAGCCGTCAACGAAGTGGTTGACTTGTTCTTCAGTCATGCCTGTGCCTTTTGCAGCGCGTAGTGTGCGTTCCTGCTCCTGTCGCCATTCGTAGACAAAGCGGGGGTTTTCGGCATCACTGGGACGAGAGAGAGAAAAAAAAATCAGCCTCTTTCAATCTCATCGATAAGGGAAGCGATTCAGTAGACGTACATATGTATAAGGGCATCGAGCTGGCTAGAATGGAAGTAAGTCAGCATGAGGAATAACCTGGACTTTCTGATCAAAACACTCACTCAGTCAAGACATCATATCGCTTAAGAGCATCATTGACCGTCTTCACATCTTCGAATTTAACATATCCCAATCTCCCATCATAATTCCCAGTATCCTTCTGCCGCACCGCCGCCTCCCATTTCTCTTTCAGCGTCACGTCATCCCAGGGCCGAAATCCCACACACCATCCCTCGAAAATGACAAGCTTGATCTTCTCCTGACCTTCGCCATTGACGATCTCCCATTGCGACTCCGGGACACGATCCCCTTGTCCGGAAAAGGCGGACTTGTCGTACTGCGGGATGGCAGTGGGTTTATTGGCCTTGAGGGACGCGAAGATTTTTTCGCCCAACGCGAGATCATGCGTGGATGGCTGTCCGCGGTGTTGGAGAAGGGGATTATCCGGATGAGCAGCTGCGAGGGCGACTTGGTCCGCGTGGGTGAGGTAGATGTCGTCGAGGGAGAGCGTCACCGTGGGGAGGGAGTAAGGCGGGGAACGGAGGGTTTTCTGAAGCGTAGATACCTAGTTGTATGTAATATATATCGTTCAGCAATGGGGTTGAATATCGTATACAATTCGTCCAGAGAAAAGGAAGAAAAAGAAAAATAAAAGCAACTGGAGTTCAAATATAAATACTCGTGCCTACATACCAAAACCGTCTTTCCCGCACCCTGGACACCGTTCAGACCCAGGAAGAAAGGCGGGGCATCAGGATCATCTTTGTGACGAGCCTGGTGCACCTTGAGACGTTCCAGGATGAAAGGAATACAATGCTGGGACTTGTCGTCCACGATCTCGGGCATCGTGACCGAATAAGCAGACTGTTGAGGCTCGATGGTTTGGCGATAATTACCATACAGCTTTGGCTACCTATATTACACAGACCCGAGGCAGCCCCGATCGGTGGAAATCTGGGGAAACTGCCGAGCGGAGCTCGAAGCGGGCGGGGAGATTAATTATTACTGTAGCTGTGCAACGTTAGGGAGGGAATTTAATTCTAAGAATACATGTTGGTTATTACAGCTATTGTCAGCTACAGACAGATCTGGGTTCTAGGAAACCAAGGCAATGATTATTAGATAAAAGACGAAGAACAGTATAACTAACTACCAAGTAGTCAACATTACTAACCCAGCTGATTAGATCAATCCGATGCTCGCGACAGAATAATGAATCACAGGCAAGTGATGGCACATTGAGTTAAATTAATCACCATTTCCAGGTGACTTTTAGCCACGAGTACTTAGCATATCGGCATGTGAAACGGCTACGACTTGTCTGGTGGAGAGAGATAATAATTAGTTCCATCGTTAGTTAAGTACTGTTGTTGTCTGACTGCGAACGAGCCGAGGTTCCCAGCGTGCCGAGCTTGCTGCCCCCGTCAGAATCACCGAGCAATTATCCGCATCCTACGATTCCATTAAACCTCCATCACGTCCTCCATCTTCCTCTTCTTCTTCCCCTGCCGAAAAACCCTCCTAGTCCTTCCCTTCATATACATTAACCTTATATATAATCATCTCTCCCGGAGACGGATCCCCTTGTGTGTCTGGGTATCCGCATTCTGTTTTGAGTGGTCTCCGCCTTGTCCCTCTTCTCTTTCTTAACATTCGCGGCTGCTGCGTGATACTCCACCATGTCAGAGTTGCGCTTCGATAACCAGACCGTCGTCGTCACGGGTGCCGGCGGTGGTCTCGGTAAGGCATACGCTACCTTCTTTGCCTCAAGAGGCGCCAACGTCGTGGTCAACGACCTCGGAGCCTCCCACAAAGGCGAGGGCAATTCCTCAAAGGTAAGAGCATCTTTCTCCGGACCTAACCGGTTCCTGTCCTCTATGCAACCCCGCTGACAATCGACTTCCAGGCTGCAGATGTTGTTGTAGACGAGATTCGAGCAGCGGGCGGCAAGGCCGTTGCCAACTACGACAGCGTGGAGAACGGTGAGGCCATCATTGACACTGCCATCAAGGCTTTCGGCCGTGTGGACATCCTTATCAACAACGCTGGTATCCTGCGCGATGTCAGCTTCAAGAACATGAAGGATCAGGACTGGGAGCTGATCTACAAGGTTCACACCTACGGTGCATACAAGGTGAATAATCCCGACAACGGCTAGGCAACATTGGACAGGATGCTGATAGACAGGTAGTGCGCGAGAGCCGCCTGGCCTCATTTCAGGAAACAGAAGTATGGTCGTATCATCAACACCGCTTCTGCAGCAGGATTGTTCGGTAACTTCGGCCAGACCAACTACTCAGGTATGACCGCAAGCTTCCGTTCAAGGTTCCATGATTACTGACGAGATCAGCGGCCAAACTCGGCCAGGTCGGTTTCACTGAGACGCTGGCAAAGGAAGGTGCCAAGTATAACATTATCGCTAACGTCATTGCACCCATCGGTACGTTGATCACTGATTTATCAGTAGGGGGCGCAGGTTGACTAACAAGTGAGCATAGCTGCAAGCCGTATGACGGCCACTATCCTCCCACCTGACGTTCTGGAGAACCTCAAGCCCGAATGGGTTGTTCCCTTGGTTGCTGTTTTGGTGCACTCCTCAAACACCACGGAGACTGGAGGTATCTACGAAGTTGGCGGTGGTCACGTCGCCAAGCTCCGCTGGGAGCGTTCAAAGGGTGCTCTGTTGAAGACCGATGCGTCTCTGACGCCTGGTGCTATCCTGAGCAAGTGGAACGATGTCAACGACTTCTCCGAGCCCAGCTATCCGACTGGTCCCGCTGACTTCATGGGTCTGCTGGAGGAGGGCCAGAAGCTTCCCAGTGCTCCCAAGGGAGAAGAGCCTGACTTCAAGGGCAGAGTCGCCTTAGTTACTGGCGGTGGAAATGGGTGAGTGAACTTTCAATCATGTTCCTGAAAATCACGCATCTAACAGGTTTTCCCAGTCTTGGCCGTGCGTACTGTCTGCTTTTCGCCAAACTTGGAGCCGCTGTGGTCGTCAATGACCTTATCGACCCTGAGCCTGTTGTTCAGGAAATCAAGAAGATGGGTGGACAGGCCGTCGGCTCCAAAGCCTCCGTTGAAGATGGCGAGGCTGTGATCAAGCCAGCTATCGACGCCTTCGGAAGAATTGATATCCTTGTTAACAATGCCGGTATCCTGCGCGACAAGGCCTTCCACAACATGGATGACAAGCTGTGGGATCCCGTGCTGAATATCCACCTGCACGGTACATACAAGGTCACCAAGGCTGCCTGGCCCTATTTCTTGAAGCAGAAGTATGGTCGTGTTGTGAACACCACCAGCACTAGCGGTATCTACGGCAACTTTGGCCAGTCCAACTACGCAGCAGCGGTAGGTATCCCTTGCTGAATGAAGATTGTGAAAGCCCGCTGACAAGCTTTCGATCTTAGAAGCTGGGTATTCTCGGTTTCTCCCGCGCTCTGGCGCTGGAGGGAGCCAAGTACAACATCAAGGTCAACACCATCGCTCCTAACGCAGGTACCAACATGACCCGGACGATCCTGCCCGAGGAGGTTGTCCAGGCCTTCAAGCCCGACTATGTCGCACCTTTGGTCGTACTCCTGTCCTCGGACAAGCTTGAGCCTGGCACGAAGGGTCTGTATGAGTGCGGCAGCGGATGGTTCGGCAGCACCAGGTGGCAGCGATCTGGAGGACATGGCTTCCCAGTCGACGTGAAGCTCACCCCCGAGGCTGTTCTCAAGGAATGGAAGAACATTGTCAACTTCGACGACGGCCGCGCCGACCACCCTGAGGATGCCTCGGCGGGTTCAGAGAAGGTCATGGCCAACATGTCTAATCGCGCGGGTGGAGACAGCGAGGAGTCCAAGGAGGACGGAAACTTCCTGCAGGCCATCGAGAAGGCTAAGAAGCTCACCAGCGACGGCACTCCCTTCGACTACGTCGACCGCGATATCATCCTCTACAACCTTAGCGTTGGTGCTAAGCGTACCGACCTTCCGTTGGTTTACGAGAACCACGAGAACTTCCAGGCCCTGCCCACCTATGGAGTTATCCCGTGGTTCAACACTGCCGTGCCCTGGAACATGGATGATATCATCCCCAACTTCTCCCCCATGATGCTTCTCCATGGCGAGCAATACCTGGAGATCCGCAAGTTCCCCATCCCGACTGCCGCCAAGACGTTGACCTACCCCAAGCTCATCGATGTTGTCGACAAGGGTAATGCCGCCATCGTCGTCGCTGGCTACACGACCAAAGATGCGAAGACTGGTGAAGAGTTGTTCTACAACGAGTCCACTATCTTCATCCGCGGCAGCGGTGGGTTTGGCGGCTCTAACAAGCTGACGGCTCCTCGACCAAAGGCTGCAACTACTGCGTACAAGCCCCCGCAGAGGGCGGCTGACGCTGTCGTTCAGGAGAAGACCTCTGAGGATCAGGCTGCCCTCTACCGTCTCAACGGTGACCGCAACCCGCTTCACATTGACCCTGAGTTCAGCAAGGTCGGAGGATTCAAGACCCCCATCTTGCACGGCCTCTGCTCTCTGGGCGTCTCTGGCAAGCATGTCTTTGCCAAGTACGGCGCCTTCAAGAACTTGAAGGTCCGCTTCGCAGGTGTCGTCCTGCCCGGCCAGACGCTGAAGACGGAGATGTGGAAGGAGGGCAACACTGTCATCTTCCAGACCACTGTGGTTGAGACGGGCAAGCTGGCCATTTCTGGTGCTGGTGCAGAGCTTCTCGAGGGAGCCAAGGCGAAATTGTAAAATAAATAGTGAGGTTTTATAGGGCAGTGATAGGATAATATGCCCCCGCACGAGTATGTTCGGCAACGATTTTGCTAGTGGACTGTACGGCGTTCGTTTGTTTATATTCTTCTCGTATTATTAGTCCAATCTAGTTTCATATATTTGTTGGATCTAAACCAGCGGCAACGTGTGTTTATAAAAGGGAGAAAAGGTAAAAATTTCTTGTATATCTACTAGGAAATATTCGTCGTCCGATTATCGACGGACAAAAAAAAGAACCGTTGGTCCCGACGAGGGTCGAACTCGCGACCTTGGCGTTATTAGCACCACGCTCTAACCGACTGAGCTACGGGACCTGATTGTTGAAGGATTGCTCGCAAGGGTGACTTACTTTGCAATTGCGATATCTTGCAGGCAGTGGACCGTTAACTAGTTAATGGGACAAGGCCTTTGCCAATAACTATATAATAAGACTCAAGCTAGCTATATTAACTTTTAGTGGATTGGAGAAAGTATTCTAGTTATTTATCCTTGCTACTCTTTTTTATAAACAAAAAGAGTTCGTATGCATATGTGCAAGTACTACAGTATATATATTTCCATATTCTTAGTTTAAGGTGTCAAAGTGTCAGCCCCACAAGAACTAGGCATCTATAAACTGTCATGCTGAAACCAACAATCTGTAAAACCCCCACAGTTATTGTAATTATTTCGTAGGATATGGAACTAGCTAGTCCTTCCTGTCTTCACAAATACACGCTGCCAGGCAATTTAGCCGGTAAAAAAGGATCCGACCATGCGGGACGCTATGTGACGGCCGGTGATCACCAGGTACGATCTCGTGGATCGATCTTAGCGGGTAGTATCAACAGATACCGTCTAACCGGGCTAAATACAATAGCATAGCCTGTTTTTGCGGAGAACCGGCGGAACAAGCCAGATACACCAAGGTTATCAAATTCCTCTTGGTGAGACCCGAGGCTATTTATTACATGTTACACCACTGTGACGGCATGAGGGGCTTGCCTGGTGTTGACTGGCGAGTATTCAACGTAATCATATTACCGGCCCGGGGAAAGCTGAGCGGAAAGCGACGTCGACGACTCGATCTCACCGTCATCTTGAACCCTTCCCCGCTCCGTGTGACATCGCGTTGATTATCTTGATTACTCTGGAATCAAATCGACCATCGGAACGTCCTACCGTGGAGGAATAGGCAGAAATATCCTTGCTGCTTACCCATATCCTCTTGAAACACCATACACGGAGACCGATCATGTAGCGGAGAGCCCATCCAATAACCCGCAACGATGGTGCTCTCGCTGCCCGTCCCCAGCTTCTCCAAATCGGCCTCTTCTCCGCTGCGCTCTCGAGATGGCAACAGTCTGCCTGTTCAGCGTGGATCTCCTGAAACTCCTGTCACAAAGGGTGCCGTCAAGGCAATCACCCCGGTCACCGCCTCTCCCAGCGGCTCATCGACTCTGAGCGAAGCGCTTCGCAATAATCCCTTTGGAACAACACCGCGATCCCGTGCTATCGAGGCCCTCTCCCGAGAGGCGGGCGAGCGTCGAGAGCAGGAGGAACTGAACCATGCGTTGGTGACTTTGACGCAGCTTTTCCCCGATGTCAAGATCGAGGTCTTTCGTGAGCTACTGATACGGTTCGATGGCCAGAGCAGGCTGCAAGTGGTCGTGGAACAGCTTCTCCGTCACAAGAATGAGTGGGTGAGGGGGCGATGGAACGTGTCAGACAGTAATAGTAAGGAAGGGGACAACGCGGCCGACGAGTATGTCGCGAGGGCCAACAATGAAGACGACCTGGTGCCGGTGGACGAACGTTTCCGCAGCCAGGAATACAAGGCTGCCGTCAAGACTACCTTGTCAAAGGAGTTTGGTGGGCTGAGTCGGAGCACTATTGATGCTGTCCTGGCCGAGACGAACTTCTCCTATATTCGTGCACGTCCGATCCTGCGTGATCTCTCGCGGAGGACATGGCGCGCAACATTTGGCAATATCTTCCCTTTCAAGCGGAAGAAGGATAAAGACGACCACCCGCTCCTGCAATGGCATCGGGCTGCCGACGGTGAACTCGTACCCAGGTTAAAAGAAACCGGGAACGGAGAGCTTGATAGAGAGCTTCATGGCATGCTTCTCGCGCCCATGCTGTCGCAGAGGAGAGAGGAGCAGGAGCAACGGGACCGGGAACTAGCGGAGAAGCTTAATGAGAATGAAGCAAAGGCTGTCGATGCCCTCTACGAGTGTGAATGTTGCATGTCGGATGTTACGTTCGAGCAGATATCTACGTGTTCTCACAGTTCGCATATCATCTGTTATGGTTGTATTCAGCGGACGACCCACGAGGCTCTATTTGGCCAAGGATGGGGGAGGTCGATCGACCCCGAGAAGTCGACGCTGAGATGCGTGGCTCCAGTTGCCCAAGGCACCTGCGAGGGCACGCTGCATCCCGAGATCGTCAAAAGGGCCATCTTATCAGAAAAGGCGGGTGCGGAAGTCTATCGCAAGTTCGAGGACCGGCTGGCGTCCGAAGCACTCCTCAAGTCTCAGTTGAAACTTGTCCGTTGTCCTTTCTGCTCTTATGCTGAAGTTGACCCTGTTTATCACCCACCACCGGATGGATTCAAATGGCGTTTCCGCCGTGGAACCCTTGTCTCTACGATTCTAATGATTATTTTTCTTCTTGAGTTGATACCCCTGCTTGTTATTCCTCTAATTGTTCTTCTTTTGCTTAATCCTCCCGCCGTAGCGGACATCTTAACCGCGTCTCTCCAGAATCTCTGCCTCAAACTCCGCAGTCAACGCTTTATCTGCGCAAATCGGGCATGCGGGCGTGCCAGCTGCATCACCTGTCAGAAAGCCTGGCGAGATCCGCATGTCTGTCATGAACCTCTCCTTCTCTCACTCCGAAACACGGTCGAAGCCGCGCGGACGGCTGCTATCAAACGCACCTGTCCACGCTGCGGGCTGTCATTCGTCAAGTCCTCTGGCTGCAACAAACTGACCTGCATTTGCGGGTACTCCATGTGCTACCTCTGCCGGAAAGCACTTGGGCCACCATTGAAAAACAACGGCCCTCGACGTCGACCCCGACAGAACCAAGAAAACGAACCATTTGCCGACCAAGACGACGACGACAATGCAGAACCCGAAGAAGCAGAAGGCTATAAACACTTCTGCGAACACTTCCGCATCAACCCGGGCTCGCGCTGCACCGAATGCAACAAATGCGACCTCTATCTCGCCGAGGACGAAGAGGCCGTCGCCCGCCGTGCAGGCGAGAAAGCCGAACGCGAATGGCGTATCCGCCAGGGCATGGTTGGCGTGACGCTGGCCGCTCCTGCTGCGTCTCGTGCAGATGACCGAGCTCGGAGGCTCGGCGCCGCATGGCCCTGGGATCTACAGCTGAACAGCGGCAAGCGATGGCGATACTGGATGGAAGACGTATGGCGAGAAGGGAGATGGAAATCGGAAGGACAGGCGTTTATCGATTGGATTGTAGAGAAAGTTGTTGTCGTCGAGGGCGTTTAAAATTCTCATTCTTTAATCAATTTTTTTCTACTTCCGTTCTTTTCTAAATTTCTCATCTCTATCGTGTTTGCAAGGGAAGAAGAGGACGAAACTGCGATATCCTACCTACCTACTCCCTTGCTTATGAAATACAAGTTAAAAGAAGTAAAAAAAAAAACAAAAACAAAAACAAAAGAGAAAGACCACACGAACTAATCGGTTAGCGTATATGAACCAGCCTGTTTCTTATACATCCCTTACGTTTCCGTTCTATGTTAGTAACGTGAAGTACAGACTATACAGTATAGGCTTCATTGTAGTAGTAGTCTGTTTTAGAATTTATTCTGTCCTTTTTTACTCAAATATTTATTAAATTTAATCAAGTAGTATTTATTAGAGATTTATTACTAACTCTGAAGGAAATAAGATGCTAATAAGTCTGTCTTTCTGTCTGTCTGTCTGTCTATTTGTCTATTTATCTACCTATTTATCTGAATAAAGTCAAGAGTTGAACAGGGAACTAAATGAAATTAAGCCAAAACTAATATATACTAATAAAAAAGAAAATAGCTAATAAGTAATTAATAAAGGTAATTAATAGCTAATAATATTTTCAGCATCCCACGTACTAACAAGATTACGGGATAAACCCAAGTACATACAATCTCTCAGAATCAAATCACGCTAACTCCTCAGGCGGTCCAAACCTCACAAGCCTCCCTTCATCCAATACAGCAATCTTATCCGAGTCCCTAATAGTCTCCATCCGATGGGCAACACATAAAATCGTGTAACCAGAGAACTCCGTACGAATTACCTCTTGAATCAAACGATCCGTTTCAACATCCATACTACTCGTAGCTTCATCCAGGATCAATATCCGCCCAGCGCCACCCTTACCCCGTCGAAGGATAGCTCGCGATAAAGCGAATAATTGTTGTTCACCGTGGGATAATGTCTGTTCGGTTAAATCTGCATCCAGGCCGCCGCCGCCACGAGATTCGAGCAGCTTCGACAAGTGGACTTTTGTCAGTGCGGAGATGATTTCTTCGTCAGTTGCAGTTCCCATGGGGTCGGCGTTGAAACGGATGGAGCCGGGAAGAATGAAGGGATCCTGTGGGATAGCGATCAGGCGGGAACGGAGAAGGTCCCGCGGGATAGTAATGATGTCGATGTCATCGATGAGTATAGTTCCAGTTTTGATATCCTGGAGGAGGCGGAGGAGAATCGACAAGAGTGTGCTTTTACCACTACCATACATTTTGAAGACTAAGGTGTTAGATTTATGGGGATGGATAGATATTGGAATGTTGTTGACAACCCTACCTTCCTGTTCTCCCACATATTCCGATCTTCTGTCCGGATTTTATGTTCATTGATATGCCTTCTAGAGCATTTGTGGTTCCGCTGAGAACGTTAGAAGGTTATGAATAGTGCTAGGATTTAGAAGTAAGAATATTGGACTTACTCATAAGAGGCGGTAAGGGAACGGATTTCTATATTTCCCTGAGCAGGCCAGCCGGGTTCAGGTATGAAATCTTCTCCAGCCCCATTTTCAGATGGAGTCTTCATTTCGAACATTCTTGTTCTCGCAATTGCACCAAGAGATGTTTCCATCGAGGTCCAACTAGTTACCAGGTTCTGTAGTGTCTGATTGAATGAAAGAATTGCAGTAAGAGAGACTCCAAGATTTCCTGGATTCGTGGTGCTACGCAAGGATGTCGCCAGAGTGATGACAATAACAGCAAGGACGGCGACAAGGAGGTCCAACACAACGTTCAGCCATCGCTGGATGCAGTACAGAAGATAATACGGTTTCTGTGATACGTCGAGGTGACCAATAAACTCTTCTGTAGAGGCAGACTGCCACCCAAAGCTTCTGATAGTCGATAGACCTTCAAGTGTCTCGACGAAGTGTGCGTACAGAGGGCTTCTCGCCTCAAGATCCAAGAACCGTAGCTGTCGTGATGTGCGCAAGTAGACCTTCTGCACGCAGTATAGAACAAGCAAACATGGAGCTATGGTAATGGCCATGTAAGCTGATCCTAGTGATATCAAGGCTGCTTGTGCCAAACATTCCGTAATACCTGTCGTGTAGCTTCAGCGTTCAGAGAAACAGAATCACCATAATGATGCTTTGACTACTAACCCATAAATGTTCCAAACGTCATCGTTGGGAGTACTGCATCAACGAGTGTCATGTCCTGACTAAATCTGTTCAGGACGGTTCCCGAGTCGACTTCTGCAAAGAAGCGTAGCGGCGCTCGCATTACAGTCTCGACAAGAGTTTTGTGTGTAAAGCGGCACCAGATCGCACTACTATTTTGATCATTATTTGCCTGCAAGAAGTCAATAAATAGAAAAGTAATGTGAAAGATTTAAGGCTAACCAGATCATGAGTCCTTGTGATGCGGAAGCAGTTACCGCAAGAAGAACGTATATACCCATGAATCTTCCGGGATCCTGCCCATTGCTTTCTGTGAACCACTTGATCCATACTTCTATATACTGGTCAGAAACAGCCAAGTGTCTAGGCTCCACCTGTACTTACGAGGGAAGTTCGCTGAGAATGAGTAGATTGTAATGATCATCATCGCTAGCAGTGTATGCTGCCAACCAATTGCCCTCAGGTAATATTTGTAGACAGCTATATCGCCAGTGCGGCGAGCTACCTCCGCAATATCATCATCACTTGGTTTCTTGACCGTCTTGCGAAGGGTGCTATCGGATTTATTGGTGTCTGCATGATTCGAATCGTTCTTCGTCGATGTAGCGAGCATCTGTTTGATATAGGTATTTGTCATTTTCAAATCCTCGAAAGAGCCTTGTCCTGTGATGTGGCCCTCAGGATCAAAGACAATTATATTATCAGCCAAAAGGAGAGGTATAGCTTCAGTAGTCATCAGCATATGTCAATCATTTGAAGATGTTTCACTGACCGGAGTGTGTTGCCAGGATTACCGCGGAGCCCAGCTTCCTGAACAGGCCATGTTTCCCTAAGAGATTTTCAAAGACAACATGGGCTGTCCGAGTGTCGAGTGAACTGAAGACATCGTCGAGGACGACTAATCTTGCTCTCGAGTATGCAGCACGAGCCAGAGCCTGTATCTCCGGTCAGTAAAGTGAGAGGGCAGGGTGTACAGTATTACTTACCAGACGCTGCTTTTGCCCTCCACTTAGTATCAGCGCCCGGTTACCCACAACTGACTTATCCCCTAGAGGCATTTGTGAGATTTCGTGATCGAGGGCGCAGCTCTGAAGCACTTCCCGGTACCATTCGAGATCTAGGGCGGACGGTCCGCATACGATGTTTAGGATCGAGGTGTTCTGTAACCAGGGATTTTGGCTACAGTAAGCTATTGCTGACGTCTGCCTCTTTACAGCCCCTCTCTCAAGAGGAATTTCACCCAAAATGGCCTTTAGCAATGTTGTCTTGCCGCATCCCACGGGTCCAGTGAGGATCGTCAGGGTTCCTTGTTCGACGTGCAAATTAATGTCTTGAAGGTAGAAAGCACCATCTCGAACAGGCCGTATGATGGCATGAGACAGAGTGAGGATGGTCTTAGGAGCTCTGTCCATAGCCTCTTTTGTCTTGATACGACGTATCTCTATGGTTTCTCCAGTCTCATGAGGTAGGCGATGGCGATCGGAGGGTAGGCTCGATTTGCTACTTGCGAGGCTTGTGTGGTCCTGTATGTCGACAATTGATGAAGAGACAAGAAACCCGTGGATCCGAGAAAAACATCCGAAGGCAGCAGTGATAGCAGGTATAGATGCCAGCAGTTGAAGTGCGGGATTGGTTATCAGCGAAACAATGGCAAGCGAAGTGAACGCCTGTGCAGTTGAGAGTTGCGGCGAGCGGTTCACCTTTGCACGTATTATGAAGGCAGCAAAGGTTATGAGTGGTGCACATAATTGTGGCAAACTCGCTATAAACTAGTATTCAGTGAAAGTACACTCGTGATAGTCAGTGTAACTTACCGACGATGTTGACCCAGACTATAAGCCATCGAAACTTCTTTGATAGCTTCAGTTCTCGCAGCCTCTGGCCCTGAAGAGTAAAAGCAATTTGTTCTGAGATCCCGAGCATCTTCACACTCTTCATGGATCTTAGCGCGGCGGATATTATGCTCACTCGTCTCTGGATAGCCTGGATCCAGGCCTTCTGTTTTGTAGGCATGAAACTAGCCATATACATCTGCGTGGAAGTGCATACTTGACACCATACATTAGCTAAGATGCCTGTCCATTGGACATTAGACCAAACCTACCGAGGACAACGACGATTGGAGCGACGCATACTGCACCTAGTTGCCTCTCTAGAAGCCAAATGCCGATTCCGATCTCTATGAGTCTTGCCCAAGCTTCGTTAACCTGCTGTAGAGATTGAGCAATTATATCAACATCGGTACTCATGAGAGTGACGGATGCTGATTCATCATAGACATCGGCTTGCAGAGACAGTGTATGGCTATATATTAGGGAGACAACTGCACCCCGAAACATTGTGATCATACGGAATAATTCATGTCTGTAGTGCACAGTCGAGACCTTTAAGATCTGTTAATTTCAAGTAGTTATCGACCAATCCTATCGACTGTCAGGGGCAAGGCACATGATTCCAACTGTATGCTTGATGGCAATGTTAGTGCTAGAATGTCGTAGAAGACGTCTTTTGAGGGTGTGGTGCTGCCTTGCTGGTAGTCTATAACTACCGTCGTTTGCTTCACGCTGTACCTGCGACTCGATTCAGTTGAAGGATCTTTGGTATATCTACTATTTTGATATTTATATCCTGCTCTCAGTTACTAGATCTGGGGTTCGTCATCATGTAGAATCGGAAGACTGGACATATTAACTGTGGGCTTAAACCAGGAAAGCCAATGGACAACAGCCGGGCGTTTGCTATATTCATTTTGGGAGTCAGAGCAGATGATGGTGGGTCGATGGATCTAGTCTTGAAGTAGTCACGGAGAATAAGTTTAAAGTACGGGGCAGCAATGCCTATCTAGGACATCTCCGGGGAAAGGAAACTGCAATGTAGTCGGCCTGCCCGACGCCACCGACTCGGAGGCTGACGGGTTAGTACATACTTATGGTAGTAATAACTGGAGAATGACGGGATAACCCCGCGTTTTCGGGTTGGTGGCAGATCTACCAATCGTGCGCGGCAGAGAAAGCGTTGGATGTGGAGTTCTATCGGCATACTCCAGATCAGCTGAAGGGCAGGCTTGTGAACCGAGGTAAACCTGGTGAGGGCGTCGAGTTTTTTTGAAGGCAGGAAAGAGGGATGTATCGGATCAGATACAACAGTTCTGCAGAGTTCAATTATTCAGTTACTTACTCTAGTTTCGACTGTGTAGGGTCGTCCATCTCGAATCCCAGAGTAAATAAGGTTAACAGAGTTTGGAAGCTTGAACTGCCCCTTTGGCAGATCGAGAAGCTGGCCGGTGCATAACTAGGTAGTACTAGGTCCTAACTGATCTGATAATGGTTGATGTGCGTGTTCGTCAAAGACTCCAAGCATACTGCTTCACACGTGTGGTGATGCCAACATTAGCCTCTACGGATCGTTTCCGTTCTCCGAGTAATCTGTTGCTTCATTTTGAATTAATGAATAGCGGCTTCCTGGTGTTCCATACACTTGGAACAGCACATGGACAGAGCTGAGTAATGAATTATATCTGATTTCTGGGAGAATTGCCCCGCTGTTAGCTGCAGATCGGGGGTAGCTGATCAGCACTGGCTCCGCTGGATCTGTAGAGAACGAGAGTATGGAGTATTGTAATGCCATGACCCTGAGAATGGAGTAATAGTTAGTAGAAGTGAAAAGAGAAGCGAAGAGAGGAATGTCTGTGGCTATAAGAGACAGGTCCCGTGAGCCCGGGGTAAGTGACAGATTAGGATGTACAGTAGTACTTAGATTGAGTTAGTTAACTGTACATCTTCACATTTCAAGGACGAGATAGGAGGCTGGCACCGGGGGAATAGTAACTAGTTAGTTAGTCGAACTGCTTCGTCATAGCCAGTCCGTCCTCTGATCTGATATTCCGAGTACCCCAGGGGCTGCAACTGGGACTAGGGAGTGTCGAGTTAACGGATAGTAATTGATAAAGTTCAGTGGCCTGCGAGGTAATAATTAGTTTATCTACCTGCAGTCGAGGATCGATAGACGAAGGAGCAATCATGGCCGTTGTGCTGCCCCCGTACTTATGTAGATAGATATTCCCCAAAGACCCCAGACTTTAACAACGGACGGAACCCCAGATGTTCTCTTATCATGAGTACGGGAACGACATAATGACTTAAGTGCAAGGCTAGTTATTTAAATTCTTAACTACTAGCTGTTCTGCTTTCTAACCACTATTGTCTTAATTCTACGTTCTTATTCTGCTGCCTTCGCGGGGTGTGTTCCAGATGCCCGCAAAGCGACTCGCGGGCCCCTCTATTGCCACGCTCTCTCGCACGGGTCTCCCGCACCACCAAGCAGCACCGTTTCTATCGTTCGGCTCGGCCTTGTCGTCTGGCACGCTCGTTTCAAGTCTACAATTCTACACCGATTGCGTCGAATACTGCTTCTCCCTTCGACATCTCCACGCGAACGATATCTCCTTCGATCCTGCGGTCCCTGCGTTGCGACAGCACTAACCTCCTCTCGAGTTTACGAACCCCCCGACCGGGACCGTTCGCGCTACGACTGTCACCGTGGGCGAGACGGTGAGGATCTTCGAGACGGATAATTTTTGCGTCTGAGACCCCCATAGGACCTGCGACGACGTCTTTCATTGCGCGCGACGACAAGAGAGAAGTCTTGTTGGTCGCACGACGAAACGTATCGGTCTCTAGCATCTGCCTGTGCTTGATGGAGGACATTCGCCATGGCCGCTGAACCCCAGTTTGAACAATCCGCCGTCACTCACCCCAGTCCCACGACCAGTAATGCTGGATCTGCTGGAACTTCGGGAACGAATTCGCAGGCACAGCAGTCTGCGCCTAATTCAGGTCATGCAAGCTTCAGAAGGTGCGTGAGAGCATCCCGCAGTGGTCGGGGTGGTGGTGTTGTCCCTCCGTGAGAGTGAAAACGTGGTCGAAAGGAGGGGAATCGGGAGAGAATTTTCGGTCTGAGAACGGAGGATGGGTTACTAGCTACAGGACACGAGCTAATAAATATGTTTGAATGCAGGCAGCGCGCGTCGCGAGCTTGTGAGGTACGTTTCTTATTCTTTTGAGGTCAAACGCGACCTGGGGTTTGCGCGAGCCTCGGCTCGTCGATATACAGCTTATCGGCCGCTTGTTTCTCCCCTGACCGATCGCCACAGATGGAGATCTACCATTGTATTACGGATTTTTGCTAACGTTTGCTCACTCTATTTTTTGGATACAATAGACTTGTCATGCTAGAAAGGTTAGTAGTGGTTTAAAGTCTTTTTATCCCTGTCGCTACCGACTAGTTTCGCAACTTTCGGGGGCGGCGCATTTTTGGTGCGACTGTAACTGACAATGAAATGCGATACAAAGGTACGATGCGATGCCGCCAGTCTCGGTGTGCCTTGCACAAATTGCGTAGCCTTTTCGATTGACTGTCGGATCCCGACACCAAAACGAAAGAAGAACCAGAACAAAAAGGAAAATCACAGTGCCGGGTAATATACTTCCTCGTCCTACCTCCCTTGAGATGATATCAGGTCGCTTACTTTGATCTGCTAGCAGTGAGGAACCGGTCGAAACTAGACAACAACAAGATGCTCCGGAACCCGCCAGACCAAAGGAGGTTCTTGGCTACAGAGCCAATACCATGTCCGTAGACGGCATGCCACCGACACGGTTTACGGAGTCGGAAGCGGCTCAACAGGCAGCTCATGGCTCGACATATACCCAATTTATGAAACCCAAGTTTGCCAGAGCGCCTATCAAAGAAGCTGGGAGAGTCGCGTATCTAGGGGAATCGTCGAACCTATCACTTCTTGTCCACGACAAGAACGGGACTACGGATGTTGTCCACTATCCTCTGCCGGAGAACATTCGAGGCACGCGGGCTCGACTGACCGATCTAGACAACATGGAGATTGAAATTCTCCACCAGCGCGGGGCATTCCTGCTTCCTCCCAAGCAGCTATGCGACGAGCTGGTTGACGCATATTTCAAGTGGGTGGCGCCAGCTGTACCCATCATCAACCGGAGTCGGTTTATGCGACGCTACCGGGACCCGAAAAACCCTCCGTCTCTCTTGCTGTTGCAGTCTATCCTCCTAGCTGGATCAAGGGTCTGTACGAATCCACAATTAATGGACCAAAATGGCTCGACAATCCCTGCGGCCATGACGTTCTATAAGCGTGCAAAGGCTTTGTACGATGCCAATTACGAAGATGATCGGGTCACGATAGTGCAGGCGCTTGTGCTGATGAGTTGGTATTGGGAAGGCCCTGAAGGTTAGTCGGATATGGCTGTTTTCCTTCTTGTGTCTTATTCTTAACGGACTTGTTGCAGATGTTACAAAGAATGTGTTCTATTGGAGTCGCGTTGCCATTACTGTCGCGCAAGGCTCGGGAATGCACAGAAGGTGAGTCTTAAATCAAAGCAGATTTCTTCGTCTTCCACTGACAACAGGGGTAGTGTGGAGAATTCACAGCTGAGCAAACCCGACAAGAAGCTATGGAAACGTATCTGGTGGACACTGTTCACGCGGGACCGGTCTGTGGCTGTTGCCCTTGGACGACCGGTGGCAATCAACACGGACGACTCGGATGTGGAAATGTTAACGGAAGAAGATTTCATCGAGGATGAAGTTGACAGTCCAGCCGAGTATCCTCCGGACCCGGTCCATGTCCAGTTCTTCCTGCAATACGTCAAGCTTTGTGAGATCATGGGCCTAGTCCTTTCACAGCAATACTCTGTAGCATCTAAGACTAGGAGGAACAATGCTATCGACTTGACACACTCAGATATGGCATTGGCAGATTGGTTGCAGAACTGTCCACCCGAAGTGACCTGGGGCAGGTCTCGACATCACTTCTGGGCTGCTCTCCTGCACTCGAACTATTAGTGAGTCTTTATCATTTTGCTATATGCTCGTAGACACCATTCTAACAGATCTAGCACCACACTGTGTCTGCTGCATAGAGCTCATATGCCACCCGCTACGTCTTCCCCGAGTGGATATCGCGTGGACGAAATGGCGTATCCATCCAGAACCATTGCGTTCCAAGCCGCTGCCATGATCACGTCCATAGTTGAGAACTTGCAATCGCACAATGAGATCCGATACACTCCCGCATTTATGTAAGCGCATTCTTCTGCCATTCATCGTTGTGATAGATCTAATCCCTTGTTCAGTGTGTACAGTCTTTTCTCGGCCTTGATAATGCACGTCTATCAGATGCGGTCCTCCGTACCCTCTGTCGTCGCAACCAGCCAGGAAAGAATCAACATATGCATGCAGGCACTCAAGGATGTGTCTAAAGCATGGCTGGTGGCCAAGATGGTGTATACTCTCTTTGATTCGATCCTCGGCAACAAGGCCCTCGAAGAACGCCTGCAGAAAGCTGCAGGGAAACGACACCAGAGGGTACGGCAGGAGAATAATAATAATCGCAATCCTGCGAAGAGACCCGATCACCCTCCCAAGCGCAAATTCGATGACATGGATCTCGGTCTGCCAAATGGCGGGCCGACACCTCCTGTCTCCTATGAACGGTCTCGTCCGCAAACACCGGCTGCAACTCCCTCGAGAGAACTACCGCCGCATCAAGGCCAGCCGTCATTGGCTTCCTTACAGACGACACCCAATGCGCAGCGGGCACCTCAGGAGCCCTTCCTGGGAACTGCAGCTTCACGTGCGAACACTAGGCCGACGACACCATTCAATGTCCCATTCTCTATGCCCGCTACTCCCCCAGATCTCTTCCTTGTCACCCGTAATTCACCCAATATTTCTCAATCATTGTGGGAGAACTTCCAACCTGACCAGCTATTCCCTGATGGCGCCAACATTTTCCCTGACTTGATGTCTCCTCAAGACAACTCGGTTGATCCGCAGTTGCAGATGCCATCCCAGCTGCAGAATCCTGACATGCAGCCAGGCCTGGGTATCAACCAGCAATCATTAGCTGGTCGGACGCCGGCCGGAACCCAGGGCAGCCCGTCGCTGGTCTCTGGCATAACAGGCGGTATGGGCATGCAGGATCAGCAACAGCAGCAGTCAGTGTTTGGATTGCAGAATCAGCAACAATGGCCGGTCCAGGGCCTGGACCCCTCTTTGGGCGGTGCTGGGTTAGATCATTCGAGCCAGGATGACAGCTGGAGCAGCAGCTCGCGAGGACAGGGGCCGTCAGTGCCGACGGCCCTCAATGTAGAGGACTGGTACGTCTTGTTTCGTTTATATACACGAAGGGAATATGCTGACAACTCTCTCTAGGTTCCAATTCTTTGGCATCAATGGAGGCCTAGGGGATTTGGCGATGGAGTCCGTGTGAAGCTCCGCTTCAACTGCTCTCTATCTACCATCTAAGGATACTGTTTCACTTTTTTGGAAAAAGATGCAGATGTGTGTGCTCCTATGAGGTTTCTTCTTTTCTGCTTGCCAGAAAAGTTTGTCTGGCGTGATTGGACATTTCCCGGTTCCATACGGTCCATGGTCTCCGCAGGTAACCAAAATACCCAGGTTCCTAGTTATCTATTTTGCGCGGTGTATTCGGGGGCCACTTGGGGGCCACTTACCATTATCGTTCTTTTCTTGCAGCCTTGCCCGTTTCAGAGTCGTCTAATATGGCAGTACCAGCTGTCCATACCACTACACATATTTTTGGTTCCGCTCATTGTCCGTTCCTCGTTATCATCGTTACTGTTTGGACTTGATCTATTTAAGTCTTGGTGTTCCGATCTTTCTGTTTTCTATATAATGGTCTGGCCCATGGAATGGATGAATGGGATATGCAGGCTACGGCCTCGCGTTGGCCAGATGAGATGGCGATGTCTTTGGTTGGCCATGGCTGATATTGTTCACCGCGGAACGACTAATATCGTGGCAGGATGTCAAGACTCGACTTGGATACCGAGAAATTTTGTATATAACAACATTTAACATATATGAAATCGTTGGAGCGAGGCAATTCTTATTGCCACATCATAACGGCGTATCTAGAACTCATAATTTCAGGTTCAGCCTGTGGCGATCTATATACATTGTATTACGGTCCCCTGGACCTCCGACAACCCTCTTCAGCTTCAGCTCATCGTAGTCAAAGTCCCGCAGCATACGGATCTTTTAACCGATTACTGCACACCCCGACCCTTATATCCAAGGGACTAATTCACATTCACCCCAGAACCGATATCATAACCTCCTCCGGAAGAAGAAGAAAACAACTATTTACTCCCACCAGTCCCACAACACTGATTCTTGGTCCATTTCAGACAACAAATATGCTTTCTGAGTGTTTTTTTACCACTCTGGAGTATGAAGTTCTTAGTGAATAAGTACACGAGGATATATCCGTTCTTGCTGCAGATAGAGCGGTTGCAACTACGTAGTAACATCCGGGTACCCGTCAAGTGGATGTGAGAGAGTGGAAGAGAATAATAGTGGCAGTTGCCGCATGTACATACATACATACATACTTGTTTGGCCTCACCACGTTCTCCCGTAGTTAAAATATCCCGGCCGGGTTGACTGACTGGTTGATAGGGAAAAGGTCAGAAGAAAGTCTGCCGAGAATCCAGAGAAATAAATATTGGAGAAGATTGCCCCGGATATTACGAAGGACGGGTCGGTTTAACCAATACCATTCATGAACTACTACCGAACCTGATTCAAACTTCATACTAATTTCTCACGGTAGGCCTAAAGATGCCGAGAGACCCAGGCTGACAGATGGTGATTGTAGGAGACTGTAGATATTTAAGATTGGACGAACTCGCCCAGTTCAAATGGTTTTTCTTTTTTCTTGCTATGTAGTGGAACTTTTCTGCAAATAGACACACTGACGAGTCCCATCATGGGAGATAACGGAGCGGTATCCTCAGGCGAGACCGAAGCGTACACCTTACCGCGCGGGGAACAAGAAAAAGAAAGGTTTGAAATAGAAACTCTGCAATCCGATGCGTGAGGCTAAATCCTTTTTTATTTGATAGACTCGAAACCCAACATTCACTCCTTGTATCTATAGCAGGAGGGTTAATTCACGAATCGGTCCCAAAATCCGAGATTCAACGAGTTGCGGACATTGCCGCTGGAACTGGGTAGTTGATATCGCTGCATATATGCGAATTCGTGCTATGTTTTATGTCTAGGCTAACCCCCATTTGAAACCAGGATCTGGCTGTTCGATGTCGCCAGGGAATTGAATAACCCCAATAATCGATATGATGGCTTCGATATCTCGGACCTACAGTTCCCCTCTGAAGTCCCCATGGGCCTGGGGTCAATTAATTTCACGGTTCATGATATGACCAAATGCTTTCCTGAAGAGTATTATGGGAAATATGATCTTGTGAATGTTCGATTTGTAGTGCAGGCTTTGAAAGGTGTTTTGGTCCCGACGGTCATTTCTCATCTAATGGAACTTCTCCGTAAGTGAAACGAAGCGAGACAAATCTACCCCCTTCCTTTTTTTCTTTTCATCTAGTAATAATTCGTCAGGATCGGGCGGTTATCTTCAATGGCATGATGCTCAATGGGATGATTTCAGAGCCATCCCTCCTAATGAAGATATAGACTATGTTAATGGCATTTTCATTAACCATATGAAGGCATATGGTCTATCTGGAAGGTGGGATGTCGCCATCTCTAGAATGGCCTTGATTTTTTGCGAGAGCTCAGCTAAACTGATGCCTCTTTAGGCTCCCAGAACAAGTTGAATACGGTATGAAGGAGATCGGATTCGAAGATGTGGTATCAAAATGGGTACACACAAACGAGACTGAATTTCAACCGAGAATAAATCTTCAGACTCGAACTGGCGCATTGGCGACGATGCCAAAAGCTCTGGAGACCTTGGCTTTGCAGGAGGGAAAGCCAGTAGATGCCGCTGCCATCAGAGAAAAGGTCAAGGAGGTTGAAGGTCGGATCGATAGAGCAAACAGGAATGGCCATAATTGGGATCTTGCGTATGTGGTAGTCGTGGGAAGAAAGCCCACTCATGATGCCTGAAAGCTGGGGATCATGATGGAATATTAACTATGAAGCTCTCTTCTCTTAACCGATTACGGAGTAGCTAGCGAAGATAGATGATGGATGTATGTATGGATGTATGTATGGATGTATGTATATCTCGACCATGAGTTGGATGTATTCCCAAGACGGCTAGCGCGGATGACACAATCGACCTGGCGAAGATCTGGGGCATAAAGTTCGATCCTCCAGCCAATAGACGCACCGGCCTTGCGGAGCGGTCAGCGCTGACCTGATGACTCCGGAGAAAGACGTTGCTCTCCTACTATTTTTCTCTCTCTCACATATCTTTGCTTTTGGTCTGCACACTTGCTTGATCTATCTCTTCATTGATAGATCATTCTCCTTCCGTTATAATCAGAGGAGTATCCCGCATATCCTCCTTAACTCCTTCTCTTCCTTCGTTTCCCTCTTTTTTCATCCCGCCCCACCCCGCAGCGATGTCGGCGTCAGGTTCGGGGGCACCTAATGTGCCAGGCAATTCCAACACGACAGGCACAGGACAGATCAATGTCTTGAAGAAGGCTTTCCCGCATGTTGATCTGGATGGACATAACCTGCCTCCGTCTCCTGCTCCTTCTAGCCCGCATGGCGGCCGTCGATATGCACTCGCCACCGAGCTTGTCTACACCGACAGCAATGACCAGTACAATGCGAGCAGTGTCCCTATTTACCAGGTATGAATCCGAGCTTCGACGAGGAGAATAGGGTGAGTTATTAGCTAATAGAGAATTATGTAGAGTGCGACTTTCAAGCAGAGCTCCGGCGGTGGTGGAGGAGAGTATGACTACACGCGATCAGGAAACCCGACCAGGACACACCTCGAACGACACCTGGCCAAGATCATGTCTGCTCAGCGCGCTCTGGTAGTCTCTTCCGGTATGGCTGCCCTGGATGTGATCACCCGTCTCCTGAGACCGGGTGACGAGGTCATCACCGGCGACGACCTGTACGGCGGTACACATCGTCTGCTCAAGTACCTGTCGACCAATGGCGGAATTATCGTGCACCACGTCGATACCACGCAACCAGAAAAGGTTCGTGAGGTTGTAAACTCCAAGACGGCAATGGTGCTGCTGGAGACACCCACCAACCCCCTTATCAAGATCGCCGATATCCCCCGGATCTCCGCACTGGCCCACGAAGCGAACCCCAGCTGCCTGGTCGCGGTCGATAACACTATGTTGTCACCATTGCTCCTCAACCCGCTGGAGTTGGGTGCGGACATTGTCTATGAGAGTGGTACGAAGTATTTGTCCGGCCACCACGACCTTATGGCCGGTGTGATTGCAGTCAACGACCCGGCGCTGGGCGAGCGGCTCTACTTCCCGATCAATGCGTCTGGATGCGGACTGTCGCCGTTTGACTCGTGGCTGCTGATGCGAGGTGTCAAGACACTCAAGGTTCGCATGGACCAGCAGCAGGCCAACGCCCAGCGGATCGCAGAGTTCCTCGAGTCCCACGGCTTCAAAGTCCGGTACCCAGGGCTGCGCTCGCACCCGCAGTATGAGCTGCACCACTCGATGGCACGGGGCTCTGGAGCGGTGCTATCCTTCGAGACTGGAGATGTCGCGATGAGCGAGCGGATTGTCGAGAGCGCGAAGCTGTGGGCTATCAGTGTTAGTTTCGGATGTGTCAACAGTCTGATCAGTATGCCATGCCGCATGAGTCATGCTAGTATCGATGCAAAGACGAGAGCCGAGCGGGCCCTGCCAGAGGATCTGATCCGGCTGTGCGTTGGCATCGAGGATGCTGATGATCTGATCGATGATCTGCGGAGAGCGGTAAGTAGCTATTTATTCGAACCTGTTGTGTAACGATTGATCGGCTAACGGTGGTGGTTCTGTAGCTCGTCCAGGCTGGCGCTGTCAACGTTACCTTGGATGGATTCCACGCTGCCAACGCTTCTGCAGACTCGCAGGCTGCTCCCGCAGCGTAGTATATATTATGTGCTCGATCTTTTGGATATATGTTCTGACTTACGGCTCTTACATTGGGTTTTCATCTATGTGCGGCGTTCTTGCGAGGTCAAAACTTTCTACTTGTTCATATTTTGTGCTATGATTGAAAAAGCCCCTGGCGGAGGCTATTTTCTTTCTGTTTTCTCTTTATCTTCCCGGAAGAAGGAAATGTACAGTTATATCAATGGGATATCATCGTCGAGTCGTGGACCATTTGCTCGGCGTTCATTAATAATTACTCCGCGGTTCTCCCCGCGCTCTGCCCAAAACAGACTAGCGCACCCCGGCATCGGAGTTAACCGGTTAGTCAGTTCGACTACGGCTGATGATTCATCCATCTTTTATCTTCCTGTCTCTCTCTCGTCTGCATCGGGTTCTCGTCGTTTTTCTTTTTCTCTTTCCCATTGACTCATCGCGGGGTGGTTGATGTTGACGGTCGTATCGTGAAGCTGTTTGTTTTCTCTTTCCTCTCCATTGTAGGTAGATCGCCGTCAGCAAACAACATCAGGCCTGGAGCTGTCGCGCGCTGTCATGATCTTTCCGCTCGATAGGAGCAATTAATCAGCAATTCCATTTGGTTATCTTTCTTGGTCTCTACCCATTCTCTCTTAGCAATTCCATTCAATTCAGATGCCATCTGGCGACATGACTACGAAAGATGTTGCCGTATCAGATCCGGCCATTGCGGCCGTCTCAGACCGAACTGTGTCAACGTCGACCAAGGCATGGAATACAGACAGTCTAGGGCTGCGCTTAGGCGTTGATGCTGCAAGTGCTGCCACAGCTGGAGCATTGATCTGCCCTCTGATCACAATCATTGATCGGTAAGATCATTATCTCTTCCATTGCTGTGTTTTCTGTACACGGAACAAAAGAAATCGCCAAACAATACTGGAACCAGGACTAATCAGTCGATGCGAACAGTGCCATCATCGAGAAAGCAGCCAAGGGCTTTCCCATCCGCGACACAATCACCTCCTGCCTCCGCTCCATGGTCGCTCGTCCGGGGAGTTTCTTTCTCTCAACGCCCTTTCTGCTGATCTACACGCTGTACTCTTCTACCTACCTAACAGCCAATGTCATCGACACCGTCACATCGACCATGCGGGACCAGCCTTTCTCAAAAGTGACCGCGGGGCCGGCCAAGTTCGTATCCACCACGAGCGTGAATATGGCGATTTGCGTGTACAAGGATGCGCGGTTCGCGAAGCTCTTTGGGGCATCGCCACCTTCTTCTGCGTCGACGACAAGTTCTAAACCGGCCAGCGCAGTTACACCACCACCCGCTCCCAAGATCCCAAAGATCTCATATTCTCTCTTCTGTCTCCGCGATAGCGTTACCATTTTCGCCTCCTTCAATGTCCCAGCCCTCGTGGCGCCCTCTATTCCAGACTGGATTGCACCAACTGCCAGTATGAAGGCCTCCATGGCTCAGTTCGCCTGTCCAGCCCTCATGCAGTTTGTCAGCACGCCCATGCACTTGCTAGGACTGGACCTATACAACCGTCAGCCGTCCGGAGGTCTGGGTTGGCAGGAACGATTTGCTCGTATTCGGCGCGATTACATCTCCAGTTCGTTCGCGCGCATGGCCAAGATCGTTCCCGCGTATGGCGTCGGAGGCGTTGTGAACACGCGCATGAGAGCCTCCCTAATGGGTAAACTGGAGAACATGGCAGACGTGAGGAATCGGACGACATTGGCTGCGTAGGCTCTTGACATTCGTCTTTGGCAGAGCAGCAATCAGGAGACCCGGTCCCAAAACAATTACAGGAAGGAAAAACCGATGACAACTCCGTTATCTATTCTGACGACTTACGAAATGAACCGAACACCGAGGAAAACAATTGAAACGCCCAGTGATTGATCCTACCACGGTATCCCCATGGTAATTCCTGCGTTGTGGGAAGATCCATCACTTACTGACGTCCCTCATATTCGCTCCATTGTATTATCATCTTTGTTGATCGCCATCGTCATCATGCATATATATCCGACGATATCTATATTATTATATATACGATTGTTAATATCACCAACCAAAAGAATGGTGGGGAGTTCAAGACGGGGTTATTACATTTATATCTCACCACAACTCTCTCCGCTCATGTTGCGAATGATACTAGATTAGATGTGGATTTTTGTTGTTTCAAGATATGCATGGTTTGGGTCATTGTCTGCATTCCCTGTTCTGTTTTCTGGTCTTTTTTTTCAGTGTCGTTTTTTTCGTTGGCATGTATTAGTTTTGGCTTGATTTCGTCCATTTAGTTCCCTTGTTAGGTTTTTTGACTTCATTTAGACAGACAGGAAGACAGACAGGCCCGTTGGTTGGCATATTGTTTCGAAAATTCGGAGTTGGTGATGAATCTTGATAGATAGGTTTCGTATATACAACTTCGTTGAATTCAATATATATTCGAGAAAATATACATATATATATATATGTAGGAAGGACAGCATTTATCATAAGATCAAGACAAGATACTCTTAATTCTCCAGCCTAACGTTTTTCTGCTACTCCTTTAGGTAATTGGCTAGGGTGCTTCAAATACTTCCGCCTAGATAATCTGATTTCCTTTTCGCACTGTACCGTACCTCGATACACGGGCAATATATATACACCAAAATCTCAATTCTCTTCTTCAACTTCAGTGTCCAGAGCAAAGTACGCATACTCCGGGGTAGCGTCAGCGCGCCTTTTGACTTCCGTGTCGCTGTCCACAGCAATGTATGCATACGCGGTAGCGTCCTCAGCGCGCTTTTTGACTTCGCTGTCCACAGAAATGTATCCATACTCGGCGGTAGCGTCATCAGCGCGCTTTTTGACTTCGCTGTCCACAGAAATGTATCCATACTCGGCTGTAGCGTCATCGGCGCGCTTTTTCACTTCGCTGTCCACAGAAATATATCCATACTCGGCAGTAGCATCGTCAGAGCGCCTTTTGACTTCCGTGTCGCTGTCTGCCACAATGTAGGCATATAGGGCTGGAGCGTCTTCAGATCTCTTGGCGGCATGCAGGGACACTATCTGCTGTCAGTGCTTGTACATAGATTGAGTGTAGTTTAGAACGCAGTTTTTTGTGTTCTGTGCACATTTTTCATCGACAGATGATGGAAATACGTAGAAGATAGATAGACATACGGTCATCATTGGGATTTGCCACGGGTGCTGAATTCGCTGCAAGAGCCATGCAGAGGCCGAGAATAGCAGTAAGGGCGTTGGAGGGACGCATAGTGAATACCACGTCTTCGAAATGAGTTGTTCAGAGGAGAGTTGTTTTTAAGTCGAGTGCTAGTTTTTCTCTTATCTTTTTGTTTAATATTCCTTTGTGGACCTGTATCCTGTGTCAAAAGGGAGAGGTACTAGATATATATATATATATAATATATATCTTCATTTTGCATGGTACTTATGCATCATTCTCTATAAATATCTGTATATCACACCAAGCTTCACCACCCAATCCACAGATTTGAAATTGACTAATAGACTGGGATTAGGATTCTTTCTTTCTTTGCAGTGAAATGTCTGATTATCCTTTGTACCAGTTCTACGCAGGATGCCAGGATTTAGTGGGAATCTACTCAAGATCACGGAAGCACAGTCTGTACTTTGGAAGAGAGCATTTGATACGGGAATAGAATCTTGGTTGCTTAAAGAACTAAAAAGTACCAAAATCTATCTGCTATTAATGCCCACGGTACTCGATCCTGTATTACTATTGATTACTGCTGATTATCCACGGTGACACTCCCGTCTTTTTAGATCCTCTGCAGGTGAATCAAGGTGGGCTTCCCGTTGTAGCTGCTAGATAGCCGGTTTTATAGAGTAGTAGCAGCGGATTTGCAGCTCGCCTCCACAGAAGCTGTGAGCGCTGATAGATTCTTCGGATGCTGTCTGCGCCGCAGCGTAGCATTCTCAACTCCAAACTGTGTGACCTCTAATATTCGCACTAGAGAGACCAAAAGAACATGACATATTCCACTATCATGGCCTATCGTGGGATGCTTGGTAATTAGCAAGGGTTGTACATACTACAGGTCTAAAAGCTCTAGAATTGATTTTGATGCCGATAGTTCCAGAATAGGCAAACTGAGCGAGGACGACGCATTTGACGTATTGAGCAGTGGGATAACTCTGCTACAGACTGTATAACCCGTTAGGATTGTGCATTTATGTTGCATCTAACCAGTAGGATCGTTCCCCTGTGGTTGTCCTATCCAAGCAGCCACTAAGTCAAGGATGAATTTCATGATAACGAGCGCTTGTCTTGATAGTCATGATCACAAAAGTCCAGAGGGCACTCTACGTTGTCTTGGAAGTTGAAAAGTGAAATATGCTATACCTCTCCGTCAAAGACTTGGTTCAAGACTGGCTGATATCCTTAAAGTATGCCAGAGACAAGCACTTCACGTTTCCCAATGAAAAAACTGCTTTTCAACGTCTTCTCTAAACCACCGCCCTATAAGGCAGTTGCGGACGAGGATACGGATGATGGCCACGATGAATCAATTTCTGAAGACTCCATGAAATCAAATCTTCTTGGGTACAAACTGAGTCAGGACGAAACTCTTTCCAGTCCCAGAAGAAGGCTTTTACTATGGCTAAACATCACACTCTTCACGTTGTCATTGTTTATCTTTATGCTGTCTGCGATTCTACTCTCAAGAATTGGCAGGGGACGCAATGCCGCTCTCAAGGAAACCTCGGAATACTGTATGAGGCCATCGATCCCTGATTTCTCTTAACCATTAACAATAGCATGGCTTCCATCTCCGCCACTAGGGTCATCTTTCCCTTTTTTATCCTTGTCCTTTTTCTCTCTCTCTTTCTTCCTCGCTCTTCTCCTCTTCTTCTTTTCCTTCCTCTGTCTTCTTCTTCGCTGATTCGAAGGCTCATCGTCTGTCCT